CAGTCTAGCTCCAATCCGAACCGTGGTTTCCGACTTCCCTCGGGAGCACTTGCGAAACCACCGTTAGCATCTTGTATCCCGCATTGGGTCTAGAGGAGAGTACTGGTGATGAATCTCAAAGTTCGTGACTAGGGTATCTAGGTTGTCTAACATGTCTAGTGATTGTCTCATATTTTGTCCGCTGGAAACCCCCCCCCCCCCCACCCCCCCTTACCACCACACACAGACACATACAAATAAGTTCATCTATGCAGAGCTTCTGTTATCCCTGATCTCGCCATCCATGGTCGTCGAGTTATCTTCATCGATGTGGATCTTGAACATTTTGGATGCCATGCCGTAGCTCTTTCCAACGGCCTTGCTAGCGTATACCCTCATTTCTTTTTCGTACTCAGCGGTTGCTCCCTCGTAATATCCATTCTTCAGCAGTCTACCCAGCAATGCTGAGTCTCGTACGGCTGTGTTCGCGCCGAGACCGCCGGCGGGGGTCATGGAATGTGCTGCGTCACCTATGACAGTAACACGAGGCTGGTTGGGCCATACAGGAACACCACTTGGTGTTGAAATCGTAATCTTCCAGAACGCTCCTTCTGGAGTGGCAGACTCGGTGAACAGAGGCTTCAGCTTAGCATGCCAGTCTTTTGTGAGCTCTCTGGCGATATTGGAGGCAGTTTCCCCAACGATGGTATAATCGTCATTCGGTGCCTTTATGACACCTGGTTCACCAACCATCGTCCAACCAAATTGAGTTTTTGGGTCATCCATATCGCCAGCTCGGACATTCGTAATGACAGCAAAGGACCCGTTGGGTCTACTGTTGTCTACTATGCGGAAGACGCCTTCCCCGAGTCCTTTAAAGGCTGTTGTAGGCGCTTGTCCGTGAATACCACGAGCTCCAGTATCATAGACCTTGAGTTTACCACCGGAAAGCTGTTTGGCGACGTAAGAATTGATACCCTCACCTCCGATGAGCATGGAACCTTCTTCTGACTTCGTACCATCACTGAAGATAGCTCGCACACCGTCAGCCGTCAACTCATATCCCTTGACATGCTTGCTGAATTGAACAAATTCTTCGCAGCCTTCCATGAACAAGTTTCGCATATCTCCACGCGCGATACCAACGACCTTGCCTTCTCTCGAGCTCAAACTTTCATTATTACTGCTACTACTACCACTGCCGCCCTCACTGCTATTTCCAGCCGCAGCAGTAGGTGGTTGCTCGATGGGTTCAGCGGTGATAGCATCGATTGTTTTCATGCCACCGCCACCTGTCTTTCCGCATCGATCGTAAAATTTCTTCCATGCTGCTGGTTCCAGTGCGGATTCGATGGCGTCGAGTCCTTCCGAGGACAGCCGGAGTCGGTATCCTTGGCCTCGAGATGCGAGTGAGGCGTCACGTTCAAAGACGCGGAATGGAATCTTACACCTGAGGAGGGAACGTGCGAGCAGTAGTGATGCAAGACCAGCGCCAGATATCAAGATGGGTTTCTGTGCCATGATTGTTGAGGTTGTGTTGTTGGTCATTTAGAAAGATTAGGTGTTTGGCCAATAAAGGGAGAACGCGTCATAGCTGATTTGCTCTGTGTACCTTCCTATATACAGCTAGATTGTTGTTTGCAAACAGGTAAAGTATTCACGGTGGCCTACCGCTGTGTCTCGTGAGGAGCTCGTCTCACCAGAGGTCCGAAATACATATAATACATTCGATGACCATTTGGCGTGCGTGCAGGCCGATAATCCATCATTGAGCAGTCATCATGATCTCCAGATTCCGTCATTCAGAAGACGCTCGAGCCAAGAGCGGGAAGGTGTGCAACGATCACCAGTTCTCGACCGATCCTTGCACCCGGCTTTGCGGCTCAGGGGATCGGATACAAGTACGTCAGACACGCACGCGAGTTGCCAACCGCTTTGCAGCTGTAGGATATTGCGCGCATCAACACTATCCTGGGACATGTTCATATTGACATGTCGGATGCTGTTGCAACATTAGATCTTGATGGGGAGGGCAAAGAATAAGTGTCGGCACTGTCGAGGGAGAGACGAGGAGGTCCGGATGTCAAGTCCGAGAAATCCAAGCAAAATTTGGGTTTTGATGATTGACAGCGCTGGCCCCGGACTTGATCAACCGAGCGTTTCCTGCCACTCTGACGAAATCTTGCAGACACGGTTGGCCGTCCTCGCAGCTCTTTTCGTGAAGCAACTGCACAAGGTGGTAGGTCTGCATTTAAGTAGGTATTGCCAGACACGATGGCGTCCAAAGCGTCGAGACAGCACAAGGCCAAGGAGAGGGCTCTGACGTTGCAGGAGCGCGAAATGCACAGGTTCGCGTCCTTCCATCAAACGAGTGAAGTCGAAGCTCACTACAGAACAGATACTACCAACCATGGCTTGACGCTCAAGGATCCTCGGCCAATGTCGCGTCGCATGTCCAAAACCTAGACGATGACTTCACCGTCGACACCTTGTCCGAAAAGGGCTTCAATGCACAAGCATCACAGGACACGACTCTGACTGCATTCGCCCAACTCGCTGCCCTACGCCTCAATGTCCGCCGAGCCATGGTCTCAATGATTGATTCAACACATCAGTACATCCTTACTGAAGCTACAAGAACGCTATCGCTAGTTGACCATACTCGCCATGGTCCAGATGATGCTTTGTGGCTGGGTAGCGCTAGAGTCGCCCGTAATGACGCATTGTGTGAATGCGCCTTTACAAGAACATATACAGTTCTCAATGACCAGGGCGTCGCTCTCACCGCTAATGCAGCGGTAATACCCGATTGTCGCCTGGATGCCGAATTCAACAACAGACCATACATAACTGACGAAACCATCCGCTTCTACGCAGGCGTTCCGATCAAGTCAAGATCAGGACATAAGATTGGCGTCTATGCCGTATCTCATGACCAACCTAGAGACCCTCTAACCTATGACGAACTACGCTTCATGCAAGACATCGCTGTCGCTGTTATGAATCATCTGGAATGGGCCAGAGACCGTGTAGATCGTTACAAGGGAGAGCGCATAGTCCGTGGAATGGCCGACTTCATCGAGGGTGCACCCTCCATGCGTGTCATGAAAAAGGAGTCGGATGCTGATAACCAGCACACGACGGCCGCTCCGGAAGTCAAGTCGGGGTCAGACTTGCAGACTCGATTGAAGGATGACTCTCCTAAAAGACCGCCGACCAAAAGAACTGAGACCAATAAGTCTGCCGGTAGGCCGACGTTAGAATCCAGGTCAGAATCTTTCGTGAGGCGACGCGAAGCCAAAGCGGACAACATATCCCGATTGTTCGATCGCGCGTCCCGAATTATGAAAGAGTCTACCCTTGCCGAAGGCGTGGTATTCTTTGGCCCCTCTGGTACCAATCCTGCGAAGCAAACATTGAGGTCTGCCATGTTAGCTCGTGACAAGACATCATCGGGCACTGACGACGAGTCCGCCAAACACCTCTCAGTCGACTCGGCCGATGTCGAGAACTCCACTGATTCGGACACCGGCCACCAGATGCGCACTACCAAAATTCTAGGACTCTCGCTGACCAACAACAAGGACAGCTCGCTATTTCACAATGCGGCGCTAGATGTTCTGACTCTCGAGAACTACTTCAAGCTCTATCCTAATGGCAAAAGTCTTCACTTCTCAGAGGCCGGTTCTGGACTCTCTTCAGAGGATGACAGTGCCAGTGAGAGTCAAAGATCTGCTAACGACAATTCGAAGACTGCTACTGAAACTACTTCACAAAAAGTGATTGGGAAAAAGAAGAAGATTCGGATGAGTCACCAAGAGCTCCTCAAGAACCTACCAGGAGTCAAGAACGTAATATTCCTCCCACTATGGGATTACGTCGAGGAGAAGATGGTTGCAGGTTGTTTCTTGTGGACGTCAAACACGGGAAGAATGATGAACCTGGATGACGATCTGACGTATCTGAGGGCGTTTGGAAATACCATCATGAGCGAAGTCGCGCGCATGAACGCTCTCAAAGATGACCGCGCGAAGACAACCTTCATAGCGTCTATGAGCCATGAACTTAGATCGCCTCTCCATGGTATTCTTGGATCTGTTGAATTCTTGCAGGTAAGTCGAACTGAAGCATACATTATCACTACACACAAGTCTGTGTCACGTGGGACAGAGACCGTCCCGGGTAGTAAGCAGTAGACATGAGCCTACCTTCCCTCCCTCTGTGTGCTGAGTTCTGTCACCCGCCTACTCAAGCATACACATGGTATTTTCCAATCAGGAAGTCGTCCATCGAGAGAAACTGCTTGACCAGCTCTTGCTTGACGGATTCAGCTTGGAAAACCACCGTGTGTCTAGCAGCTCCCGTACTCCTGGGTATGAGTTTGGTAGAGAGGTGGAGGTGACAGACTTTGGCGCGCGAAGAGACAGGCAGTCCTCGTTTTTGTTTGCATCCTGATAACCCGTGCTGATCTCATCGTCACTATAGGACACAGCTGCTGATGCTTACCAAGCTGGTTTGATCAACTCGATCTCAACGTGTGGAAAGACCCTGCTTGATACACTCGATCATGTCCTTGATTACGCCAAAATCAACAAGCTGGGCCGAAATCGTATGAAGAAGGATGCCAAGGCAAACAGACTTGCCTCCGCTACTGACTCACCTTCCGAGAGTCTTAGTATTTCTGCCGACATTGATTTGGGTCTGGTAGTGGAAGAGGTCGTTGAAGCCGTTTGTGCTGGCCATGCGTTCAAGAAGATGCATAATCGAGAGCTCAAATCGCGTGATGGACCTGTGATGACATTGTCTCGTCATGCATCAGCAAGTGCAACGGCGACTGCGGATGGAGCTAATATTATGGATGGCGAGGTCGCCGTTCTGCTCGATGTCAGCCCTCGTGCTTCTTGGATGGTACGCACGCAACCGGGAGCTCTCCGGAGAATTATCATGAACCTTTTGGGCAATGCTCTGAAGTACACCCCCAGAGGTTGGGTAGCAGTATCTCTCCGAGCACAGGAAAGCTCACACCCAAACAAAATTGACGTGGTGTTCAGAGTCATCGATTCTGGCAAGGGCATGTCTGAAGACTTCCAGAAAAATCGTTTGTTCGTCCCATTCAGTCAGGAGGATACCTTCCAACCAGGCACCGGTCTGGGACTCTCGATTGTACGACAGATTGTTGATTCGTTGGGTGGCACCATTGAGGTCAAGAGTGAGCAGAATGTGGGCACTGAGATCGACGTCCGCATGAGTCTCTCGACACCGGAAACTGCTCCAGATAATATACCAGACGATGAGATTGCTGCAGTCACCGCCAAGACGAAGGGTCTGAGACTGTGTCTTCTCGATCCCAATGGCGAGAAACAGAGGGATCACAATGATCATATCAGTAGACTCGACACAACTCTATCCGAAGTCTGCTGGGGCTGGTTCGAGATGGAAGTCACCAAAGCAGATAACCTGAAGGACGTCGATGCCGATGTGTATCTGTACACAGAGCCTCCGACGGTCGAGTTCCTACTCGAGCATCATAGCGTCAATAAAACCGGCAGTGCTGGAGGTAGAGGAAAGGAAGTTCCTCTGATCATAGTCTGTCTCAACGCTTCGGAGGCTCTGGATATCACTGCGAACCACATCAAGGTAAGGTCACTCATAGCAACGGGAAGATCAGCGCTAACGAAAGTCGCAGACACTATCAGATCTTGGCAGAATTGTCGAGGTGGTCTCACAACCCTGCGGGCCTCGTAAGCTAGCAAAGGTACTAAGTCAATGCATCACGCGCATGGAAGAGACCTTCAACAGACCCATGAAGCCGGACAGACAACCACAGGGACTACCTCACCGATCAAGATTGGAAGATATGGGCGCAGCTTCCGTCCTCGGACTCCCGAGCATGACCCTCCCACGTCTCAACACGTCAGAAGAGAATGCCGAATCAACCCGCGCTCGAGAATTTATCCGTAACACGGCGCTAGAAGTCCCTCCTAGCACAGCAGTCGCCTTCCCCAACATAGATCGCGATGCAGGCAGCGCTAGAGCACTCCAAGATCAACCACACACGGAACAAGCACCCCATGTCCTTCTTGTCGACGACAACCCCATCAACCTACAACTCCTCGTCATGTTTATGAAAAAGCACAAGCTTCCATACCAAGAAGCCACAAACGGCCAAGAAGCACTCGACAAATACATCGAATACGGCAGTGGAGCACCCGACAAACGACCCTTTGATTTCGTCCTCATGGATATCTCCATGCCAGTCATGAACGGCCTGGATTCTACTCGAGGTATCCGCGCTTTCGAAATCGAACACGGTATCGAGAAGAAAGCTACTGTCATCGCATTGACAGGGTTGGCTAGTGCAGAGGCCCAGGCAGATGCAGAATCTTCGGGCGTTAATATTTTCATGGCGAAACCTGTCAAGTTCCAGGCGCTGAGGCCTTTGCTTGTCAGTAAGAGTCCTGAGAAGAAGGTGGAAGAGCAGAAGGCTAGTTGATCAGGCGGTTTGATTCGCGCGATTTCGATCAAGAGATTCAAGAGCTTCAAGAGCTTGGGGTCCCGTTTTGCATTTTGATGGTTCATAGGTATGATTTTGATGTTTTATGAGCGAGCGTATGTGCAACGAGAAGGGACGGCGTCGTGTGCTGTCATTAGATGTCGTTACTGGTGAGCGAGCATAGATACACAAATAGACATTGGCATTGGCATAATCGGATCTTGTCCGTCAGAACATGCATGATTGAATTCAGAACTCACTGCCATTTGGCTCACACAAGAGGTTCACGATAGAAAACATAACATGAAATCACATACAAGGTCATCAGATAGGCATCAATAGAAGAACGGCAGGATCAGTTCAGAAGCGGTATGATGTTTCTCATCTTGATTTCTTCATTTCTCGTAAATGTCCACCGTGACTTGTAAGAAGAAAACGCATTGCTTTACGCCATCTCCCCTCCGTGGAAACCCAAAAGCGCTGTAGCGACAAAAAAAAGTTTATGCAAAGAAGCAAGAGTAACATAGAATTGTGCCCGAGCATTAGTCCTTATTGTGGTGATGATTCCAACTTGGGTGCCGGAGAGGAAGAAGGAGGACCGGATTCAGAAGGAGCGACCGCAGCAGTTTCAGAAGTGGCTTCCGGAGCAGGATTGGGGTTTACAACGTCTTCGGCCGCGTACAAGTTCTGATTCAGAATCTTGTTCATGGTGAACATGTGGACGCGATCGACTTTGAAGACAGCACGCATGGCGTCGTCGCATACAATCTGTCGCTTGTCGGCTGGATCTTGTAGGTCTCTTGACTTGACGTACTCCCAGATCTTCTTGACTGTCTGGGGTCGTGATAGTTGTACCTCTCCGAGTAGGGCTGCTAGGGGCTCTGACAGGTTCATGGGTTTCTGTTGCGACATGTAAGCTTTCGCAAGGACAAACAAGATATGGATGACTTACGTGAAAGCCACCTTTACGTTCCTTGGGCTCGCCGTTGGTCTCGACGTCACTACCGTCCTTGACTTTGGCTGCCGACTTCTTCTTTCTCTTTACGGGTGCTGTTTTCCTGGTTGCGCCAGCTCTGGTAGGTCGAGCTCTGCTGTTCTCTTCACGTTGTAGACGGGCGGCGTAGGCGGCATCGTCTTCCTCGGCAGCCTGCTTGCGTTTCTTTTTCGGTCTGTCGTCTACTACATCTGACAGGTCGGACTCATCAGAGGGTTCTTTGCGCTTCTGGGGGGAGGAGTCGGGGGAGGGAGAAGCGCCATTGGTACCATTCGCATTCTCAGAGGTCACTCTGTCGAAGCAGCCTTCGATCAAGCCGCTGATCTCTTTCTGATTGTAAATGTTAGATGGTACGAACAAGGTCGAGTTGCGAAGCTAAGTGAACCAACCTTGTGTTCGCTAACGTCATAGCCCAGTTTCTCAGAAAGAGCATTGCGAATCTTCTTTGCCGAGACGGTATCGAGGTCGCTTTGGCGCAAAATATCGTATATCAAGTCGGCATAGCGTTTCTCGTCGTAGGACATGGTTGCGACAGATGACGTCGGCGGTCTTGGTTGGAATATGTCAAAAGAGGGTGGGTAGAATTGAGTTGAACCAGATTTGCAGAGGGAGGGTTGCTTAGCAGGAGTTTATGTAGCAATGGTTGAACTTTGACAGAGTGGATTCCGAGATGTTTGTAAGTGAAGAGTGATTTCTTTGTAGAGGACGCGCATAGACGCGATGGACCATGGAGACCACTTTCGGTATGGGGAGCAACCACTAAAGCGCCAGATGGGCTTGGCAGTAAATACCAAAGTACAGCACACACAATGAATTGGTCCGACGAGAAAGTAATAGCATATCAGAGAAGCACTAGAGCGTGAGATGGACTCTTTGACATATTGTTTGTTCGCATTGAAGAGTGGAAGCCTTAGCTTGCTAAGTGTTCAGACAGGGAAAGAGCGAGCCAGGATCACGTGGAAGCATGTTGGATGGACTGCCAAGATTCCGCCCGCTCTGCAATTTTGTGCACTCGAAATCGAATAGCGACAGCCAGGTTCAACATCTCACATACACAACCGCCAACATGGCTCCAAGCTTTGATAATCTCGACAATGACGAGAACTTTGACGATGTCGAAATCGACTACTCTGGTACGTGACCACGAAGCGAACAAGCCCGAGGCGGTCGCGCATGTGCCAGCAATCGAGGGAGGGAAAAGATTCCGGAGCGGTATGCTGACTGCGTGCCTACAGATCTGCGCGAGCAGTTCGATGTGCGCATGGAGGAGGGTCTCGACTCATTTGTAGTCGTCGACGGTCTTCCCAAGGTGCCCGAGGAGAGCAAGGGCAAGCTGATCAAGTTCATCCTGCGCAAGCTTGTCAGCGCCGGCAAGACCAGCGAGGACCTTGTCCTTATGCCCATCAACGATGAGACCCAGATGACCGAGGGCTACGCCTTCGTCGAGTACGAGTCACCCGCACAGGCTCAGGCCGCCGTCAAGGCCTTGAACGGCACCCCTCTGGACAAGAAGCACACCATGGCTGTTAACAAGCTGACCGACATCGAGCGCTTTGGCCGCGAGGGCCGCATTGACGAGGACTACTCTCCCCCCGAGATTGAGCCTTTCCAAGAGAAGGAGCATTTGCGCTGGTGGTTGGGTGACAACGACGGTCGTGACCAGTTCGTCATGTACCGTGGTGACAGTGTCGGTGTCTTCTGGAACGAGAGAGATGAGCAGCCCGACTCGATTGTCGACCGTGCTCACTGGACAGAGTCTTTCGTGCAGTGGTCGCCCAAGGGAACTTACCTCACATCCATGCACGCCCAAGGTGTTCAGCTTTGGGGAGGCAAGTCGTGGAGCAGACAGAAGCGTTTCGCCCACCCCGGTGTCAACCTTGTCGACTTCTCGCCCGACGAGAGATACCTCACTACCTGGTCTCACCGCCCCATGCAGGTCGAGGAGGGCCACCCCGTCCTCTCGCTCGACGAGGATGGCAAGAACTACATCATCTGGGATCTCGAGACCGGCCTTCCTCTCCGCTCTTTCGTCACCCTCGACTCTGCTGGTCCCAACGTCGACGAGGCCGGCAACCCCATCAAGAAGAAGCTGCAATGGCCCGCCTTCAAGTGGTCCGCCGACTCCAAGTACGTTGCCCGCATGAACCCTGAACAAGGTATCTCCGTCTACGAGCTGCCCCGCATGAACCTCCTCGACAAGGTGTCAATCAAGATCGAAAAGATCCAGGACTTCGAGTGGTGCCCTGCCACCCCCAACCGCGATGGCATCAAGACCTACGAGCAACTCTTCTGCTACTGGACTCCTGAGGTCGGCAGCAACCCCGCCAAGGTCGGTCTTATGAGCGTGCCTTCCAAGGAGATCGTCCGTACCCGTAACCTGTTCAACGTTTCCGACGCAAAGCTGCACTGGCAGAGCGACTCTTCCTTCGTCTGCGTCAAGGTTGATCGTCACAGCAAGAGCAAGAAATCAATGGCCACCAACCTCGAAATCTTCCGCGTCAGAGAGAAGGGTGTCCCCGTCGAAGTCGTCGATGCCATCAAGGACACCGTCATCAACTTCGCTTGGGAGCCCAAGGGTGACCGTTTCGTCCTCATCACTGCCGGTGAGGTGCCTGTTGGCGCTGCCGTACCTCCCAAGACTTCCGTCTCTTTCTTCTGCCCGGAAAAGGTCAAGGGCAACCAGGTTGGTAACTTCAAGCTGATCCGCACTGTCGACAAGAAGAACAACAACGCCATCCACTGGTCTCCCAACGGTCGTTTCGTCGTCGTCGCCACTGTCCTGTCACAACAGAGCTTCGACCTCGACTTCTACGACTTTGACTACGAGGGCGAGAGAGATGAGAAGGACAAGGATTTGACCGCCAACCTTGCATTGATGAACACAGCCGAGCACTACGGTGTTACTGACATTGACTGGGACCCCTCAGGCCGCTTCGTCGCTACCAGCGCAAGTGTCTGGAAGCACCGCGTAAGTTCTCTAATCACTATCACGCAATTCTAAGATGCTAACAACAAACCAGATGGAAAACGGCTACCACCTTTACGATTTCCGCGGTCAACTTCTCCGCGAGGACCCCATCGACCAATTCAAGCAATTCGCATGGCGCCCACGCCCCGAGCGTCTCCTGTCAAAGGAGGAGCAAAAGACCGTCCGCAAGAACCTCCGCGAATGGAGCAAGCAATTCGAAGAGGAAGACGTTCTCCGCAAGAACACCGCCAACCGCGCCGTCATCGAGCAACGCCGTCGCGCTCTCGACGAGTGGCTCGCATGGCGCGAACGCACCGCCGCCGAGCTCCGCGACGAGCGCGCCGAAGACGGTCTCCCTGAGATCAGCCCCGAAGAGGCTGCTGCCAAGGACGAGGCCGCCGACGAGGGCGAGGGTCAGTTCGTCGAGGAGATTACAGAGGAGATTTTGGAGGAGACCGAGGAGATTATCGAGTAAATCACTCGAGCACTATCCGGTTCTTGACGAAGGAAACGCCTCTTTACATTTCTGCCTGTCTAGTTTTTGGTGTGTCGTCGTTTGTACAGAGCACAATTTGCGTGGAAAAAGCGATACAAAAACCTGGTGTTGTCATGTTTGCCATCTTACACTTTTTCTTCACCTTGTTGATCAGTATGGTGACTCAATGTGTCTTGTGTACTGGAAAGAGCTCGTTTTCGAACAGTCTTTCATTCCTTCTCTGGACGACTTAGATTACGATATCTTTAATTTCGCAAGTCACTCGTGATGGGGAGCACCCTGTCTTCTTCACACTTTCCAAATAATACCACCAACTTCCTTGCTATCATATCGTAGCACTTCCCAGTCTATACACTGTATATCTGCATCTTGGCACTTGCGTTTAAAATACCATATCCATCGATTCGGTTTGTGTATGTTTCGGTATCAAAACGTGATCAACTTGCACATTTTCACAGCCTAGTCACCAAGTTCTTCCCTCGTCAAAAGGTATTCACCACGCTCGGGGAGCAATGTAGTAATAAGTAACAAACAAACATTTTCAAAATGCTAGGAAGCAGTTGAGTAAATAAAAGGAGCAGTGAGGGATGGAGGACCCAGTGCGTGCATAATTAAGAAAAAAGAAAACGATTTACCAAAAAAGATGTGTGCGTGTGTAGACGACGCCTTGCTTTTTTTTCTTTTTTTTCTAAGGCATTCACAACCTTCCCCATGTGCGCAAATACTGATCACACTTGTAGTTGTCGTAAGGCACGATACTTTTTCAAAACCGTCAGCACTGTGATCGAGATATCTTGTGTCATCGACTCCCTTCCTGATTGGGGCTATCGCTACGTGAAATCACTGTGCCTTTCTACAGCTCGTTGTTGCCTTGTTGATCATTGTAGTGAAAGGGTGTGACAGTATTCTGCACACAGAGAGGTACAAGTGGTCGACCGTATTCCGATGTGCAACAGAAAGAAGAAGTGGCAAAGTGCAAACGAGTTGCATTCATTTTGTTATTGATATCTCTACGGTACCGACAATGGACTTTCACATCCATCAGAATCTGTAGAGTTCTAATTCTGTCGCCGTGTTCCAGTTGTGATGATACACATCGAAGCCGCGCCTAGCCCGTATTCCCATCACGTCCTTGCCGTAGTTGACGATTGCCTCGCTGTGAGTTTCTTGTCCCCATTCGATGTCCTGCCGGTAATCATTCCCCCAACGCCCTAACCTAGCCTAATCCTTCATTCGCATCCAACGCCGAAAGCAGAGATGTTTTTTTCTCTTTCACTGTGGTGTTGTTAGGGGAAACAGATAACAAAGAGGCCCGCGGAGGACAAAGAGATACAAGAAGCAGACGATGATGCAGTCGTGACGGGCAGGAGGCAACGAATGTGAGCACCCAATATCCTGTGAGGGGTTGACTGGTGTTTCGTTATGTCGATCATAGACAAAGAAGCCGTCCTGCCCGTCACGAGTACTGCATATAGCTGTCACCCATGCAGATGTAATTTCGGATCGTAGCGGTGTCGTAAACGTCGTTCGAAGATTGGTATCGTGAATGTTGCGTTGTCTCGTGTTTTGAGCATCATCAGAGCCTTTTAGTCCAAGTAAAAATCTCCCTTGAGGATCCTCTCTTGGAACTGGTCGGGAACTTTCGTGGGCTTGGGGTTGTCTCTAACAGGGGTATCCATGACGGCGATGCTTTTGGAGCGGGCGTGAGTCCAGCCACCAGTAGGGGGCGAAGCAGAGAGACCAGTGATAGAGCCTCTCTCAGCACGAGAACGCATGTTATCAGCCCAATTGAAGCCTTCTGCAAAAACAAGAAACGTCAGCATGATGATCAAAAGAAAGTGATAGGTGAAAGCACGCCGGCGGCACCAGAAGAAGACACAAACCTCGACGACCCAGCGAGGAGGAGGTCGGGGCCAAAGTCTTCTTCTCCCCGTCTACGACTTCTTCTGGTATAGTAACGGTGGCGGTGGGCCTACCTGCTGGCACCGATGCCGAACCACCCTTCATGTCCTTGAGAGCACGAGCTCCGAAGCTGACTCTGCGAGCAAAGGGACCGCTGTTGGCGGCTGTGGCCGAAGAGGGTTCGTCGTCGATGGCCGACTCGTCGACAGAGCCGACGTTGGAGCTGGAGACACTCTCACCTCGCATTCTAGCCGCCATGGGCGAGCTCTGGTTGGGCGAAGCACCCATACCGAGGGTGCTGACTGAGAGACGACGACGGCTGGCTTCAGCGGCGGCTGTTGTGATGGGTCCTTGGGCAGGAGGGCTGTTGCCCGAGGTTTCGGACGGGCGGCTGCTGCGGCTGAACATGTCGGTGAATGCTTGTCCGACAAAGGATGAGCGACGGCGTTGGTTGTAGGTGGAATTGGTGGAGGATTGATCGTTCTGGTCTGACATTGTTGTAGAAGGAGAGACTGTCGGTCTTTAAGGGGTGGAGAAACGAAACGTTAGGTAATCTTAGGTGAAGTCGCTAGGTGAGAGGTTGAGATAACCACGTGCTCTAGACGTGACTTCTTTGTCCAAATGACGTGATGGTGGCAGCGTCTCTCCGGCTTCGGGGCCTTTGCCTGAAGGAAGGTTCGACCGTCTGTATGATAGTCTGCTGTGCTTGAATCGTATGGAACTGGGCTTTGGGTGAGATGGAGGGGAAGTGTAAAAGGGAGAAAGGAGAGAGCAGGGAAAGAAGGAGTAAGCATATAGCCTTGCACAAATCATGGTGCGGCCCTGTAAAGGTCCCCCATTACTCCACAGCACGCTTTCTTGGCCAATTAAGATATGCGGGGTAACCAAGCCACATGTGCATCCAATCACGGCTATCTTTACCACCGACGATCTCACACCTTGCCCAAAACCGTCTCGTCGAGACGCATCACGCAAGCCCGTCGTCAAACTCAATGAATGTAACTTGAAACGCTTCGGTCCGATTCGTCTCCGTCTCTCGAGGCCACGTCTAGCATCACCACATCTCACGCCGCTGTTGGACGAGCATCCTGCGGCCGGTGCTCCGACCATTTTCTGAGACTAGCTTCTTGTCCATGTTTATGGGGGGAGTGCTTATCTTCATGTCGTGTCACATGCCTCTTTGTGTACTTTTTGGTCCCAAAGCTTCTCTATCTCCAATCAGCAGGGGTTGCTTGAAATGTTGTGATACGCTCGGGTACGAAGATCGTCCTTTCCGTCTCACGGCGTTGGAGCTTAGCTTTGGCTTGTGTCATGGCACCACCATCAATCACCTTCTTCCCTTGCAGCTATCATGCATGCACTTTCAACACACGACTGAATGCCATTTATTGCTGGCCTCGACCGCATCAGGATGTTGAAGAGTGTAGTTATAGGTTTTGATTATGTACAATGTATGGGTTTGTTTTCGTGGCTATTTCTCATTGTGCTCATCAGGTCTAGATTTCAGACCGAGTCTTCAGTATCAGACTACGGTACCTCCAATGTGCTACCGAGGGTAGTATGTCCAATGCTTCTTGTAACCTCGCGGAATCGTAGGAGAGGCTTTCCGACTTGACAACTTCGAGGACGTAGGAGGCCACCGTTGTAAGTGCAAGAGGTGGTTGCCTCATCGCTTCGGCCACTTGTTGAAGTGTGAGACCTTGAATCTGCCATAAAGCGTACGCACGTATGTTGGTCGGCGTATTCTTGCCTTTTCTTTCAGGGGCCAGATTGCTCTCCCACTGGCCAAGCCATTTTTCAGCGGCCTCGTGTTTGGCAATCGGTGCCGGTTCTGATTCGAAGCTTTCCAAGTCCTCCTGGATGTTATCTTCATCTATGCCGTCGACACCTGCTTCGGCCCGAGCTTCCTCTTCTTCATCGTTGAGCGCCTGCTCTTCTTCTGGACTCAGCATCATGGATTGACTTTCGACCTCTGGAGCCTCTGCGACCTTTTCGGTAGTGGTTTTGCGCTTCGTACGAGTCTCTCCAGCTCGCTCTCCGTTGCCGAGCACAATTGGTTGGTTAGCTTCCCATAGAGCTGGTCTTGGTGGCGTTGGAGTCATGGAAGATCTCGCCTTGTCGAGTTCTTGAAAGAGCCTGAATCCTGCGTAGGCATCTGTGGCAGCATACTCGACCTGCTCCATCGACAACCTCCTTGACCAGGCGCTCGTTCGGACATTTCCTTTCGAGAGAGGAAGAAACAGGACGTCTTGCACCTGATCGGCCAATTTCAACGGCGACTTGTTCACCTTAGCTGGTTCTTTCTCGGAGAACTTCACCAGCTTGTAAAGGTGACTCAACTCGAATATTCCTTGCCCCTCGACTCCAAGACACTTGCGCAAGCGAGTGAAATCGCCTGCAATGTTTACACCAGCCTTGAAAATGTCCGGAGACTCCAGAATGATCTTGAGTGATGGAGGCATAAGGTCCTCCTTGCTCTCTCCAGCGAATAAGGCAACCTGAAACAGAGCGATCCGATCATCACATGCGATTTGGATGAGCGACACATTGTCCTTGATGCTACCTTTCGCGACACTGCTGCCCATCTCCCACTCGATATCAAAGCCAATGATCTGCTGTCCTGCAAAGTACTTTGCGACTTGCTCGGCTTGTTCAAACTTGGTGCAATAATGAACCAGAGGCTTTTCGCCACTGGGTGACTTGTAAAGAGAATATCGCCAGAAAGCAGCCTGGCTCGTCTTCGAAGCCATCAGCGCATTGCGCAGATCTTGAGGAGGAATATGATATAGCAGCGGCTGCAGCTCGAGTTCAGTCTTTTCGAAGCAGTCAGCAGAGCTGGTAGTTGCAGCTTGGCTTCGACGTCTTGTCTCCTTGAACATCGGAGTCGGAGGTCTAAAACCAAGTCTACTACGAGCTCTCGAATAAACTGTTGCAACCTTTGGAGTTGGCGCAAGCCTAGGAATTGGGGCGGGTGTCAGCTTAATGGACTTGAACGAAGGGCCAATTTTTTTGTTTTCTGGCCCAAGCTTCGTCGTTTCTGGCCCGAGCAAGCTTTCTGTCGAGGTAGGGCGATCTTCTTTTGGAGCAGAATTGGCTGTAGAGTCTGGAACAATGTTTGCGTTGCTCTTGAGACTCTTGGTGGACGTCTGTTGCGTTGGTACACTCTCGTCGAGATCCGCTGTCTTTTCTGGACTTGCGTCCTTTGACGTCATTTCTGCACTCGAAGCCTGGCTTGAAGCTTCAGCGGCCGGTCTGACTGCTGTTTTGGCATTTGGCTCTTGGTTTTCTGCATCCCCATCATGTTTGGCCTTTGCAAGAGCAGCTTTCCGCGAACTCCTGTTTCGTCTTGGCCTTGCAGGTATCAGCTCTCGTTTACCCACGCTACGTTGCAAAGCCAAGTCGCGAGTTACGCTCGATACTTGCTCAAGCTGTCGTAGATAGTGCCTGGTGTCTTGCGTATTACCAGAACGATACTTGATCATGACCTCACTTAGTTCCGCAATGTCTTCCCGATTGAATGCGTTGTTCTTGGACTTGACATATGCATGTGCGAAAGCCGCTCGTACGTAAATCTGTGAAGGAACGATGATATCACGTGCCTCGTCCACTGATAGGATTTTGTGGTTGGATCTCATTCCATCAGCTCTCAAAGACCTAACAGCATCCTTCGTGCTATTCTGGATCTGAGTCTGTCGTCTCACAACACGCATGCTGTTTTGCCAGGCAAGTTGCTGATGCAGTGGCTGATTTGAAACCCACTCGGCTTCAAGCGCCTCCAACTGCAACGTGGATAATCTGCGAATCGAGATTAGGAGAGCCTTGCAAAGCCCAATAGATCTAACTTGAGCTCTGATGAAGCTCTCATCCGCCTCGAGGCCGGGTGTAGTGGGATCTTGTACGCGGAGTTGATTGATCTTGCCTTTCCAAAAGTCCATGAGGGACCCGAGCGTTTTTTGTATTTCGCCGATAGGTTGGTACAATTCATACACATCGACTGTAGACGCTCTCGATGCCGCCGCTCTCTCCGGGGATCCTTTTCCTGGATCCATGTCATATCGATTTGCTCTTAAAAGTCGTCGATGATCATGTTGCAAGCTCATGACTGAATCATGCACGGTCTGCAGCTGCTTGTGTCCGGCACAACGTTCTTGACGTATGTTGTCGGCTTTGACAGTAGAATCATTTAGATATGCTTTGACTTGTCCGAAGACACTGTCTCGATGTCGTAAACGATGTTGCAGTCGATCGATCGCCCGTTTTTGTAGAACCTCTCGCTCCCCGAGACCCCGTGCTTTCTTTTGGACTTGCACGCCAGCTTCCCAGAATCGGAGCTCGTCGCCACTTTTCGTTGTTCCTTCAAAGGAGCGGAAGTTCCGCAAGGCTTTGGTCCAGTAATTTATCTCGCAGGTGAGGAAGGTGAGCTCGCGTTTAAGGAGGTCGGGTTCAAAGATGAGGGCTTTGATTTGTTTGGCAGCAACATGCGACCAATTTCGGAATAGATCATAATCCGAGTGCAGCGCCTTCCGGGCAGCCTTTTCCTTCTCTTCCCTTTCGCGCACAGCAAGAGTGGCTTCATACTGTCGCTCGCCCGCTCGGCGAATTGACTGCCTGTGGACGGTGTCCCTCTCGGCCTTCAACTCTTTCCTTAAATCGTCCAATTGGACAAGGAGCTTGCTAGACTCTGCTGATCGTTCCCGGACAGTTTGTTGTAGACGAGTTCGCTCCAAATTGGACTTTTCTTGTACTGCTTGTACCTTCTCCCTTGCGTTTCGCTTTGTATTTTCGAGAACAAGGGCGGATTTCTTTTGTAGCTCATAATGCGATAGTAGCAGTGCTTTATGATCCTTCCTGTGCTGAGCCAGGGCGGCTTCCAGATCCTTATTCTTCTGGTCGAGAAGTAAAACTTGGTCGGATGCCGAGGCACGACTCTCTATTGTTTCCAATACCTGCTTCTCGATGTCTCGGGACTGCGATACTGGAGGTCTCTCGGCTACTATACCTTCTGGAACGTCCACAGCATCCACAGCATGAGCCAGCTCTTGGCCGGGTGCCGATCGAAGGGGGCTCTGAGAAGAAATGTTCGGTGGCGCTATTGGTATCGGATCAGGTTGACTGTCTTGCGGCTCCTGTTTTGGAAGAGATGTTTGTGGAGGATCTTCTGGTGGTGCAGAGGAGACGAATGGCGTGGGAGCAGGAGGCGTCTCTTCTGACCGAGGCGGAAGCGGAGTTGGCGGCGGTCTCTGTACAATGATCGGTCTGCGGACTTGAGGATCAAAAATGGCATTGGGAGAAGCCGAAGAAGGATTGATCGGCCTTCCACGCGCGTATGGGTTAGGATCTAGGACATGTGGAATATATTGCTTGCCGGAAGAGCCAGTGTCCCGACCCTTGTAGACCAGCGGTTTGGGGACTCTGGATTTTGCATCGCCAGGAGCGGTACGAAGAGTGCCATAGGGAGGCTTGGGTTTAGACGAAGCGCCTCGCTTCTGTGTGAGGGGCGAGGAAACGAAGGTCGAGGGGTTTCGCCAGACGAGATGACGGCGCACGCGTGGAGCGGCTAAGATTATTGGCGAGGGAGTGTCCCAGGTATTATCAAGGCTTGTCGAGGTAGAAGTCGCAGTTGCATTGTGAATGCTTCTCGCAGGCTCGGCGGCCCAGCGAGCAGGGCGTGAGAGAGCATTGCGGGACGATGTGTAGAGCGACGTGTGGTGGGAAGATGTTACGGCCCGTCCTGCGGATTGCATTTCACCTCCATGTCCAAACAGCCGGCTGCTGAGGTGCTAGGTACTGTCGTACGTGAGAACAAGTTGAAGATCGAGTAGATTGTTTCGCCTCGCCGCGAAGCTCAAAAAGTCCTGCCGAGCTTTGTTGAAAGCGAGCGTCATTCGACCCATGCATGTATGTGAACCCGAACTCCAACCCACAAGATATCGCGAACCACTTTACCCCCTCACATCACACAACATGGCATCTCAATTGCTTCCGCTAGAGCTCATCGACAAGTGTGTCGGCTCCAGAATCTGGGTCATCATGAAGGGCGACAAGGGTGCGTTCCACGTTGCGCCTGACCACGTTTGCTTCACTTATTGATTATGCCCGCGCAGAGTTCAGTGGAACATTACTCGGCTTCGACGACTTTGTCAGTACGTATTGCTCATTATCCATCTAATCTAGTCTTGTACTGATGATCTTCTGCCAGACATGGTTCTCGAAGATGTCACCGAATAGTATGGCCTGCCCAACCAATTGACCCAACTACCTGGCATCCGAAACTGACACGGACAAAGTGACTACACCGGCACATCCACCAAGATGTCCAAGATTCTATTGAACGGAAACAACATCTGCATGGTAAGCTAAATTTACTCCTCTGGCCTTGGCTTTGCTAATACTTGTTGTCAGCTCATCCCTGGTGGCATGCCGGAGCAATGAGGTTCATGACAACTTTACCTGAAGCCGCGGACCATGAGCGTCACGACACAAACTGATCAGTCATGGCTGCTACGTTCTACATTATTCGACCAGATGATCAATCCCTTTGGTTTGGCTTGAAAGCTCGACACAGCAAAGTCTAGAGGCAGAACGCCTGATCAGGTCTGAATTCTGAGTGGCTCTATCATATACAGAGCAGTGCGGAACAAACATATCGCCAGCTTTCATGGTGATTATCAAAGCGATGTGCTTTCAAAAAACAGAAGCCGCGCAGACTATCATACATTTCTTTTGATTATCATGCTTCCTTCCCATTGGCCCTTCTATTTACACTCTTCATTGCTTCTTCTTCTCCTTTTGCAGAGCCTTCTTCGTGTCATGCTTCTTGTCCATCTCCTCAATCTCGTCAGCCTCCTTCTTGTTGGCGTACCACTGGCCAGCCTGCAGGATCAAGACACCAACAAGCAAAAGAGCCAAGATGGTATCGCTAGCAGCCAGAACCTTGAGCGAATCTTCCCTTGAGAGGTAGTCACCAGAATCGTCAACCTGGCCTTCGGTGAGAGCGGGGTTACCATAGATGCCAGAAGTGACGACGCGCATGCCCTTGACAATATTGGCAATGTAGACAGTGACACCGCACATGTACAAAACAAGACTGGCACCGTCGAAGAGAAGGTTGGCCTCGGAAGGCTTGTAGAGCTTGGTGATGAAGCCTAAGAGACCGGTTGCAATGACAATGTGGAGGATGCGCGAGATGAGAGGTGGGGATGCGTGGATGAACTTGAGATGATCCTCCAGCATCTGGTAGTAAGGCGCGCGCGCATCTACTCCAGGAATGAGGTTCGGGGGTGTAGTCCACAGTACATTGTAGTCGTAAGGGAACGATGCGAAAAGGACTCCCAAGAAGAAGCACGTCGCTAGTTCATAATGTCAGTCGCGACTGCCTAGACTCAGACAGCTCTGTGTCCAGAGTGTGGAGATGTTCTTACGTCCGATGATGAGGAAAGTCGCAAAGGGGTTTGACATTGTAGGCATCTTGAATATCTGAGCGCTTGATGCGTGTATGAGACGAATGTGTGTGCGACAGGAGGTAGGTGGGACAAGGCAGGTAACAATTCTGGCAGAGCTATCTAAAAATCACCTCCAACGACTCCATCCCCGTCCAATCACCCGCCAAGCCCCGCGATAGGCCAAAGCCTAGACCGCATGTTTTCATGTGATTTGACTAATACTTTGCTTTCCATCTGTAAGGCTTCATCTTTCACCTTCCAGGCTTCAACAGAGCTATCATGTTCAATCAGCACTTGATCTGTATTGGGTCTGCACTCTATTTTCAAAAGAGTCGCATGTCTTACGACTTTCAGACTTCCGAGGCTACCTGGCTGAGAACAGATCCATCATCTCACGCTGTTATTCTCATCCGAAAGCATGCGCATGTTTCTGTCATGTATGCTGGAAGCTTCAAAACAGTGATGATATGATTTGTTACGTAGACTGATCTTTACTATATAAAGATGTTCGCGTGGCCGCCCAAATTTCCGACCAAGCTGTGTCAAGACATGCATTTCCTTTCCCAGTGTATACCATGCTGATGCTTCGTTCAATCCAATAAATCTCCATTACTTTTCAGTTCCTATGCGGCGGCAGGAAGACCGTTGGCAGTTCCAGGCCAGGCGACAGCACCGCCGGGCGAGTCAGGCAGGCGAGCAGTCAAAACTTCAACACCGGTCTCGGTAACGAGAAGAGTGTGTTCGAACTGAGCAGAGCGCTTGCCATCGACCGTGACACTGGTCCAGTTGTCGGGCCATGTTCTATCCTTGTAGGTTCCGAGGCAGATCATGGGCTCGATAGTGAAGCACATGCCGGGCTTTGCCATACCGATGGCCTTGTTCTTTGCGTAATGGGGCACGTTGGGAGCGCAATGGAAGAGAGTGTTGATACCGTGACCGCAGTAGGTCTTGACAGTACTGCAACCTCTGTCCTCGGCGTGCTTTGCAATGACGGGACCGTACTCTCTGAATAGTGTGTTGGGCTTTGCGATCTTGATGGCCTCGTCCAAACACTCGCGGGCAGTCTCGACAACGCGGACCGAGTCGGGATCGGCCAGAGCCTTGTCGCCAACGTAGTAAGTCTCGTTGATGTCGCCGTGGAAGCCTTCGTGGTAGAGAGTGACGTCGATGTTGATGATGTCTCCGTCCTTGAGGACGCGCTGATCGGGAATACCGTGGCAGATGGACTCATTGACCGAGGTGCATACTGACTTGGGGAAATGGCAGTAGTTCAGCGGAGAAGGGTATGACTAGGGTCGGTCAGCTTGGAGAGGTGTAATGAATCTCGAAGGGCATCTTACGTTTCTCTCTACACAGGCGTTGTGAACAACCTCGTCGATGTAATCGGTAGTGACACCGGGCACAGCAGCGCGAGCGGCAATGTCCAGAACCTCACGTGCTAGCCTGCAGACCTTGCGCATGGCATTTTGCTGGGCCTTGTCCAGGATGGTGATCTTGTTGCGGCCAACAAAGACCTGCTCGGAGCGAGGGATACCATCTTTGGCATAGTCGGGGCGCGGGATGTGTTCAGGAACCTTGCGGGTGGGTGACAGGGGGTAGACGGGTCGGAGGTCGCCAGTGTACTGGAAGGCAGGGAAGGGGTTGCGGGTGCCGGTTGCTGGGTCAGGTTCAGAAATGACTTTGGGAGCAAAGATGGAGCGGAGAGGGTTACTCGTTGACTTGTGAATCTTCTTGTGTTCACTCTGCTGCCTGTCAGTCGCCGTGCACGTTGGTCTTGCCGGTCGCGCCAAACTCACATACCCAGTTGCGCTTGAAGCAGTCGTTGCTGCAGAAGAAGCTGGCCAGTCCTTGCTTTTGGCAAGTCGGACATTGTAGTGTGCCTGCCTCGTTGTTGCAGTCTGCGCCCTGACATTGTCGCTTGTCCTCGGTCGCCATGTTGCTATGTGCCCTCCCGTTCTGCTCAAATCTGGAACGAAGATGAATGTGTTGACTCCGGACGAGTTCTCCGGTCTATCTTTCTTGCTTTAAAGGCTTCAAAGTCGAGTCGTGATGGTATGCAGATCTTGAATCCCGAACGGGTACAAAATTCAAGGGCACGAGCTGTTTGACAAACACCGGCGCCGTTCCGCCCGAGCACGGACGCCCGGCCCGCCCTGCCCTACTTGTCCATGATGCGGTGGATGCTTGCTTCAATAATCAGACCCTCGAGAAATCATCTTGACTTTCGTATCTTTATTTCGTAACTTTACACAAAAATGTCCAAGCAAAAGACTGTTATCGTAGGTGCTGGCCCTGTTGGTGCTCTTGCAGCACTCTATGCCGCTGGTCGTGGCCATGATGTTGAGGTCTACGAACTGAGAGGAGGTATGTCATAATTTCTACTGTATTTTGTTCTGATACACTGCCCTCGCTCCTCCTAGACGGCATAACTAACATGCACTAGATCTCAGGGATCCATCAACTGTCCCACTGAACTTCACCAAATCCATCAACTTGGCTCTTTCGGAAAGAGGTATCAACTCGCTGAGGAAGGCCAATGTTCCTGGCTTGATCGAAGCTGTGCTGGAAGAGACTATCCCTATGCATGGCCGCATGATCCATGGAGCCAAGCAAGAGGTGCTATATGAGGAGTCTCAGAACTATGATATTCATGGAAGGGTAATGATTGAGCCTCGACATCAGCACAACGAATCCACTAACGCCATCCATAGGCCATCCGTGCGGTTGACAGAGCAGGTCTGAACAAGCGTCTCCTTGATGAGCTAGACAATCTACCAAACGTCAAGTTCTTCTTCAATCACAAGCTGGTAGGCGCTGATTTCAGGAAGAACAAGGCATGGTTTGAGAGACGAGACGAAGGCGTGCGACAAGATCACGCTCAGAACCCAACACAAGGAAAAGATGCACCTCACGCATCTTCGGAAATCGAGGTACCATTCGACTTTATGATTGGTGCAGATGGTGCTCACTCAGCTGTACGGTACCACTTGATGAAGTTTACTCGCATGTCATACCAGCAGGAGTACATCGAGACGCTATGGTGCGAGTTCCACATGGATCCTTCGGCAACAGATGACTTTCAGATCTCAGCGAACCACTTGCACATCTGGCCTGGCGGCGAGTTCATGTTCATCGCTATCCCATCTCTGGACAAATCATTCACCTCGACGCTTTTCCTTCCTGCAAAACACTTTGCCGAACTGGACAAGAATCCTTCATCGCTGGTAGACTTCTTCAACAAGAACTTCCCTGGTGTGGCAGGCAAGCTTATTCCCGAGGACGAGTTGTTGAAACAGTACAAGGAGAACCCACATCTACCTCTGATCAGCATCAAGTGTTCACCATACCACTACGGTTCCTCTGCCGTCATTCTCGGCGACTCGGCACACGCAATGGTACCTTTCTACGGTCAAGGCATGAACGCCGGTCTCGAAGACGTCCGGGTTCTCTTCGAACATCTCGATGCAAACAGCGACGACGCAGCTGGTCGCGCCAAAGCACTCGATGGCTACTCAGATCAGCGCGCACCCGATGCAGCAGCCATCAACGATCTCGCACTCCGCAACTATCAGGAAATGCGTGCAGATGTGACGTCCCCTGTCTACCGTCTCCGCAAGTGGATTGAGGAAAAGATGAATGTATATTTGCCATCCGCGGGATTTGCAACACAGTACTCTCGTGTCAGCTTTGACAATATGAGATACTCCGAAGTGGAGCAGCTGGCACAGAAGCAAGGCAGGATTTTGCTTGGTGGTATGGCAGGCTTCGTCGCATTGTTGATTCCTGCAATGGCCTATGGTAGTTGGGCTATCTGGAGATGGAATCGCGCATCGCAGGCTTCCAAGGCGGGTGTCTTTGGTGTTTTGGGTCTAGGTGCTGTCGCTGAGCGCATCGGAAGAGTCTTTACTTAAGAAGCCAACCTTTGACGACTGTACGATTTGATGCTGAAGAAGAAAAGCAATGTATAATCACGCAATAGCAGAATAGTATAATGTCAAACTCTCCTCAACAGAATTTCGAGATCCTAGAAACCACTTTTTGTCTAGTCGAAGATCTAGCTCTTGTCCTTCATACTATGTACAAATCATAGAGATCCAGAAGGTCGCCCATCTATCTACTCAATGCCTTCTCTCTAATGAACCAAGCACTCAAAGCCGCACCAGCCACAAGACCAATCTCAAGACTAAACGCAGCACGTGTACTCTGCGCATAACACCCTCTAACCAGAGCACGCACACTAGGCTCAAGCGTATTGATATACGCCAAACTCTCTCTGACACGTTCAGTGATCTCAGCCGCTGCATCACCACTGCTGAGTGCTGAGGCGAGATGATCGCGCAGAGCTTGGTTGGCAAGGGTAGCAGAGACGGAGACACCGAAGACTGAACCCAAGCTGCGGAAGAGGTAAGAGCATGCGGTTGCGACTGCTTGGTCTTCGCGAGATGCATTGGCGACTGTGAATTTGTTAGCAGGGAAGCTGGTATGCAGTGAGGTCAGGGAGAACTCACTAAGACCAATAAGGGTGGATGTGACTCCAATACCATTGCTGAAACCACAAATGCACATGCCAATGATCATACCCAAAGTGCTGTTTGCGACGAAGCCAGAAAAGAGGAAGACGAAGGCCATGCCGATGACAAGACAGGTGTACGCAATGACTGTCAAGTAGTAAAACTTGCCGGTACGCTGCATGTAGAAACCACCAAACAGACTGCCACTCACGCCTGCAATGATACCTGGAATCAAGCGAACGCCAGCTTGAGTCGCAGTAAGGCCGTCCACAGCTTGGAAGTAGAGGGGAATGTAGAACAACGCAGCAAGCCATCCAGAAAACGAGAAGAAGTTGCAGAGGTAGCAAGCGAAGAGCGAACGGTTGAAGATGATGTGACCAGGTGCGAAAGGTTCCGCAGCAACCTTCATCTCCACAAGGATGAAGAGAATGAAGAGCGGGATACTGAGACTGATGGAGATAATGGTGATGTTTGCCTTCCATGAGACATTGCTGCCTCTGTCCAGAGCGAGCAAGAGAGTAAAGACGGCACCGATCAGGATGGCAGCACCGACAAAGTCGATACGACGAAGCTTCACCTTCCAATCGGTTTGCTCCCTCTTAGGAAGCTTCAAAACCAGACTCACAACCACAAAGGCAAGCACACACAAGGGCACCTGCCCAAGGAAAGCCCATCGCCAACCAATCGAGTCTGCAAGAATGCCACCTAGTGGAGCTCCTGTACCAGCACCAGTGGCATAGATGATGTTGACGTAGCCCTGCCACTTGCCACGCTCACGAAGAGGCACGGCATCAGACATTAGAATAGAAACAACAGTCGTCATACCACCACCGCCAATGCCCGCAAAAGCACGAGCAGCAATAAGCTGATTCATGTTCTGAGCCAAACCACAGAACAGACATCCAATACCAAAGATAGCATATGCAAACAACAGGCAACTCTTTCTTCCAAAGATATCCGACATCTTTCCATACAGCGGTTGAAAACTCGTCAGGGTAAGGAAGTATGCGGTTGCGATCCAAGAGACATTATTGAGAGCCTTGAGCTCACTGCCAATCTTTCCGTAGCTGGATACAATGATGGTCTGGTCGGCGGCTGAGAGCAGGACACCGATGGTCAAGGCTGGGAAGATGACCTTCATTTTCTTTCTCATCTCGGGTTGGCCTTCATATTGCTTCTGTCTTTCTTCCAGGCTGGTCTGTCGTTCGAGGGTTTCGCCATCTGCTTCTTCTTCTTCAGCGATGACTCCATTGGCGACGGCGCTGTCGGGTGCGATGCCATTGCTAGGGTCAATGGGCTTGGGTGCTTGCTTTCCTAGCAATGGTGAGGTCTCGCTTGCTGGTTCGCGACCATTGTCGTCTTCGGTCGCCATGTTGTATGAGTGACTCGTGCGGCCGGGTTTAGGTGGGGATAAGATTCGACACACGATGGATGGCGATTGTGTCGCGTGCTCGCTGGGAAGCTCTATGTGCCGATTGACGAGGGAAGATACATATCAGTCCTTTCCAAAATGACTCAGGAAGAGGATGAGAAAAGCTAAATGTGTCGCGACGGGGTCACCGCCTCAAGGATTGTTCTTGTATTGCACCATTGACTGGAGTGGACCCTCGCCGGCTATCGCATGCCTATCAACTTCCTTGTTTGTGCGCCCTCGGCCATGCCCGCTTGGCCGCCGACAATTTTGATACTCAACAACACAGGGCTCACTACAAATCGTATTAGAGAGCAATATACAACGTGTTTGTGCACAGCTATGTACATTGTTGCGATGGATATGACCCACTCGGCCAAATCAACACTGTCTCCGGCTTGCCCGCTCAAGCCGCAAGAGGAATATCGTCAAACTCCTTGCGCATGAACAATCGAGCCTGTTCAAGTCCCTCCTTGACTACATCGGTCCTGTTCACATATCCAATTCTGACATAGCCCTTGAATTCTTCGCCAAAGCAATCTCCGGGAAGGAACATGACACCCGTCTTTTCCTGCAATTGCTTGCAAAACTCTCTAGCATCGATTGGCTTGTCGTCCCGACAGAACTTGATGAATGCAGTTGTTCCTGCCACTGGCTTGACCCAAGTGCAGTATTCATCGTGCTTGATGACGAATCGCTCTAGCAACTCCAGGTTCGTGCGTGCGAGGGCGATGTTTCTGCCTAGCAAACTGTGTATACAGTCTTGATCCAAGGCGAAAGCGGCTACTTGTTGGTCCAGAATGCCTACACTGATGGTGGTGTAATCACGGGCTTCGGCAAACTTCTCTATCAGATCGCGGTTGCGTGATGCAACCCAGCCAGTTCTGATGCCGGCTAGCGAGTAGGCCTTTGAGAGTGACCCTGTGCAGATGGTGTTTTCGTAGCCCATGGACAAGATTGAGGGAGGAAACTCGTTTTCGGCAGGAGTGACACCATGGAACAGAGGACGATAGACCTCGTCCGAGAGGATGGTTATGTTCTTCTCTCTGGCCAATTCGACGATTTCTTGCAGCAATGTCTTCTTGAGGACAGCGCCACTTGGGTTGTTTGGGTTGCTGTGAAGGTCAGTATACAATGACTCATTGTAGTCAGCATCTAGACTTACTTGAGAATGATCAGTTTGGTGTTATCCTTGATCATGCCCTTCAGTTCCTCAAAGTCCGGTGCCCATTGCTTCTCCGGTGTGGCCTTCCACAACTCCACCTCGGCGCCTAGTGATGCTGGGTAGTCGTATAGTTGTTGATAAGTGGGATAATGACAAATCACATGATCGCCGGGGCCGACAAGAGTGTAGAGTACCAAAGCGTTGGCTGCAATAGCTCCAGGTTGTATCAGGATATTCTCCTTCGGCAGTGGGTTGCCAGATCTAGAAGAGTATAGCCTTGCAAGATTTGAACGTAGAGTCTCGTTGCCGCGAATTTCTCCGTAGTTCAGTACAGTAGATAAGTCCACTATCTCGGCAGTCTTATTCTCAGAAAGCTCTCGCAGCTCATTGACCGAGACAGATGCGGCACATGTTTCTGCGATGTTGTACTTTGCAGTAGTTTCGTATGTATCCATCCACTACTTAAGTCAGTCTATGAGACTCTATGAGGAGTGTGGCTTGACTGTTCTATGTAGCCTTATAAAAGGACAAGCTATAGATACTGACCTGCTCGACTGCAAATGGCTTGATATGAACCATAATGTAATGGATGACCGGATGTTGGAGGCTACTCGATGGTATTGAAGGAAGGTATCTAGCACTAGATGCCTGACAGTATGACCGCTGCTGGATGCAAAGGAGATTCTATAACTCTATAATCTTGTAATAAAGAATGATTGTCAAGTCAGTACGCCCTAATAATGACAGCAAGTTCACAGTTGAAAATCCACCGAGGTCGAGAGCATCCCCCCGTTTCGGCAAGTGCAACCGAAACGCCATTTTCTTGGCAAAGATTTCGAGACATCGTCACGACCACCTCGATATTCAAGAGTGCCTTGTCGAGAGCAGAGCTAGCGCCAGCACAGCAAACATCTCCACCATGTTCTCACAAGCAACACGTTCGCTGCTCCGCGCAGCCCCTGTGGCACGCAACTCCGTCTCAATGTGCGCGCGCACCGCCTTCAGCACTTTCTCGGCCAACTCGCTCATCTCGAGAATGTCGCAAATGTCACTCGCTAGACCCGTCGCATCACCCACAAAGAGCCTGGTTGCTTTCCAACAGACACGAGGAATGAAGGTCCGAAGTTCGGTCAAGAAGCTGTGTGATGGTTGCAAGGTACGGAAAGAGTAGCAGCAGAGAGAGGCTGGCAACAATCACGAGAGGATATGAGAGAGCAGGATACTGATGAGAAATCGCAGAGTGTGCGTAGAAAGGGTGGCAAATATGTCTACATTATCTGCAGCAAGAACCCCAAGCACAAGCAGAGGTACGATTATACTCGATTTCTTTCGAAAAGGTAGACGATGCTAACAATGTCTTGCAGACAAGGTTGATTGAAGAAGAGAAGAGAAGAAAGACTACACTGTACAACAACTGGCATACCCTTTTCTGCATATCTGGTGGCGGCGTTCTAAATGGATCACGAATGGACTTTATACCCTTTACCTCAATCCCTATACCGTGCCATGCTGTGATGCTCTTCAAACTACCGGTGGAACCTCTGTAGATTGCTCCTGCTCTAGCTCAGTGAGCTCGGTGTATCACATATCATCTCGAAGATATCTGGCCCAAAACAGAGGTCCTACTGGGGTGTCCGACCACTCCTTCACTTCTCACCGAACAACACCCTCCCATATATTGAGCCAAACCCTCCTATAACCACAACAATCTCCTCCAGCCCAATGGTCTAACCGCTACCGAAGGACCACCATTCGAACCCCACTAACATCACTTTCCAGAAATCATTCCGTCCTTCCTCGGCAGAGAAAGTGTGATGCGGAAAATTCATTGAGGCGCGCGACTTAATAGTGGTAAAGGCCCGCAAACCTGACCCACAAACACCCTCCCCCCCGTGACATGACGATCCGAGACAATCGGAGAGGACTCAACCATCACAATACTAACCTCGATTCGGTGATAGGAGTTTCTTGCAAACACAAGGGCAAGTTGAGCTGATGATGTGGGTTGGTATGAAAAGTCTATCGGATCACTTGAAGTGTCCCTGCTGACATGCCTTGCCAACACAAAGCATTCCTCTCGGTACTGAAGGTGGGATGATAGCACCCTGGTCCTAGGCGGCCTATGGAACAGGTAGGATTTGGTTCGAAAGAATTGTAAGTACAAAATTCCCTTCTTCCCTTCCAATCCTCGGTAGCACGACATTCCTTTTTTGCTTCCACTGTCACGTGTCCTGCACCTGATACATCGACTTCATGCCCAAAAGACATGTCCTTATAGCATGGGGACCATCGGAGTCACAACTTTCGTGATAACTGTTTGCGTAAATGCTCATTATTGGGTATCTCTGTAAAAACGCCACCTTGACTGAACCTAGCAAATCGTCAAGGCACTGACCGCACCGTTATGCATAACCTCAAACATCAGACCAGGGAACTTGTACAGCTTAGTGTTCCGCAGCCACTGCTCATCCCCACCATCATCCCTCTTCTCATGCTCCCAGTCGTCGTTGCCATTCAGTAGCTCCAACTCCTCATCTAGATCCATATGACCAACGTCGCCATTGATGAGAATGGTGGAACCCGTGGAGCTGTCTGTATCGCCGCCCCAGCTACGTACGATGACCATACCTTCCAACATATCCTTTGCTGGCCAGATGTGCGAGAAACTCTTGACGAGTGCTTGGTGAAACGACGGAAACAAAGACTCCGAGGAAATTGGTGTCTCGCCAGAAGGTATGTGGTTTAAAGACCATCTGCTCCTGCGATGACGGTTGAATGGGTACGAGCCTGGGATGTTGCCATGAAGTATGATTTGCGTAACAGTAAGATGTCCATCGATCGATGTCAAGGTCGGATGACGAGTCTCACTGGGGTCTTCGGTGCCTTTGGGTAGGGGAGAAACGTCGGTCGGCGGCCCCAGCAACATGTCGAAGCCGTGTTCGAAGTAGCAGTAATATTGCTGCTCGTTGGCCTGGCTGGGTTCTGCACCATTTGTCTCTTCATCTTCGTCAAAATCAGTCTCGTAGGTGTCGGTGTTAGTGGAAGAGTAACTGGATGGGGTTGAACCATAAGATCGAGCATAGTTCCGGGGCATTTTCTGAGGAGGCGGGTCGTCGTCGAGACGTGAGCGTGGCATCATAGCGTCCGGTGGACCCAATTCGGTGATTAGATCCTGCGGCGTTGTTTCGCTTAGTGTGATGAGGGTTTTCGAGCCGGAACGACGTAACAGCTCAACCTTTCCTGCACCGTACACATTGACATGTTCAACCTCATCTGTAGGACCCTCCTTGGGTCGACCGATGAGCGAAGAAGCCCGTGGGTTTGTCGAGTTGTATGTGAAGAGATCCTTGCGAACTTCAGGCCAGAACCTGCCCTCATAGATGGCCATTGCAGTAGCTGGAGACGCAGAAGCGGTCAGCATGGCTGCATAGTCCTTTTGAGGATTGAAAGCGTCGACTGGGACAGGGAATGTAACAGACAAGCCGGGCCACGAGAGAACGTAGAGGCCCATGTTGGAGCCATCTTTTAGGCGGATGAACTCGCCAGGATATGTAGGACCAAAAAGCTGGTAGACCTTCTTATAAGTCAGATAGCTTTGGCCGTTGGACAAGACCTGGGCAGGTACGAGCTCGCCACTCTTGAAGGTGAAGATCATGCGGGTGAAGTCGATGATCTCTATCAGACGCAAGCGCTGGTCCGGAGCGTCGAAGCGGAGTCTAAAGCCATTCTTGGGCAGGCTGACAATGATGGTCGTCTTGAGGGGCGTCTCGGACGAGAAGGTAAAGTCGATCTTGGGAAACGTACGGGCGTCACTTCTGAGCTTGTTCAGGACGTCGAAGAGAGAAGCGCCCAATACTGAGAGAAGGAATCAGGTTGGAGAGGACATAGAGAGCAGATAGATGGTGGTGCACGTACCCATGAAGCCCAGCGAGTGAGCAGCTCTGAAGGGCAGTGATGTGGGCTCTGCCATGCTGGAGAGTATGATAGATGCTACTTTGCTCGAATGTATGAGACGCGAGAGGTAGAGGCGGCGCCGAAGGTCTTGTTGTCGACCACTTCGAAGCGCGTCATGTGCCGGTGGTGTTGGTCATTCGATGCCGTCGCGCCTGGCACGGTGAGCTTTCGTGAAAAGTAAACCTGCCAAATCTATTCAAAGCGGCAGGTACACGACCAAGAACAGTAGGCACCAAATTGCAGTTCGTATCAAACAGACGTGCGATTGTGCTCGTAATGAGGCAGGAACAACCGTGATGGAAGAGGGGCTCCTGCCGGACTTGTCGGAGTTACGGGTGACGTGTGGGTCGAGGCAGATCCGCGTTCCATGTTTATAGTTTTTGTTTGTAAACACAGCGACATCATCAACTTTGTCAACCACTCCGTCCGATCTATTTTGACCCAGACCATGTCGGCACCTCCCAGGCCGGGACAGGCTGTCAAAAGACCAACAATGCGTCCAACATCATCTATGCGCCCGCCGCCTTCGCGCACGCCTTCACGCGCCCACACTGCCACTCCCAGCCTCAGCGGAAGACCTTCAGAAATGCCTCCTTCACCAGCACAGTCAGTCCAGGGTGGAAAGAGGAAGGAACGCGATTTCGATCATCAAGACCAGGACCACGAAACAAACATCAATGTAGTCGTGCGCTGCAGAGGTCGAAACGACCGTGAGCTGCGCGAAAACAGCGGTGTTGTTGTTTCCACAGACGGCGTCAGAGGCAAGAAAGTCGATCTCTCCATGGGCCCGAGTGCTCTCAGCAACAAGACATACCAATTCGACAAGGTCTTCTCGCCAGCTGCAGATCAGGCTATGCTGTTTGACGACGTCGTTGAACCCATCCTGGATGAGGTGAGAAAGGCCACTTTCACACTTGTATTTTTTGCACTATTCTGACTTCCCAGGTCCTCGGCGGTTTCAACTGCACAATCTTCGCATACGGCCAAACGGGCACCGGAAAGACCTACACCATGTCTGGAGACATCACCGACATGCAGCCTTTACCAGACTCTGCCGGTATCATCCCCAGAGTCCTGTACTCACTTTTCAACAAGCTAGGAGAGGACAACGAAAGCTCCGTCAAGTGTTCTTTCATCGAACTCTACAACGAGGAGCTCCGGGATCTCCTGTCTTCAGAGGACCACGCAAAACTGAAGATTTACGACGACAACAGCAAGAAGGGCCAAACCACGACTTTGGTCCAGGGCATGGAGGAATCCCACATCAAATCAGCATCCAAGGGTCTTGAACTTCTTAGGAGCGGCAGTCACAAGCGCCAGGTTGCTGCGACCAAATGCAACGACCTCAGTTCCCGCAGTCATACCGTTTTCACAATCACCGTCTATATGAAGCGCACCACCGAAACAGGTGAGGACTTTGTTAGCGCAGGAAAACTCAATCTGGTCGATCTGGCTGGCAGTGAGAACATCCAACGCAGTGGTGCTGAGAACAAGCGCGCTGCTGAGGCTGGTCTTATCAACAAGAGTTTGCTTACCCTCGGCCGCGTTATCAACGCGCTCGTTGAAAAGAGCTCTCATATTCCATACCGAGAATCGAAACTCACCCGTCTTCTGCAAGACTCTCTTGGAGGACGTACCAAAACTTGCATTATCGCAACTCTATCCCCAGCGAAGAGCAACTTGGAGGAGACGATATCTACACTTGATTACGCTTTCCGTGCAAAGAATATCCGCAACAAACCTCAAATCAATCAGATGGTCACCAAGAGGACTCTGCTCAAAGAGTTCACTATGGAGATCGAGAAGCTGAAGAGCGAACTTATTGCGACCCGCCAGCGCAACGGTGTTTACCTCACACAGGAGGCCTATGAAGAAATTACTGTCGAGAGTGAGTCGAGACGTATTCTCTGCGACGAACAGAAAGACAAGATCGAAACTATGGAGGCAAATCTGCGCAACAAAGTTCAGGAACTCTTCAGTCTGACCACTAATTTCAACGGCTTGAGAAAGGAGAACGAGCAAGCAAGACTGATGCTTGATGGAACCAAAAGTCTGCTCGAGAAGACGGAGCTCGTGCTTAATCATACAAAGCGCAGTCTGACAGAAGAGACATTCATTAGGAAAGCACACCAAAAGACTGAGTCTAAGCTTGCCGGCATTGGCGAGGACCTGCTCTCGACCCTATCTTCCACAACAACAGACATTTCTGGCTTACACTCGAAAATTCAACGTAAAGCAGATTTGCACTCTCTCAACCGAAACAACTGGACCTCGTCGAAAAGCAGAGTGACGAATACTACCAACACGGTCAAGGACAGGGTTGAGACTCTCAGGCAGCGCCAGGAACAGCTCCTCACATCCATGTCCACGAGGATGCAAGGTTTCGTCTCAGATGAGTTGCAAGAACTTCAACAATCCCAGAGATTCTTGCAGGAGAAGGCAGAAGCTTTCCAGAGATCGGAGAAGGAGGTCAACGTCCAGACCGCAAAAGCTAGAGACGATGTTAACGAAGTCCTCGAGGAAATTAAGACCCTCCGCGAAGATGTCAAGCAGAATGTCGGAAACGGATTGAATGACCTGTCGGCAGCAGCTCAACGCATCACTGCTGGAATTTCCACTGAGCTTGAGAATTTCCACACACAACTACACGCATCATATGTCTCACTAGGCCGGGAGTTCAAATCCATATTCGACGATGTCGTCAAACAACTAAGCGAGCAACAAGCAGAGTCTGAACGCTTGCGACAGCAGATCTTGACTGCCAATTCAACATATATGGAAGCCGGTCAGGAATCTAGGACGACTTTCGAGGAAGCTATGGAAGAGGAGCGCCGTCGCGCTGCTGCAGATCGTGAGAAGATGCTATCTCAGATCAGCTCCCTGATCACAACCTCTGCTGAAGCCCAAGAGCGAAGAATTACCGAACATATTGCGCACGCATCCAAGCGCGTTAAGACTTCTGAGGATGATTACAGTGTTGCTCGCGAAACCTACAACGAGAGCTCCGATGCTCTGGTAGCCAAGTCGAAGTCGCTGATCGATTCTTGTGTCCGCTCTCGTGAGAACGTCAAGGCAAAGATCAAAGGAGACTGGAACGCAGCGAACGATCAGACCGAGAAAATCAAGGCGACTACTGAAGTTGTCCACGGCGAGACTGTTCGCATTGTTGACACACAAATGTCCAATATGGACACGCAGCTCATCTCCTTGGATGAAATCGTGTCTCGCATCCGTGCTCAAAACGACACTCATCACACCGCTCACACTGCCTCCCTCGCTCAGCTCTCGAGCGATGTCCAGCAATCGTACTCGAACATCGGAGCTCATATGGAGACATCCTACACTCGTACGCAAGGACTCGACACTGATATGCAAAGTCGCACTGCAGATCTTGCATCTACACTTCCAGAGCTTAGCTCGTCTGGTGAGATTGTTCAGACGTTGCATACTTTGCGCGACGAGATGAATGCTTCCGAACTTACCGAGTATGTTCCTACTGGAGAAACTCCAGCTAAGGTCGCCTACAGCTATCCTACGAATCTACCAAGAACAGCCAATCACGAATCTCTGCTCGAAAGGCTGCGAAACGGCAACACTGCAATCGAAGAGAGCCCAGCCAAAGACTCGCAGATCCGAAACACTCCCAGAAAGCGAGATGGACAGACACCTTCCAAGGGTATCATCTATACAGATAATCCTACCACTACTGGCGGCTCCGATATCTCACATGACGCGGTGACCAATAGCGATGCTGCCCGAAACCGTCCTCATAGCCTACCCGGACAGGTCGGTCTCCGAGAAATCGACGTCAACGTCAATGCAGCTTCTTTGCCTGCCCCTACCGAGCACCCAGAATCCAGAATCGGTTTGCTCAAAAGAGGCAATACCATGCCTCAATTAGATGCCAACGCCAAAGTCGACAGCAAGTTGCCTATGAAGCGACCCACCCGTATGACTGCTGGCTTGGTCGCTGAAGGCAGAGAGAACATCGGTGCAGGTGGCGGTGTAGCTGCTGGTATCAGAAGATTGAGACCTCGTGGTAGTGACTAAGTCCACTCCTTAAGCTCTTTTGTCAATGTTGATGTACTCTTTCTACCGTACAAACTTCTGTATAACTTTCTTTTCTGTGTTGGAGAGGCTTCTGGGTTCTGGCGTACTTGATGGCGCTTTGGAGTAGTAAGCATTTTGGGGTGTTCAAATTGATTTGGTTCGCCTTCGTGGCGGTTTCAATAAGAATCTTTTGTTGCAGGCAAGAGTTTATCAAGTCGAGTGGTGAAAGTGTACAAGATTTGGGATTCAATGTCTTGCGGTCATGGCTCAGTACTCGTAAATGCACTTATCCTGCACTATAAAACACCAACATCCCTCCCTCTTTTCCCATTTTACACACTCGCTGGTGCGAGATGCACTTGAGCGCTAACAGACCAGACTTGCCTCATTGTTGTGCGGTCTGTCGGTTGTGGTAACATCCAATGGTGTCCTCGCGGTAAAGCAAGGTCGCCGACGAAACAACACGGGTCGATGATACCCATCAGCACCTCGCCAACTCCGAGCTTATGTTTACCGGGGACTCGAAGGTGTGAGTAGAGCAGAGAGAAACGAACGGTACGGGACCCCGAGACGCTTCGTAGATTTACAGGGTCCACAACTCAGTCGGATGAATCTAAGTCCGGAAGGGGTTCGTCTTCTTGGGAAGCATTGTACACTCTGGGTGTGCTGTCAGTGATCAAAGTCATGCTGTCCCCTCAAGTCGCTAGCGGAAATGGGATGTTGTGTCGAGAGAGTGGCACTCATAATCATGCGTGTTTCAGTGGAGAAAAGAACGAATTGAGTTGAGATTGGCGGGGAAGGAGCGGGAGATTTGAGAGTCGCGCGAGGCGCAGAAAGTAGTCGTACATGGTGCAGGCATCCTGTTTCTCTCCTGCAGCAACAATCGTTTGATAAGTCGTCCGACATTTTCGACAAATTTCTCGTGCCACGTCAAGCCGCGATCTCTCGCCAGGCAATCGTTCAATCGACGCACACGAAGCAACGCCGACTTCACGACTTTCTGTTCGTCCCCTGAAAGCGACCAGTCCATACAATCCAACATGCCTAGCATCGGCAGCATCGTCTACTACGGCACCCACCTCGGGGAGCTGAGGAACATCATCCAATGGAAGCTCTGGCACGATGCCGTCCACGAGCGCGACGAGTCCAAGGAGAGCGCTGAGCTGAAGGAGTGCTTCAAGTACCTCAAGATGACCAGCCGCAGTTTTGCTGCCGTCATTCAAGAACTGCATCCCGAGCTTCTTGTTCCCGTCTGCCTCTTCTACCTGATCCTGCGCGGTCTGGACACGATTGAGGACGACATGACCATCCCCTTCGAGACCAAGCAGCCCCTCCTCCGCAACTTCCACAACATCCTCGAGCAAGACGGCTGGAACTTTGCAGGCAACGGCCCCAATGAGAAGGATCGCGAGCTCTGCGTCCACTTCGACGTCGTTGTCGCCGAGTACAAGAAGATCAAGCCCGAATACAAGGTCATCATCAAGGACATCACAGACCGCATGGGTAACGGCATGGCCGACTACGCAAAGATGGCCGACGAGGGTGGTGCTCAGAAGGTTGAGACCATCAAGGAATACTACAAGTACTGTCACTACGTTGCTGGTCTGGTCGGCGAGGGACTGACTCGCTTGTTTGTCGAGGCCAAGTTGGCCAACCCTGCCCTTCTGGAGCGCGAGGACCTGCACGAGTCGATGGGTCAATTCCTACAGCAAACAAACATCATTCGTGATATCCGCGAAGACCACGAGGACAAGCGCTACTTCTGGCCTCGCGAGGTCTGGTCCAAGCATGTCGACCACTTCGAAGACCTCTTCTTGCCCGAGAACAAGGAGAAGGCATTGGCCTGCAGTTCAGAGATGGTCCTGCTGGCTCTGCGCCGTGCCGACGACTGCCTGTTCTACCTTGCTGGACTCAAGGAGCAGAGTGTCTTCAACTTCTGCGCCATCCCCCAAACAATGGCCATTGCCACACTCGAGCTGTGCTTCCAGAACCCCACCATCTTCGAGAAGAACGTCAAGATCACAAAGGGCTCTGCCTGCAAACTTATGGTTGAGAGCACACAGAACCTTCAGGTTGCATACAATACTTTCAAGCGTTATGCTCGCATCATTCACAAGCGCAACAACCCGCAAGACCCCAACTTCCTCGAGATCAGTCTTGCATGTGGAAAGGTAAGCTTATAATCCCTCTTGAACCCTGCCTATTCAGAGTTGAGCATATGTTTATGCCGACACAATATTCACAAGCACGGGCCATCGTGAGAACACAGCGCTAACGCAACAAACTCTGCAGATTGAGCAATTCATCGAATCCATCTTCCCTACTCAGACTGCTGCCACTTACCGCCAGGGCGCTCCCGCCGCTGTCGACTCGAGTGGTACCACTCTCTCCCCCGAGGAGCAGGAGAGGCAAAAGAAGCAGCAGGCTCAAGACAAGGAGGAGTTCTTCTACATCATGCTGGCTGTTGGAGCCACGCTATTCGTTATTACCTTTATCATGGTACGTCAACCTAACACATCGCCAACCTCTGCATCTGCTAATAATCGTCTTCAGTTCTTCACCGCTTGGATGATGGGTGCACGCTTTGACATTGCCTGGCAGCAACTTCGCAGCGGTAACATCTGGGCACCGAAGACCACAGACGAGGCCCTCGATGCTCGTGATGCCTTTGATGCAGCAAAGTCTGCCGTCACAGCAACTGTCAAGGTCGTCACATCAAGCGTCGTCTCACATGGCGAACTGTAATGACTTGCAGCATACAGACTGCTTTTGTTGTGCTTTTTCTCGGACGACAGCGAACACAGATGAGACGAGAACTGACCACGTAAACGATCAAAGAATCCCGTAATTACCCATGGACCATCGAGTGTAGCATTTGGGTTGGCGCACTCGAACTCCGGTTCTGTAGACATACTGACTAACCCTGTTCCTTTTATCTCACCAGCCAGCTTTCTTCTTTACACACTTATGGATACCTCAAAATAGTTTCTTCTTCTTTTCCCCATCTCCTTCTTCCCGACCTTCACGTTCTCCCCTCTTTCCTCTACCCAAGCACTCATGTCAAATTGCAGCCTATGCCTATTTTCAGTGGCGACAGACTGTGCCGAAGATGTGCTGATATTGATGCCTGCGCTGGCGAGTCCGAAAGGAGACTGCTCATATCACTGCAGTGGTTTTGTTCGCTGTGGTCGGCTTTGAGCAGGGGTGCATACATATAACGGAAAGATAATCAACTTGCATTCATACGTCAATCAATGTACATCATGTATATGTTTTTCAATCAAGGTCTTGTGCATGATTGCTGTCTGTCGTCTGGGCATGTCACTACGTTTGTACGAGATTCGCACTTGTTGTTGAAAAACATTTCGCTGGTCGTAGTGAACGTCATGGTTGCGGTTGACAATCGATAAGCTTTGGTGAATTCGATCTTGGAGGTAACAACATGCAACAATATACGACCACACCGCAACTTTAGCCTATGTAGATACTTGTACAAATATAGGAGGTCATGTTAGATGTATCGAGCATGTTGTAGGTACAACGGCACTTTTACCAGAGTGAATACATTATGCCCATCATCCGACCAGGGTCATACAGCTAGCGAATTGACTTGGGCGCGGACAAGATCGATGGCTTAGCCGTCGCTCTTAGAGTACGTTGTTATTAATTATTTAGTGGCTGTGTCAGATAAACCTCCAGTAGATCCAGTGAGATGAGATACGAAATATGAGTGCATTCACCTTTTCTTCGCATGGTCTGGCTCGAGTGATGGTCGTCTGGTCCCTGAATGAGGTCACACGCGACGGTCCCGAAAGCGCTCCCCGCGTCTCCCAGTATTTACATCTAAACACACACTTGCGACTTTCTTTTACCACACAACAAAGCCCTCGTGCACCTCTTCAGCCAACACAACATCACCACAATGCCTCCCAAGAAGCGCAAACAACCAGCTGCGCTCGGTCCTGAGGTGCCTTTGACAGTTACCACCCCTCGAGGCAAGATATTGAACACAACTGCCGCCGCAGCTCGCCCCAAGCGTAACATCGCTTCGACCATGCCTCCTCCCGATCCTCCGAGCGTCAAGAGAACTCGTCGCGCCGAGACTTCGTCGGCTTCTGAAGTTACCCCCAAGAAACGTGGTCGTCCACCTAAGGCTACAACTGCTACGCCCAAGGCCACCGTTGCTACTCCCAAGTCGGCTTCCACAGCCACGCCCAAGAGCCATAGAATCGGCGAAAGACAGAGTGCCAGGCTAGCATCGACACCTGCTAGTGAGGAAGCCCCGCCAGCATTGAGAAGGTCTCGCGTCACAAAGTCAGCCAAGTCGGCTCTACCACCTATCAAGCGCGGCAGGGGTAGACCGCCCAAGGTCTCTGAGAAGAAGCAACCTATTGTACCTGACAACGACGCTGCCGAGGATGCTAACGACGACGAGAGCGGTGGTGTTGACTATGACGACGACTCAACACACGATGCCAACATTACAGAGGCCACCACCATCATCCAGGCAGATCGCAACTACTGGCTAATGAAGGCCGAACCCGAGTCTCGCATCGAAAAGAACGCCAACGGAGAGGATGTGGATGTCAAGTTTACCATTGACGATCTACGCTATCGCACACAGCCCGAGCCGTGGGAGGGCATTCGCAATGCGCAAGCCCAGAACAACATGAAAGCCATGAGAGTCGGCGATCTTGCTTTCCTCTACGAGTCGAACTGTAAAAAGCCAGGCATCGTCGGTATCGTAAGCAATATCCCTGCCTGTAAAACTGTATAAGTTACCTGCTAACAATGCTCAATTATAGATGGAGATTGTCGAAGAAGCTAGCCCTGATTACCACGCCTTTGACAAGAACAGCGCCTACTACGATCCTAAATCTAACCCTGAAAAGCCAAAGTGGATGCTCGTCCACGTTGCCTTTCGTCGCAAGTTTGACGAGAAATTCACACTCAAGGATCTGCAGATGTTCTCAAAGCCAGGAGGTGCACTTGCTGGCATGGAACTCTTCAAACAGTCACGTCTTTCCGTTACCAAAGTCGCTAGACCTCAGTGGGAGTTCATCATGAGCCAGATCGGCGACGACGATGATGATGAGGAGATGCAAGACTTCGATGCTTCCGTAGGCGCAGAGCGCGATGGCGGAGACATGGAAGCCGAAGCTGCTGGCGGAGGCCTCGACGAAGGCTTTGACGAAGGTGTCGACGGAGGATTTGAGGAGGGTCTCGACGAGGGTCTTGAAGATGGTCTCGACGAGGGACTGGACGAAGACACCGGCGACATCGAAGGTTTCTCAAACACAGACTTGGGTAACGACTTTGCCGCCGCCTTCGAAGCCCCTGCTAACCTCCGCACTGCCACCGACGAATCTGGTCCCGATCCCACCGCCAACGAGATCCCCGATGTCGTTGACCAGATGTCTGCTTACGCCATGGCTCCCCCCTCAAGAGACGTCTCTCGCGATGTCTCTCGCGGCCGCAGTCGCAGAGGTAGAGGTCGACCTGCTTCTGTGCCTGTCGACTATTCTGAAGTCATGCATGATGCTAGTGTGCCTGCTAAGCATGCCGGCGATGCTCCTTCTGCTTAGGAATGAGGCGTGTCGACCATGATACAGAGGCGCCTTTTGTCTTTTTCGTTTCTCTTTGCTCTTGCAAGATACCCCCCCTTTTCGTTCTTTCCTTTCTTTTACTTTCTTCTTCTTTTGCGATACCACAATCAGCGAGCATGGCGTCAAAGGTCCATAGGAGATGGAGAAAGAGGAGAGAGCTTTTGCATTCATATTTCTCAGGCACAGAAATGTCTTTTCCAGCGGTTTTGCTTTCCGCTTCTCCTCCAAGGAGATCAAAGGCGTACAGGATGAGGATGGATAGGGGATCAAGAGGTACATAGGAAGCTACACATTCATGGCTATCCGATATACAAAGATTCCTTTCTATTCGTCTAGTCGTTACATTTGCCCACGAGAAAGATCATCTCGTATAGTAATCGTCTGCTTACTTGTGCGCAACAGATGTATCAAGGTCTTAGCACGCTTCACGATAGATTGTATCAATGGAAGCACAGGGACTGGTCGGCAGAGGGCACATGACAGCAGCAGCAACATTAGTACCATGCCCGATTCATGTTTTCACAAGTGGGAAGATTGACACAGTATATGGAGTTTGAGCATGGATATCATTGAAGGGGTGGAAACATGTCTTCATAATGTATCTGAAGAATTTGCTTTTTGTTTGATGACAGAAATGCCACCGGTATGCCCACAGCTCTTGATGTTTTCAGACCATGATGCACCCAGAGACATTCTGCAATTCAAGACCGTACTAGACACGGCGAAGAATCTAGTAGCGCTTGCCCTGGCGGAGGACATCGGCGTACTCGTCAAGAGGACCGCGGATGAGCTTAGTCTCCTTCCACAGGTTGGGGGTGAGGAAACCGTAGGTGTTGGAGATGGCCATGAAGGTAGCCTTGAGGGTGTTCTCAAGGGTCTTGGTGGAACCGGCCGAGGACGAGTAGGCGTCGTTGACACCGGCAAGCTGCAAAAGACGCTTGACGGCGGGGGAGGCGACGATACCGGTACCGCGGGGAGCGGGGATAAGCTAGAAGAGTAAAAGTCAGATGGGTCGGGTCGTCGGGTTGGATGTTGGAAGGGATTGCTTACTCTGACAGTGACGGAACCGCACTTGCCGCTCTCCTTGACGGGAATGGAGTGAGGCTCACCAAGGTTGGAACCCCAGTAACCACGACGGACGGGGATGACGGCAAGCTTGGCAATGATGATGGCAGCGCGGATGGCGGTAGCGACTTCCTTGGAGGTCTTGATACCGAGACCGACGTGACCGTTGGAGTCACCGATGACAACGACGGCCTTGAAGCGGGTACGCTGACCGGCACGGGTCTGCTTCTGGACGGGCTTGATCTGTAAGGAGACATGTGTTAGAAGCTGTCTCTCTCTGCTCTTTCTTTTCAATGCGCAGAGGGGAGGGGGAGCTGGTGAAGGAGCTGTTGCGGGTGTTGTAGACGCTGTCGCTTGCGCAATTCTGGGTTCCTCTCTGCGCATCTCTTGTGTGGGCGCACCTTCATGACCTCGTCCTTGAGGGTGGGGAGGAAGAAGTCGACAATCTGGTACTCCTTGATGGGCAGAGAGTGAAGGTAGATCTCCTCCATGGACTTGATCTTGCCGGCCTTGACGAGACGACCGAGCTTGGTGACGGGCTGCCACTCCTTCTCCTCGTTCTTGGGTCCACGGCGACCACGGCCGCGACCACGGCCACCACGGCCACGGTCACCACCACGGTCTCCTCCACGAGATGCGAATCCGCCACGAGTTGCTCCACGGTCAGCCATTGTGTTGATGTATGGGTTGTTGTTGTCGACGAAGAGAAGGTCGTTGGTCGTGGAAGTCGCAGGTGCCGCTCGCGAGACTGGAATTTCGCTTTTGCAGGGACGCCAATTTTGCAAAAGTGGGCCCCGTGCGTCGCGTCGGCTAATCCCCGCACATCATCCTCTACCTATCTTATCTATCATTGTTGATCTACATCTTTATCAACACGAATCAAGTATTGTTCACTTCACCTCACTTTGCCTCTGATCCTTTCAAATCCTTTTCAGCAATCTCAATCATCAAATTCGTGACTCTGCATAGAACAACCACATCGCCTGCCCAAACGCCTTTCCCTTTCCACCATTCAGCCCTTGACCTCCCGACCTCTATGACTACGGGATCAGTCTTGTCGAAGCAGGCTCCAACAGATCCGCTTTTGCATCTCGAACCATCTCCATAGTCTTTACGGCATGGCCTTTGATGCTCATTGCCGTGTCCTTGTAAGCATGCAAGCTGTGTAAAGCTGCGCACCACTGGCAATCTCTATTCGACTCTTGCCTCGTCACATGTGCGTGTATCGTGTTTCCCTCGGCTGCCACTACTGCTTTTGCAGCTGTCTTGTAGCTACCCGCCTTGCTCTTGGTACACTTGGGTAGCTGCCGGTATTTCCCTCTGCTTGTATCGCCCGTGCATTCTACTGAGCCCTGACCAGACTACGATACTGCATTGGATCGCATCTCTTTGTATGAGCACACAGGTTGGTTGCGTGGCTCCGACCGACTTAATAACTCTGAGGATATTGACTTGCAGGCTGCGTCGCGTCAGTATATGTGTCTGTGTAGCACGAGTCTCATGTTTACTTACCGGACTGTTCAGCATGTTTTGGCGTTCATTTCGGCCCTTCTTAATGTGTCGCTTTAGAGCACTCGAATCCAGGGGCTTCAGCAGCTCGAAACTGCACAGAAGCTCACCAGATACAGACATGACGGCTCCCCAGTTGTCGAATTCTCCGCAGTACTGTGTGTGATCGTTAGCAAATGATAGAAATGGCGAGTTTTGTAGACTACTCACGTTTGGTGCGGAGAACACAGTCACCAGAACTCGGTCGGTGAAAAACTCGTATCCATCTTCAACCACCATGTGCGCTCTGCAAACCAGATCAAAATCGTGTTTGGCGAGGAACTCCATGATGACCTTCTTGCCAAAGCAGTAGCTGACGCCTCTCTCGTTGGCTTCCCAGTCATTCTCCATGTCTGCCGGATCACTCCATAGCAGATCGTTGAGCAGCCCATAATCAGGAACATCGGTCGGTCTTGCAATGTTACGGATGTCGTCCATGTGTGACAGACTAGGCGACAGGCCGCCATGCACGCAGAAAATCTTGCCCGCAACGATAGAGGCGATAGGCAAGCAGTTGAAAGTGTCGACAAATGACTTCCAGACCTTGATGTTGCAACGACGCTTGCATTCGTCGTAGAAGCCGTAGACACGCGTTACATTGGCACATTCGTGGTTACCACGCAAGAGGAAGAAGTTCTCAGGATAGCGCAGCTTGTAGCAGAGCAACAAAAGAATGGTTTCCAAACTTTGTTTGCCACGGTCAACGTAGTCGCCCAGGAAGAGGTAGTTGGAGTTGGGAGGGAAGCCACACATCTCGAACATGCGCAGCAAGTCGGTGTATTGGCCGTGTACGTCACCCACAATCTTGACTGAAGGTGCAAGCTCCAACAAGGCAGGCTGGGATAGGAAGACCTCGCGAGCGGCCTGGCAAATGGCAAAGATCTCGGCATTCTTGAGGCACACAGTCTTGGTAACCTTGCCGGCGTATCCGGCGTCGATCAAACGCTTGATCATTTCATCCAAGTCCGACGTCTTGAGAACGCCGATGTCCATGGATGAAGCCGAACCTTCGGATAGCGCGAGAGCTGCGGCGGCGGCGCTGGGCTTGTGATCAGCCTTCTTCATCAAGATGGACTCCTTAGGCTCGGTAAGGTTGTTGTGCTGCAGAGTGCCGGTAGGAGGAGCATCAGAGACGTGCTCGACTTCGCCAGATCGCTGGGCTTTCGTGATGTCGGAATGACCATGACCGATGGAGGATGAGAGAGTGGGGGAGGGAGGAGCTTGAGCATCGTCTTGATCATCGGCGTCAGCGTCTTGGTCATTGCTCGCTCCGCTGCCTCGACGCGAAGTCTCGGATAGCGAGGGTGCCGAAGGAGAGCGCTTGTGCTTGGAAGTGGGTATCGACTGGCTGGCGGAAGTGTCGATGTTCGGCTCTGACTGTCTCTTAGGCGAGGCCAGCGACGATGACGAGCCCTTCAGGTTATCAGTGGAGATCTTTGAGGGGATCTTTGAGCGAATGGAGCCGCGGAAAGAACGCGTGGAGCCCTGCGTGTCGGACTTTGAGAAGGAGGGATATGAGCTGAGATCAGGGCCGTCTTGCGAGCCCTTCTCGCCCTTTGACGGCTGGTTGCCCATGCTGGAGTGAGAATCGGAATGGGGAATGCGCGTGTGTAACGAGAGAAGTGGGAATGGGACGGGCCTCTACACAATGCTGTCACGACCACTGGGACATGTGGAGCGCACGGAAGAGTCGCACAACGTAGCGGGGTCCTGCGGGTTGCACAAGCTCGGAAATGAAAGACGGTGCTTGTTGGAGTGATGCGAGTGTAAGCGGCGATGTAGGAGATGGAGATGGTGGTTATGCGGGTTAAATGGATAGCTAGCTATGTTTCTTATGGAAGAACGAGCATGTCATACCGCACCTGCCTCAAGCTTGGCGGCATTGGCCAGATCCCCAAGCCCCACAATCTCTCTTTCCCTCAGCCACAACTCGCGACTGCCCTTAGAGCATGAGCCAACACCTGAGAGACTTTCAAATCACGCACCCGTTATCACTATTACTACTACGATACTCATTATCCTTGAATCTTCCCCGTTTCTAATATTGAGCTCTCACTGAAAGACAACACCCGTTCTCTTCGCATTGTTGTCGCGAAGATCGCCAAAGCAGTACCTCCCGCTCGGCTTCTCAAGCCGCATTCTTCGTGCGAAAGTATGTGACGCTTGTAGCTGCCTCCGAGGACAACACTTTCTTTGAATCCCAGAGTTGTCTTCGGAGATACAATGTCTCGTCGACGGTTTTTGAGGCTCTCTTGACACAGGAGATCAATGTGCCTTTAAACAGCTTGTTGTCGTCCAACGATACTACAGAGGAGAGCGGAATCCTAGCATATGGTGAGGTACAAAGGTCGTCATTCACACCCCACCTCACACATCCTTATCTTGCTTGTTGATCTTGCAAGCATCTCTCTTTTTGACTTCTCGACAACCTACCTGGCTACCATCAACATGCGCCATTTTCCAACTCTATCATTTGCTTTTTACCTGGCTGCTCAGCCTCTAACACTGACCTCAGCCTCACCATCTTGGTCTTCGCATGCGTCACAGCGACTCCTTGGCGATCATGTCGCGGACGGCGCTCCTTTCCATCCTGCTTTCGATGCCTTCACAGATCGTCTCATGAAAGAGTGGCATATCCCCGGTCTGGCTATTGCCGTTGTCCGCGAGAACAGAACATGGTCCAAGGTAATTTGACATCTGCTTTGTATATCTCTGGTCAATTTCAATGTCACCGCAATCAAGCCGCCTTACTCCCTGTAAGACTGGGCCCGTTCAAGTCATGTCGTAACTTTTCATGGAACTGGAGTGTCAGTCACCGAGAATGCATGAGCAGCCAGGGAGTGATCGCCATCGGCGGACGCTCGATTCTCATTTTCAAGACGTCGATTCGTTTCTCATATGTGCTCTCATGAATCATCTATTCTGCTCATCGAATCATGACCTAATCAATCTGCTTCAAGGGTTACGGGTATGCTTCTTTACCTGACGTGCCATTCACGCCGCACTCACTGTTCCAGGGCGCCAGTACCACGAAGTCCTTCACGGCCTCTCTTGCAGCCTTATTGGTACAGGACCAGGAAGACTATGGCCACATCCAGTGGAACACCCCTCTTCACGACATCGTTGGTAATGACCTTGTCCTCAAGGATGACTACTTAACAACTCACATCACCTTTGTCGACGCAATGTCTCATCGAACCGGTATGCCTAGACACGATGCCGTGTGGTACGACAGAGGACTAGACACCAAGACTCATACACATGTCATGCGCTATCTTGACACGAGTGCAAGCTTCAGGACAGTGTTTCAATACTGCAATCTGTTCTTCACTGCAGTCTCGCACGTCATCGAAACCGTTACTGGAAGATCGCAAGCCATTTTGCTGCGTGACTGGATTTTCGAGCCTCTCGGTATGAACGAATCTTATTACTCTATCAATGATGCTGCAAAGTGTCAGATAGCAAATCCTCGGTGCAAGCTAGCTGATAGCTATGCCTGGAACAAAGAGACAGGATCTTATGAGGCGTGGGCGCTGGACGTCCGAAATCCTGCCGACGGAGCTGGAGGTGTTATTTCCAATGTCATTGACTATAGCAAGTGGATTCGTGCTCTAATGTACGAGGAAGGACCAGTTTCCAAAGACGGCCATGCGGGACTGAAATACCCTCTGTCCATGGCAGGTGCAGAAGTTGCGCCCTTTGCGGGACCCTCTTGGTATGGAATGGGCCTTGAAGGGGGCGTCTATCGCGGTACGAAGGTCTTTTCGCACAATGGCGGTATCAGTGGCTACGCATCCACCATGAAGTTCTTGCCCGATCACAAATTTGGACTTGTGGTGTTCCAGAACTCACAGAACAATGCCATGGAGGCCATTGGATGGCGATTGATTGACGAGTTCCTCGGTATGGAAGAGAAAGAGTTCTACGACATGAACAAGACGTAAGAGCATGAACATGCGGCTTCACCTTGGTGCACTGACTGACCGTAAGCAGGCAATCAGATATGGCTAAAAAGCGTGAGGACCAGCTTGAAGCTCTGCCCTCAATGCTTTACCCCAACGTGTCTGCGGTACCCGTACAGCCACAACTTCCACTGCAAGACTATACAGGGAGATATGGCAATGCTGCATATGGAGAGTTCAATATCACTCTCGACGCGCCTTCTGATCTGCTAGACAAGTCAGAGCTCGAGTCATCGGGCTCTGCGGATCTACCGCTCTATGCAACATCCAAAGGTCGACATGTGCTGTTCACATTCCGACATGTTTCTGCAGAGCACTGGCTGTTGGAACTCCGGATGGTCATCTATGATTCGAAGGTGGCCGACGATTACAAGAAGGCTAAGTTTGAGGTTGGGGCAGACGGCATTGTACAGAGGGTTGGGGCAGTCATGGAAGCAGCAGTGCCTGGAGATGAAGCGTGGGTGTGGTTTGATAGAGTCGAGTGAAAGGTGTCTTAGTCAGAGGTCGTTGAGTAGGAACAGAGACAATGTGGAAGTGATGCTTTGAGGATTGAAAGTTGGTCTTTCACATGTTCCTGCATGCATACGTCAGAAGTTCAGCCAAGATTTGCGGCAGCCTTGCGCGGCCCCTCGGGCATAATTTACCAAGTAAACTTCCAAGGTTGATAGAAATAACTTTCTTGCAACAAAGCCCGACCTATTGTTCCAAGTAACAGACATACGAACAAGTGCAGTTTCTCTCTTTCCATACTTGGACAATCACAAATTCCAAGTCTCGCCAACCATCGACTATTCGGATCCTGCCCCACAATAACAACAAAGACACGAGCGACGACCGCGATGGTCAAGGACACAGCATACTATGACGCGCTAGAAGTGTCGCCCACTGCCACCGATGTCGAGATCAAGAAGGCATACCGCAAACTAGCCATCCGCCTGCATCCCGATAAGAACCCCGGCGATGAGACTGCGAGCGCAAAGTTCCAGGAAGTACGGCGCCCAACAATACATTCTCGCATTGTCGTGGTCACGTTCTGACCGCTTGTCCTTCTAGATCGGCGAGGCATACCAAGTTCTCAGTGATGAGAAACTCCGCAAGCAATATGATGACTACGGCAAGGAGGGCGCCATGCCCAACACAGGCTTTGGTAAGAGAGCTCGAGGTCACTACAAGCTACGACGAGAACTGACGGCAAAACAGAGGATCCTTCCGAGATGTTCAACGAGATCTTTGGTGGTCATGCCTTTGCAGACTGGTAAGCAGGATCTAGACCATCTACGCACGTGCGAAGTCCCACTGAGACCATCAACAGGATCGGCGAAATCTCCATGGTCCGCGATATGGAGAAGTCGATGGAAATCACCATGCGCCACGAGGAGGAGAATGCTGCCGCTGATGCAGAGGCCGAGGCCGCAGCCGCTACCGTCGACGAGAAGAAAGCAAGCCTGGACAAGACGGTTCACGAATCCGCCGCTCAGTCCCACGCCGGTGCTGCCGCCGATCTCAAAGATGGCATGGACAAGATGAATCTCTCCGAGGAAGCACCAGCACCACCCGCCTATTCTGCAGAAAGACCAAAGGGCGTTCCCACACGTCTTGCCCTTACCGACCGCGCCGAAGAGGAAGCCCGCATGGAAGCCGCTGGCGTCACCGAAGCAGAGAAGAGCCTACGCGCAAAGGAAAAGAAGAAGGGCGGGTTGACCAAGGAGCAAAAGGAGGAGCTTGCCGCTTTCGAGGCCGAGCGTGATCGTGCTCGTGGAGAGCGCATTGAGGACTTGTCCAAGAAGCTCATCAACCGCGTCAGCGTATGGACCGAGACCGACAAGGGCAAGGACGTCACCACCTCCTTCCGCAAGAAGATGGAGCAAGAAGTCGAAAACCTTAAAATGGAGTCCTTCGGTCTTGAGATCCTACACGCCATTGGCCAAACATACACACAAAAAGCAGCCACGTTCATCAAGAGTCAGAAACCGATCATTGGCGGCGTCACCGGCTTCTTCTCACGCTTGAAGGACAAGGGCTCACTCGTCAAGGAGACATGGGGCACCGTCAGCACTGCCATAAGCGCACAGATGGAAATCGAAGAAATGGCCCGCGCAGAAGAACGTGGCGGCGACGACTGGACAGACGAGAGAAAGATGGAATTCGAGCGTCGCGTGACGGGCAAGATCCTCGCCGCCGCATGGCGAGGCTCCAAGTTTGAGATTCAAAGTGTTCTCCGCGACGTCTGCGACAAGGTGCTCTATGACAAGACTGTCAAGGTGGATAAGCGTGTCGAGCGTGCTCACGCTTTGCTTGTGATAGGAGATGTGTTTGCTAAGGCTGCTCGTAGCGCTGATGAAGAGGGTGATCATCTTGCCTTTGAACAGCTCATGGCTGAGGCTGCACAGAAGAAGGAGAAAAAGAAGAAGGACAAGGAACCAAAGGAGCCTAAGGAGCCCAAGGAAACCAAAGCCTAGAACTCTAAAGCTCCTTCTTTTGACTGGACCTTGAAGCAACAAGACCTCCAATGTTGTATAGATATCTGTCTATCATGCTACGACGCGCCTTATAGGTCTCCTTTTCCTGTTTCAAGATACAACTGGCGTTTTTCCATATCCCTAATCACCTGTACATCCGTCATCTTTTTCTTGACTTCTGTCACCTAGTACCCCATGGAATACCAAGCCCCTCTACCAATTACACCTTTGGCCTAATCCAACCAGACTTCTGATAACTGATTTCGTCACATATCACAACTTCGAGGTGTATAGGCAAGACTGGCCCAAGGCACGATAACTTCTTGAATTGCAGTGGCCTATGGGATTCGCAATGGCTTTGTGTATGCACTAGAGCTACCGAGGTATGGTGATTACTCATTGCTCTATCTCACGTAGGAAGACTGATTTTGCATCTAAAGACGTCTGCTCTATGACATTCTCATAGATCACACCACTTTCTGATGCAGCCATTCGGCCCTCGTGATCATCAGATTTGTAGATGTTCGAAGTGATGTGCGAATTTTGATGCTACGTGAAGACAGGGTCACCTCCAGAAGTACGCACCTCCGTGGAATATGTGATTGTGGATTGAGGTTTTCCGATTTCAACCTTTATCACTGCCGGAATACATGCAACTATGTCTGACTGATGAAAGAAGAATGTTGCTCGTGGGGACTCAGAGGGGCAGCATGGTTTACTTCTACCTCTTCTGATGAGCCTGATGAGCCTAATGAACCTAGTAAACTGTACAAGTCTTTTCTCGTGGAACATGGTCATTCCATTGTGTGTGGTCAATACTCGTGGCTACATTCAGTAAAGACATATATCATTGCTGCTGAAAAGCGTTGTATGCATCGATGTGACACGAAGACAGGATCATTACCTTCAGCTTATAGATCGATCTGTCGGTCACATAGTAGTCGGAGATGCTCGCTAGTTCTACCTTCAGATCTTCGGCAGAAACACCCTTTGGCGCAGTTGAGTATCGGCACATACAAGCGTGCTAATACATTGCCTCATATTCACAGTGTACACCGCATCCTGTATCACTTGCCTTTGGAATCAAGTCCATTTCCTCGTTGACAGGAAGGGCCAGTGTTCTGGACCCGGACCTTGAGCGAGAAAATCCAAGTCTCAGTAGAGACCAGGCAGAGTTGGGTTTACGGTCTTCGCATTGCTGGGGCTTCTGCTTTGACCCGATCGGCGGGACCGGATACTTTGACGACCTCTGGAAAATCGTATGGGCGCTTTCGCTGAACGTCTGCATGGCGGTTAGTGAATTCGGTCTGGCCTATCGTCTTGAACAAACTGTTTGCGGATGGTTGGCCGCGACCAGTTTGAACATTTCAGACTTTGTGACATTGCGACTTCTGGATACTCACGTGCGATGTACCGAGGAAAGTCGCGATCCAGGTCTCCAGAGATCGTCTAGCCGAACTGGCGTTGAACATCTATTAGTCCTAACCTGGGGTCGGTGCCTGAGGCAAGTACGGTGTCGTCCTTAGCAATCTCTGACATGGAACATTCTGTCGGCAAGCAGATAAGACGCAACCGCATCGCAACGCACACATGACAACACTTTTCTCTATCCACTGCGACCGACAGACACATGCACGTGTTATTTTGAGTTGACGGGTACGCGCTGCGGGCGCTGCACGAAAAGGCGAGGCCCAGCCGACGCCGACAACCTTGAAAGTTCGGAGTACGGTACGTACTCGAGTATACTTGCCGAGTCAGCTGTGTCGAGTCTCCGCTCATGCCAACGCACCCCGGTCGTACCAGCGAAGCTGAGGTCAAGAGCATCCTGGAGCTAGTGGGTCGACAGGAAGGTGGTGTGAGTGTTGCCTGAGCCAGGATGGATGCCTGCCATGCGCTGATTTGGTAAGCTGCGGGCTCGCTTGATCAGACAGGTTTCTTGGAGATTGGATGTGACCAAGAGAAGAAGTATACAAGTCTTGAGTTGCATGTGACTTCCTCTTCTGCCCTTTGAGCTGCCAGGTTGATGTATCAACTATGATGTGATTCACCGCATGTAGCAGATAGTGTCGCTGAGTAATCTCCATACAGATATGCAGGGCCGCGTCTACACATCATCGCTTGGACAAATCAATGCTTATCGTGCATTTAATATGGCGTGTGTTGCCCGATAGATGAACAATTGATGAAGACTGCGGGCACGTGGTCCTGATTTGCAGTGCATAATGCGGCTTGGAAAGTCCGTGATGGGATGGTGCGGATGCAGCGCAGTCTGCTTGCTTTGAGAAATGGTCCAAGAATGAAAATGGCGCTGGATGAAAGTCTAATTGTAATGCACATCGCGGCCACCGCCGTCGTGCTAAGAATCTTGTTCGTCTCTGCACTACTGCACATGCTGGCCTCCTGCATGAACCTGAGCGTTTTATGGAGAGTGTGCTGCCTTGCCGGACATGTCATGCGATGGCGTTTGATTACATGCGCTGTCATGACAAGTGTACTCGAAGTAGAAGGATCAGGGCGGCAAGGATGACTGATGCTCTGTCGTTGCCTAGTCAGGATTGGAAATCAGACAGAGGCTCAATAAAGGTGTCTGTGAAATGCAAGCCACGGAAGCGGCGGGGTTATCGCGGATAGCCGCTGTCCTCCGAGAGCTTATTCATAGTAAAGTCAATATTGCCGCCGAGAATGGAAGTTGCTGTTTTGCCTTGTGTCTCTTCTCAGAAACGCGTACCGCTAACCATTTGAAATCGTTCGCACATCCTGGATCATGATTGGGTCCGAGGGGATCCATCTTCGGCTGGCAGAAAGGATTTATCGATCAGTTAGTGCTTAGTCCTTATCATGACGACGATAGGAGAAGACAAAGCCCCTTTCCGTGCCTGCCACGTTGCGGAAGTGAGCAGGTACAGAGGTTACTCTACGATGAGATTAGGATATGGTGGAGATACTTTTGCATCTTTGTGGAGGTGCAGTCGATCATGGCGCAGAATCTCGATAGCAAACGGCACATGAACCTTTACGCTTTCACTCTGAAACGCCGCGGCTCTGCATATCTGTCATGTCCAACCTTTTCTCACGGTACCACAAGCATCATCGTTCGTACTTGCGGTTGTTGGAAAGTTGGAAATTGTACGTATGATGTAGCTATACCACATCTTCAGAAGGTTCAAAACACTGGCATGACCGCACACTGTGATGGTGGTTACAGTACAGGTTGTGCCTGGCGATCCCAATTGCAGAAATCCGTCATCGCGCACTCCGGAGGAGCAAATCATCGAGTTATTGACCTGCAGCAGAGCGAGAGAAACCGTTGGAGTGAAAGACATTCGTTCTTGTGCTGAGCTTAACTGCTGTGGGGAAGGTGACCAAAAGGTAATCGAAATTGCAAGTCAACCGCGTGGATAGAGGGCATTTAGCGATTGGACGGAGCAACTTCAACATCACGCGTATGCGGAATAGATAGGACAGTTGAGTTCGAGGGGATGATGATTCGATTGAGAAACGATAACTATTGAGGCGCGATTCTGTCTGCTGCCATGGGTATAATATGCAAAAATCCCGAATACTCCAAACAATGAACCCCATAGGAGCTGTTCCCATGACCGATGAACTGAAGAAAGTAATGAAAAATTGCGTCAAAGCGTGTCGAAGATGTGTGTGATCTCCGATTGTGGGGCGTTAAGGTGGTGTACAAGACAACCAGTTGAACAATATCGTGTTGGTCGAGGCTAGCATGGGAAGACCAAGAAGCGTGGGCTGCAAGTTCCATGCTGAGTTCTGAGCAAAGTGGGGTTGCCAAAGTGGGCAGCTTTCACAAGCAAGTGCCTGTCGGACCACTGATCTGCGCTGGGGGTGGGCCATGCATGCAAGCTGTGGATCATGCTTCAGATTGTAGAGAGCATCCAATGAGATCAGTTGCTCAGGTATGCCCGCTATCAGGGTGCAATTGAGTGAATGCAAGTGCGGTGCCGAAGATGGGTGGCTGATGATGGAATAGAGTGATGTGCACGTCTTGCGTGCAGGCGATATTCTCCTCATGAAACGTTGGTGTTGTGATGTGATGATTCGAGATCATGTCCGAAGTGACTAATAGTTCACTTGGGAAGAGGAGGCAGAGGTCTGTTTGGGGGAGGACCAGGGCATGGGGGGAACTCGAACATGGCAGGCATTGTGATGTAGAGTGGATTGTTGTGTAGTAAAGAGGATGATGGACAGTAGATTGGGCCAGATGCTGATGCTTGAAGCTTTGGTAGAGGTTGAGACTTGAGATGATTTGTGTGCGGGATGAAAAAGAGCGGATGGGATGGGAGTAGGCAGGCATCTATATATTCAGTCACAGTGATAGAGGGCTCGAGTAATTGGCCATGATGCAACTTGAAGCGTAGGGTCGGTGACTAACGGCCAAGCACAAGGGTCGGATGGCCCGTGGGTCTAACAAGGACTGCGCGCGAAAAGGAGACACCGGGCTGGCTTTCGTATCCGTTCGGCAGCAAGGCTGACAAGACCAACTAATCTTGGAGATTGTGACGTTTTCACTCGGATGATCAAGAGGCAGCAGTCGATCAATCTACATCATATCCCTGTTTCATATACTGTCTTGCAGCCTTCACATTCCATGTTCCCTGTTGATTGTGCCGCTCGAGAGCAGCGGTGAAGTGGCCGACTTGTTGATCATTGATTGCTGTTGCTGCCCAGACTCTAGGTACTTGCTCCTGCTCCAGACTGTGTGTGTCAGCAATCGGTGGCTGACGAGTGCCTGCTCAGCTAAGCTGTACGACGGTTACCCTAGGTATGCAAGCGATCCAGGTCAAGGTTTGGTCAATTTGAGACAAAGTCAAAAGCACCGAACCGACAAACGGTCGACCGCCGACATGTGTCTCAAGGTGAAGATGCGGGAGCCGGGATTCGTGGCAAATTGCGCTGTCGTCGTTGCAAACGCTCATCAAACGATTTCCAAGCATGACTCGTCACTCGTCTTCGACCTGACGTCGCACCAAGCCCAATTTTCTTCAGCTAAAGCATTTTCACTCTACTCAGCACTCTAAGCGAATGATTGCCCTACCGAAGGCCTGTAGAATTTTTGTGGAAGTAATGATGCTCTCGACGATCGTGAATAGTCTGCTCCAAGATGATCAGTCGTTGCTACTCGTGTACTGACAGAGCCCGAAACACCGAAAACAAGACAAGGCGAGTCGTAAGAATCTCGATGTCTGTTACCAGAATATCTCCAGTGATCGACCTCCTTGGATGCAAGTGCTGGAGTTCCCGCACTCGCACACGTGGCTTACTGCCATGCCTGTCAAAAATTTGTCGATGTGTAAGCTCCAAAGGGACACCGTATCGGGAGCCGTAGCCTCGTCATAGTCAACTCAAGATCTTACTCAAGCACTCTAAAAGTCCGAACTGGATGCCACACTTCTGCTTGGGAAGTGCCAAATACGTTCCCGAGCTCTTGGTACTTTGTCCAACTTTTACGAACATCTTCCCCGGATCAACAGGGGTGCGTGTGCGAGAGCGGCACGATTTCTGCTTTTTCCGCGATTGGGCTGCATGCTACCAATACACAATTGTTCCACGATCATTCCATCTTGTTTCTCTCAGCTTCTGCATGTTACACAATATTATGGCTTTGATTTAGAGCGCGTCGCCCAGGTCCGGTTGCCTACTCCATTCAGCTCATACAAATTCTCGCTTCCCGGCAGCCCCGAGACTCGGGTAGCACACGCGGACTCGTGGACGCGCAGCTCGCACAGCCTTGCTGGTGCCAGAAGCATCGTATCATGCATACCGTTACTACCTCGATACGGAAGCATGAAGAAATAGATCGTCCTAAGGCAGCATTCTAATGAGCCGGTCTTAGCATGCTAGTAGTGTTGTATGTTCTGCATCCTCGTTGGCGCTATCGGACGCGCCATGATGCACCATTGCATTTTTTGTGCTGGAAAGGAGCGCAGCCTTGACCACTACTATACATGTGTGCGAGACTGTGGGATTCTCCGATGATACAGCGCATCTCTCCTGAATTTCACCGCCCTTTCTGGATGTGCCAACGGCTATGAGCTGCCCCCAGCTTCCGACATACCTGCTGGAGCTTTCGCGCAACTTTTGCTTTGGAACGTTACCCTCACCGCAGAGTCACAGACCTTTGTGGTATCAGTTCTTCCCTTGACTCGGGTTCGAGAAGGAAATGATTTTCTTCTAGTCTATACCGACTGGCGCTGCTAGAACCTCGTGTTTCACCCTCGCTCATCATTTCCCCCAGGTAGACCCTGACATGGCCCGTACCGCTTGACGTTTGACTACCCAAGGCCACTCATATCAACCCTGATAATTTTGAACATGGCACGTGTAAGCTCACAGACCCTTGCAAACATTCCAGGGAAAGTCCCTAGTCCTTTTGTCAGCAAGTTATCTCCGACCTACCTTTGTGGTGAGCACCTCCAGGGTCGCAGTAATATGAGCACAGAACTGACAGGTGAGGTGATGATTCCCTGTGGGTCTCACGTCTCACAGCAAGGAGAGTTCGTCCTCATTTCTTCTATGCACAGCACGTCCGCGCTGCACTTTCCCTACTGAGCTGCGAGGTCATTATGCATCAGCGCCAGGTACCTGGTTACAGGCCTTGAACATGGGCTGCAGATTACCAATTGAGACAAAATATATTGATGCGCTTAGTTTATCCGGTTCATGCACTCTCGGTGGAGGCAGGATATTGAAATTGTATGTGCAGATCTCTGTTCCGTGCAGATACTATCAATGGCATCGTATAATCGAACCACTCTGCCATGCGTGCATATCGCTGCACGACTGCATGAATTTGCGAGCACCCGCACTTTGTACTATCTTAAGATACCAGACACAGTCGCAACGTCCTCTATCGTTTCAGGCTTGAAGCCTGTCCTTTGCGGTCTGTCTATACTAGGAAAAATTTGAAAGCCGCGAGTTCAACTTCTGGAACATTGTGCGGAAAGCATTTTGATAGCATTGACCGTCTGGTTAAATGTCGGTCAAGGTTTGTCCTGAGCCTGGACCCTGACGAGGCTCAGCCTCCAAAATTACGGAGAACTTGAAACATCATTTACAGCACGACCTGTGATCTCGGTGCTCTGTTCAAAATGATCACGTCTCTGAGATGTTTGGACAACATGAGGGCTGGGAGCATACGACTTACTTGTCACGTTCCTCCTAATGTCCGCGTTTCAGGTCGACTTCGCCACATATTTGCACGACGCTGCCCAGCTTTGCTCGGCTCGAAGCATCCGCTTAAGATGTTGTTGACCATGATCGATTGACTACCTACTGGACGCATTCCAATGACTTACTCCTCTGAGGAGGCTTATCTTCCTCCTCCGCGCATACGAAATACTATTACACCGACGCACGATAGTTCCTCAACTTGCAGCGATGTCATTGAGATCATTGGTCTCATCGACTCCCTGCTAGGTCTATCAACACGAGATATGACTGTGTCTTTCTACAGCTCGAATTTGCCCAATTCTGATTAATCAGGAGCGTGGGTTTGACAGTGTTTTGTACATGGGATGCTGCAAGCTCCACTGACAGTGTCAACACGTGCAGGACTTTCTTCACAGCATAGCCACGCATCTATCGCACTAACAGCTAGTTCTCATGGGCCTTCCAGAGACCCGAAGAGAATCCATATCTCCACAAATCCTTGGTCAACCAGTACGGGATATGGCGTGCACAAGTGGTGAATGGTCACCTATAGCGTGGCCGATCAAATCCTCCACAAAACGCTTATCCAACGGTTATACTGTCTCCACCGTCATCGCGCTAACGCATCTCCGGTGTTGGCCAAATGTCGAAAAGGACAAAAATGCATCTTACCAATATTGGTTCCAAGCGATATCCTTTCTCTACATACGTCCAACTCGTCTCCAAAACCATGGCTTACGACACTCTTCCAGCCCCATGTGGATACTCGAGCATCCTCCGGCTCGTTGTGCTACTGCACGATACGGACTACTTGGCGGAACTATTTTGCTTCACGGTTTCTGGACCCCGGTCTCTATGTTTCTCCATACACTAAACGTCTCGTTGAAGCTGCGTCGGACCGTTCCTTGATATCCACATCAGGTTGCCATTGCATATATGGGGTTTGACTAAGGTAGCGCGTCCGAAAAGACCGCTGGATTCTGGCCCTCTTTCCAGATGGTCTGTCTGTACGCAGGAAGCCTCCAGGCAGGCTCAATCTCTGGAAAGACTCACATAACATATGCTATCACATTGTCACAGGTGCGGAGAGGTGTTTACGGCGTGGCCACCACCGATTGTATCAGAAACGTAACGGTGATAGCCCACAGATCGGCAGCATCTCCGCTGTCTCATGTTTCGCAAACCCGTTGAAGGATAGTCAACAGCCCGTGGAGACGCAACCGCCACTACGTGCTGCATGTCTTAGGAGCCCCGTCAGTTGTGGCGCTTATCTTTCTATAGTGCCTATAGCCTACGAAGATCCCCAGTCTGGCCGTCGTAAAACTTTGTGGCGAGGCTCGACTATCGTTCGATACTGTACATCAGTTGTAACTCGATCGACAATGCCTACGCCATCGAACCTGCGGTACAGCTTGTCCACAGGAAGCGGAAACATGTCATACTCGAGTAGCAGCTGAGGACATTTGCACTCTTCCTTCTGGCGAAATTGGTCACCCATGACTCTCCTCCGACATCCGTATGCAGCAACAAACGAGCTGTCAAAAGGCATAATTATTTAATGAACCAAGTGAGTCTCTTTGGAGAGCCGATAGATCAGAGGCTCTTAATAGACGTTGCTCTCATCAGCAAAATGCTTGTGCAATGGTACAGATGCAAACTACTGGATGCCTACGTTCGAGGAAGCTCACAAGGAGAATCATTGCTATTCACTGCTTATTGCCATAGGACCCTAGTAGCCAAAGTGAGTCATCGTCGGTCGGATGACTAGGAAACAGCCTATCCTACTCTCAGGCAACGCTACAACGCAAAAGATGATGCTTCTGTCGCTTAAGAGCGACCTCTGTACGAAACCAAGAAACTCCTAAGGGCCCCGAATGCGTCGCTTAAACCTTCTCTCTGGCCGGCCAGCAATTCCTTCGCCATGCTATCCATAAGGGCACCGCCCTCAGCAGAGTTGGTCAGCAAGTCCATACCGAACTCGGCCACAGCACTCGAGACCATGTCTTCATGCTCCTCCTCCAGGAAGTTGATAGCAGTTGGTGCCGAAGCGGCTAGCAGGGACGTCATAATCTTTGCGAATGTCTGGCATAAGGCATCTCTGTCATCTTGTGTAACAGCCTGGCCAAGCGCCTTGATGAGGTCGGCGATCTCGGGGACGATGGAAACGCTGGCACTATAAGTGCGAGAAATTTGGAAGATCATCATCCTGTACTCATCGATAGGCAGGCCTGGGCCGACAACGGCATAAGCCGGAGTTGACCATTGAGCCTCAACATCACTCTCTTTTTGGATAAGCTCCTCACGTGCATCGGTGTTGTTGGCTACCGGTGGAATCGGCATGACGGGAGATGCTCTAGCGATAGAGGGCCCAGTCGTATCAGGAGCGGCCGGGGAAGACATGTTGGATCCAGGGGTAAGATCATCACCGCACAGAGCGTCAGATGAGGGCAGTCCACGAGTGCTTCGGCGGGTCTGACACGTATTAGCTAGCGCTACTATGCGATCGACTTCGACCTACCTTGTTCTGATGCGCTCTTGTAGATAGATCATGCTTGGTCTTGATTGGCTTAGGCTCGGGTTCGGATTTGGACTGCCTGAAAGGATGTTAGACAAGGCTGCCGTACATGTCTTGATACAGGGGCACACTGACTTGGTTCTGAGGAACATGTCAAGATTCACGCTGCCATCTTCTCTCTGGAAACGATAGCGACCGAAGGTATAGTCGCGGCAGATAGTGACCATTTCATGGCCACAAAGGTCGAAAACGTAACCGATTAACTTGTGGAAGGTGGCGTTAGTCTCGATTTGACAGTTAGGATGACGGTCAACTCACGAATCCTTGAGTAGCTGTATCAGAGCCAGGTTCGGTGGCGGTTACAGGAATTGTCTCCATCTGCAAATCCTCATGCGCGTCCTTACACGAGGTAGCAAGGCAGTATACCTGTTTGAACACGCGATGTCCGTTGTCCAACTGCTGAACAGTATCCTTGCTAGCTGTCAGATAAATGCCGGGAAAGTCATCAAGCAATTTGGCTCTCTGTAAGCTTCTTGGTTTATTCGCTATAGCTTGCGAGAGATGATGCTCTGCCTGAGCCAGGACCTCTCCAAATGTCATGTGGCCATTGTAGCTTTCGTCTGGCTGATGACGATAACCTGTCCAGACCTCATCGTCTTGACTGAAGGGCTCTGTCTGACAGTTGCTGTGGGACTCGCCCGGTGGAGCGAAACAGATGTATGGATGTGGATCGGGTTTGCGAGGCATTTTGATCGGTGGTCGTCGTTGATGAAAGAGTGAAGGTGTGATGGTTGTCAGGTGGAGAAACTTGGGTGGCTAATGACGTTCGATGTATTCGTGCATGTCACTGAGAAGACGATGGGTGGTGGTCCCGTGTCGTGAATCAATACAACTGTGTGACAGAGTTGAATGTGATCGAATTAGCGACAACGTGCTTACTTGTACTCCTTCCTGATGAGTAAGGAACGCCCAGCAAACGCAGCATCTGAGCAAACGCCGCTCTCAGCGTTCTGATCTTGTTCGATCTCAATGAAGGCTGCGAAAGCTGGAAAACTTCAAAAACTTGTTTGGAATGAGAAAGCACGTACTGAGATACGATTCTGAAACGGCTCTCGATGGAGTCGGATGCTCTGAGGGTATATCATTATAGCACGGGAGGGATCAACTGAGATGCTTGTTGTAAAGTGCCCCTATAGCCCGACAGCTCTCAGGCTTAATTCCCATAGTTTGTTCTCGGCTGCCTCGTCGTACGCATAGGAAGCATAGCCACACCTTCCAATCCCTTCATCCTCCGCAAGGGCAGGAGCTACGCCAACCTCGGCCAGGTATACACCACCATGGGTCTCGAAGTATGGGCTCAGAGTAGCCCATACAGTAGTTGCAGCTCCCTGTTCCGCGCTGCATTCTATTTTCTGGAAGTAGTCCGGGTCGCCAATGCTCAAGAGATCTTCCACTTTCTGATGTCGCATCAATTCGGTTGAGAGAATCACACCGGGGTGAACAGACACAGCTCGGATACCCTGAGATCCGTAGACTCTATCGATGTAGTTGGCCATGTAAATGTTTGCCGTCTTGCTTTGTCCATAAGCAGCATAGGGGTCGTAGCTTCCCACCACTGCGAAGTCTATATCGTCAAAGCGAACGGGACTGATGAGATGACCGCTGCTTGACAGATTTATGACGCGAGACTTGCGTTCGGATGAAGCCGATGACAACAATGTGGGCTTAAGCAGCTCAAACAGCAGGAAGTGCCCGAAGTGGTTGCTTCCCATATGTGTCTCAAAGCCGCTGACGGTCTTGCCTTGAGGTGCTGCCATGACGCCTTGGTAAATTTGTCAGTAGAGACTACCAAAAGGTCGCATGGCTTGATCACTGACCTGCATTGTTGATCAAGATGTTGAGCTGGTTGCTTTTGGACTTGAACTCAGTGACGGCTGATCTTACGCTCTCTAGGTCACCCAGATCCATAGAAATGAGCTCAATCATCTTTCCGGCCGGTGCATCGTCGGTTATGGACTTGATGACGGCCTTCCCTTTTTCGACATCGCGGACAGTCAAATATAGTTTCGCGCCTGTCCGGTATAATGCCCTTGCAGTTTGAGCACCGAGCCCAGCGGAGCACCCAGTAATCAGGATGACAGCGTCGTTGAGCTTTCCCTCTGCGTTAAGATCTTTAATGATCTCGAGAGCCGTCGGTCTAACATCTCCAATGCCTCTCAGATTGGTGTGTTTTGCGAGATATGGTCGAAAAAGCTCTGTGGTGGGCTCCATGTTTTGGTGGTGTTGTAGATGTTAGGGGTTGAAGGTTCTATCTGTTTGTTTGAGTGCTCGAGTACACCATTAGGCAAGACATACTCGCTCGGTGTTTCAGATACAGTAGGCTCATCCAATTTGCGAATAAGACTGTGCCACCTCACAATCTGTCGTCGCTGCTCTGCACAACAGTGGAGCGGGACACCACCAAGTATTGAATATCAGCACACAGGCAAAGTGTAGACACAAAATTGAGGGTCAAGACTCAAGAAAGACGCTGAACAAGTTCAAAAGACAAAACATACAGCAGCAGGGATTCCCACGTGGTCACCCACCGTAGTACTAATCTGCCGTTCAACTGCTTATGTATGGCAGAGCGGACGGGATGCCCAGTTTTCAGCTGACTGTGGCCGTATGTGAAGAGATTGTTAATTTTACTCAATATGTCTCTCTGGTATTTGAGATTGTCCTGTCGTTCCCATGAAGACAACTTGTCATAAGCTAGAAGAAAACGGAGTCGCTAGAAACCATTTTATCATCTCGACTGCGCATCTACCCATATTATACCATCTGTGTGTTGGCTTGCTGACGCATCTGGTGGCTACTTGAACGTGACTCGACGATGGTCATGTCGTCGTCGTCGTCGGCGACAACGTTGTCGTGCTGGTGACGTTCATTGGCATTAATCCTAGTCGGCTCTTGGACATAGGACGACGTTCCATCATGGTTGACAACCTTCTTGTGACGCAGGACGGTGAGGAACTTCTTGTGCCTGTGCCTGTGTGATTCATCCTTTTCCCAGTCTTTGTGTCCAGCCAAGAACTTGTAGACACGCATGTGAACTGGTCGCAAGCCGCCGACTTCGTGGTCGGCATCCTGGTCAAGAACGGTCGAGTTGTAGTCGAGTGCTTTGAGTAGTTGGAAGTACATGACACTGAGTACACCTCCGCACAGAGGGGCGACCCAGTAGATCCAGTGGTATTGGGGGAAGCTTCCAGCCACGGCTGCAGGACCGAGCGATCGTGCTGGGTTGAGCGAACATCCTGTCCAGGCCGCTAAGAAGATATGCAGAGTAAACAGAGTCAATCCGATGCCGACAGGTGCCAGGTAAGTTGCGCGGTGCTTTACGACATTAGCCGTCAGCACGTTCCCATCGATTAGACAATACATAGGCTCACCTTTTCCACTGCCAACATCAACACACTAAACACCAAGAAACTGGTGCCTAAAAACTCCAGGAAGAATGCCTGTTGGTACGAGATCTGAGCGGAGACCGTCGTGTTGACAACGTCCACACCACCCGATCCTGCAGGTGTCAATGCAAGCACCAAAGCAGCCCCGATGATGCCGCCAAGCAGCTGAGCACCGAACAGCGCGATTGCGCGGACGGTGGTGAGAACACCGGTCAACCAAAGTGCTACAGTAATAGCTGGACTGTAGGAGCAACGTGAGTTAGCCTTGTTCGGATGTTCATAGGGTTCGGGATATCCTACTTGAACAGGCCACCGGTGATGCGATAGAACATCCAAGCTGTGACCAGTAAAGCCAGGCCAAACGAGGTTGAGATCATCATGATTGTTTGAGAGTCCAGAGGAGCACTTGTGTTGGTTTGCGATGCAGTTCTAGCGAGATTGGCTGTCTTTGCAGCGCCCTCTGCCTATGGTCGCAGACGTCAGTCGATCGTCCATGAGTGCAAGAGCACAGAAGATGTCAGCATCGGAAGTGGGTCAAGACATACGATGAATAGGAACATAGCAGTGCCTAAGGTCTCACCAAGCACCGCTGTTGCATGGTTTTTGGCCTTCGTAGCATTCTCTCGCAAAGATAGATGCATGTTGAGTCTTGATCAAAACTACCTGGTCAGGGCGGTGAAATGGGTTGATGTGCGGAGACGAATGTGCAAAGAATGCAGATGACTATACGAGTAAAACATTCTCGTCATTCTGGGTCCTTCCCTTTATACCATATCATCTCTCTTCGCTCCACCGTTTGCTGCTCAGAGTTTCCATGACGCGCCCACACCTACGCAGCTTGGTTCGATTCTCGATCACAGAATAGCATATCTTTGAATGGGAGTCTTACAGCCAGAGCATAAATGCCAACCGTCAAGAGATTTAGGAGGATGAAAAGGGCTTATTCTAGGCGCCAGCCACAATTTGTGGTCATGTTCTCGGCGACCAAAGCCACACCGCGTCATAAGTGAACCTTCACAAGTAGCACAACCAAATCATAACAATACGAAAACTTGATTTTCGAAGATCGCATGTTGTCGAACCAGTAACAATCGAGCGATTTGCCAGTGAAGTTCCGAAGAACGCCTTTTGCCAATGGCGGGCAGATGAGTACCAATTTCCTGACGTTCATCGACGAATCTCGCTGTGACTCTTGTCCATCCCAAACTACATCCGCACATCAGATCCGTAGATGGCAGCTGATGACTTGGATCTTCACATTAACCACCGGCGCGTGCTTCCGACCTCACGACATCCGTAAACCTTCCATAATCAACGTTTGCAACAAACTCGCAGCCATTACACTTCTGGATGCATCGTCATGGCCAGAAACAGAAAGAGCAGCCCGCTTCCTACGGGGTATGCTCCAGCGTCGCAAGCAACTCCTTGAACCCTACACGGACCGCAATAAGAACAACCACGAAGTGCAACTAGAATTGCATTGCTTGAGCTGCGTTTCTCACCCACGTCGCTTGAAGTAATTTGCTGCATTTGGTCTACAAGGTGACTGGCCAAGTTGTTGGCGCACACTCCACGCGTGGTGCGGTACCCAGATACGTCTTTGTCGCTGACAGCAATAGACTCCTCGATGAGTACGAAGTGGATTTCTGGGACAAGCTTTTAAGCTGCGAGTAGCCACACACCCGTCTCGCGATCGTAGACTTAGTCAAGTGAGAATGGATCGACTGTAGGACGTATTGGGTTGCCAATGCCGCGGTGACAGAGTATGTGGCAGAAGCATGTTACTTTCCTGCTGTGGCGCCAGAAAGGATGACGGGGCAGGGTAAGTAAAGAGGTGTTCAGGACGCCAGGTGCAACGCTGTCGCAGACGATGCTGCTAGCAGATCTAACCTAAGTGGAATATCAATGTGTCCGATATTTCGCATAAGGCGTATACGGAACTTAATTGCGATGAAGAGGGGTCTACATACGCCGGAGGTGCCGCTCGATCATGGTATGCTGGTTCGGCTTGTCCTTGTTCTGCTCCTAGTGGAGGAGAGCATGCTTTTCGTTTCCTTGACGAACGCCGTTAGTACGGTGCTAACCTTGAATCTCCCACAGATCGGAAGCGGCATTCCGGTCACTTCCATACATGTCGTTTTAGATCGAAATGTGCCGTGAAGAAGGCTACATTGTGCTACTACAAGAATTGAAACAGGCACTATACTCCTAAGTGACCGGGTCACTTCTCAGAATAGTTATACTGCATGTCAAGATCATAGCATGTTGATTTGAGATGACAGGCAAGTTTATATCGCTCATGGCAATGGTTTATTGTCTTCTACTCGAGTAATGGAGACATTGAAGGAAGTCTTGTAGCAACGGGCTCATACGGAAGTATCTATAGTAGCTTTTACAAATAACCTGTTTGACAAACATGCAGGAGAATAGTTGAGAGATTCAGCGGGCGTGGAAGCGATCGCGCGGGCAATCCTCAAGAGGCTGACACAGTCAAGGACGCTCAATCACGCCTTCAGCCGTCGAGCGTCTTCTACTGAACTCGTCCTTGCATCTCGGTGGCAGCATTTAGCAATTACTCCTCTCGTGTAGATACTTCTAAGGTTGATGACAGGCTCTTGATCTATAACCAATTCAGCTCTGTTATTAGTGTTTGGAGGCTGTCAAGATGCAAAGTATATTCTGAGAGGGAGCATTGTCTGGAGCCGAGATCGTGAAGTGCAGTTGCCAGATGAACGCAGGTTCCAGGTCACGGTCAACAAGAAGCAGTGCCTGCCAAATATGCGCCAACAAGAGGAATTGTGGGGGAACTTCAATATACTCAAGCGTAGTAGTAGGATCTTGAGCATGGTCTATTTCTTCGCCTTCTTGAAAGCGGAGTCAAGCGTGCCCTGACCACTGCTCCTCGTTCTCTTTTTGGAAGGCGTCTGTTTGGGAATAGGATCCGGCTCTTCGGCACCGTGAGCGTCCTTGTCGCCTAGAGATCCAGCTGGGCCACCTTCCTTTCCTTTGGTAGGTCCTTCGGCGTCGTCATCAAACATTTGCTTCCACGTCCCATCCAGCACTTTTGGCGAGTCTCCATACAGTCCAACACTGTATGCACCTTTCAAACCACTTATACAAATTTCTCTTTGCTTGGCGAAGTCGAAGATGGGCTTGGGATACAAGTTCAGCTTGCCCTCTTTTTCTTGATCTCCGTCGCCCTTGATCAGAACACCTGCCTTCTTCTGGTCTTGGATTGGCGCCTTCCAAGGTTCGTAGATGTATTTGGTGGGGATATCCTTGAGCTCAGGCACGTATTTCCTGACGAATGCGCCTTCCTTATCCCACTTCTGGGGAAAGGCAATCGGAGAATAACAACGATAGTATTGCGAGTAGAACGCGACGCAAGACAGCCATTGCCAATTGCCGGCATTGCACGCCGTCTCATGGTCAATGAGCAATTCCTCGAATACTTCTGCGCCACGCTCCCAATGGATATAGCAACCACCGCGCGTCAGGAAACAGGCTACAGCATGGCGACCAAGATGGTGTATCCAGCCTTCAAGAGCCAACTGTCGCATCAGAGCATCGATCCAAGGGAAGCCGGTCTTGCCTGTACGCCAACGTCGGAACCACTCCTCCTTCTCCGGGTCGTCTATTTCGTACTCTCCGGTGATCAGACCTGTCTTTTCGTCAACTTTGGAGGGCAGATGCCAGGGAATGAACCGGCAGTGGTCGTTCTTCGCCGTCTGCGCGAAAGGATAACCAATTGCTGCTTGAGCACCGAAATACATGTCTCTGAACAACAGTTGTCCATGTAATGAGGTAGGCGGTCCAGAGGCCTTCCCCTTGAAGTTATCGAGCACTTCTTGCACCTTGTACCAGAACAGTCGACATGACAAGGAACCAAAGTGCAGATGAGGCGAGGTCAGGCAGGTCGATTGTGGCTCAAACCCAGTAGGTGCAGTCGCAGGCTTACTGAAAGTCGCCGTGAATTCCTCATCAGCAATGAAGTTCTCCAGAATCTTCAAGGCTACCGACTCGCCACCCCGGTGTGGTGTAGTAGCTGCCTTCATACCAAGCTCTTCCAATGTTGGCACAGAGAAATCGCCATTTGGTCCTGCTATGCCGACTTCGTAGGAGCCCTCGTCATCTGTTCGATGTGTCCGGTTGAAGTCAGGCTCAGAGTTTGGTTTCTCCTGCTCAAAGTCCAACGACAAATCTCCAGGATCAGGCAAGCTTGTCGGAGCAGGTAAAGGCTCCTCAACCTTGCCTATCTTCGCTGCTGCAGTCTGAACCTGATTGATCGTCATCGTCGGCTTTCCATGATTCGTCTTGACCAACAAATCACTATCGTAAAGCGTCCTTCCACTCTTCTGAATAACTCTGATCCCCATCTCATTTGCAATCTCGCAAATCTTTTCGTCCCTCTCCCTCGCATAAGCATCCGTATCCTTTTCAAACACCAAATGCGTAATCCGCCATTCCTTGAACAGCTTTGGAAACAGAGTCTGAGGAGCTTCGCGCAAAACGAAGAGTCTTGACTTCGCGTTCAGCTTTGTGATGCTGGAGGATACGTCGTTTTGACAGTCGATGAGGAATTGCCAGCGATTGACGCCGACGCGGGCGCGGTATACGTAGTGCGGATCCCAGGTCCAGATGGGATAAAGACATTCTGGCTTGAGGTCCAATGCTGCCGCTAGAGCAGGGGAATCGTGTAAGCGCAAGTCGGTACGAAACCAGTATATCACACGTGGAGTTGGTGACATCTTTCCAGATAATGAGCGATTCGGTGATGGGAGTGCTTCGACGATATTATTCTGCTGCGATGTGACGACTCGAAATCACGACAAGCACAAAGAAATGTCGACTACAAAGACGTGGCGCAATGGAGATTTAGACCAGCCTGTCATTTGCAATTTGCAATTACTTCTAGTATCGATATTACAACTTTACGCCAGGTGGGAAACCGTTCGTATATTTGATGATGACATTGATTGGAAAGTCAAATCGCGTCGATCGAGGGGGAAAGTCTTAGATCTGATCGCCAGGGTCACAGAAAGCCAGATGGTCCGCTACACCACTTCGACTCTTCTATACATTGATACAGAGCGACAACAAGCTGCCAGAAGGCACAGTCAATTTTCAGACCAGAAGAGCTCGCAGGGAAAGTCAATAAGTTACCGTCTCTCGGCAGGCATCACTGCGATTGAAACAGTACTGTGCCTTCAGACAAGTACGAGTCTCACATGCTTTGACAAATGTAGAGATGGAAGCGAAGTAATGAAATTAAAGAGGGCCAGTAAAAGGCGTCAAGGCAGCGACGGGGGTATAGGTCTGTCTACTGCCTGAACCCCTTGACTAGAAATAAAATAATCAAGAGGAACTCCACATTCCCGCAACAAAGCAAGCGGTTCTGTTCTAACCATGGTCCACCATCGCCAACAACGCCCACATCAAGCTCGTTCATTCGAACAAGCGAGTCTAACTCCTGAACCTGATCCGTTTACTCGTGATAAACCATTTATGAAGACTGTACACGCGTGGTTAATAGCTCTGCCCTACTCCTCAACCTTCAAAACAGGGTAAGCAACGTTGACATCGCCCTCAGGGGCGGCCTGCTGCTCATGCTGTTGCTGGTGCTCGTGTTCATGCTCATGGTGGTGAACCTGCTCGTATTGAGGCTCAAGAGCTTTCTGTTCAGAAGGCTGGTGGTCCATGTGCATGTCGTGATCAACATGGTGCTGGGGCTCGGGGTATTCAGCAGCCTCGCCTTCAAACTCCTGGTTGTTGATTCGCTCGCTGACCCATCTGCGGAGAGCTTCGATGACTCTGACGTTCTCAACCCAGGTAGCTTGCTTCTCATCTGAGTCGCTGCCTGCACCAGTGCTAGGGCTCTGGACAGCAGTTGATGTCTGAGAGGCAGCACGAAGAGCGGGATCGAGAGCAGACGAGTCCTCGGGTTGCTTGGTGCTTGCGCGGGGAGTCTTGGCACCCTCAGACTCGGTCTCCATAGCGTCGGAGTCGAGATCATGAGAACGAGGAGCAGGAGCCTCACGCTGGAGACGGCCGCCACTGTAGCGGCGGCCCTCGAAGCCCTCGAAGCCAGAAGCAAGACCCGATGCAGGGGCGGAAGTGGTTGCAGGGTAGCCAGCACCCATGTCCGAGATGGCAGTGACGGAAGGCAGACTGGGGTACATGGAGCTACCGTGGACACTGCTCATGCTAGAGCGAGAGTGGGTAGACATAGGAGACTGGCCTGCTGAAGTGTAGGATGACACGGAAGCAGGAGTGAGAGCAGGAGTCTCCATAGCATTGCTGGAAGGCATGCCGGAAAGCGAACCGACACCAGGTGTAGAAACGGAACCAGAGTGGTGCATGTTGGGAGGGCTGTCGCTGCTGCGATATTGGCTGCCAAAGCCAGGGTAGTTTGTGTACTGGGCATGGGATCCAGGCTGCTGGACACCAGCGGCGGCGGCGCTGTTGCTGCTCTCGTAGACGGTAGCTTGGAGCTGCTCGAGGAATTTGTCAATCTCGACCAGATCCTGCTTGGTACGGGCGTTTGAAGGCAGAGGCAGCGAGTAGGACTGGGTGAGGGGACCTTGCGACAAGCCGCCGCCACCAGTACCAGTCATCTGCATGTTGCCAGAGTTGTTGAAGCTATCGAGCAATGAGCTGGCCGCGCTGAACGATGAGTTGTTGTTGTTGGAGTAGCTGTTGCCAGTCGAGTAACCGTAGCCGGTGCTGATAGGGAGAGGCAGGTTGGCCGATTGGAGACGCTGGCCGACGTCGTAGTAGTTGCCAGGGTCAATAGCACGGCGCTTGATGTCGCCAAGGAAATCGTTCAGAGCTTCGATGGCGCGTCTACGAGTGTCCATGCTTTGAATGTCGGCAAGACTGTTGCTGGCAGGGTAGTTAACCTGGCCATAGCCTGCGTACTGAGGCTGCTGCTGAGGTTGCTGGAAGAAGTTGTTGCTGTTCAAGCCGTGATTGGGGTGAGGGTAGCCGTTGGTAGCTCCCAAATCGTGACCGTAGTAGCCGTTGGTGGCTGGCATGGGAGTCAGTAGATGCTCGAGTATGTGGGTTGCAAAAAACTTACGCTGTGCTTGTTGGTAGTTGTTACCCGGGGGTCTATTCTGACCCATGTTCGGGTCGGGAGAGCGGAGAAGGACCGAGTCATCGGCGTGGGTCTTGACGTGCTTCTTGAGATCCTGAGGTCTCTTGAAGGCCTTGCCACAGAAGTCGCACTTGTGGGGCTTGAGGGGAACGTGTACGCGGATGTGCGAGGTGATGTGATCACGCTTGACGGTTGTAACGCGGCAGGAACCCCAATGGCAGGTCAAGTTGAGGTTATTTGTGCTCTTGCGACCGACGTGACGCTCGCATACGTGCTCCTGGTTCAGTCGTTAGTATGTGTACATGGGTATCGAAGCAAGGAAGAAGTTACATAAAGAGCCTCGGCAGTCTGATGGCGTTCACCACAGTTCAGCCATTGACAAGTGAGCGAGTCGACGGTGCTGCTTTGGCCGAGAGAGGGCGTTCCGATGGTGTGCTGTGCGGGCTGAGGCGACGCATGTTGTTGCATAGGCGACTGGAGCGCATGCTGGATGGTAGGTGATTGTTGGAGGGATTGTTGTGCCAGCGACTGCTGCTGGAGAGGCTGGTGCTGCTGGAGTTGATGCGCTTGCAACTGCTGGTGTTGCTCACTGGGCGATGCCTGTTGGAGTTGCTGCGCGGCGGCAGCGGCGGCGGCAGCGGCAGCAGGGTCAGGATGAGGCTGCTGGGCTGGAGAAGCCAAGGCACCTGCGAGCGACGAGTCCGACATTGTTTGTGGTATGTCTCTTGGCGCGCGAAGCTCAGTGGAAAAGGACGCGTCGTGAAGCCACGCTAGATGTGAATAGATATACAAATCTCCACGTGAATGGTGCTCGAAGTAGTGAAGATGAGGCCCAACACGTGAAGCGAACGGGCTCGAATGTGGGTGGAGTTGTGAATGTGTTGACCAAGAAGGAGCAAAACTGACTTGGCAAAAAGGGCAGGCACGATGGACTTAAGAGCGAGAGCGGCATCCCAGAAAGCCCAGTCCGCCCCTCCTCTTGCCAAATTTCGCCCAAGAATTTAGCGTCATGCCAGGATTACGCTTTGCCCGATCCGTGACACCTAGCAAAAGTCGTTATTCCCACCCACCTCAGCAAGACCAACACCTTCCAGAGTATACGCTTCTGCAAACACGAAGTCGAGGACAGAAGAGCACTGGAGGTAACGACGGTGCATCAAGCAGGTAGCAGAGCTTTGAAGAACCCGATCTCCTTGACCACGCGTTGCATCTCGGTCTGTTTCTGCCTTCTGACAGGCCCGTCATGGGCGTGGCGCTATCGCTGTGTCTCCACCTACCAGCTCATCTGGGCGCCAAGTGTATCACCGGGCAGTGTCGGATCCTACGTGATCTATTGGCTATCATATGCTCCTGAAGGTGTACTCGACGATGTCCAGATTTGGGTACCGTTGACGAGCGACTTGCAGAATTCCAGCTCGACATCGAGTACCGATCTCTTTTTTACCGCGAAGCACGCCATATCACAGACTGTTTGCCCGAATACCCATAAAATTCGACCAGGCAAGGGCCTGTCAACGTCTTCTTCTTGACAGCGACAGTCAACAGGAGCTCCATCTGCTATAATGCTCTGATCGTGTATGGCGAAATTGGCGTGTCGCCGTTCCGGTCATGCACTGTCCTCCGTGGTGTCTTGTACTCTTGAGAAGTTGGTCATTGCCAAGTCCGCTCAGGGAGCATTCCATTTACCAAGAAGTCCGTCCATGGCAGTGCTTCCGGGTGAAGGGGGGTTTAGCCAAGGAGGCGTTCGTTGAGAATTAAGAGGCCTTTGCATTGACGAGGTGTCCGTCATATCCCACCACGCGTCTCGTGGTGTGATACGCTTGGCCGTATCATCGTACAACTCGAGATGTGGCTTCTGGGAAGTCGAGCGCCGGGTGGGAATTGACACCCATACTCGAATGAGAGGGCTGCTCTGTCCTGGCTTGCTGACCTATCGACAAGCTGTTGTGACACCATTGTAATGCAGATGTCGACGATCGATATGATTCGAATTTGTTGATGGACAAGACAGTGCTCTCCACTCCGCTGACGCTGACTGAATAACATACAGAAAGTGCAAAGTATTTAGGCCAAGACTCGACTTGGCAAATACTTGTCTTGGAAGGACAACAAGATGATGCTGGACGGATGGCTAACAATACACCCCCTCTGCACTGTCAATCGCCCATGAAATCGACGTTTGGTCTACCCGGTAACACACATCTTGTTCTCTCAGAACGATCAACATGAAAGAGAAGAGTGCGGATCAAAAGTACAAACGACTGAACAAATTGAGAGATCTGGAAAGCACAACACCAGATTTGTGCAGATATCTGGCTCATGTATAATATGTTCGTATGATACGCCATACAGGTAATCAAACCCTACAGACGAACTTGCCGATCTAGCCACAGCCGTGTTGACCTGCTGAGAGGGCCTCACGTGTTCGCTTCTGCTCTACACCGAACCCTTGGACGATGTAGACTTATGTGTTGAAGCCGTCGATCTTCAGTACTCATGCTGAACTGTGCGTTGACGCAACCAGATGCGTGGCAGACGTTAAAACATAGAGGTCACTATCGATAAATCTCAATCAGTAACCTCGAGATATGAGTGGCGTGTATCGAGACTCTACACGCCAGCCTACAGTGTAGCAGTCGATACATATATGCAAGGAGCGTGTGTAAAAGCGCATATTCTTCTTTTCCACCACTGTGTCTTTGTTATCTGCTTAAAGCAACTGGGAATATTTGGTGACAATGCATTTTGCGCAGTTACGGTCATGTTGAGGACAAAAAGTGTTTGTGATCAAGAGGTTTTGGTATTCGTGATGAACTACATGTTTCCATCTAATCCGAAGTAAGAATGCCACATTTCCCATTTCTGAGATATGTCCCGATGATCTTCTCATAACATTCGTGATCCATTGATCCTGCCCTCAGACAAACAACCACGCCATCGAGTCGAGGCGATTATAGAAGGTATAAAAAAGGAGAAGCTTCCGAGGCGAAAAGTTGATAGGCTGAGCAAACACGAGTTGCAGGGACCATCAAAGATGAACCGAGGAGGGTATTATGCTTTGTAACCCGACATCGAGGCGAAGATGAATGGCTGGTGTGAGGAGGATATTGAAGATTCGATCAAAGCGAGGAGAGACGCTTAAATGGACTCCTTGTTGGCCTTTGCCTGGGCCTCGTGAGAGTGCTGGTCGAGCTTGTCGGAGGCAGCGCCCATGGCACCGGAGACACGGCCGGAGATGGAGTCATCGGCGGTGTTGCCCTTCATCTGCTGCTTGTTGGCCTCCTTGGATGCCTCAGCAGTGTTGCCCTGGATGGTCTCGGAGACGTAGTTGGCAGCGTTGGCGATGGTGTTGGAGATCTGGCCAACAATACCCTCGTTGGGCTGGTCGACGTTAGGGGCAGGCATTTTGATTGGGTTGGTGGGGGGGTTGGTTTGGTTTGGGTGGAAGAAGATTGTTTTGAAGAGTTGTGATGAGAAGAAGCAAAAGGGCAAAGTGTCTTGAGGGGTCCTTCTTATACTTGTATCTGGCTACCGTATTCCTTGTCTCTCTTTCAGCACGTGCAATACTGTGGCATTCCATAGTGATCGAAATCCATGGTGGTCCACCTTCGGCCTCATTCGCTGACCCGACTGACATCAAGGCGTTTGCCCTTGCTAACGACATTGAGCCATGGTCTGGCGCTATAGCAACTCAATGGGCTTGGAATGGATGGACGCCCCCGCGAATTGTTGCTAAAAGTCCCTCTTTGATTTTGATCACGCACCCCTCGTCTGCCTACGTCATGGCTCCAATTACAAAACGGTTCCGAGTAGCAATACAAAGAGACAATACCATAGCTTTGTCAAACTTCGTGTTGTTAGAGCGATCGGTATCTCAGCGAGTGAATCCATATTCATTCCCCAAACCGGAACACTCTCGAGGGGCTCAAATTCTTCCTTCACTATTAAGCTGCACGATGGTAGCGGGGTCGTCAATACGCAGGTACTGAAATCCAGATCTCCGGAAAGTGGGGGAGGCTCGAAGTTGAGGCGCTTGCCCTGAACATCTTTCCCGTTTGCGGTAGCTATCAGCCACCTACATCATCGATGGTACTCTTTGCTTTCTCTCCTTTAGCTCGATGCACATGTTATCCCGATCTCGAAGATCCAGCTAAAGCTCGATTTGTATTGGCATGTGACAAAAGACGGTGAAGCCGAGGTGAGCCTACCGTACAAAAGTAGGAGATACGATCTGCTCGTAAAGGCGTTTTGCGCAGTTGCCAGCGGCAGCCACCGGCAGAGTTCAAAAAGGACACCTATTGGAATCAATCACAAGCCACAGACAAAGCTGAGGTTGTTCTGCAGGGGAGGGCATCTCCTTCCCGAGCCGCGGACCAAAGAGCTGGAAGCCCACAAAAAAGCTTCACTGTCGATCTGGTTGCGAATCCCCCTCAAGAGGGGCTGTGTCTCCCATGGAAACAAGATCAGGCCATCGGAATGTATTACATCAGAGTAAACACACGGGTCCACTTCCGTGTTTGCGTGTAGCACACACATACGTATGCATAGCTTCTGTATAGATGAGGACAGCTCGCATCTTGCAACCCAGGAGCCATGCCGCAGACCTCGACCGGATGGCAGAGATGCCGGACCCGAGCTGCAGGAGTTCAACAGCATGCGAAGTTTACCGAGTACAACAGTACAACGAATCATGCGGAGTGCAACGGTGCTCGAACAGCACGACAGTACCTACCCTGCCGAAAACATGCGGACCAGCAGCAAGTCGTCTACCAGGGCACCGGTCTCAACTGCAGAGAAGTGTGTCGAGAAAGATGTTTTCCTCGGCATAGGCAACTGTGCATAGACTGCCGTCGACCCACCGGCAACGTAGAAACAGAAGGTATTTGTTGAAGATCAGCAGGACAGGAAGGACAGCGAAGCATACAACACTGTGGCTGGAAAACAAGATGCTTCACACTCCAACATCACTACCTCAGACACTTCTGCTGTCTCCCGCTGTTGAAGCAGAGCAATGACGTGCTGTGGAAAGGCACAGTCATGTTTTACACCAGCAGGCCTACACAGGGACTCGTAGGAAGCCGTATCTCGGACATTGTCACGGGCTCAAAGGAGTTTGTGCCTTCAGACAGCTGCCAGTGTTTTTCGCAGATCAGAAGGCACTAGGAGCAGCAAGTAAGACCCATTACATTCTCACCAGGCTACTAACAGCAGCAAACAACAGACCACTGCCATCCCTGAGCACGCCAACTGACAACGCCAGAAGGGGTATCCAGCCAAACCAAGACCAAACCAAGACAAGAGAAGGAACATAAAAACGACAACCACAATCACAAACCACCCAACTGCGGCACGGGGGCAAGACCACGAGTCTAGAAGGGTTCACCACCGGGCAACCTAGCCTTCTCAGGCCTCGACAAAGACCCGTCGACCCCCTTCTCAACCTCCTTTTTCAATTCCTCTTGCTTCCTAGCCTCATCCTCTTTCTTCGCTCTCAGCTTCTCAGCTTCTCCCTCGTCACCACCGAAGAAGTTTCCAACGCCTCCGCGGCCAGCTCTGACGGCTTTGTCACCTTTGGGGGCTGGTGTACCGTCGCCCAAAACGTTGCTGGTGTCTACGCCTTCGAATTTGCCAGTCGCAAGCAATTCACGAGGAGAGTAGTAGTTTCCTTGGCCGCCCCGACCTGTATGGGCCCATTGTTGGTTATGAAGAGCTGGGTGGGCGGTGCCTGCGTAGGCTTCTGCAGAGGCGTCTTGTTGCTGGCGTTCGATATCGGCAGAAATCTTCTCGTTCGTTGAGTTACTTGTTTGTGCCGCTTTGAGGGCTTCTATGTTACCCGCGCCACCGCGACCGTAGGCAGGCATTGTATTGGTGTTGGAAAGATATGCAAGGTCCAGAGAGTCGAAATGGGAGTTGATCGCGTAATTCGTAACTCGGGGGTCAGGAGTGGAGTTTTTTTGATGCAGGTACAGTAGTAGCAGTGATAGCAGCGATAGCAGCGATAGCGATAAAGAAGTCACTCACTATCTTAGCGGGATCTATCAAGGTATATAAGTCAAAGCCAGGCAATAATGCCGAGAAATGGTAAGAACAAGAAACCACCCGATCGTTATCAGTAATGACAGCGGCAATGACGTATCCGATTGCTCTGTTCAACGCGGGCTTGGTCAAGAGGATGACCCTGGTACTGAATATTGAGCATCTTATATAGATCGTTTTCACAGCATACAATACAACATTGCGGCTCTTTGTATATTTCTGATGCCCTGCCATATTACTGGGCTTGTTTGAGATGTTTTGGAGCTGTGGATGACATGTCAGACGAGTTTTGGCTCCTATATCATTTTTTGAATCACTTTGGCTTGACAAGCAAGCATCCGACCACCGCACTACTCGGATTTCCGTCCATGTCAACAACCAACACCAATTCTCAAAGTGTATTTCTGTAATAAGCAGTATACTTAAAAACATCAGTTCAAGGTATTACAAGTTTTTGAGAAAGTGATGGTATGATCAAGGTGCATTGAACAACCTCAATGACTCAATGGACAAAACTCCAAAGGACCCCCCGCCGAGGATGTCGCGCTCTACTACCACGTCGTTTTGAACACGCGACGACGAAAGGAAAAACACAAAGAAAAGCATGCAAGCGTGTCACGATTGGCGCAACGATTGTACCTGCTGGATAGCTGGTCGGGAAATTCGGAAACAACATGCCTTGCTCTACAACCTCTTCAGATATATGGGAAAAATGTGCAACATAGTCGAAGATATAGCAGAGACCACAACGTGTATCTGCAGTGGTAGTATTAGGATATTACAAGAGTATTGCCAGCCAAAGGCTCCCTCGCACTGGGGGTCGAGATTACTAGCTACATAGAGATGGAATCAAATGATATCTGAGAGGTGTTTCGATGATCAGAGGTACCGTGGATCAGGACCATAGAAGTGCAAGGTAATCTGTGAGCGTTGTGCGGATGGTCAGGGAAGAGGCGAACTGTCAGTCTCTTGATTTTCTTCAAAGGACAACTCTGAGGATATGAAAAGGATGTTGCCTTCCGGAAGTCGTCTCTAGTCGAGTGCACAGCAACAAGGAGCGGTTTGAAGCATGCATCGATCAATCAATATTCTATTATACACTCGCACCTATTGATCTATCTGCTATGAATCTGTCTCTTGTCCAAAAATCTTGCTACGCTTTTTTGTAGGATAAAAAGTGCGAGACGCTATGCTCAAAAAACTGCAATGCGACTATCAACAAAGAGTTTATCAGGGTCGTGTGAGCAATCATGAAAAATCAAGTCAGACCTTCTGTGAGCGTTAAGTATGAGAACCAGAAATCTCAGACGCTCCTGTTTCTTCTCCGATGCTTCATGCGCGTAAGACGTGACTAAAACTGACGCGAACCATGCTCGGTAGGGCTGAGGATTTGCTGTTCCTTGGTGCCCGAGCTAGGACCAGTGAAACTGGCATTGTCGAACTGAGGTGGAGCTGTTGCACCAGAAGTCGAGGATGATGCATTGCCCTGGATGTTAGAAGCCGACGTCTCCTTCGAGTAAAATGCCGGCGCAGTTGATGGCATTGCGCGACTAGGAATTTTCTTTTCTGGCATTTTGATATCGAGTGGACTCGTGACAGAGCCGCGTCTCAGCTCTTCGAGTTGCTCTTCAGGATTCTGTGATCGTGGTGAGAAGAGACCTACGACAGCAAATGGCAGGCAGGTTAAGAGGTACGTACCCAATCTGCCTGTTCAGGCACACCTGCTGCAGATGGAAGTTGTCCATTGTCGTTTCGCTCACCTGCCCAGAAGTTGGATCTGTGAATTGGTGCTGGGGTAACGGGCAAACTTGGACGATCGACTTCAGAAGGGAAGTGAGTGATTACCAGGCTTTCTTTGCGCTCGAATGCAGTGCTTGTTGCAGGAGATTGTGCCTGGATGGAATTCTTACGACCACTCGATTGAGAATCTTGCAATCTGCGAATGTATGTATCGATGCCCTGCACTTCATCCCAGGCATTTCTGTTTCCCGTGTTGAAGCTCTCCCAGGGGGCACTCGTGACCTTGATGGTAGGAGTAGCAGGGCTGTTGAGGCTGGATGTGTAGTCGGCCGATGGAATGGTAACTCCAGGGGTAGAGTTGGGAGATTCAAGATCCTCAACGAATTTCCTGGTAGGAGCGGCGTTTTCTCTTTCTTCCCATGGGAAAATGGGCTTAGGCTTGGCCGTAGGCGGGTCAGGCTTGGATTTGGGGACTTCATACCACATGTCCTTGGGGGGTTCAGGGTAGGACTTGGGTGGGCGGAAGAAGTCCTTGTCTTGGTTAAAGTCATAAGTCTGGGTGGGGAAATTGGCGGCCTCAGGTCTTGAGCCAGCGGGAGGCTCGGAGCTAAAGGGAGGTCAGCGATGAGGCTTGTTGACATGGCCAGGACGTCCACTTACCGAGTAGCATCCCACTCTGCCTGCTGGGCTGTAAATTTTCTTTGCTCCTGGGTTGATGTCGGTTCGACACGTCCTTGGTCCAGCTCTTCAGCCAACTCTCTGGGCTCAGCAAAACTGGGCTCAGTGGTCGTGACAGAAGCCTCGGGTTGAGCGATTTGAGAAGATCCAGGCGAGTAACGACCTGACGTGTAGTCGGGAACCTGCAACATGTCAGTCTCTGGCTGCTCTCTATGGTCGGGCGCAGTCACTTACTGAACCCTTGAAGTGCTTGTCGTAGACAGCCCACCAACGGTGCAGAAGCTCGTTGTAGGCTCCGGGAGCTGCATCCCGAGATCTGCTTGTGTTCCAAGGCTTGTTCTTTCCAATGAAATGCACCATGGCGATTCTCGACTTGTTGTAGCGGTAGGCGGGTTCGTACTGGTAGTTGGCGCTTGGTGTACAGTTGTAAACGAAGCTCAAGCGGTGCCAGTTCTTGTGCTCGAAGTACTGGTTCAGCAGACCTTGGTCTGCCCCGTCAAAGCTGTCTCCGGTGGCGGCAAGTGTTTGCAGGGCCCAGAAGTCTCCCATGTTCGGCTTGAGCACCATGACTCCAGTGTTGAAGGCATCTGGCCAGCCGACATCTGGTGCGCCGGCAAAGGAGGCCTCGACATCAAACAGCTCATCGGGAGCGCGAAGTGCGACAGTATCAGCGTCCAGATAGACGATCTTGCGGAATTGGGTCTGGCGCCAAAGGACGATTTTTGTGAAAGTATCGCGGAGGTCACCACGGCCCATGAGGTAGAGATTGGCAATGTTCGAAGTGGAGATGCGCTGCACGGGGATGACATAGTCGTATAAAGACTGGGACCTGTTAGTCGTAAGGTATCGTGCTGACCCCCTTTGTGCCGTACCTTTAATTCGGTGAGAGTACTTGATCGTAACGAGTCGGTAGTAACTATCACGGCGAGCTTCTTCTTGGTGCCATTGTCCCGGAGAGAATGCGCAAGTACAGCAGCGCCTATGCTCTGTTAGATAGTTGCGCAGCTAAGAGTGGGAATGCTTTTGAACACCTACCTGGAAGGTACGAGTCGCTCGTGACCATCTAGTTCCACAGTAGTCAGTTTACTGCAGTGATTGAGAGATCGCAGCCGGAGATAGAGAGATCGTGGCCAGAGAAGGCAGAGATGGTAGGACTAACCGTGCAATATACATCTTCTGTACTACTAGCCATCTTGACTGACGGCGTGGAGTAGTATTGACTGGTGTCGGAGAGTAGTCTGAACTGAGTATGCAAATGGCGGCGGAAGCGATTCTCTCTTCCTGACTGTCACTGAAGAGTCTAGACTCGGGATGAAAATGCACGACTAGCAGCGAGAATTAGTCGCGAACCCTGAATGGGCGCTGCGAAGTCTTGACTGACGTTGAAAGCGCTCGACTGCAGGCGGTAAGGTTTGACGACTTTTGACGGTCGACAAAGAGGTGATATTCTTGCTCTCAATGGACGGCGCGAGATGGTCGCGACTGACGGCGGAGTGTCGTTCCGAGTGACGACGGGAAGAGCTGGATCTTGATTGCCGGCTCGAACTGGTCTGAAAGCAACGTAGAAATTGATTGAGGATGGGATAGGAGGATTTGTTGGGTTGAATGGGGGGAGGATAAGAAGACAGCAACGCTCAGCCAAAACACGGAAATGTACAGCTCAATTATTACAGCAACACGTTCTCTCGTCACTCTGGATGATGCGGTGTGAGAGCGGAAGAACTGAAGGCAGCTTGTAGTGCTAGAGATATATATCCTCGAAAGAAGCCATCAAGGAAAAAGAGGGAAAATGGGCGATGATGCACATTCGCTTGCATTGACATTTCCCCCGGTTGCTTCTCCGTCACTGCCCTCCGCATCTCCACTCCACTTACGACATCGAGTAGCGATCTTCCTACCCTATCATGTACTGCGGAACAAGCGATCCATTCAACGAATTGCTGGATCCTGTCAAACCTATCAAGTGCACACTTCTCCGCAATTGTCACCTATATGAGCCGTCTTGCTATCTGGTCCTGTACCACGTGAGGCCAACTGCATATCTTTTCTCCGCACAACCACGGCCAAGTCCGACACAAACTGGGGTGAGGGTGAGGGTGAGTACATGAAGCGAGCGTCATGTTCAGACTCAAGGCAATAGGGAAGTAGGACCCCTTATCAGTGTGGAGAGGATCGCCGTTGGACTAGTCGTGCTCCCCGAATGCACACATACGTAAAGCGAAGATCACAACGAGAGAGAAAATGGTAGACGTGATATTTGGGCATACTTCATGAAACGCTTAATGAAGTTGGAAGAAATTTGTTTTTTGGACGACGAGCTTTTGACTCCCTGGCGATAGCGCCGACTCCTGTACGTGCCGCCATAACAAGTGCATTGAAAAACACCCTAACCGTGGCTATCATTTGCTCCAATCATGCATCACCGCATCTATTGCTGCTCCTGCTGCTGCTCGGCGGCGGGCTGCTCGGTCTGCTGCTCACCCTGCTCAGCGGCGCGCTGGGCCTCGGCGGCCTGCTGGGCAGCGGCGGCCTTGGCACCGTAGTCCTGGGACATGGGCTGGACAACGCTCTGCTCCTCCTTGGGCTCGATGATGGTGACCGAGTCGGGGAGAGCCTTCTGGGGACCAGCCTTGCCCTCGGGGTCGGCACCACGCATGATCTTGACCTTGATACCAAGAACACCCTGGCGGAGGAGGACGTGACGAGTGGCGTGGTCGATGAAGTCCTTGGCGGGCTGACCGGAGTGGATCATGAAACCGTCCTGAAGATGTGAGTTAGTATTTGAACGATGCGCTCATGTCATAACAAGAGGCGACATACAGTGAACTTCATGGACTTGGCACGGGCGGCGCGCAGCTTGCCGGAGACGACAACCTCGCAACCCTTGGCACCGGACTCCATGATGAAACGGAGGACACCGTAGCATGCTCTGCGGACGGCAAGACCGTTAAGGAGCTTGTATCTGAGAGACTCGCACTGGGCGACAGCGGAGAGACCACGGTTCTGGACCTTGGCGGCGTAGAGCGAGACAGAGTTCTCGGGGAACTTGAAGCGCTTCTGGATCAGCGAGGTGAGCTCGCGGATGCGGCGGCCCTGCTCGCCGAGGACATCCTGGGTGTGGGTGGCGCGGATGATGATGTCGGTAACGGTAGGGGTAACGCGGACCTCGACACCAGAGTAACCCTCCTCAGCAAGCTCACGCTGGAAGAACTCGTTGAGCTCGGCGTAGAAGACACCGTCTGCGCGTGTGTTTTAGTGATTGTCCCAATATATGTGTGTTTGTGCGTAATCTGAGATGCGAAGCAGGCGCAACATGAGAGCGATCGGATGCGAGTTGTAAATGGTCGACGAAGGTGTGGGAAATGCGAAAATAGCGAATCTAGTAGAGGGGAGGCATACCGGCGACGAACTTTCTGCGCTTGGAGCTGCGAAGGGGATTAGCAAAGGTTCGAGAGGAGCGACATGTTGTATGCGATAGTACTCACATAGCACCTGCTTGCTGAACGGCGGCCATGTTTGCGATCTGTGTTAATTGATCGGAAGGAAAGGGTGTCGTCGTTGGTCGTCAGTTGGCGTCCGGTCAGAGAATCGAAAACCAAGCGTAAACGCCGCACCTTCCAAAATTCCAGTGTGTGCCCTGCGGCTTCGCCAAGCCGGTCGCGCCTTCCTCGCGGCTTCGAAGGCTCGCGATCACGTGGATTTCGACGGAAGTGAATGAGCTCGGACCAGCAAAATAGTGTCCGCGACGCCGATGCTGGAGGCCCGCGTCATGTCGAGTCCTCCTCACTGAGGGGCAGCGTGTCGCAAAGATACAAACATCATAACTATCCGACACGAGAATTTAAGGGCATTTCGGCCGGATGCTGATTCCGTAGCGTGTCATGGATAAGATCAAGATTTCGAAGGTATGTTCAGACAGCGACAACACAACTCTACGCCCTTTGGAAGCATGCGCAAACCACCAACACGAGGGCTATACCAAAGAATTAGACTGATGGATACGTCCACAGGTCGAGAATGTGACGCTTCACAAGAGACGCATTCAGGCCTCAGGAACGCTTCATGTCCTCACTCACCACCTGATCTTCGAGCACCGCCTGACCACGCCTACCGACTCGCAAGCACCAGCCAAAGCGCGCGCCAAAGAGATATGGATCACATACCCCATGATCGCATCCTGTGTCTACAGACCGATGCCCGTAACGCTCCGTCAACCCCATGCCATCCGCCTGCGCTGCAGAGACTTTACCTATGTCGCTTTCCACTTCTCGGACGAGACGCAAGCTCGCAGCGTCTACGACAGCATCAAGGCCTTGACCTGTGGTCTGGGCTCCTTCAACAAGTTGTATGCCTTCAGCTACGACCCCCCACCGATCGAGAAGAACATCAACGGCTGGCAAGTCTATGACGCTCGCAGAGAGTTTAGGCGTATGGGCATCTCTCCCAAAGGCGCCGATAGAGGCTGGCGCTTATCCGATATCAACCGCGACTACGATGTACGCTGCCAATTCCACAATCAACTCAGCTGTCTCTGACTAACGCGAACCAGTACTCGCCCACCTACCCATCCCTCATAGTCGTCCCGTCCTCGGTCTCGGACAATGTCCTCAAACACGGAAGAGAATACCGCTCCCGATACCGCATTCCCGCCCTTACCTACTTGCATCCAGTCAACAACTGCTCCATCACTCGAAGCTCCCAGCCAAAGTGCGGCATGTTCCAAGACAAGAGAAATCCACAAGACGAACGCTTGGTTGCTGCCATCTTCTCCACCTCTAAACCATTGCCCGATGCTGGAATGCCTCTCCTTGACGATGATGGTCAGCTGTTCGATCCCGATATGCAAGAAACACCGCGTTCCATGACCAGGCCCCTGCCGACCGCAGAGGACACTGTACAAAACCAACCAACCGATCTGATGTACGGAGGCAATCAACAGACCGACAAGACCTACGGAGGCAACCAATCTACCGACAAGATCTACGGAGCCCAGCAAAAAAACTTCATTGTCGATGCGCGCCCACAGGTCAATGCTGTTGCCAACCAAGCTACGGGAATGGGCTCGGAGAACATGGAATACTACAAGGATGCGACGAAAGAATACCTTGGAATCGCCAATATCCACGTCATGAGAGATTCCCTCAGTAAAGTCGCCGAAGCATTTGCTCATACAGATTACATTGAAAACGGTCCAAACCAAGAGCTCCTTGCCAAAAGCAAGTGGCTTGATTACATTTCCCTGGTTCTGCGTGGCTCCAGCCTGGTAGCCCGTCAGGTTGGCATCAATCACTCTCATGTCCTCATCCACTGCTCAGACGGCTGGGATCGAACCAGTCAGATCAGCGCCCTGAGCCAGCTGTGCTTAGACCCATACTATCGCACTCTCGAGGGATTCATTGTCTTGGTGGAAAAGGACTGGGTGTCTTTTGGTCACATGTTTCGTCATCGATCCGGTTTCTTGAGCAGCGAAAAATGGTTCGAGATCGAGAACGAGCGTGTTGGAGGCAATCGCAAGGTCGACAACCCAGCTGCAAGCAGCGGCAATGGAAATGCCTTTGGCAATGCGCTTTCCACGGCAAGAGGCTTCTTCGCCAAGAAAAATGACAGCAGAGAGTCTTTCGATGTCAACGATGCTGGTGATGGCACGCCACACACATCGACTGCATCTCCGAAAGGTTCCAAACATGCCACCACTAACGTCAAGGAGACAAGTCCCATCTTCCACCAGTTCTTGGACGCAACTTACCAGATGCTGAGACAATACCCGACCAGATTCGAGTTCAACGAGCGGTTCCTACGCCGCTTGTTCTACCACCTCTACTCGTGTCAATATGGCACCTTCCTCTTCGACAGCGAGCTTCAAAGAGTTGAAGAGCAAGCTTACGACAAGACAAGGAGTGTATGGGATTACTTCCTTGCCCGTCGAGATATGTTCTTGAATGATCAATATGATCCTACTATCGACGACAAGGTCACTGGGAAAGAAAGAATCATACTTCCCGACACTACTCAAGTCAAGTGGTGGCACGAACTGTTCGGCCGCACTGACTCTGAAATGAACGGAACACCAAATGCACCTACTCCCAGCTTGCCAAAGGAGCATAGTGACCCCATCGTCACTGGTATCGAGAACTCAGAAATCTCCATTGGGCCTGCCGCAAATGGCAGCAGTATCACGGGTCAGACTGCAAGCGCTTTCACCAACGGTGCAGCTCGTCTGACTGCTGGACTGGGAGGTCTGAGCTTGGGGAAGAACAGCACAAGCGCACCTGTCAGTCGGGTTCAATCACCATCGACCTACGATTCTGTGCCGACGCGCGCCATTGATGAGAAGATGACCACAACGGCAAACAACAACGAGTCAGAAACGACAGCAAACGGTCGACTTTCGTTCTCGACATTCGCACGAGACAATGCATTCAGGGATACTTAGACGTGGATTTGTTCATAGCGCGGCGTTACATGGGTCACGAATTGATGACAAGGGAGGAAATATTATGGGGCTGTGAATACGACCGTACTCTTTTTTTTTCTGCATGATGAAAGGTCCACGTAAGGGATCAGGACAGCGTAGCATGGAAAAGGCGAGCAGATAGGACATGAGATCAACGCTACGGACGAGTACTTAGCCACGTGTATATCCATCTAAACACTTGATCAAAATCATGCGGCTGTAGATGTTGGTATAGGGCAAGCCAAGACATGTACGCGTACGTCATCACGTTTTGTCTAATCTACATCCAAGACAAGGGCCACCACGTTCCCTGTTCGTTGTGGCAGCGTGCATGATTCTCCCGAAAAGAAGGTGGAGATCCACTATTGACAAAGCGTGAGCACTTCGGACCTTGTGAGCATCCTACCTCTTTTATCTATTTAAGCATTCCTACTTTTCTCCATACATTGTCCACTTCAGAACGACACAAACAGAATAGCAGAAAAACACATCATGGGATTCCTAAAGAAGTTCAAGGCAGAGATGAAGTCGTCGTTTGGCGGTGACCAGCCTTCGTACCCTGCCCAGCAACAACAGCAATCTCAAATGCCCATGACCGATCAACCAGCGACCATCCAGGAACCCTCACCATTGGACGTTCTCCGCTACCGCTATCAACATGGCACCAACTTTGGTTCTGTTTTCGTGCTTGAGAAATGGCTCACTTCCAGCATGTATCAGGACAATGCCGACTCAGCCGAGCTTGCGGCTGTGACTGGCAACATCAAGGCCATGGGTCTCGACGCAGCAAAACAAAAATTCGAAAATCATTGGGAGACTTATATCAGTGATTCGGATATAGACTGGCTTGCAGATCAAGCTCACTGTAAGTTCGTCCCAGGAGAGGCAGCGTTTGCAAGTGCTGACAATATGACTCAATAGGTACATCTGTGCGTCTGCCCATTGGATACTTCACACTGGGCCCGGCCTACTGCGATGGTACACCGTTCGAGTCTTCTGCCGCAGTATACCAGAACGCATGGCCTGCCGTCAAGCGTCTTGTCAGCAGACTTACTGCCAAGGGTATCGGCACACTTCTTGATCTGCACGCCCTGCCTGGTGGCGCCAACGGAGGCGATCACTCGGGTACCAACAGTGGTAAAGCCGAGTTGTGGAAGTCAAAGAAGAACCTTGATCTTGCTACACGCTGTCTGTTGTTTATCGCTAAAGAAGCCAAATCAATGGATGGAGTCATTGGTCTTCAGCTGGTGAATGAAGCAGAATGGGGTGCTTCTGGTATGTACGGCTGGTACGATTCGGTCATCAGCCAGATTGGTGGTATCGACAACACTGTACCCCTCTACATCTCGGACGCCTGGAATCTTGGTCCAGCAGTCAGCTATATTAACGGCAAGAACAGCTTGCACGCTGGTCGAGCAAACCCAATCGTCATTGACACCCACTTGTACTGGGCATTCTCAGATGATGACAAGAAGAAGGATCCCCGCCAGATCGCGAACGAAGCCAGAGGAAAGTTGAGTGAGCTCGATGGTCATGATGGTAATGTTGTAGATAACGGCGCCGCACAAGTAGTCATCGGCGAATACAGCTGTGTCTTGACCGAAGACTCGTGGGCCAAGGCCGCTGTCAACGAGAAGGAGAACCTGGTTCGCGAATTTGGCCAAGCGCAGACTCAGAGATATCAGCAAAGAGCTGGTGGCAGTTTCTTCTGGACATACCGCATGGTTTGTTATTCTTCAACCTTGCCCATGATAATATGCTGACGAGATGACCAGGACTGGATGGACGGTGGAGAATGGGGCTTCAAGCAACAGACAAACAACGGCGCCATCACAGCACCCAACAATCTCACTCTGTCGAATGATGATGTTCAAGCCCGCATTGGACATGCACAATCTCAAGCAGATGCGAAGCTTGGACAGAGCTTCGGCAGCCACTGCAACTACTGGGATACCAACCATCCTGGGGACTATGAGCACTGGCGCTACGAAAGCGGTTGGAAACTCGCTTTCAACGACGCGATGACCTTCTTCGGCGCTAGATCTAATGGTAGTCTTCCCGGTAGTGGAGGTGACAAGATTGGTATGCTTGACATCTGGACCAAGAAGAGAATTGTCGAAAGTGGCCAGGCAGGTAAACTGTTGTGGGAGTTTGAACAAGGATTCAGACAAGGTGTTCGTGACTTCTACGAACTTGCCGGCATCTAGATATTTTGACTTGACAAGCCTGGTTCTACGCAAGTTTGACGGATCTGGGCAATTTCCTTCTGTTGATACACTAGGTTGCATGTTATATCCCTTTGATTATTGTAGATGAGACATGAACATACCGCATACTTTCATTTTGAACAGCATTCTCTTGGACAAAATAACCAAATCTTGGAGAACCAGCCTCTCACCACGCCTGAGAAATGCAGTGTCTCTTTACCGTGTGAGAATGTTGCCAGTGAAGGAAGGATCGAAAGTCACACGAGCACTAAACCTAATGACCGCGGAAACCAAGGCAAAAGTGCAACCCTGCCCCTAAAATGACATCACTCACCAGCCACTTTACACGAACTTGGCTGTTCACCTTCCAAAAACCTTACCCAACCTCCTCCACGACTCCAGAGCCTTTTCCACTCATTGAACACATCCTCATTGAGCAAAAGTCAACATGTTTTTCACACAACTTCTCCACACCGGCCAAGTCGCCCTCTGCGCCTATGGCGCGTACGTGTCCTTCATCGCCATCCGCAACCTCCAGCAATATGAAGAGACCAGCAAGAAAGCAGCAAAGTACTCCACGGAAGCTGAGCACCAACTCCACAAGACCAGAACTACTCAGACCAGCGGAGCTGTTTGCGTGAGTGTTGTTCCAAAATACTGGCCCTTGGGCCAGTCACCAAGAGCTTTTTTATACTGATTGTGCATCCACAGATCTTGGCTTCAATGATTGCAGCTGCTACACTCTCATTGGCACCCAACTCTCTGCCTTCGCTGGTCAGATTCGGTATCTCGCCTGCCGCGCTGGTATTTACGCTGTTTGTTCGCGCTCACGTGTCCAATTTCTGGAAGGCAAAGGCCAAGATTCCTTTTGTTGAGGGCTATGTAAGTGCACATCTCACATCACTATCATGGTTGGACGTGATCTCTGACGGACTTTGATAGAACGAGGCAATCTCAAAGACCGGAGAGCTTTTGCAGGTTCTAGAGTTCTTGGAGTATACTTGGGCGGGAACTGCTCTTGCTAGTGGATTGGTTGGATACTAGAGTTGGAGCTGTGCTTGATGCAAGGTCCTTCTGTGACCTCTACTGAAGCTAACAATCACTGATCCACTCGGATTGAGCTAGGTGCTTTGTTCATCACCATGGCAATATAGCAGGACTCCAATTCCAGCTTTATGCCAACATAATTTACCATCGGCCTTTCCAGAGTTGTTGTACATGTACTACTTACTACTCCTGCGTATGAGGTCGCGCGAGCGCTGACCAGTAAAGGCTACTGAACATGCCGAGAAGCATGGAGTCAGATGTGCCAGACGCACCCAAAAGCTTGAGTCTATATCGGCGCTGTACAGGATCCCTTGTTGTGATTTCAAATGATTCTCCTTGTACTGCTCGGCAAATGATGCTGAAGACCTTGATAGTCTTTACCAGGGTCATGGTTAGCCTGGATGCGAGATTGAACATCCTATAGAACAGAGTATCGTGTGTAGTATCGTTTCCCCCCGCTGATTTTTTAAGCATGGATGACACATAAGCGGCCAAACTCCACTCATGCATACCATGACTGGCGAGCCACTGTCATGACTAGCAACTACGCTGAGATGCTGCAAGATCGCACGAGGTCATCATGTAGCTCCGAGGACCGATATCAGCCGACCAGGAAGCTCAAGGCTCTATATCCATAACCTTGATGTAAAGCCATGTGGCGCTCAACAGACGCTCTCGGACATGAGCTTGTCAATCCTGATCAATCCTTCGCATCCTCTCGAGCATCTCTTCTTGTCTCAACAAGCAACAATCAAATTCGCAGAACATGTTTCGCCGAATACCGCGTTACCGATTCTTCCGCCAACTACCTTGATGACATGCTAGGAGCCGTCGCCGGAGCGCATTGAGTTTCGGGAAACTGCATATTATACATTTCAACATGTTAGCCCTGCGACAACGGCTCGTAAATCCACACATGAAGGATTCTCGATATAATATTCCATGGAGCCATTGATCATGGTGGAGTATGTTGGGGATTATCAAGGTGTTTTGACGAAGACAAACAGGATGTCATCACAAGTTCGCCGGGCGCGCCGGGAGAACTGCTTGTAGAAATAAAGCCGGACGAGTCAAGAGAACATGTTTTCAGAGCTTGGTGGGTTTCTTTAATGACCGCAAATCACAAAGTAAGAAAGGACTTGGCGGAAGATCGATGCTTATCGCGCGTGAGCCGCTCGTTTACAGCCCACTCATGACAGCCAATCGGAGCTCGGCTAATTCCACTAGCAAAACTCGTTCTATCATGACCATCAAGGTGTTTTTCCCACAAAGGCAGCGGCCATCTTCATCCCTCGTTCCTCGTCCCTATGTAACGCTTAAATCTCCCCTTCTGCCACCGTCTTGTAACACTGTCCATCATCTATAAGCTTGCTCTCTTCAGCGACAGACTTCTGCCAATCCAAACGCAGAGTCAAGGTCTATTTATTCATAGATCCGCAAGAACAGCAGGTCTCAACGCTTTTTGCCCAAATTCGCTCACGCCGTCATGTCTGCCTGTCCTGGAAATAACGAGTTCGATGGGCGCATGGGCGTCCGCATTTCGGCCATCTTCGTAATTGGAATATGCTCATTGTTTGGTAAGTCAATCGCAAGAAAACACATGGTCACAGCATTGTATACTAACTCAGATCAGCAACGTGGTTCCCTGTCTTCGCTGCTAGGCACAGAGGTGTCGGTGTTCCAGATTGGGCATTCTTTATCGCCAAGTACTTCGGTTCTGGCGTCATTATTGCAACTGCCTTTATCCATGTAAGCAGTACCTCACTTGTTCATATCGACCATGGTTACTAACAGACTGTAGTTACTCGCACCTGCTCATGAGGCATTGGACAATGAGTGTCTGACCGGCCCCATCAGAGATTACAGCTGGGTTGAGGGCATTGTTCTCATGACCATCATGATGCTGTTCTTTGTCGAGCTCATGACCATGCGTTATGCCAAGTTCGGTCACAGCCACGAGCATGATGAAACCCATGAGCATGCGGATGAGCTTGGTATCAAGCCTGAGCCTTTCACCGATGGCAAAACTCCTGACGTTTCTGACGAATCTGATCATGCTTATGAGATGCATGCTGGCCGCGTCAGCACGAGTACTGCTCAATGCCCCACCACTCCTCATGCCCGTGGCGATGACCACCTCGGACATGCTCGCTCCCACGTCGACAACGAGATCTCGGTGGGATGGACTGAGGCGCAAAAGCAAGCTTCTGGTCTCGTTACCGAGTCATACGCCGCTCAGATGACTGCCCTCTTCATTCTCGAGTTTGGCGTCATCTTCCACTCCATCTTCATCGGTCTGACCTTGGCGGTCTCCGGCCCTGAATTCGCCACCCTCTATGTTGTCCTCGTTTTCCACCAGTCTTTTGAGGGTCTCGGTCTGGGTACTCGTCTTGCTGCAGTGCCATGGCCTGAGTCAAAGCGTTGGTCCCCCTACCTTCTAGGTGCTGGTTATGCCATCAGTACTCCTATTGCTATTGCTATCGGCCTCGGCGTCCGCCAGTCTTTTGCTCCTAATAGCCAAACCACTCTCATCGCCAATGGTGTCTTCGACAGTATCAGTGCCGGTATCCTGATCTACACCGGTCTTGTTGAGCTCATGGCACACGAGTTCATGTTCTCCACCTATATGCAACGCGCGAGCATCAAGACCGTATTGACTGCCTTCTTTGTCATGTGCCTGGGTGCCGCTTTGATGGCTCTTCTCGGCAAATGGGCTTAGACGAGTCAGAGAACAATATCCCTCACATGACCTCCCTACTCAACGACTTGTTTTCAAGATCTTCATGACTGTACAATAGCTTCAACGATTATATTAAAAGCGTGGTTATCAATGACCAAAAAAGATGGCAGCAGGAATCTTCTACGAGGCTGCTGCTCGTATTCACCACCGAATTATTGTCGATAATAACCTTCTTTCAAAGTGTGTATGAATAGTCAGGATTGAGTTTGATTATCACCGGCCTATTCTGCAGCCTTGCGGAAACAGTGAGTTGTGGAGGTGATAGCAAAACAGATCGTAGCCGAACATGGTTAGGCTATCATCAAGGTATAGTATCGTGTCGATCGTGTCTGGCGTGAAGCAGTGTTTCGATAATTGGACGCGTAAGCTAACAGGCTAGAAGGATTCAGAATGCTCTCGACGAATAGACAGCATTCTCAGAGTGCTGATGGACCGGGTATGCCAAAGGATTTCTCGATTAAGTTTTGTAAGCATTTCCTCACAATATTTTGTTCCTCCATAGGTTCCCATGATCTCATAACATCTCGTATCTTTGCATTAGTGTGAATGCCCGACGGCAATTTAGTATTGTCTTGAGAGACCTGATGAACTCTTGCAAGATATATAAGGCGTAGCTAGGCCCGCTCTTCTGTAGGCTTACACACAGCATCCTATATTTCCCGTTCCCCATCGACAACTACCCTTCGAACTTTCTGTGCCTTCGCCCAAAGACATTCGACAAAGTGCTTCAGGTACGTCCGGGCAGCGTAACGGCATTATAAGCACACGCTTATGTTACAAGCGGTGTAGGCAAATTCACAACGAACCATGAAGACTGCTGGAGTGTTTGCTGCGCTTGCGTATGCTTACTTCGCTCTCGCGGAAGACGCTACGGTCTCTTTGTACAACCAAGCAGGCTGTGGTGGTTCTGAGAACAAAATGCAACTTGTGCCGTCAGTATGCACTATGGCCAACGCCCAGTCCATCAAAGCCACCATGGACGACATCGGGATCAAATTTACATGCAACACATACGCCGGATCCGATTGTAAGACTGGTCAGGTCGAAATTGATTATACGTGTGAAGACTCACCTAACGGTGTCTTCTACGTGTTATGCTATCCGAATCCCACTCTCTGAAGGGACAGGGGATCTGTCCTCGAGCCAGGCAGATCGAAACTGATCTGCTACTATGGTAGATGAATCGGTCGGTTGGAAGAACGGTCAATGACCAAAGGGTAGTAGCAAGATAATCACGAAAGTCTGCTGTTCGTATTCAACACCAAAACATTCCTGACCGTAACGTTTCTTAAGAGTGCATGCAACCATCGTCAAGAGTTCCATGGTGGTGAGGCTTGAATGTGCGCCATGCCAGCCATAGTTGCATGATAGCCAATGGAAGCGGACCTTACGCGATGCAATCAAGACCTCTTAACCAACGCGATAGCGCGTGCCTAGTTGAAGCCTCTGGATTGAGCATGAAACAAGCGATGGTACTCATTGCGACCGATATCGCGATTTCCGAGTATCCAATGGCCGAATTTGGTACGAGCAAACTCGTGTAACGGGTACATGTGAGCCAATGCTTGACGTACCAACACGCGACCTGTGAGACGCTACAGCAAGAATCACCACCACCATCAGTTTGATGCGCATGCCATTCCAGGAATCGAATATCCGTATAAATGCAATTCGATGGCATACAGACGACAATGACATTGTTCAATAAAACCCAACAGCAACAAAGCACAACTTACCTCCTCAATCTCTCGATCCACCTTCCACCCACACAAGGATGTGCTATTGGCGCAGCGTCTACTACATAACCTGCAAGCACTACAGCAAAGAGCCTGTCGAGTGCATCGATGCCAACCACACGGATGTGCGTTGCGCGGGCTGGGATGACGATGACAAGGAAATGGAGAGCCAGACCAGAAACGGGACCCCCTATACCAAGGCCAGAAAAGGCAATTGTGTAGATTGCGAGTATCTCGAAAATCTGCGCAAGAACTCGGCGTACAAGAAGTTCGGAGGCGGGTCAGGAGGTAAGGCTTCAGGGAGCAAGACCAAGGCGTGAAGGAGATGATGAGCCGAGAGGGCGGTAATGTCGGTCGATGCGAATGAGAGTCTTGCGATAGCCGAGGGATGGATGTTCTCGAGTTCTTCAAGTCGAACGAATGTGGTCGGAATGGGTTTGAAATGTCAATTGAGAGTGCCTTGTTCCCACCGTGTGTCAAACTCTATCAATCATAGCTGTGACAAGGCACAATGATTTCTCGCATTATAGCACTGTCCTTGGAGCTTTCATCGTCGCAATGACTTCCAGCGCGAGCTCATGTAAAGCAATACAATTACGCCTCTTTACAGTTCATTACCAACCTGTGTTGATCATGGAGAAAATGGGAGTGACAGAGAAGGAAGCTGCACAGCTTTGTCGTCAGCGACAGTGTGGGTTTCGTGCCAGCCGATGCAGATCACCGATCGTCCCAACGCGTCACCCTCATCATTCAGCAGAACATTTTCTTGCCTCCCTGTTCGCACTGACGCGACAAACAATTCCGACAGACATGGCGGCAGTGGCATCAGAACCAGCAGCAGGCGCTGGTGCAATTGAGCGCGATGTCTATGGCCTTACCGGTGACGCCAAGAATGACCTTTTGGATTATCTTGACAATATCGCGAGTCCGGGTGATTTCGCGACCATGAAGTCAACGCCAAAGCTCCCTGTCGACCTGGAAGTTCAAATTTCAGGCAATGGCGGCAATCACGTGCGGATACATTGATTAAGAGTGTTTGCCATGGACTGATCAAGGGACTTCTGTCCTTTTGCGACAAGGCTACAAATTCTGCCTGGCGAGTCTGGATCACGAAGCCATGGGTCAAGCCGAGGGAGACGAGTGCGACGGTCGCAAGCTGTCGTCGTTAATTCGACAGACGACTGACATATTCAATAAGTCACGCAGCAGAGTCACGAAATTTGAGAAATAGTCATAGACTCCAGAGATTACGCCATGTTGTCTCGACTGAAAGACCGACCATAACTACTGGACATCCATTGCAGCAGATTTCGAACTTGACCACACCGGTATCTCCATGTTCGCCCATTTGCTAGAACAAGCTCTGGCTGTCTCCGCCGCTCATCCATTTCCTGTCGAAACTTGCCTTTAGCATACAACCGCTCATTGCATGATCCGCTGATCGGCACCTGGCGTGGCTTGTATGCACCCACAAGCGCTACAAAACTTGTCTTGAAGCTTGCACAAGCTATTGCATTGTCGGCAATAGCGGACGTCCTTCATGTTGGCCAAGGAAGCACCCTGAACGCCGGGGTAGTAGATTGGCGGCTCAGGCTGCTTGCCTACAGCAGCGTACTGTCTAGCGATAGATTCGTCGATTGCTCGTTGCGTACGCATGGCTCGCTCTTCTTCTTCGCGTCGTCTCGTGTCCGCAGCCAGTCTGGCTTCTGCCTCACGTGCTGCTTGCTTCTCGACCTCATTTCTGGCCGCCGATCTTGAGGCGCCAACGACAAGTGCAGCACCAAGTAGTGGTCTTCTTCGATGTCCGTGCATTGTAGCTATAGCCTCAATATCAGCTGTGAACCCGTGGGTTGACTGATGATGGAAACTCACAACAGTGTGTCAACTGTGATCAATAGGGAGAAGTGTAATAGGAAATTCGTTGTTGAGATACTGTGGGCTCTGGTACGATTTTATGGCAACTTGAATAAACCTTGTCAGTCATGAAAAGGAGCGCCTCATCACGGAAATGCAAGCACCTGACGACCTCCACTTTACACTTCCTTCAGGATTTGCTGACGCTTGGTCGTTGGACCAGGCACGATGAAGGATTTTATCGTATGACATTACCATGGATATGATATGTATCGAGGTGGTGTGCGAAACTATAGTCGCGTAATGTACTGGTACATGGCATGTGAAGCTCTAGTCACGCAACACCCGAAATCTGAGATCCACCTCAAAAGTCCAGCCTACATTCTGCCAAGTGTACCTCTACTATCTCGGACCTGTCTCCAGTCTTGTGTGTCAACCTGGTATTGAACCCTTGGAGGGTAGCTATACTTACTTGGGGAGTGAGATCAAGGTAAGGCAAGATTAAATCACGCAACTCCCGAATATCTATGCCTGGGAAAGACTAAATCATGGTGAGGTGCAGTTGTAGAATGGTCTAGGCACATCTAGATTACTGAGTAAAAGTGGTGTGAGACCTGGTTGGTATGATCAAGCGTTGTGCGTGGACTGATAATCTCTGCCATGTGTCCAGAGCCAATGCCGCCTCAAGGTAAAAGCACCTTCCTTGATCGTGAGGCTTCAATAGATATAAGTACGTCCGTAGAACTGCTGGAGACATCTGAAGACTCCTTTGTTTCGCAACCAACCCCAATCACCATTCATACTCCATTCTTCCGGCAACATCATGGGTATTGGCTCCAAGATTGCGTCCATCGTTTTCCGAGCGAACGAGCTGTTCTCAGCTGCTATAGTCGTCGGCATACTTGGCCACTTCCTGAGCATTGTTGACGACGCCAATGGATCTGCTAATGGTAAAGTCGTCTATGCTATGGTCATCGCATCTCTGGCCTTGCTATTTTCCATTGTCCTGATGGTTCCACTCTGGTGTACCTTTCGCGCGTTCCCTCTCGACTTCATCATGTTTCTGTGTTGGATGGTTGCTTTTGCTCTGCTGGTGAATGTAGGTGGCTTATGTATCTTTCCCATCCATTCTCAAGAGTTACTGACTCAAATCAAAAGCTCACAGGAACGAATGCGTGCTCCAGTAATTGGTACTACAGTTACTGGGGCTACAATTGGGGTCGCTATTATCGGACGCCTGTTGTCACATCAGCAAGTGTCATCAACAATGCAGGTTGTGCAGATTGGCGATGCGTCCTTGCTTTCAGTTTCATAAGCTCCATGTTCTGGCTCGCAAGCTCTCTCTTGGTACGTCATTCGACTGAATACTTGATTAATAATGCTGAGTTTACGATTTGATAGGGTATTTTTGTTTGCGAGCGTGAACGCCATAGATTGCAAGAACTGGGCGGACGATCCGGGTACGTTATCCAGTAGCCTGACTTTCTGCTTTGTGTCTAATCTTTGTCAGCAATACTTGGTGGAGCAAGGAAAAATATACGCCTCCTCTGGAAAGTCCTGAAATGAACGATGATAACGTCCCGAGGGCTGGAAATTGATGAACATCCTCTCGAGCAGGAGAGAATCTCATAGGAAACTCGAGTGGGACTCTTCCGGCGAAAGAACATGTATCAATCTTACCTCTTGTGCTGTGGTGAACAACATTGACTACATCTTTTATCTGCTAAAATCTACCTAATGGCTGTCAGAGTTGATTATATGATGTGTTATGGATGCGCTCATAATACTGAAAATTTGAAGATTGCAAGAAATACCAGCTTGCCCGACATCTGAGTAATACAAGAGATAATCCCATGACAGCCAACTTCCTCCAGTAGGCTCACAAACAAGGATTGAAGACCAAATCTGAACTTCCAGCTCCAGATATATCGGCGAAGTTTCAGCTTGAAATCACCGCTTGTCTCGACCTTTGATGAGACCAACAGGTTAAAGATTGAGAAAAGAATCCAAATCTTAATACTGACAGCACAACCTTATCAAATTGCCTGCCCGAACCACATTGCGAGAATCGACCAAGCCCAGTCCCTCATCTTACTTACCCGTGCGTGAAGTCTCCACCTTCTGACTTTGAACACGTAATACAGCCCAAAGGTTGCCATGATGTTGAACAAGATATAGGCAAACACGATTCCAACATTCCTCCATCTTTCGCTCCATTTGATCTCAGATACTCCAAGGAACTGGTCCGCGATCGTCAAGGGGCAATACTGACAATTTGTTTCGGCTTCAGGATTCGTAAGCTGCCCTGCGGCGTCAACAAGATATGTTGAAAGATAGGCCCCACAATTCGATCCTGCCGGTGGACTAAAGTTCTTCATCTCAGCCGTAGAGCACCGAACTGCACGCCCATGGAGACCCGTGCCAGCAACTGCGCCAACGATGTACGTGAGAGGACTGATACGATACATGAAGATCCAAAAACCGGGAAGTGCTTGTGGAGGTTGAAAAACGCTGATTTTGATCAGTATACGTCATAGGATCAACAATAGATTTGTAGAGCAATACCCATTGAATATCATGGTCAACGAGAACAAGAGAGTGGCAACAGCTCCTGCTGTCTGGGCGTCTGGTAGGGTAACAATAACCATGTGTGCAAATGTACTTGCGAAGACGAATATCTGTATGGTAGAGATAAGGATGAGGACCTGGCGTTCAGATGATTGGATACTGGTTCATGTGAGCTGATAGGAGATCAAGAATGGATCGTGTGATGCTGTACCCGAGGATAGGATAATAGTAACATGCGTAAACGAGGACTCCCAGGACAATCTGGTACAGAAACTCAACGATAATGTTGGCGAGGATGAATGCAGCCCACGAATACACCTTTGATGGTCTTTCACGAACCTGCTCCATCATCAGTTATCGGACGGCAGAGTGCTTGGGTGTTGCTTACTTCGTACAACGACCTTTGCGACACAAAGCGTGGCATGATCTGTGGTTGATTATCAGTATTGTGACTGATCAGAAACGTGCTACACTTACTTGCTGAACGAGCGAACTCAATACGGAAGTCAGCATGAAGATACTGAACACAACGTTTTGCAGGCCCTGGATCGAGCTGTCTGCGTTGAAGAATGAGAACCCGATGAAACTGCCTTGTGTGAGCCAAGTCGCGAGATCATGATGATCTTACTTACAACGCAGAAGCTACACCAAGCAGGAGTTTTCCATAGATGTAAGATGGTGTGCGCCAATACTGCTGGAACACACGAAGCGTTGTGTAGAAAGCTTGTGTTGAAAAGGGCACGGCGAATTCACCGCTATCGGCTTCAGTAAACAACTCATTACCGTTGGTATCCGCTTCTCGCTGTAGTCGGGTTTGTTCAGTTTTCATGTTTGAGCATTCATCACTCATGTTCCATAACGCAGGCCAATCTTTCTCCCTATCTCTATCAGATCCAATGGTGACTTGCTCTAAGATGTACTCTGCGGGATTCTCTGTCGTCCTACAGGATCTGGCCCCTTGGCGCTCAAAGTAGTCAATTAGAGTCTCGGCATTAGGACCTATGTCGCCAAAGTACACTGTCCTCCCGCCTTTGGCCAAGAACAGTAGCCGATCAAATTCAAGGAAAAGAATTGGACTGGGTTGATGTATGGTGGCGAGTATCGCTTGTCCGCTATCAGCGAGTTTTCGAAGGAGTGCGACGATAACCCACGCGCTCTGGGAGTCAAGACCGCTGGTCGGCTCGTCGAGAAAGATCAGGACTTCCGGTTTTGCTGCCAGCTCGACTCCGATGGTGAGCAGCTTCCGTTGCGTGATATTGAGCCCTTGTCCTGGCATGCCAATAATGGCCTCGGAGAACTCGGACATATCAAGCATCTTCGATACGGTCAGTAACTTCAGGAAGCATAGAACATCAGCTGCACAGACCTCGATAATGTGCTCAACGTGAGAGTACTTTTCTTCAAGCGAGGTCTTCTTCGATTGTCGTAATACAGCGCTGAATCGCAAAGCCTCTCGTACTGTAGAGGTCTCAAGGTGAACATCTTGCTGTTGGACGTAACCTGCGTGATACACGATCAGTGTCTATGTCTTGGATACATTTTTTTGAGAACAAGACGTTACCAGCGTTTCGTTGGAAGCTTGGCTTCAATGGTTTTCCATCGACCAACATGACCCCATGTATGAAGATACGCTGAGCAAGAACATCTAACAGAGTTGTTTTACCAGCTCCGGATACCCCCATAAGTACGGTCAGAGTTCCTGGTTTGACCCAACCAGAGACACCATCTATTAACCTCCTTGGACGTTCCTTGATTTGAATGTCGTAGACGAGATCACGCCAGCTGAATATGCTGCGCTGTGGAGCGAGCTGGACTGGTCGTGCATCTTGGGCAATCCTGCCGGGGCCATTTTCTGCGGGTCGCTGATCTTTTCTCCCAACAAGCTGTGCAACTTCGTGGTCATTTGTTTCGCTACTTCTCTGCAAGAAGAGCAGGCGCTCAATTGTGCTTATCGCTGGAGAGCTCATCTCGCTGACGAAAAGATATAAGACGAGGAAGAACAACCAGAACGAGATCACGATTCCGAGATTTCGCCAAAGATGGGTGTAGCGGTATCCGAAACTCACTTGGACGTATGCATCACCCGAGACAGCCTGTTGGCCGGCGACTGCCCCCGCAGCATCACAGATGAAAGCTGTGGTAGAAAAATCTGGATCGGTCGGGACGAAGCTGCATTTGGGGTCAGTCTGGAAGCGAAGAACGGGATAAAGGAGATAGCTACCTCGCACAGGTGAAGTTCCTTCCGTGAAACTCGTTCACCATCAAAGCCTCGAATGCGTAGGACAAAGGATTGATCCATGTCAACCACTTGAACCAAGGATGCATGTACGAACGAGGTATAGTATACCCGGTGTAGATGACGATGGCCAACACTAGCACACCTGCCAAAGCAAGAGCTTGTGAGACTGTTCGAGTCACCGCAGCTAACGAACGAAACATAGCGGACATTGTAAAACGAACCAAGAGTGTGAAAAGGAAGAAAATGAAGAATTGACTGGGCTCTGCGCGAAGTCCCGCCAGAAAATAGAGGGTTGGGTTGAAGCAACAGGTGATGAACAGCTTGATGGGGGCGTCGGAGATTACTCCTGCCAATGCTTCGGCGGATGGATGACAAAAGCTTTGATCCAACATTAGCATCATTCCAACCAAAACACATAGCATCTCGGCCAGGAACTCACGCGTATGAGGTGTGCTTTTGAACGATCGGTCGTTGTTGGTACAGATTGTTGATCTCTGTAATGGCGATAAGAGCGTTGAGCAACACAGCGAAGAACAAGGTCGATCCCCTGGCGAAGAAACTGCCCGTGGAATTTTGGACGCCGTAATAAACGGAACCAACGACCAGCCCCATGATGATTTGGCCAAGGACAACCGTCAATGTTGAAGCTTTGTCGTTCCAAAGTCGTTGGTAGGCACGCTTAGTACACGCTTTGATCTGGACCAGTATGCTAACGGTATATGGGGATGTTTTAAGAAGTTGTCCAGACTTTGCAGCCTGGCGAGAGGCTCTATAATCACGTGCTACAACATGATCAATCATCTCACGCTCGTGCTCTTCTATCTTCTTGATCAGCGCTGTACGATTGTGGGATGATCTCCAATATTTCTCAAAGTCCTCGGGTGTTCGAGGGACAAGATCCTCAAAACCCTGGCGAGGGATTCTCTCCTTGTAGTTTGTGATGGAAGTGAGGAAATCGCCTGTGGTCTGACGAGAGGGACATAACCATCCCATTTCCTCAAAGTATGCTTTTGCAGCACGCGCGGCTCCAAAGTAGATTTGCCGGCCCTCATAAAGGACTGTGACTTTGTCAAAGGTATCAAAGATTGCTTGTGAAGCTTGATAGACGGCCACAGCGTGAGCGGTCCCAACAATGTCAGCACTCATTCTCAGTGCCTGGATGAAGTCCAACGCGGTCGCCGAGTCCAGGCCACGAGTACTGTTGTCCCAGAGTCCGACAGATGAAAGCGCCAGTATCATTTCGGCAATGCTCACACGCTTGTGACAAGTTAGCGCACGAGTATGGTATTTGTGTTCCAAATGCTTACCTTTCTCTCGCCACCAGACACTCCACGAACAAAGTCATTTCCCACCTTGGTGTGTTCCGTGTGCGCAAGACCACATATTGATAGGGCGACCATGACCACCTGTCTGATATGATCGTTCCTTGAAACACCTACTATATGGTTTCGGGGTGTGCGAAGGGTGGCTGCGAACTCTAGCGTTTGCGCCACGGTCAAATGCGGGAAATGGTTGTCCCCTTCAGAGTTGTAGATGACCTCACCCTTGTGCTCTTCCATCATCTGATCTGGTGCTAGTCCTATACATTTGTTGAAATAAGCAATCCGCTCAAAAAAAGAAACAGAACGAGCTCGTACGGCGACTTACGTACCATTGTAAGATAGTCGAGAATTCCCGTCGAATCTCAGATCATGCGTCTGTCCTGCTAACGTCTTCAGTAATGTGGTACAACCACTTCCCGGCCTTCCCAGTACTAGTAACATCTCTCCTGCCTTCAACAGTCCATCAAATCCATTTAATATGGTTCGAGGAGGCTGTCTACGAGACTTGATATGGTTGGCTGGTGCCTTGAATATCGAAGCCACATCTGCGTGGAACGGTGCCAAAGGTCCGAAGCCAGACACAGACAGATTGATGAAAGAGATGGAAAGTCTTTGAAATCTTACACCGGCCTCCCTGGCATCGTGCGAGACTGCCTTCAACCACTGATACGCGTCAAAATCCGAGCTCCTTGGGTCTAGAGCCGGGATTTCGCTACTGTTCTCCAGGGCTGAAACTCTAGGATTGATGCCATGGAACTCGGACGCAAGGCGCATAAACTCGGTATGATTTTGCTCTTCGCATGATTCACTGGATGACGAGGCGTCGATCAATGCCGCGGCTGACTTGTCCTTCTCAAGAGATCGACGGACTCCTGTGGAAGTTTCAGGATTAAGAGTCGAAGTCACAGGGCGTATCTCGGGGAACTCTGGTGTCGGCGCTGAAGGAGCCATTCAAACGAGTGTCCAAGTAGAGATCTTGACTTGTGGGAAGCTTGTCAGAGTCGATTGTGACGATTTGAAGACGGTCTGTCACAGGCTTTATTGGGAGTACTGAGACTTGATGATATGATCTTACCGCAAGAAACGGGATCCTTTTTATCACTTTACTTCGACTGATGTGAATTGATCTAGTCCCACTCCTAGAGTGTGTGCAAAGTAGCCTGATGCATGTAGCTCAAGTCATGCAACGTTTGCCGTGGGGCTCGAGCAGGGCCTCAATCTCGTAATCGGAAAGTCGTCCAGCCGAAGTCTATCCCGTGTTGACCTTTCTCAAGCCCCGGGGTCTCACCTGATGCCTTTGTAAGCATCCCACTACCAAGAGTATTCGGTCAGAAATCTTGGGACGACACATGGTCTCTTGACTGCCTGTTGCTGATTCAGTAACGTTGCTGACTCACTTCAATTCTTGAATGGGCAGATGTTCCGACATGCGGGATGATCGATGGCTATCATTCAACTTCCTGGATAACATTGATCCGATCATCGATACAGAGATGACAACGATGACGAACGCAGACAATAGATATTCTCCCTTACGGTGACAGACGCTCGGAGAAGCACTCGGAAGCAATACGATGCTGATTGGCCCGCACGTCTATACTAGTGATATCAAGACATGCGTTACCAAATATCACTCAGCCACGTGCGATGACACATTTCGGTACGATCGTGACCACCTTAGAGCATCTGGAGAGCTCTCCGGAGTACACTAGTCTTGTTGGGCTCGTTGCGGAGATGTGATAAAGCGGACCTCGTGGTTGTACTTTGGGTGCGGTCTCGGCAGTTTGACCTGTCTTATCCTTGTTATGTGATGGGTTGTAGAGCAAGAAATCGCTCCCTGTGACAACCTTGTTAAAAGGAGTAGCACAAGATGCCTGCAGGCGTTCTCGTGACGGTTGATCGAGATGCTTGGGTATGGGTAGATGGTGCCATTGCGCCGCAGGATAATATGCTCGGCGCCTAGATGCAGGATAACGGATACCCTCATAATCGGCCGGGGGACCGACATGAGTTGTGTGCTTGCGCTGCAGCTGAAAGCACGAGTCTACCGCACCTTCAATTTTCTCTGCATGGAGCAAGCTGACTTGGACTGGAAGACTTTATCATGGTACTTCCTCTCACCCACACCATCGATCAAACCCTCCAAGAAACCCGTTGTCAGCTTCTAGCCATGTAGATTCTCTACTTCTCCAAACGGGACTGTGAGATAGGTACTTACTGCAAAGCTCCATTCACGGTTAAATGTCGGGACAAATTGTAGACGTAACCGTTGTTCTCTTGCGTCACGCCTGATTAGTTCTTTCTTGTTTTCACTTGTTCTTGGCCAGGTGAGCCAGGGCAAATCTTCCCATTACGATAATCTCGACGCGGCTCCAAGTTCTGGGCGAGTCGAGCATTCATTCCTACACAATGTCTTGAGACGCGTCGACTTGCGCAAGAGCTTGTGATGTATACTGGACCTCCACCCTAGATGACGTATATTCGAGTGCTCGTCTGCTTGCCGCAAGATCCTATGTGAGTCGCAGTAGAAATGGACTGTCCGATTGCAACGAAGATTGCAACCAACAAAAAATACTGGCGTGTCATCCAGAAGGCTTCCATTTAATTTAAAGCATGATCAACACCAAGAATTGCGAGGCGACTGTCCAGCTCGCCATTCACGTGTCCCTTCACATGCTTTGCACGCCTCGTTGTACGTGTATCTCGGGATATGGTGCTTAATAAGCTGTTGAACTTCTGAATCTTATTTACACTCGGGATTACCTTTCGTCACACCGCGGCCTGCTGTCCTATATAACACTACCTCAGCTCCAAGCAAGCTCTAACGTTTCAATACGCGAATCACCAATACCTATCGACATATTAGATCTCGCCATGGCCTATTTTGACATTTACGAAGACAATACGATCAGCCCCTCTCCGCCAGCAGCTATAAACGATGCGGATCCCACTGTCCACTGTTTCGAGTCTGGACCATCGTCGAGAGAAGCGCACAAATTAGAAAGTACCCGAGAAGAACAGGACGTATACTTCGAGAGCGAGGAGCATGGAGAGACTGCAGAGCGCGATTTGGTTGTTGCAATGTCCGTAGAGAACGGAGACCGACAAGTAATTGAGCATGGATTCCCTGATCAGTCGAACGTCGACCCCGGCGAGATGACCATACAAAGAGACCCGACTACCAAATTCTGGAAGCGTTGGCCGGGATACCAGACACTCAGGGGAATGTTGTATGGAAGCCCAAATGTAAAGGCTGACGAGGAGCCAAAGGTCCAAAAATTGATGCCACGCCGACCCGCTCAACAATCGACAGGTCACATCGCCGTTGGTAAGAGTCACAATGCACGTGTTCAAGAACCTTCGACTACGAGAGATGGCTCTTGCAGCGATCAGGAGGAGAGGACTCAGTATCACTGGCTGTCATCACACAGATTGCAAGCTTTACACATGAAGCTATCCCATGGGTTTCCATCAAAGACTCAAGATGATAGCCGCAAAGAACCTTTACACCGAGGAGACACTGTGGGGAACTAAAGTGGACAATACACGACAAACTGCCACATGAGTGTGCGAGCTCTTCTCGGGCGGAGAAATTCTGTTGAACAAGGCCAAGATTCAAAGGCGTAGGCCTTATTTGAAGTGTGTTTTTAAAGCCTCAAACCGGTGGAGGGAGTGAACGCGGTGGTGGAGAAACTCGGGGCAATCGTCAACTCTGAAATTTATGCAAAAAGAAGAATCTTCAAGAAGCAATCCTAAAGTCACCACCCGTGCTTCACCTGTCATTCGATGTAAGGTAGAGAAAGGCTGGACTCAAACTTATGGCGAAGGATTCTCTTATCTCGAACCATCGGCGATCAGTCGTTCTAGAAAGGACTGCAAGTGCACATGTGAATGCACTTTTGCAAGGACTGGTGGAGTTATCAGGCCATCAGGGCATCCCTTACGTCTCACTCGTGAGCCTTTTCTACCTCGTGCTTGGCTATCTCCGATCTGTTTCTGAGATCATCTGATTTTTCACGTGCATCCACTCGTGAGTCGTATTGATGGATACATAGCCGTCTTCCCTACTCACAGGTATCAGTCTGACCTGGATCAGAAGAAGTCAACACAGAGTCCACAGCTATGACTATATCACGAATTGAACGCGATAATTTGCGGCTCATACAAAACACCACCGAACGATGCACCGACTCCCTTCATTGTGAGACGGCGATTCATACTCCGCCCTCAACCCTCGTTGCTATCTTTCTTGTCCCCTCGGCTGTGATTTCATTGTTGTTCATCTACAAGCTCCTGTAAGATTGAGTAGACTCTCCTCAAGAGGTCGAAAAGATCTAATGAGAAAGACATCAGAGATTATGGGGAAAACCCGCGCCGCCTGTTTCGAGTGATGTGAGCCATCATTGCGAGAACAAAGCCATCCCAGTGCCAATCGAGGTCGAAACGCTCGTGGAAACTTTTGGAGAATGGTCGCAACGAAATAACGAGCTCCACCCAGGCAGAGTTCCGACAGATCCGTTGTGGTATGCAAAACGATCCGAGTATCGATCACTTTGCTTATCTTATATGTACAGTGTTATTTGCATCGATACCATAGAGAAAGCCGATCAGATCTCAGCTCTACCGTGCCTGCATTTCTTCCATCGCAATTGCTTCAGTCAGCTCTTGCAAGCAAGGATAGGACGGTGTCCGGTGTGCCAACAAGCTATGACTCAATGCGACACTGCTGTAAGATCTGACCCTCTGGCCACGGAAGAAGTGTGATATGACCGCATATGCAGCACAAGTGGAAGTGTTTTTGACTGAAACTTGCTCACCTACGTGAACACCGCTTGATTGATGGCAAGGCACAAGAGAATATACATTGTAACGCGATCTCAAACAGAATCAAAGGCAAACTTCAAGGTGTGCATTACAAGCTCTAATGCTTTGAATCCGTCGGTGACGACCTCATATATCTAAGCAAACATTCTTTTGTTTACCGCTCTCATGCCTTAAGATCTGGAATAACTACCGATCTTACAAAACTTCGATGTCTGGATACCTCCACTGCAAGATCTCGAGCGATCATATCAATCCAATACAAGTCGTTCCAATCAAGCAAGCCAACTCGTTGGAATCTTCGCAAATATTCGCAAAATTGTCGCCATTTGCGATCTCCCGTAGAGAATTTTGCATAGGGGATACCGCATCGGGTGCCAAACCTCGAATCATAGTAGGTGTGGATTGCCGGCTTTCCAATCTTGACACCCGAGTGACCACGCTCAGCAATCGCGACTCGAGCTCTGATTGACGCTTGACTTCATCTCCGAAAGCGGCGTGAAGACGATGCAGCATATCAGTGGCTGCGTGGAGTGTAGCCGCCTTGCTAGTGCTGCTCTTTGGTTGCAGTCCGAGGTGACAGTCCGCCTCGAGAATTTCGCCCAACAGGTTGTTGAGCACTCTAATCCGATCCCTGAGAGTGTTTTGATATTTACGTTCGGCGGAAGCATGGTTGCTTCGAACGCGTGCGGGACTCATCATCGTTTTGGATATGCGAGTTGGCTGTAAGGTGTAAGGAGACTTCAGGTCGTTTTTGGCGTCTACACACAGATAGGTCCGATAGATGCACAGATGGTGAGAGAAAAACAGGTGTCTACCCGAACAGCGAAGGCCGACGAAATAGATTATTAAGAGCGGAGATATGTCTGTGTGTGTCTGTGCCAGATTTCTGGAGTTAAAGATTGATCCAAGGGGCCTTTGGAGTGTAAACGGCGACGGTCAAAGCGAGGGTTTGTCATGTGAATTGACGAATGATTGTCAGAGAACGATACCCAGGTGCAGCCAGAACCTTGCCCTGACGCACTAACCCATGTCGCTTGTAGAGTTTTGTCTTGCATCATCTCAGGTATCGACAACCGCAAGCATAGCTCGGGGAGCGCGATTAATCATCGTGGTGAGAGGATTAGGTCAGTTCTCGCAGTCGACCTCTCACTGCGTCTTGGTCAAGGACCTGATACCGAGAACTCTAAAATCTCTGACTTTGATGCGAATTGGTAAGCAATTGAGACCATAGCAAGTTATATCAAAACTACGATCCCGCATAGAGGAGAGTTGAAAGCCCGATAATCTTTGAACCAAATGGATGACTTTATGTTTGACCAACCCCTAAATGACTTGTGTTTCTTCGACCTGCTTCAGTTGGAACACGGCATGGATTGGCAGACCGGCAACTCCTATGTCGAACACGCAACACCTTTGCATGTCTATGAATCGGTTTCTACCAATGATGCTAGCAGCACCGAATCAGCCACCGAGAATCAAACGCCTCAAGCCCCATTGGTCTTGCCTGGATTCAGCAACATCGTGTCACCAGTGGGCCAGCCTGAGCACAAGAAGAAAACGCGTCGGTCTTGTCGAACAGCCCATGCGTTTGCAGAGAAGAGCTACCGGGAAAGACTGAATGCACAAGTTGACAGCCTGGAATGCGCCATCCGTCAGTACAGGATGACTCCTGATATGGAGGACATGTCTTTCACCATGGATCGAGCGCGGCCCAAAGGCGAGACCATAGACAACGCCACTGAGCATATTGCTGACCTCTGGTCTCGCTTCAAGCTACGCAAGGAGAGGAACGATAATTTGTTCTCCTGCATTCAGGGCCTGGAGAAGCTTGCCGATTGCGCAAGTTGCCCTGGCATAGACACTGCTGGGTCGCAACTGCATCAGACCCGCGATTACTAGCAAACATACGCCATCGGTACATCGTCGATATGGCCAGTGGGAGGAAGCAGAAGACAGCATGGGATGCGGATGACCGGGTCAGACCAGATCCTTTGATGTACAATGTTCTAGGAAATAGCACCAGTACTTAGGGTCAACAAGGGCTGTATTTTTCGACCACGTTGATGCGCAAGGCTGCATGAGTGACAGCGAATTTCATCCAAGTACATTGAAATAATTGGTAGCTGCACTCCAAGCAGCGTACTTACAGCCAAGAGCGTGCAACGTCGAGATGTTTTCGGCGCTCAGCTCCGAGACCATCTCGATGAGCTAGGGCTGGCGATGATGTTCGCACTAGGCGCAACCAGTACAGCATCGAAATGTCGCATCGTCGATGCGAGATTGCTGGGCACGCAGGATTACCAGAAGGACACCCTTCTACGCCCTTCCCAAAGCGCACCAACCTCCTACCTGTAGTGATGTTGTTGCTGGTACATGGCTGCATGACCCGATCTCCCTATGCATCGCGATGTGCCTGCTTTTCGGCGGAGCACTTGGAGCAGTTTCAAAATGATCATATTGATAATGTCATGGAGGAGAGATAACCAGTTGAGAACATGTTTGTGTCGAGTTGAGGCTCCATGAGGCTCTTAACCATCGTCACCCGAACGCGGAAATCTTCGGAGCTTCGGCCTCTGTCCACTCTTGATGGCATGAACTCCGCCTAGATGTCAAAAGAAAGAGTTACTCTTCTGATTCAATGAAGCTGCATGGAATAGGGAGACATTCGAGACGTCGTATCTGCATAAGCCGGCTTGTAGACCCCGAGAATGTTGTGTGGTTCGGCCACGCGCGTGACAAACTTTAGCCTGGGGGAGGAGAATCCAGCAGTTCGCTCTTGCCTGGAAAAAGAATTGCGATCAAAATGGAAAGAACGACGTCAAGTTTTACAGCACGTTTTGGATACCTGGATGTGCTATATATGTGTGATCCAAACAAAAAGTGAAGCTGCTACGCTGGGTCGAACAACGGACCTTAGGATAATTGCACGTCTGCAATCCCACGCTCTACCACTGAGCTACAGCAGCGTATCACGTGATGGTTTCGGAACATTTTGAGCACAATATATCTCTCAAACTGCCAGAAAGTATCCTGTGATCCAGTTGATCACAGGTGAAATTGGTCGAATCACATAAGTGAGGGTATTTCCACATCTGTACTCATGTTGTCGCCCAGAATTTATGCCACAGTCGGAAATATGCAAAATATGCATAAATACCTGCGTAGATGACAGGAGCCACGACAGAGGGATAATCCGATCCAGCCACCCAGCAGAGCCAGGATTCGACAGTGCTGTTCGGTGCATCTCGCTCGAAAAGCATTAATCTCATCATGTTGTATGTCATGTCCTGCATTCGGGTTGCTCGTATAAACATGTCCTCTTCGAATGCCTTGACGTTGGTAGACAGCATGGTACTTATTGAGGCAGTGGGTGCAGAAGAGGCTGTCTTGGTTATTGCACTCGCAAGATACATCGCATCGGCCATTCCAAGATTTACACCTTCTCCTGCAAACGGTGTAGCAAGATGAGCAGCATCGCCGATTAGAGTGAGACCAGATCGATGTGTCCACGTGTGGCCGACAGGAAGCATGTCAAGATTGGAGATCCATGGTGAGATGTCGCAGGCCTCGATCCATTTCTTGTATTGTGGGCTCCAATCTGCAAACTCGGACAACAGATGGCTCTTGATCGCTTCTATGTCTGAGCTATTCCAGGGGAACTGTTTGATCCAATCTGGCGAGTCTTTTGTAAGCATTGCGGAGATACTGATGGTGCCATCGCCCATCTGCTGAGCGATCAAGCCTTTGTGATCACTGTAGGCAAAGAAAGAGCCATGGTTGACCCCAGTGTGGATCTCTGGTACGGCGTTTTCTGCATTGTCAATATTCAGACGTATACAGCCGACACCAGAGAAGAACGGCTTGACGTCTGAGAGGAGTGGCCTTATGCGCGAATAGGCACCATCGGCTCCGACAATCAAATCGAAGCCGCTCAACGAAGTGTGCTCAAACTCGAGAACAATGTCCTTGGGGTTTGTCGAGGAGTTCGCCATGTCGACCTTCTGCAGTTTATGGCCCCATTTGACTGTATCTCTTGGTAGACCGCCGAGAAGCAATTCACGCAGAGTTTTGCGATCGATCTCCGGACGTCCGTTCGAGTTTTCTGAGCTTCCTCCCGAGAGATTGATGTATCTCTTCAGGTGCTTATCGGCGAGGACAATGGCTTCGCCATCAAAGCGTGCGTGCTTCAGGAACTCGTTATAGAGGCCGGCTTGCTTCAGAGCAAGGAGTCCAGTATCCGTATGCAGATCAAGTGATCCACCTTGGCCTCGTACATCCAGAGAGGGCTCACGCTCGAATATGGAGACAGCAATGTCATGCTCGGATTTTAGAAGTAGGTGTGCAAGAGTGGTGCCAGCGGGGCCTGCCCCAATGATGGCAACGTTGAGGGAAGGCATGTTAATACTGAGTGCTGAGGCCATTAGTTTCGGGAGCGCATATTCAATATACTGACATCAGCGCGCAGAGAGACCAATCAGGGAGTTGACGATGGTAACATGCTGGCGTAGCGGTTGCTAATTTAAGCCGCTGAAGTTGGACACGTAACACTGTTGCATGCCGGAGGTCTGGGGGTGCCGCTGCGTATTCTGAGATTACAAGCCTACCATGGTAGAATGCGATGCGTTCATCGTGTGTGCATATTTTTCTACTTGTGTCAATAGAATGGAATCATGCTGTGACAGTACGATGAACCAGCTACAAGTGGACGAGTACATGCCGTGGTGGCCGAACGACTAATGTCGTGCGGAAAATCAGTGTGCTTGATGTGCTAGCCATTGCATCAGGTGATCGGTCGCTTAAAGATCTGTATGGTAGTTTTCCGATAAGAGCGAGCCAAACAGAAGGTGGTAAAGTCGGCAAGAGCAGGAGGCTTCAGCTGGACGGCCGGCAAAGACGCCGGAGCGAGCGCCAAGCCAGCCGGGTGGGAGCGTCCAGACAGGTTGGAAGTTGGAGCGAAGTCGAAGTTGGAAGCTGAAGCTGCTCGCAAGACTGTGACCATCGAACCTCGCCCTCCCTCTTTTCCTTTCTCGCCGAACAAGAATGCTTCGCACTCCGTTGATTCGGAGTCGGGCTCGCCTGTGCGCGCCTCGCGCCTCGCCCATCGTCTCACAATCGCTGTTCAGCCGCTCCGTGCGTCCTCTTCATCTGACGTCTATCAAGACGCCCAATTGACTGTCGCGTGCTGACAATCGTCACCAGAGAACCTTTGCCGACCTCCGTAGACCAGACGAGGCAGTCCTCCCGGGCACAAAGAGCCAGAATGCCTTTGGCGACGTGCCCCAGCCGCCAAAGCTCGGCGCCGAAACTCCCGCGTCGCCAATTGAGGCCGCTCCCATTGGCATTCCTAGAGTCCCTCCTACCCCGGAGGCTGTCGGCGCTACCCCCCCTCCTCCACCTCCTGCCCCTCCCGCCTCTACAAATGGTCCCAAGATCGTAGCCGCCCCTGCACCCAAGCCTAAACGTCGCACTGGCCGCTTCCGACGCTTCTTGACCACCCTCTTCCTCCTGTCCTCTCTCGGTTTCGCCGGCGGTGTCTACTACTCGCTCATCTCGGACAACTTCCACGACTTCTTTACTGAATACGTACCCTTCGGCGAGGATGCCGTCGCATACTTCGAGGAGCGCGAGTTCCGCAAGCGTTTCCCCAGCCGCAAGCTCGAGGATCGCCATTACCCTCAGGTCCGCGGAGAGAACAAGGTGCAGATTGGCAAGAGCAGTGGTTTGACAGCACAAGTTAGCGACGTTAGCTCAGACACCGACCGCCGCCATGTGAGCGCATTGGAGCCCTCGCGCCCTCTCCAGCAGCCCAAGGAGGCCACCCCTGCTGAGCGCACCGCCGCTGTCGAGCAAGCAACCCAGAAGCAACCCACAGCTTCCAAGCCCTCGACTCCCGCCCCTAAAGTTGTCCAGGCACCCACCTCCGCTGCTGCTCCTCTCGACCTCATGAGCATGCCCAACGCTGCCGAACCCGTCGTCCAGGATGTCGTCAAGCTGCTGAACAACATCATTACCGTCATCAACGCCGATCCCGCTGCCGACAAGTACACATCGACCATGGCTGCCGCTAAGACCCAAGTCCAGAAGATTGTCTCGGACATTTCTACTCTCAAGGCTCAAGCCGAGAAGCAAACTGCCGACGAGATCTCAAACGCCCACTCTCTGTTCGACAATGCAGCCAAGGAGCTCGTTAGCCGTCTGCAGTCAGAGATGCAAGATCAGGAGGCCAAATGGCGCGAGGAGTACGAGAGCGAGCGCGAGAAGCTGTCAAAGTCATACCAGAACAAGCTCTCGACCGAGCTTGACGTTGTGCGCAAGGTTGCCGAGCAACGTGAACGGAACGCTCTGGTTGAGCAGGAGATTGAGCTGCAGCGCCGCTTCGCAAAGAGCGTGCGTGACAGTGTCGAGAAGGAGCGTAACGGCCGCCTTGCTCGTCTTGACGAGCTGTCCAGCTCTGTTTCTGAGCTGGAGAAGCTTACCGGCGAATGGAACAAGGTCGTCGACAGCAACTTGGCTACCCAGCACCTGCACGTCGCTCTCGAGTCTGTCCGCCATGCCATTTCCAAGCACGATCACCCCACTCCCTTCGTCAACGAGCTTGCTGCCCTCAAGGAGATTAGCAACAACAATGACCTCGTCTCTGCTGCTGTCGCTAGCATCCCTCCTACCGCATACCAGCGTGGTGTCCCCAGCTCTGCTCACTTGATTGACCGCTTCCGTCGCGTCGCTTCCGAAGTTCGCAAGGCTGCTCTTCTGCCCGAAGATGCCGGTATCGCTTCTCACGCCGCCTCCGCCGTCCTGTCTCGTTTCATGTTCAACAAGCAGGGTGCCGGTATGCCTGAGGGTGATGATGTTGAGGCCATCTTGAGCCGCACTCAGGTCTTCCTCGAGGAGGGCGACATTGATGGTGCTGCTAGAGAGATGAACTCGCTCGGAGGCTGGGCTGGTGTTCTGAGCAAGGACTGGGTCGCCGAGTGCAGAAGAGTACTGGAGACCAAGCAGGCTATTGACGTAAGTCATTCCCCTCCGTTTTTCCATCTTGTATTGCCTCGTACTAATGTATCATTCAGGTTATTGCTACCGAAGCCAGACTTCAAAGCCTTCTCGTCGAGTAGATTACCATCACAAAAGCTTATTGGTGAATTTGTATATTTTTCTAGACTATTTTCCCTTTACCCGCCAAACCAAAGCTGTACGATACCAAATCATTATTTCCTAGTAAATATTTGCATGATGAAGTGTAAACCTCGTTTTGGTGGTGAGACTGGAGATGAGATCGGAAACGGGATCGCTCGGAAGTCTGACCATAACGCGAACTAGGCGCGGCTCCTTGCGGGTATCAGTCGTCATAATGGTGAGCAGCTTTCGAAAAAACATCCATCGTCAGAAGTGCTTGTGATCAAATCTTGCTCTGTCTACTATACATACCCCTACCCGGAAGGAAGAAATACTCATCGTGTGGTGTTTGATTTGAGCGGACATACTACGGTGTTCTGCTGTACAAGCTCCGACAAAAGCTTTCGAGATTTCGATACAACTCCAGCCACCCATCAACATGTCCGACGCACGTTCCGTGAAGAGCTCCAATAGTGGCTTTCGAAGCCTCAAAGACAAGCTTCGCTCTACCTTTGGTAGACGATCAGTCGATGAGACCAATTCTCCTCGAAGGAAAAGCAGCACCGGCGAGAATGTGCCACCAGGGCGCAGAAGCTTACAAAGGTCGTCTCTCGATTCGAGGCAGGGTCCTAATCAAAACCCAGCCTTCAAGACTCAAGCAGAAAGAATCAAAGAAGCACGGGAAACTGGTCCGAAGATCGATAAGCAGACTGGAGAGCTTCGTGACGACACATTGATTCTTCATAGTCTTGCTCATGACTCTTTCGATACCGTTACGGAAATATTGAACAAGTACGAATTGGATCCGAACCGGAAGCCTGGTGAACCTCAAATTGCGAGCTTGTCCCCTCAACTATGGATTCGGATCACGGAACATCTCGGCCTGGTTGACCGTGCCTGCCTTTCCATTGCATCCAAGACTTTACTGGATCGGGTGGGATCCTCTTACTTGAATACACTCAGTCATCCCGAAAACAAAGAATACAGGCTGTCATTTTTGCACAGAGTGGAAGATCAACTGCCGAACCATCTATTCTGCTTCGTGTGCAACAAATATCATCTGCGAACCATCAAGGGCCAGGAGAAACTCAAGCCTGCCAGCGTACTTAACCCGCTCTTCAACTGCCCAAATGCCACGAACAATCTCATGCCTCAGCCAAGACTACGCATTGCGACAGGCAGGACACTTCCTTTCAACTTCGTTCAGCTTGCTCTGAAGGGAAAGAAGTACGGTCCTGGATATGGACTGGACGCAACGACAATGACACGCCTATGGAGAGAGCAAGATGAGCCCAGATGGATCCACAGTTCACGCTACTTTGTGTTCAAAGGCCATCTTCTCATGCGCGTCCAGAGCACCTGTTATACCAAGGGTGGTTTGACACCCGCCGCCGAGCGTATGCTGCTTTACAGCCGTGAAGACTACCAGCCATACTTTTCCGTCTGCGCTCATTGGAGAGACGGTCTTTTGATGAATATCTGCAAATGTGCCTTGACCCATTTGCCTGTTCCACCTGAGAAGTCTCTCCATGAAGGCCTGGCCAAGGTCGCTGGAAGACGAGTATCACAGGGCGCAATTATCACGTTGTGCTCGAACTGTCGCCCTATGCGTCGCTGTCCAGCATGTCCCACAGAATACTTGGTGGAGGTCAAGTTGGCAGAAGACAGGTCTGAGAAGGACCCAATGAAGCTATTCAAGCATGCCATTGTAGTTACAAGATGGAGTGATCTTGGTGATGGCTCTTCTCCAAACAGTCCAGAATGGGCAGCTGTTACTGGTGCAATCGACAACTACGACTCCATCTCCACCATTGGCACAAGAGCTGTTTCTGGTACTTTTGAGAGTCAGACGGCCGACACTGGGCCTGGGCAGAGGATCCTGAATCTCAATCCCAAGGACGAACATAAGGGAGAGGAAGGTCACGACTGGTACTGAGACCGTCCAGGTTGTTATGACCCTAATAGCGCACACCCAAGTCATGCGGGTGTTAGCAGACGCGAATCCACTCATCTCGGCTTGGCACACTACCATCACTTATGCATATTCTAATAATCCCATTGTCCTGATTTCTTCAGCAAAACTCAGTCCTTTGTCAACCATCATGTCAATACAACAAAAAGCTCCGCAACAGCTGACTCTTCTCCCCGCTGCTCCGAACTTCACAGAATGTCCGACATGCGGTCATACAAAGATATACCCCAATATTGTCACCGGACCAAACATAAGTCGTCCACCTACATATCAAGAACGTGCACATCGTGGAGAGGAGCAAGAAACTCCCTCACCTATTCAAGATGCAGAATACACACCTTGGATATACTCCCGCCATTTCTTTCGCGACTCCTACTGGTCCCGCACCTATGCCCTACCCAAAACCAAAACAGCCCATAGAATTTACAAAGAATACGGAATCAGCAGGGGTCACCATTGTACTGGTCCGGATACCTTCATCGGCTGCAAAGTCACAATTAGGAACACGTATCAAGTGGATCGCGATCTCTGGGTTAGATGGACAATCTGCCAGTTCAATGTGCATCGAGAGATGCAGCCGAAAGAAGCGTGTGCTTGCAGTCTCAAGGATGCGAGGGAGGGGAACAAGTGTCTGGGAAACTGATTTGCTAGACACACCTCTGCGGGAAAGTGGGAGATGTCGAAGCATGATCAATTGTGTGGGTGTGGGTGTGGTTGTTTTGATTTTGCTTGGTTTGGAGGGTTGTCTCGACCTGCGATTTTCCTCTCCAAGCTTTCTGTCTACTTTTTGCTACAAACGACAGTTCCCTACATGTCAAGTTCCATCACTTCATCTATTCAACTCTGTATCGTACACCCAGTGAGCACCTCCAGCACATCTATACCCATGACTTTGCTTGATCCAGGCATATCCTAGATGACACCTTCCCATGGCCTCTAGCTTCTGCTGTGCAACATATTGCAGCCAGAAAAACCATGAGGATGGTCCATGCGACGGCTCCAATATGACTTGCACCCCAAGCCTGGGTGGTATTTCCAATCTGGTGTGACTTTGTGTTACGAGCATGATGCGTAGTCAGAACATCCACATTGGCGTAATTGGTCGTGTCTCTGCATGCCCTTCCAGACCAGCTTTGAGAAGTACTTGCTACCAGTGTCGCAAGTCCTAGGCTTCCCTTGTGCATGATTGCGAATGTGCTCGGAGTCCCACCGACAGGAATGATGGTCAGATTCGCTTCGATGGGAACCGAGGTCTTCAGCAATTCGCAGGCAACACTGTTCAATGTTGGAAGGTGCGAACTCGTCCACGATACCATCCGGCTTTGGCATGATCTTGCAGGTGAAAGATGATTCAGGACCTTGAGCATTGAAGCTTCCGCCAACACCGCACTCTAAACAGTAGGTTCTGTCGGGCGGGAGGACCCTTCGAACTTGGAAGGATTTGGAGCTCTCGGAGAGATTTTGGCGAGCAGTCGGTCGTCGGTCGTCTTGCGTCATTGTCGTAGATTGTAGAGTCTGCCAATGACTTGCTCCAACTTTTGCGGCCAAAACAATGCTTACAGGAGCATAGGATCGCGCTGTCACTACGCTTCATCGGCGGTTGTCGCAAGGCTTGTGGGGGCTTGAGAGAACGAAGTCAGAGAGGGTCAATGTGCAAGCGTACTTGCACACTTGAATCAATTCAGTCGCCCGACGGTCGAGTTGAAAAGAGCCATTCCGTGCACAATCAGATTTGCCTCATATGTGGACGAACAACGAAAAGTGAGTGGAGTAAAGTCAAACTCTGGAGCACTCCCAGGGTGTGTGAGCAAGTTAGAAGATGTATTGCTGGCTGCGACTAGACGGAACTCCCTCGATATCACGTTAATGCTTTCTAGCATAAGCCAGTTTCAGGAGCCTCCTACTCATACGAGTTGCGTCGACACGCATTGGATCGAGCGAGCCTGCACGAAGAAGCGCGATCTATTACCGAGGTAACGGCTGAAGTTCGGAAGAGTATTCTATGGGGTCTCAGCTCTCTGCAATTATTAGTCTATTCCCATATTCGATCATCAATGAAACAGGTTGTTTCGCGTCTCGTATGATTATGCAGGACGGGCGCTTAATGATCACCGCGGCATGAAAGCTAGAATCCTTTTTGTCAGCGCCTTGTAGACCCGCGAAACACAAGGACGCCTGAACGTGCACAGAAGAAGAAGCCTGACTCAAACAAGACCATTATGACTATCTGTTACGGAAACCGGGCACACATAGCAAGAATGTGGCTTAGCTCCTATATCTCGAACATCGGACTTCCGCGCTGATGTCGATCATCGGTCGGGACCAGGCTATATAAACCACGGCCTCTCACAGTTCATGAGAACTTGAGCTCCCTCATTCTAACCACCAGTTAGAACGCGTAGCTATTACATTTCTGCCGCCAAACATCATGTCCCTCCAAGACAAGATCGCCATCGTAACCGGCGCCTCACGTGGCATTGGTGCTGCTATCGCCAAAGCCTATGCCAAGGCGGGTGCACATGTCGCAATCGTCTACACATCTCCCTTAAGCACTGAATCAGCCGAGAGTGTGAAGAAAGAAATTGAACAGTTGGGTCGCAAAGCCATTCTGATCCAAACGGACCTGGGCAATACGGACTGCGGCGAGGTTGTCTTGTTAAAAACCTTGCAAGGCTTCAACACTGAGATAATCGACATTCTGGTCTCTAATGCCGGCATCTACAAGGAGAATCACACTCTGGAGTTTGACCCAGGGTTGTTTGATAGGTAAGAGTATTTCGAAGCTTGGTAAAGTCAACACACACTGACTCTAGATGGAAAGAACGATGGCAATTAATGTCCGAGCTCCGGCGTTGCTAGTCAAATCAATTGCTCCGAAAATGCCGAAAGGAGGCCGCATCGTTGTAATTTCTTCAATGGCAGCCACCTGGGCCAGTCCCACTATGGATATCTACAGTGCCAGTAAGGCTGCGGTCAATGCAATGCTCAAGTGCTGGGCTGTCTCCTTGGGCAAATCACATGGTATCACCGCGAACGCCATCAACCCTGGCTTCTTCCCCACCGATATCAACTCGCACTTCTCGGAAGAGCTACTTGAGAAGTTCAAGAACATGCAAGCTATTGGCCATCGTCTAGCTCACACAGATGACTTGACTGGCTTGGCGGTCTTCCTGGCCAGTGAACAGTCTAGGTGGATCACCGGGGAGACAATCGAATGCTCTGGAGGTTCTTCGCTAGGATGATGTAGTTTGAGACAAGGCCTGATTTATCTGTTCAATCAGGTCACCTAACATTAATCTGTGTCTTGTCAATCTTAATCCTGTTGTGAGTGTCAGTAACTCTTTGTCTCCTTTCGTTTAGATAATTCCAGTGGTGCATTCCCACGACACTAAACAACCGTCGACGCATCGAAGCCGGTAAGTCACGTAACCTGGACCTCCCTTTACAGCCACTCGAATCTCGAGTCGAGTAGCTCCGCGAAGTTCGTTTCTGACGGTAGTCACTTTAGATCCCACCTCGACTCAAAACAACCACACACAGCTAGTCTTACCACTCCTATTCACTTCTAACTTCCCAACCCCCTCGACTCCTTGCCCAAAGCAAAGACGCACGTAACCTTTTCCAAGACGACTCTACCCAGCACGAAGACTTATCCAAGATGGCCAGCGGTCGGAAAGCACAAAAAATCGAAGCCGCCGACAAAGATCAAGACGATAACGAGATCAACTTGAATTACAAGGAAGCAGAGTGGAAACCTATCAACACAGTCTCCGAACAAGTCGTCAAGTCGTGGATCATAGAGCAACAACATTTGCCATGGTTGCGCATTCAAGGTGTCACCAAAGGCGACAACAATGAAATCCGTCTGAACAACAGACGAAATGATAAAGTGCGTACTCGAAAGCAACCTCCCAATTGGTTCTCGGCCACGAAAGTGCCGACTGAGGTATTCGACAAGTGGGCAGCAAAGCTCAATCTCAGTCCAACGCTGGCTCACGACTTCGGCGGCGAGGATATTCTCGTCATTTACGATGCAGCATGGAATCTGCTACTCGCCTCATCAGATGAGGAGGAACCATCTCAAATGCCCACGGTTGAAACCAGGAGGGGTACAGACAACGAAATTGACTACATTCACGACAACGAGGACACGCCATCAAAGCCGCACTTTTCACCCCCTGCTACCATGCATGGTACCTGCGACGACACGAACAAGTCCCTCGACAACGTCACCCATACAAACCAAGTCGCACCCTGTCAATCAGGCAAACATCATCCCCTGGAGCCCTACTACCTCTGTACTGGCTGTCACCAAAGAGACCTGACCTACAAACTCACCAAACACGAACAAAACCACATGTTTCGAGACAGGGGTTTGTTTAGTCTCTGTAAAACCTGAGCGGGAGTCGCAATGGGAGACTATGGCCTTGAGGTCCAAGGTCAGGAGGTGGATAGATGTTTCTGCATCCAGAGGCTTCCTCAGTGTCTTTGTGTCGAATGCTGGGTGGAGGCGGCAAAGATGAGAAGTCGGAAGCGCGACAGCACAGCGAGATGTGACTGTGACAGACAATACATCAGGAAAAGCAAAGCAGAGAACTGTCGCTTCGTGCTTGGCAGCACTGTCCGTGTGTGCTCAGGTTGCGCTGAACTAGTCATCACAGGGGGTCGAGTGGACGACCGGTGACAGGTCGGTATCGAGTGTCTCGACGCAGGTCATCTCCCCCTGCAGTGGCCATCATTCCTTGTAATTGTAGAAATGCACAGCTCTTTTAGAACTGAAGGGATGTTCATTGAGAACTTGGTGGATAGCCACTCTCTACGGCCGGTGCTAACAATATCAAAATGACCATGCCTTTCAACAGTCAGGATGGACTGCTTTGTTACGGCGGTGGGATCTGTGGAATGCTCCTGACTCCTTCCCCCACTATACGAATGCAGGGGCTCAAAGTCTTTCAGTCATCAAGCTGCTTGCTGGATGTCTATAGAGAATACGAAAAGTACACCCACCCATAATAAAAAAGCTATTTGGTTACTCAATCAAAGAGAAGTAACCTTGATCGTAACCAAGTGCTCAGCAATTGTCCGAGGGTGTCCTTCAGGAAAACGTCGCTAACTTTGTGTTGTTGGTAGCTTGCTAAATGACCTTTCACACGGCTGAAAGAGTGTATTTACCGTGCCTCGTGTCATACAGATAGTGCGACTAGAATCTTCCCTTGCAAGTTTAGACGATACATATACTGCAGTCCCCTCTGGTTCTCCAATTCAGAGATCCTACAGCCCATCCAACAAGTCTTGCAAGATGAGTGGCCGCAGATCGAGTGATCGTCAGAAAGAGCTCCCTCCGATTGATTACTCAGGAGGTAGCGGCAAGACGTCCAAGTCAGCCAATCCCGATGATGACACTCCCAGCAAGAAACCGAAGAAGAGAGAAAGCATCACATCCGTCACAGCAGAAGGTGGCACACCTACCAAACCATTCCAGAAGCCCCCAGGAAGTCACACGCGTCCCAGAACGAGCTCAAAAGCCACAAACAATCTCGACGCACCAAGCAAACAAGTCATCAAGTCAAGGAATGGCAAAAAATCACAGCTTTTGACCAACTCTACACCTCCCCCTGAACTCGAAAACCTGTGGCTTGTCAACAAGATCATGACACCACCACTCCCGTCTCTCGCAAACCCCGAGTTGAGATTCGAATCTGTGGTCAGGTATATTCAGATCAACGAACAAGGTCAACGTCAGATACATTATCAGCACAAGGGTCACAGAAAGGGCCAAAAGAATCTTCCTAATGGATTCTACTGGATAGCATCAACCATTACAACCCCTGATGAATTTCAAGACTGGGCAACCGCTGAACAAAAGCGTGCAGCACCATTTATCGAGAAGCTAAAGGAGAAGCCTGGGAAAGGGCAGAGATTACCTCAAGAGATTCTTGATCGTATGAACTTGATCAGGGATATAGCCGAAGGCGAAAGCATCCCCGCTGTCCGACCTGATGGTCAGGAGTCACCCAGTCCTCCAGCTGTTTTTCGAGTTCAAGACCGTACTGCGACACAAACCTCTACACCCCGTTTCTCCTTACCTGAGCTAGTCAAAGGAACCTGTGGCGATGCCTTGATACTCCCTCATCTCGTGCACAACAACAATATCGCACCCTGTCAATCTTCAAACCACGATGCCGATGACTCAGACTACAACATCTGCTCTGACTGCCACTACAAAGCCCTCGTCTCTCGTCTCAATGACCAAGAAATCAAACACATAATCAGAGATAACGGCTTCTACCCTCTCTGCAACACGTGCGCCCAAGACCAATCGAACGTTCACGGCATCACTGCTCAACAGAACTTCAAAAACTGTGTTTGTGAGAAGGAGCTTCCTGTCTGGATGTGTCTTGATTGTTGGATCGCTATGGCGAGAGCCAGGCGTTACGAAAGAGATTGTGACGAATGCTCTTGTGGTGCAAAAGGGGAAGTCGGCGGTACTGTGCGTAAGTGCTCTGGATGTCAGGGGATCTTGGTTGTGAGGAGGGAGGAGTGAGCTTTGGAAGCCTCTCTGCGTGCCCATCTCTGACCTCTACTATCTCTCGATATTCGATGCAGATAGATAATGAGCTGTAGCAAGGCACAGTGGTGTCTCAAGGAAGAAAACCGCTAGACTTTCAGGGCAGATATAAGCCGGAGCTTGTTTCTTGGTTTCTGATCTGGATAGGGGAAGAGGTCGGAAAGCTGAGATTTTAATGACGGAGACTTATCATACCTTTTTCATTAATCATACTGTCATTATCCTTTTCCTGTCTCTATAACACATACAAGAAGAATGACAGTTTCACAAATGATTTCTGCTTAGAACTCCGCCCACTCTAGCCAACCCTCAGCAGCTCCCTGAAGCAAACCTCTCTGATCAGCACGAATGATCTCCTCAAATTCTTTCAAGTTCAACCTTCCCGGCCCACCGCGGGTAAGAATAACTTTCTCTTCTTCGTCGAGACGAGCCAGCTCTCTCAATCTCTCATGGTTAGGCTTCTCAGAAGATTGAGACTGTTCTAACATTCCAGACTGCCAATGCGGAGAGTCATAGGTGGTAGAATCGATGTCCGGTGTAGAGAAGGGAGCTTGAATGTGTTGTGTAGAGGGCGAGAGATTATCGGAGGATGCCACATCAAGTGAGACATCACCCTCGGCCGTCGATGTTACCATAAGACCGCTTCCATCCGAACCTGGCCCATTATCAAGTGTGTCTGTAGGTGCGGTGTCCGGATTAATCGAGCCATCAATAATGTATCCTGACTGCGCCAACAGCTCATCTAGAGACTGCTCTCGGATGTTCGATTCGAGATCGTCGAGATTGCCGTCGAGCGTTTCAGCTTGTTGTGTAATGTGTTCTTGGAGATCTATTGCGATCTCTCGCGGTGTGGGCAGTCTCGTGTTCGCATCTAGAGACTCGATCTGGAGCATGGTGTCGTTACGTGCTCCGGATTCGTACTCCTGCTCATGCTCAAGGAGGTCCCGACTGTTGGCATCGTTCGCGATCCCCAACAAGGGGTCAATTTCGGCGCCAATGCTGAGTTCTTCTTGTCGAGCTTTTGCATTCTGAACGTATTCGTCGATCTCTTGGCGATAGCGACGTCGCTCTTCAATGGTAGCTTGCACACGCTCGGCCAATCGCTCTTTCTGTGCGAAGATGGGATCGATGATCTCATTGAGACCTTCTTGGATGACCTGGAAGATGATCTCCGTACCGAAATCTTTTTCCGCCACAGGCACTTCATATGCTTTTCCTCTCTCGAGTATGTCTGCAGGTAATGGTGGAAGGAAGTCGCCTTCACCTGCATGCAACCCTTGCCAGACAGGTCTCTCGCTGCTTTGATTTATGTCTCGAGATGCTTCCTTGATGTCTTGACGCCATCTGAATTCAGGCTCGTCTAACGGAGATTGACTGTGATTGTGGCGAAGGTCGGTTTCAACCATGAATCTCGGCTCTTGATCCTCTTCATGGTCGATTTCTACACTTCCAACTTGGTTGAGACTGCTTGTGAACTCTGTGAGACTCTCCAGCGAATACTGTTCAGCCGATGCCTCATGGCCTGGCAGTATCTCAACACCATAGCGATGAGCCATTGTTTTGATGAGATTTGTGTCTGGGTGTTCTAGGCCATCAGGTAGAACTGCAGATGCAAAAGGCCCTGCGCCGGGTCTTATTTGAGCCTCGCCAAATCTGTCTGGACCTTTGAACATGGTGTGTGTTCTGGTCTGTCCAGGAGGCACGTCTTCATGTGCGAAAGCTGCACTAATTGGCTGACTCGAACGAATAACGTGGGCGCTATAGCCAACCATATCGTACTCCGCGGCTCTGATCATGTCACTTACGATGTTCTTTTGAACAGCGTATTTGGCACTGAGCATGCGAATGAAGTCCCGGCGGCTGATGTAGCCATCCCCGTCAAAGTCAAAGCCAAGGAAGATGCGATCCATCGAGCTGCTCTGCTTGTTGGGACGGCGCAGATAAGCAATACCATGGATATACTCCTCAAAGCCAATGAGGCCATTATTGTCGGTGTCATAAAAGTTGAACATGCGGTCGTAGAGACAATTGGGTTCAAGAGGACGCTTCCACGTTGGAGACACCATGAGTTTGTTGAAGGCGTGACGGTCCAAGGCGATGTTCACTTGCATGGGGTCCTACACACTGTTAGATGATCCTTCTCTCTAAACGTGCTGTTGAAAGACATGGAAACTTCGAAGTGCCTAATCGCAAGCGGAGAGCATAACATGCTCCAGATAGGCACAGTACGATCCACAAAAGTGCTGCCACTTTCTGCAACTGTTTTCGTACGATTCGAGAGATCAGGAGAGTAGAGAAGAATCAGGTGTACGTACCTCCGGATAAGCTGTATTGGCTTTGCATGTGAACTGATCATAAGCGACCTGTATCTTCAGCTCCTCGATCCCTGTATCGATTGCTAGTTGCTTCTTCAGAGAAGGTTTAAGAGTCGGCCATTGAGCCATTGGATCGCCAGGATAGGACACGTCATGGACCTGGTGGTTTTGACTTAAGAAGGCGACTGGCACCTTGATCTTGCTGAAGATATGAGTCCTCGGGTGTAGAGGATGTGTCTCACACGTCGAGCATAGATCGAAATCCGGGCAATTGTTGCAATGCCATCGTACACCACGGATTGGGTACTGGCCACATTGTTCGCATCTGATACCCGTATGAACATAGAGCTCGCGCATTGCTTTCTCTTCTGCTATGTTATACAGGACACCTTTGATACCTTGCGCAGGCTCTCTTTCATCTTCATGATCTGAGCCGTCGGTCTCTGTGAAGTCAAGGTCGGTCTCATCGGGAATGATAGGCATGCGATCGAGACCACAAAGATCAGCAAATGCTCTAGCCACAGCGGCTTGATGAAACTTCCATGACCCCGAGCAGAGCACATGGATTCTAGCAAGTAGCTCATCAATGTTGGGTTGCCTCAGATATGGGATCAATTCCTGAAGATCGCTAGACGCGTCTGATTGTTCGACGGACAAGTCGTCGGGAGCCTGAGCCAGGATAGAGAAGATGTGTTTGAGAGCGGCCTCCTGAATCTTGATCGTCAGATCAAAGGCTCTTGAATTCGGTATATTCAGAGCCTCTTGGATCTCGGCCACGGTAGGCGGCTCCGGCCCATTGGGAAACCTGACCACGACTGTGCGCGTTAGCGGATGAACAGAATTGGCACAGTTAAATAACAAGCTGGGGAACGGCAAGGGATGTTGATGTCATGGCATACAGGGTGTCTCAAGCACTAATGCTGATCCTCAAGGTGACGGTATAGTGCGAGGGCGACATCTGTAGCAAAGTTGTAATTGGGATCAGATTTACTTACTGCCTTCGAAATCGACATGTACCAGGCCAAAGAGTAGAGATGTTTCAGATGATGGCGAGGTCCAGATTCTTGTCTGACCTCGCGAAGTGTTACGGCTTCTTACTGCACCACGACGCCGCAAACTAGAGGGAGCATCTTGAGAAGGCCAGCTAGACCAGATGAGATAGGAGCCGTATGCGGCGACGACACCCGTCGTGACCAGTACCCATGGGCGCGAGAGGACCGATCGAACATTTGAAGCCATTGCGCGCGTAAGATCAAACAAATAGTATCCGCTTATCAACCATATTTGACATGTCCAACCGGACTGGAGAAAAGATACCGCGCAAGATGTTGTCGATTACACCAAAAGACGATGAAAAGCCAGGTGCCCAGACAGCTGTCACCGCGCGAGTCGTCAACGGACTACGATGACCGCAGGGAATTTCAGCACTTGAATGCGGCTTCCGTCGTTGCGTGTAGTTCTTGATGCGTCGGCAGTGAGAAATTGCTTGGCGGAAGACGACGATCACAAGACCATAGTTAATTGACAGGATTTTTTGAGAAGGAAATTACAGGATGGTATATATATGTACAATATGGAGAGTGGACAGTCTCAGGTTCCCAATGCCGGTCAAATGCTAAGCTCCAACGCCGTGATCCCAGTACCAAGACGAAAAGAAGCGATCATGACCTCGATTGCCACAACTTCATTGCAGCATTCAGGAGAGGAGAGCCCCGTCTGCTCTCACCGGGCTCTAGCACGCTGCGGACAATGCCTGTTGTATCGGACTTGATCTTTGCCTCGACGGCTCTTGCCTTGTCTTCGGACAGACGCTTCTCTTCAGCACCTCTAGCCTGCGCCAATCGCTTCTTCATGGCAGCAATTTCCTTCTCTTCGTCATCTCTGGCTTCAAGCTCTCTGATCCAAGCATCACGCTTGTCCTTCTTCTTCTTTTCATCGACCAATTCATTGTATTCCTTGCGCTTGACGCGGTCTTTCTTCCAGTACGCAGAACCGGCGACCATGGCGAGCAGAGTGAAACCTTGGGCGTAGATACGACGACGGAACATACGGTTGGTCTTTACATGATCACCAGACTTCATGGACTTCGTCGCTTCGTACAGAGCCCAGACGGTCAGACCACAACCGAGCGGGATCAGAGGTTCCTGTACAATGCGACGACGCAGCTTCTGCCATCGGCTCTCCTCGTAGAAGTCGCTGCGACGAGTCAGACCTTGAGACCAGTCACGTTCAGAGGCCGTCTGGTTACTTACGTATCATCGTCAAAGGACGAAGGTGGTGGCGCACTGTTCATGTTGGTGGCCAGATGTTGGTATGTTGGAGTAGTTGATGGGAGGGTCCTTGCTGCTAAGCAGAAGATACGGTGCCTGGTCGGTGGAAGAGGTGAATGGATTCAGTTGTTAGTGGAGAGTGTTTAATGGTATAGCTTGGCTTGATTGGCCAGAGCTGTCGTACCAAAAATCGATGATGTCGCGGCGCCGGGGCCCGGGGGTCCGTCCGTTGTGGATGCTCCGACACCGCCTTCAGCCCTACCAGCTATCAGTCACTCTTTCCCAAACAGTCAACACAATTCACTTTCGGCGTGCCTTCTTTCTCGGTGCGCTCACTGTTTCCTCTTTCCTCCTCCCGTTCGCTGCTCCCTCTTTGTTGTACTTGCACCTCCTCAATACAGCCTTGGTGCGACACAGTCATGGCTCAGAACGGAACCACAAACCACAATGCTGCCGAGCCCGTCACGCCCAAGCTCAACTCACTATCCTTGACCGAATACGCCGCCAACCCCTCCCCACCCTCGCAAGACCCTCGCCAGAAGGCCATTGACGCCGGTGTCCCCGAGAGCTTTCTTCTGCCCAATGGCTACCCCGACTACCTTCGCTTGATCCTCACCTCGCGCGTATACGATGTCATTGAACAGACTCCCCTCACACATGCCGTCAACCTCAGCAACCGCCTGGAAAGTCAGGTCTTCCTCAAGCGTGAGGATCTCCTGCCAGTCTTCAGTTTCAAGCTGCGCGGTGCATACAACAAGATGGCCCATCTGAGCCCACAAGAGAAGTGGAAGGGTGTCGTTGCTTGCTCGGCTGGCAACCACGCACAGGGTGTCGCATACTCTGCGCGCAAGCTCAAGATGCCTGCCACCATCACAATGCCCCTTGGAACACCCGCCATCAAACACACAAACGTCTCGCGCCTCGGTGGTGCTGTCGTCCTGCATGGAAACGACTTTGACGAGGCCAAAGCCGAGTGCGCCCGCATTGCAGAGGCCCACGGCCTTACCAACATCCCTCCCTTCGATGACCCCTACGTCATCGCTGGCCAAGGTACCATTGGTATGGAGATTGTGCGCCAGGCCGATCTGACCAAGCTCGAGGCCGTCTTCTGCTGTGTTGGTGGAGGTGGTCTCATCGCCGGTATCGGCACATACATCAAGAGAATTGCTCCCCACGTCAAGATCATCGGCGTCGAGACATACGATGCCAATGCCATGGTCCAGTCTCTCAAGGCTGGTAAGCGCGTCACTCTGAAAGAGGTTGGTCTGTTTGCCGATGGTGCTGCCGTCAAGACTGTCGGAGAGGAGACTTTCCGTTTGGCCATGGAGGTCGTCGACGATGTCATCATGGTCACCACCGACGAAACTTGCGCTGCTATCAAGGATGTCTTCAATGACACTCGTTCTATTCTCGAACCTGCCGGTGCGCTTGCTCTTGCCGGCCTGAAGAAGTACGTTGCTCAGAACCCTAGCTCGGACCCTAAGCGTCAATTGGTCGCTACTGCTTCGGGTGCCAACATGGACTTTGATCGTCTGCGCTTCGTCGCCGAGCGTGCTGCCATTGGTGAGAGAAAAGAGGCTCTGCTCATGGTCACCATTCCTGAGAGACCTGGTGCCTTTGCTGCCTTGGTCAAGGCCGTCCAGCCTATGGGCGTCACAGAATTCTGCTATCGCTATGCTTCATCATCGGCTGCCAACGTCCTCATCGGTATCAGCTTGAGTGCAAACACCCGTGAGCACGACCTCGCAGACCTGATCCGTCGTCTGTCCAACGAAGGCGTGACCGCTGTTGACGTCTCGGAGAACGAGACTGCCAAGTCTCATATTCGTTATCTTGTTGGAGGCCGTAGCACTGCCTTGAACGAGCGCGTCTTCGCCTTCGAGTTCCCCGAACGTCAGGGTGCCTTGGTCAAGTTCTTGACAACTCTGCAGCCAGGCTTCAACATCTCTCTGTTCCACTACAGGAACCACGGCGGCGATATCGGTAAGGTCTTGGCCGGGATTCAATGCCCTCGAGGCGAGGAAGAGAAGCTCAACACCTTCTTGACTGACCTGGGCTATGGCTACGTCGAAGAGACTAACAACCCAGTCTTCAAGATGTTCATGACTGATGACTGAGCCCAGACAACCTCTGGTCTCTAGATCATCAAAGAGTCCTTGTCTTCCAAGCTTGAGCGGACACTCTTTGACATTCACACGACCTGCTTCAGCTGTATGACCGCATCTTCCGATACCCAGTTTTGTTTTCGCGGTGTTTCTCTTTCCATTCCACTGTAATGTTGTACACGATTCTTTATCCATTGTGCGAACACCATAGAATCACGGCTCATCACTGGCGCATAGCACTTAAGATTTTGGGTGGTTATACAAAAAGTTCCTGGAATCATCGCGACCACGAGTTCGTTTACTCGTCATAGAAGTGGTCAAATAGTGCGCGCGCGCGCACACAGACACACACACACACACACACACAGTCGCGCTAGAACGTCGCATTCGACGGTCGATAGAATACCACAAATACCAGCGTCTCCGATGCTACCACGTCGATCCTTAACAGGTACTTCCCGATAAGTCCATCGCCCAAATGTGATTGCTGTGCATGCCAGTAAATCTTGGCGGAGGTACAGCTGTAAACTCGAGAATACGAGGTAACCATCTGATGACACCCAATATATCAATAGGATGCTCAATTGCTCAATATCGCAACCCTTCGCAGCCGCAGTTCTACGTAGTTTCCTGCATCAAGCATGAAAGCGTAGGTTTGATCACCGACCGCACTCAACCCCTCGACCGACCAAGACGTCTCTGAGTCTGTTGATTTAGCGACTGCCTTATGCCTCATTTGACTTTGCCAACATGACAGATACGTTGACCTGGCACTACCCGATCGGTCAGCAATGTGGTAGTGCCGCATGCGTACAACCGGTGATCAAGGCAGGTACAGTGCGACTTCACGATGTTTGTAGGTTGTCGTCTCGTCCAACATCATGAGGCCGATCTATATGATTGTGAATGAAGAAGAAGAAGAAGAAGAAGAAGAAGAAGAAGTCCGAACTTGATCGAGGCTCTTCATCGCTCCTGCCTCCCATCTTACTCTTAGCTCTTTGCCTGCTGTCAAGCACAATCTTCGCCGCCCACTCTTTTGCTGTACTGTATCTACCACCAACGAAGCATATTTAAACAGCAAATTGACATTGACAGCCACGATGCACGCATGCTCACTCTTCCTTGCCGCTACCTTCGCCCTAGTCACTACCATCACGGCCCTCCCGCACCGGAAACGCCTGGCTGAGAACGAACCCTGGCATCTCACAAATCTTGCCGTCTTTACCAGTTCCAATGGCCTCAGGAACGGCTCCATCTCCTTCAACTTGGTAGACAACAATGTCGGTCTGCAAGTAAACACCTTTTGCTTTCGCTCCGTTGCTAGCTCTGTAGAGGATGGAGGTAGTTTCTATCCATGCGGAAACAAGGACTTTAACTTCAGATGGGATGGTACGACTTTACGCTTGCAGAGGAGATATATTGATTCGAAGTGAGATATTCATCACTGTGAGGAGGTCGTTGCTGATCTGGTATGATAGTGTTGGACCTTGCCCATTGTATTGTACTGTTACTGCCTATGGCAATGGCACACCTAAGCTTTTTGTGGACTATGTTGGAGAAGATGGCAATGGTGAGATAGACACAGCCTTGTCCTTCATGATGGATGCTAATCGTGGGTGTAGGCGCTCGTCAAGATGCTCTGGATATCTTTATTACCGAGATGGTTGCCTGAATGGTCTCTATGTTGTTTCTGATTCTTTGCCTTATGGCAGGCTGGGCCGTTCAGCTGGCACGGAGACGTTCATGGTCAATAGGAAGGCATATAAGGAGCATCCTAGAGACATCAGAGGTTTAATATGCGCGACCATCGGTCGGATATGCTTGCTGATGACGGAGGCATGTATGTGGTCTTAGTTGGATGCATGCAACATTGGCAACTACACATAGTTTGCTCCTCTCTTCCTCTCCGACCGATCTTCCTTGCTCGTGATCATTAGTCGTCGATGTTCCGATGGCCTACGACTCGGGTACCCGCTTCGACCCCACAAAGTTCTCCAGATCTTCGATATACCTACTTGTACTGTATAAGACAAGCTATTTCCCAATGCGGTAATGAGGCGTTCAGGCCGCGTAACTCAGAAGATCCGCGAAGGGGGGAGCAACTTATAAATAGTCCTCAGTCCTACACGTGCTGCTCTCGAAGGATGCGCAGATGTTGTCATAATTGAAATTTCTCTGTACAACGATCACCTCTTGACTCGTTAGCCTCAGGCAACAGGATAAGAGTAGTCGGATACAAGACGCCAGATACGTCTTTCATATCAATCTCGACATTATTGAGAATCCATCAAACAAACATCATGAAGAACGTTGCAATGCACGCCGGCCTTCTGGCCACCACCTTTGCTACTCTCGGTCATGCATTGGTCAACCTTACTACCGTCCCTGCTATCGAAATAGCTCATATCGGGGACAAGATCCTTCTCGAATGGACCACCGATGTTCCCTACGTTTGTCTTCTTACTCCTCAACCCAAGAAAAGAATATCTGCTAACACACACGTCACAAAAAACAGGAGCTCGAACTTGTCTTTGCCAAAAGGGAAACTTGGGGTTGGGCGACCATGAAACAATTCTTCGACGGCCGCTTCGCCGAGGCTGGAGATGGTAATATTACCGTTGCTATCCCCAAGGTTGAGATTGATCGGTGAGTTTTTTGGTTTTGCTTTTTCTTTCTTGTTTACATGTTTGGGAGATGGGAAGCTGATGTGGAGGTGTGGTGGTAGTGAGTATGCGTTTTGGCTTTCTGGTAGTAGTCTTGATGGTAACGGTGGATATGCCAATCTTACCGAATGGTTCGTTGTCGAGAGCAAGGGTGAGGAGGAACTCAAGTAGAGAGGTTCAACTGTTAGGAGTGTGTCAAGGTGGTGGGGATTTACTAGCAAAATGATGGTGGAGAATATGGCAGTCTTGGACCCTTGAAATGACGTTTGGATGTGGAGGAAACACCCCATCATCGCGCTTGGTACTCGAGCACTCGACTGTCCACCACTTCTGACCAAAATACAACAATGACCACTTCATCAACACCACCATACTTTCAAACCATGTCTTCTGTACCACCAGAGCCTAAAGCAACCCAAGCGCCCCCTTCATTCGCAACAGCCACCCGAGGAGAGCCTGAGCCTGAGCCTGAGCCTCAGCCTCAGCCTCAGCCAACATCCTCAACCTCGGCACTCCCCAAACCCAAACTCCGCCTCGAGCTCCGCGACCTCTGCCACGCATCCACAGACCTCTTCCTCCACAACTTCTCCGCCTCGAAAGACTTTGCAAACCTCGTCGACATTGTGCTAAAGCGACTCTACACCGTGCCCAACCATGACGATGCTTCCACAACAAGGCCAACACCATCGCATCCAAAGATCCCAGGCACGAGGTCTGTAACGTTGATTTTGCGTGATATGGAGGGTGTGGCGTACACAACTGGCACAGAAATCGACGACGATCACAAGGAGATTTATCTCTCGCTGTCCTATCTGACTCATGTCGCGGTGCAGAAACCTGGCTACTCTGCGCGTACAGAGATCTTGGGGGTGGTGTGTCATGAGTTGGTGCATTGCTTTCAGTGGAATGCAAAGGGTACTTGTAATGGCGGGCTTATCGAGGGTATTGCGGATTGGGTGCGACTTAATGCTGGTTTCATCCCTCCGCATTGGAAGAAAGAGGCGGGAAAGAGTTGGGATACTGGTTATCAGAATACTGGCTACTTCTTGGATTGGATTGAGAGGACAAAGGGAGTGGGTAGTGTCTACAAAATCAATCAGGCATTGTGTCATAAAGAGTACAAGGATGATACATTCTGGAAGCACTTGTTTGATCAAGATGTTGATAGTCTGTGGAAAGAGTACTCCGAGTCATTGAAGAAGCACAAGGACGAGTCTGAGAGCTATGGTGATGCGGACCTAAAGATGCAGATTCGGATCAAGAAAGAGGTGGAAGGACACAACTGATACAACACAGATCGCACCTACAGATACCCTCTTCTATTCAGTTCGATGAGAAGACATTTTCTCCGAAAAACTCAAGCCTTGACCTCACTCTCGCCTTCCTTCTTGCTCTTGACACTCTTCCACTCGAAGCCCCAAGTAGCGATGAACATAAGACAAGACAGACCCAAACCAAGGTACCAGATTGACCTCATCGAGTCATTGTACACTTTTAGCACGGCCAGGAGTTGCTCCGTCGAGACCATATCTCGAATAGCCGTTGCTCCAGCACCTGCAATCATGCTCGTGTCCAAATCAGGTAGTATGTCCCACAAGCCGGAGACCAGACCGTGCTCCAGAAGTGTCTGGGAAACGGTGACAAAGGTGCTGCCTGCAAAGAACGTGATGAACTGCAGGAAGGACAGACCAATCGACACGTCGCTGTCCGGGAGAACTGTTTGTGCTGCGATGTTCGGCCCTTGCAACACCATGCCCATTCCGGCACCCAGAACGATCTGCTTCTGGTCAGTTGTTTGGTTCAAAGGTCTACATTTCCAAGGATCTTACCTGGTAGCCAATCCATATCCCGGCACCAATACCAACAGTCCATGTAGTGAGAAGAGCTGATCCAACAATGGCGATAGCACTTCCAATGATCAGGAAGGGAGTGTAGTATCCTAGCAGACTCGTTCCAACACCCCCTGCAATGACTGCAATGACATTGCTCAGGAGAAGCGGCAGCAGAGACAATCCAGACTTTTGCGGCGATTTTCCTTGAATGACTTGGAACCAGATTGGAAGGTAAAAAGCATAGATGACGAGTACACTACCGACGCCTACAGTGGCTACTGACGCTGCGAAGATGGTCCGCTGCTTGAGAATGCGAGGGGGCAATGTGGCCTTGTCTCCGCGCCAGATCTGAGAAGCAATGAACGCCAGGAGGAGAACAGCAAAGACCACGAATAAAGCGATGACGCGACCGCTGCCCCAAGGATACTTTGAGCCACCCCACTCGATAGCAAACAATAGGCAGATCACAGATGGCGCGATCAAGACGAAGCCCAGCGGGTCCAGTTGATCAAGCTTCCCTCGCCATGTCGGAGCTGCCTTTTTCGCAGGCGGACTATTTGGCGTGAAGAAGACCAAGCATGCGAGCGAAACAGCACCGATCGGTACATTAATCCAGAAGCACCAACGCCAGCTGACAGAAGTAAGGTAGCCTCCAAGTAATGGTCCAAGTATACTCGCAAGTCCGAAAACAGCACCCACACCACCAGTCCATTGAGGTCGAGCTTGAAGAGGCACAAGCATACTAATGAGAATGATTGCTCCAGAACCGATACCAGCACCGCCGATGCCCTGAATAACTCTTCCGACAATAAGAGCATTGGAGTTCGGAGCGGCAGCGCAGACGATGGATCCAATTTCGAATATCGAGACGAGGATGATCAATACCCATTTCGATGAGTAGTATGTGTATATCAGACCAAATGATAGCTGCAGGGCGCAGAGTGGAAGGAGGAAGCCTGATTCGTACCAAGCCACATCTCCAAAGCTATTGAATTGGTTCGATATGGCAGGTATGGCGGTGCCGATGATTGTACGGTCCTGCAAGGTGGTTAGCGATGTTCTCTCGATTACACAAGTGCTCTGCGGAATTGTCAATGTGCAGAGTAAGAATCCGTACCAACGCAACAAGGAAGAATGCCAAATATATGGCAGCCATGGCTGGAAGAACAATCTTCTTGGGTGGATATGTCTTTTCATCTTTTTCATGTTCTGTGTCTTGTGTTGTCTCAGTCTTTTGAGTGTCGAGTGCAGACAAGCCACCTCGGGGATCTTGGTCGACGCCATCGTTTTGCATCGTGGAGAGTCTGTAGTGTCAGACAAAAAGGTAGTTGAGTGAGCATGATCAAAGTGTTTGGGTTGTGTCTGTTTTATACTGAGAGATTGGGCAACGGCAAAAATGGATGATCCTGCATGATGCTGTATATTTTGGTGATGGAAGGGGCGCTGTTTCCATCTCGGCTCGGGGCCCGAGCCGAGCTTCGGGGAGACATTCGCTGTGCCTTTCTTCGGTCGCAGGCTTCACTATTGGTTGCCCAGTGTCTTCCTATCGTCGTCTCAGGATTCGATTAGCGAGTCTACTTCATCATCAGATCTCCAGCATGAATGGCCAAGCCTGTGAACCATGTGCGCGTCGGAAGGTCCGTTGCGACAAACAAAAGCCGTGTTCGAACTGCAAGCGGAGAAAGCAGGATCAATGCATCTACCCAGAAGCAGCACCAATCGACCGCATCAAAAGACTAGAATCTCTTGTCAAAAGCCTCGGAGGAGATCCGAATGATGATGAGAGTCGCACCCCGAAGCGAGCGAGAACAGGTCCGTCGCCTGCTGAAGTACAAGGTGAGAGGGATGAAGCTCGCGACACCGCCGAGACCGAACGTGGAGAGCCAGTCTTGTTGGAACAAGATGGGCAATCATATTATGTCGAGATGTGAGTACAGACATTGTCCTACAATATGCGAGCCCGATACTTATCGAGAAAAAGGCGTGCCTGGCATACTCATCTCAGCCATAACGACAATCCGCAGAATGAAATCAATCATGATGTACTCATGAGCAGGCCTTTGATCTCAAGAACGAAGCCTGATGCACTTCGAGGTCTCATGCGTGCCGACCACAACATTAACTTTGCACTACAACATCCTTCCTCTCAAGACGCCAGTTTTCTCTGGGACAGATTCGAGCGGAATGCCAACCCACTAATCAAGATTGACTTTGACTCTGCTCTCAAGATCTTACGAACAAGTTCGACCAATGCCGAGAGTCGAGTGCAACTCAAAGATGAAGAGCACACTTTCATTTTCTGCGTCTACCTGATGAGTATCGTCAGTGTTCCAGAAGAAGAATGCTCGAAAGTACTTCATCAACCAAAGGATGTACTGCTATCGCATTACCAGGCGATTTGCGAGCAAGCACTTTCGCGCAGCAACATCTTCTCTATCACGGACCTCATCATCATAAGAGCGATAGTTCTGTATATAGTAAGTTCGATTGGCCATATCATTGGCTATGTTTGCTGATCGAACCACAGGCTGCCTCAATCGAACGCTTAAGCATACAGAGCTTATTCTCGCTGATGGGTCTGACCATTCGTAACGCAGAGAAACTTGGTATACACAGAGATGGAGCGCTTCTCGGCATCAGTCCGATGGAGACCGAGAGTCGCCGCCGATTGTGGTGGCACCTACAGCACCTGGACCTCGCTCTGGGTGTGCGCTGTGGAACAACACCACTTACATTGATGGCTGGCTGGGACACCAAAATACCGCTCAACATCGAAGACAGTGATCTGAAGTCAGATATGACGGAGCCCCCACCAGAGCGCAAAGGTCTGACTAGCCTATCATACTGCTTATGGACATACTGGATCGTGTCGCAACAGCGCGAGTTCTTCGCAGCGAACCAGGGCAAACTAGGCATCTCGTGGGCGTCCAACAAGTCCCTTCCTCACGCTAGAAAAGCTGCTCTACTTCAGCTCATGGAGGAAGGTCTCAACAACAAGTTCTTACAGTACTGTGACCCCATCAAGCCACTTGATATCATGGTGCAGCTTACCTCGAGGGCACTGATATGTACCATGCGCATGTTCACCTTGCATCCGATGTCGTTCAGCGGCGATGCGAGCATTTCTGAAGAACAACGCCATACTCAACTAGTAGATGGAGCAGTCAAGTCACTAGAGTACAATATTGCTCTCAACTCGCGACCAGAGCTACAACGCTTCCACTGGTTTATCAATGGCTATTTCCAATGGCATGCTTGTAAGTGATGACCATCTGATATATACTACGATATCTAGTACTAATGTAGTCTAGTCATCAGCGTGATAGTCGAAGTCATACAGCTCAAAGGAGCACCAGAAGCTCAGCGCATATGGGACGTCATCTCCGATCTCTACACTTACAACAAGAATCTCCTCGAGCTTTCAGAAGATAGAAGAAAACACCACGCCGCTGAACTCATCATCAACGCTTGGAAGGCTCGATCCCAAGCTGACCCTTCTGCTCATAAGCCATCCTGTGTCGCGGTGCTAGAGTCCCTTCTTGCTGAGAAACAAAGGTATGCAACGCAAGCACAGTCCGGGGACGCCGGGCAGCCACTAGAGCCAGTAATGACGGATGAAGACCTTAATGCGATCCTGGACATGGAGTTTCAGGATATTGATTGGAGCTTCTGGGCAGGTATGGAGTAGAAAGTGCATCGACTAGACATACGGCAGTCGAAGAAATGTCTGATTAAAAAGTTCGTGTCTTAGCACCAGTGAATCATCAAGAAATGATATCTCTTTCTCATCGTCCAAAGCCAAGGCCCCTCGGAGTCTGTGCCGGCAACTCATGAGGATCTGTCCGCCATCCGGGTGCTTCTACTGGCGCCGTTGATGTGGAAGGTGAGGCCATCCTCGATGGCGGATACATAGACGAAGACTCGCAATGCTTTTGCCAGCCTTGTCCGTACATCTCAATCGGTGCTGGGTGCACCTCTTGTATTTTACGTTTGCGGGTGTGCCGACGCCAGAGAAAGACTCCGCCGAGACAGAGGAGTGCAGATCCAACTCCGGCACCTACTCCTACACCAATTGATAATGTTGGACTTGTACCTGGGGACTGGCTACCCGGTGGGGTAGTATTCGTGTTCGAAGCAACACCGGAAGATGCAGCGGCTTTTGTGATTGACGCATCGTTCGTTGGCTTGGAGTTCTCCGACACCGAAGAGCTTGTCGCTGTTGTCGAGCTAGTAGTTGTTGTCGAACTTGCAGGTATTGTTGATGAGCTTGAAGATGTTGTCGAAGTGCTTGAGATAGTGGGGGCCAGATCTGCTTTGGTAGACACTATCGTAAATGGCACAGTCGTTGTCTTGACGGCATCATCGGCTGGCTTTACCCAGAACTGGTAGCTGTAGAAGCCTCCATGTTGCTGGTCATCGTCTGATCCGGCTGCATTCACTGCTCGAAGCAGAAACGGCACGCTGCAATTTTGACCACATTTTACATCCCAAATGTACCAGGATGTTGAGTAGCTTGCTGTACAGATTGTCAGCATGGAATGGAAACGCAGACCAGGAAAGTACTTACAGACAAGACTCACGGGAGCCGCCCATGCTTTATCAATGATGAGCCATAAATTGACGTTTGGAAAGTCTGTCGTCCAGGAGATGTTCATGGTTGATCCCTCGGTAAAAGTTCCTGTCGAAGCACCTCTAGGCCATGTGAAGGTACCGCTGTTAGACGGATACACCGGATCTGGTGGGAGTGATGAATAGGGAGCCACTGTTGAGCATTTTGCTTGGTCATAAAGGCTGCATAGCCAGATGACCAAAAGAGCTTGACAACGACTGGACAGCATGTTTCTCGAGAGACACTTGAAACTGCAAGATGTTGGGGTTGAAGAAAGTATAGAGAATCGAAGCAAAGTTAAACATGCATGGGAGAAGGCAATCTCTGGCTGGCAATAGTACTGTTATTACGGCGCTTAGATGTCTTACCTTGCACCAGTCAAAGAGATGTCACACCCGCCGTGCATGCCGAGTCCTGGATAACAGCTGCAGATGCAGTGTTTCTGATATATTTGAAGCTGTCTGCTTGAAGGTCTGGGGCTTCTTCCGCGCATGACATTCTCTTACATGGCAGGATCGTCTCGGTAAATCTGCATCATGCATGCCTTGTTGGTTACCTGCGGACAAGGATCTCTTTGTGAATGCCGGAAGCACCGTATACTCTGAAGGCTTTCGGGCGCTTTGCTGGCTTCCACGCAGTTGAGACGAGGTGATGGTACTTCTTCTTGCAGCCGCCCTCAGATCGAAAAAGATGTTGCAATGTCGGCTTGATACGACAACATTTGACCGCAATGCCTAACACGCTTCATACGTCGACGACCGTGTGTTCGACATTTCCGTGTTCTCTATTGCGATGTCCTCTATTGGGAATCGGACCCCTCTGATTGTAGGTGCAGACAAGTTAGGTCTCAGCCGCTCAACGCAGTTTTCATTTGGTATTTGTGATTGTCGCTGGCAACGAATTGCCGCTTGGATGCAGGTTCAAGGCGGACATGAATGCGAGGACTTCTCAAGTCAGGCAATTCCCTGGTTCAGCAAAGACACGAAGGCGTTTTCACGACAAGGTATGCGTAAGGAGTCTGCGGACAAGCGCGAACCAGTCTGTTGAACACTGACTGATGTGTCCCCGAGTTTGTCCCGATTGGTTCAACATCTGAAGCACTCAAACTTGAAACTCTCCACCATCAAGAAATTCGTAAGCGCCAGCCACGAGCGCGTAATGTACAACCAAACCACTTGAATCTTTCTCCAAAAACAGACTGCGATAGATATCCATCGTCAACTGAGTCATGTTGCACTTATGGCTCTGTCATGTCGCATCAAGGTAGGTGGTGACTGGTGGCATGTTCGTGAAATTGCCGCTAGGTCGTCGAGGCATCCGCAGACTTAATATATCTCATCCCCAAGGCTTGGTTCTCTGTGCCGCCGCCATCACGACCGTGCATGACGGTAATCAATCTCACCAAAGAATCCGCCATGTCCTCTAACATCATGACTTTAATCGTTCCAGCACAGCTGTACTTGACCACTCGCGACAATCTCATTCGCACGTCCACATCACAGCTACAATTATCTTGAGAAGTCGAGCTCCTCAATAGAGATGGCTATCACGAGATCACGATCTCGAGTCTTGATTCTCATAGTCTGTTTCGCTATCTTCACCTTCTGGAATACGTCGTCACTTGGCAATATATTGGAAGCTCGTCAATCACCAGCAACTTCATCAGTAGAAGTACACTTATTATGTCGAAGTCTACCGGGTGCGAACGATACCTTGGTCGTCCTCAAGACCGGATCTACAGAGATACAAGATAGACTACCCATTCACTTCTCAACTACGTTACGATGCTACCCAAACTATATGATCTTCTCTGACCACGAAGAAACGTTCATGGGCGAGCATGTACACGACGCTCTGGAGGGCGTCAGTCCGGGTATAGTGACCACACACGAAGACTTTGACCTCTATCGCAATCTCAAACAAGGCGGCAGAGCGATACTGGACGCGAATGATCTAAGCGGTTCAAGTACTGAAGCCACGCAATGGCACGGTAAAGTCGAAAACCCAGGCTGGAAACTGGACAAGTGGAAGTTTCTACCTATGCTCAACAAGACGTTCCACGAGCATCCGGATATGAAATGGTATGTCTTTGTTGAGGCAGACAGCCATTTGCTTTGGGCATCGTTGTTGGAATATCTGGCTGTTCTGGATCCTTCCAAACCACATTATACAGGAAGCATCATGTTCATCGGCGACACAGTGTTCGCACACGGCGGGTCTGGTTTCATGGTCTCACAGCCAGCCATGCGAGTGGTAGTCGAACAATACGCCGCTCACAAAACCGAAATCGAAGCCTACACCAATGGCCATTGGGCTGGCGATTGCGTCCTGGGGAAAGTGTTTACAGAAGCCGGTGTGAAGTTCACCGACGCCTGGCCCATTATGCAAGGAGATTATCCAGGACTTGTCGCGTATGCTCGACCAGACGGACGGCCCATCGCTGACCCGAATAAGCGTGTTTGGTGTTATCCTACAGTATCGTATCATCATCTATCTTCCGATATGATAGAGGATCTCTGGAAGTTCGAGCAAGATTGGCTTGCGAACAAGCCGGATGATTCACGCTTTCTTCGCCATAAAGATGTCTTCAGTCAGTACATCATGCCGAGAATGTCTGCAGATCTCACGGATTGGGACAACGAGAGCGACGGTGAAGAGCATAACGTCACGTCCTTTGATGAGTGTAAGACATTGTGTATTGCAGCAGCTGAGTGCAGACAATTCTCGTATAGTCAAGAGGGACATTGTAAAACTCGTATCGACCCTAGACTAGGCAAAGCGACGCCTGGCGTGAAGTCCGGTTGGTTGCAAGATCGGATGGCCAAATTCGAGCATGAAATGGCTCCTTGTGAAGGTCAGGGTTGGATGTTGTAGTCCTTATATAGTTTTTCTTTCGTCCGTAGTATAAGCCTAATGGTCCTTTTGCTCTTCCGAAAACTTGTACTTCCCATTTTCAGTGTTCTTGTCTCCTCGATGGATTATTTGCTTTTTGTCTATCTCCAACACTTCTTCACGCCCAGGACTGCGTTTCGTCACTCTTGCTCTCCTGATCGACTATGTTGAGAGCGATGAGGGGCCGCAAAAAGCCATAGCGATATTTCGCGACAACACCTTCGAAACAGGAGTCAAGATAGCGATGTTTCTCGGTCACTTTGCAGGGTATCTAGAGAGTCCCGTGCCTTGGAACAAAAACAATTATTGTGACGAGATTCAGCACATTGATAGGCAATGAATTCACCCGTGAGTCGTGAGCCCGTTTCTGACTACCTTCACCAGAGCTTTGACATCACCGCCTATGGTGTCAACTCTGACTTTTCACAACAGCGTCGACTCACTCAAGTATGAAGACCAAAATACGATGCTTTGAAGGACTTGTTGATTATGTGGTATCTCAGAACTATAGGGGAAACAAACAAAGCCTCGAACGTTGGCATAGCAAAAGCGTACAATACAATTGACCCTCTCAGTGGTAGAAGGGATTGGCAGGAGCGAAGCCCACAAGTCTGTTGTCGTCATCAGGTCTCAAACTGGGCTCCTTGTACCACATGTGAGCATCCTTGCTGAGCTTCTCGACCTCGGAGAAGTCGAACTTCTCGTTCTTGAACGTCGTCGTGTCGTAAACGGCACGAGCGTACTCGGGAGCCACATTGTAGATTTGTGCAAGGAACTTCTTCTGGATGATGGGGTAGTTGACATTGCTCATCATCTTGGCCGTGTTCGAGTGGAGATTTGCACGAGCGCCATCGTCCATAACACGAGTGTAAAGCTCGCGAACTTGATCGTACTCGCTGACCTTGCATTCGTGGTAGTAGTGGCTCTTGCGGCTCACGACGTTTTCTGAGACCATGTAGGGTGCCTCGGCTACATCGGGACGGAACTTGTGGGAGAAGCTGTTGGGATTGTACTGCTTGTTGCCAGCGTGATTGGCGTCCACACGCATTGGACCATCGAAGTTGACAGACGATACCGAGCGTGCCATGAAAGGACAGTTGGTAGGAACCTGGTGCAAGTTGATGCCGATACGGTGGTATTGAGCATCACGGTAGAAGAACATGCGGAACTGCAACAGCGGGTCGGGCGAGTCCTCAATGCCAGGTATCATGGAGCCAGGTGAGAAAGCTGCCTGCTCAACGTCACGGTGGTAATTCTCCGGATTTTTGTTGAGGACCAGGCGACCATACTCATGCATGGGAAACTGCCCGCGTGGCCAAGTTTTTGTAGCGTCAAATGGGTCGAAGCCCAGCTTTGTAGGGTCAGCATCCTTAGGCTGCATGATCTGGACGTAAGCAGTCCATTCCTTCTCTTCACCGCGCTCCATGGCCTCCCAAAGCTCTTGCTTGGAGTAGTCAGGGTTCTCGCCCGAGATACGAATGGCTTCAGGCTGAGTGAATTGCTTCTGACCGTGCTTGGCGAGGAAATGGTACTTGATATAGACAAATTTGCCTTGCTTGTTGACCCACTTGAAAGTGTGAACACCGTAGCCGTGATTGTTGGTCCAGCCTTGGGGTGTGCCGTGATCACTGAAGAACATGACACCAGCATGAATAGACTCGGGAGTGTTGCCGAGCAGATCGAAGGTGGCATCGTAATCGAGTAGGAAATTGCGAGGGTTGCGTGACTGAGAGCGAATGACGTCGGGGCCTTGTATGGGGTCGCGACAGAAGAAGACAGGGAAGTTCAGGCCGACAATGTCGTAATTACCCTCCTTGGTGTAGAACTTGATAGCAAAACCACGAGGATTACGAGCCTCGTCGGGGAACTCACGACCGAGAGTGACGGTCGAGAAGCGGACAAAGACGGGTGTCTTCCCGCCAACAGTGGACAGGAAGTCGGCCTTAGTCAGATCAGAGACGTCCTTTGTCACTTCGAAGTGGCCAAATGCTCCACTGCCGCAAGGATGAACCATTCCTATCGAGGTCAGACACAGTCCACTGCTAGTTTTGGGCTGACTTACTCTCGAGATTCTTGGAACGGTTGAAGTGTTGCTGCTTCTGCAGAAGGTGAACATCGCTCACGAGTGGGATACCACCAATATTCTTGCTGTGTGCAGGGTCAGGTAGAGGAATGCCCTCATTATTGGTGAAATAAGCTAATCACCGAGTCAGTATAGCTCCAAAAGAAAGTGGATAGATTCTGAAACTCACGTCCATCATCTTCGCGCTTTCCGCCTTGTGTATGACCAGAAACCTTAGCGATGATGTCGGCAGGGCCCTCGTTGATTGACTGGTTGTGTGCGAGTCTGGGAGCGCGAGCCTCGGCAGAGGTGGCTCTCTGAATACCAGAAGCAATAGCTTCCAGCGGATGCTGAAGAGGATTCGTCAGATTGCTGTTCGAAGACATGATTGGAAGCTTGGATGCGAGAGAAGAAGGAATGTCCATTTCGAAAAGCAACGTCTAGGGATGCAGCAACTACCTACTTGAATCCCAGAGCTTAGCCTACCCCCCTCTCGATTGAACGTGACGTGGACATTCTGTCGGTGGCTCCTTCCTGTCTGAGGTGGGCGAGAGTAATCCGTGTCATTCACACGTCAACCGCGTGACGGGGAAAGCCAGGAGAGACATTGGCACGCATTTGTACAATGTCATGACGATTCTACAGCTCATGAACGAGCGGAGGAGTGGAGGGAGCTCTTTGCATTGTCCAATCGGAGCATTCGCGAATTTGCTGATCGAGCTAGTGTGACGGGACTTACCCCTCATAGTGGGTGGAAGAGCCTCAGATCTGTCGATGCTGGCAGAGCCTCACTTAACACGTGCACGTTTCCGAGGCGAGTGGGCGGATGTCATAGTTGGTGTGTCTCCTTGGAATGATCTGTTTCCTCGGGTGCCATGAAACTTGCGCGGTCTTACGGCAATCGCCTTTGTAACTTTGCGAAGCTTCCTCGTACCTTGGTGAACCGCGTTATTGCCGAGAGCCTCAAAAGAGCCTCATCAGCAAGCCCCGCGAAGTCAAATAATCGGAGGGAAAACCCGACCGCGGAGGCAAGTCCCTTCGTCGTTACTAACATTATGTACAAGCTGCATCATCCGGCTGCAGCTTCTAGGCATGCATGCATGACATTATCAAGATAATTTCGCCAATACATCTTATATGCTTGTTGCATGATCGAAGGAATTGAGATACACCGCGCATTTACACAGCAATACAGACAGGTAGTACGCAGTGGGAGAAGATTATATGCTTTTAGAACTTGGTGCAACGCCCTTGCTTGTGTTACGTGTAGAGATGGTCCTTGCTTCACATCATCCTCAGGTCTTCTATTCTAAGATCCCGACCATACGCAAGCTATCTTTCCAAAGCTTTGCCTCCAGACTCTCATCATATGCGTGAGCAGCATGACCTTGATGATAAGTAACGCCACCCGGAGCCTCCTGCTTTGGCACCTGGCAGTCTTCCAAATACATCCCTCCTTTACCTTCCAAGGCCCCCGCCGTAGCAGCAAAAACTGATGTGGCGGCGCCTTGCGGAATCGACTTGGCCCATGAACGGATGTAGTCTCTCTCCTTGGCCATGTTGTCACGCAGAGTATTACTACCACCTTGGTGACGAGCAATCTCAGTATCAAAGATAACGCCTGGGTGGACGGACAATGCATTGAGCCCATTTTACTGAAGCGACGGTTCGATTCATTGGCCATATAGATGTTGGCAGTCTTTGATTGAGCATACGCCATGTATGGGTTATAGTCCCCTTCAAGATTGTAGTTGTCAGGATGAACGCCGTTGGACTTGTGAGCGCCGCTGGAGAGAATGACTACACGGCTGTGAAGGCCAGACTTTGAAGCTTGCAAGAGTGAAGGCTTCGGTAGCTGGAACAGGAGGAAGTGTGCGAGATAGTTTGTGCCGAAGTGAATCTCGGAGCCATCCTTCGTGCGACCCTCTGGAGCAGCCATGACACCGGCATTGAGAAGCAAAACATCGAGTTTTGAGCCTTTCGAGGGAAAGACCGCAGCTACCTTACGCACAGACTCGAAACTGTCCATGGGCATTTCGATGGCTTCGACGGGATGAAAGGCAGGATTCTCGCTCGAGATAGCTTGTGCCACTTCGTCACCCTTGGCTTGTTGACGACTGGTGATAAAGATCTTTGCTCCAGTCTTGTGGAGAACGCGTGCGATCTCCATGCCCAGACCAGAAGTAGCACCAGTGATGAGTACGGTCCTGTCTTGCCACTTGCCTGCAAGCTCCTCATCAGCTAGCACCTGTTCGGCTGTAGTCCTGGCATCTCCAGGACCGTTTGGCTTTGCATGAATAGCAACATATCGATCCATGACTGAGTATTGGCTAAGGATAGTAAAACTGATAGCAAAAAGGTTTTAGAGTTCCTGGACTCAAGGAGGTTGGCTGGCTTTTTTATGGAGAGGATCACATGGAGTTTCGGCCGAAATCCACAACGTCAAGGATGTGATCACTTAGACGGCCTGGCGTATGTTTGACTACCTGCCAGCATGAGAGTTGTTGATAACCATCTCGAGCACCAGACAGCAGTGGCTAGTAGTGATCGGCAGATCTCTCTTTACCTGTAGTGCACGTGATGGTGGTGATGTTTGCAAGGATATAAAGCTGAGAGAACCAAGCCGAGGATATTGGTAGGAGTTGTGTGGTAGCCGTGGTGCCCCAACAATTGACAAAGCATGAGGATGTATGTATGTGCTTTGGCACTGGCTTAAGATCTGCTGTCTGCGAGTAGTCCAGCTTTTGAAGTGGCTATGAGTGTTATCGGTATGGTTCCGTTCGAAGCGCGCACGGTTCGTGTGTCAGATCGGCGATCAACGGTCTCTCCGCGGGGTCCTAAGCAAAACCTCGAATATCAAGACCGAGTTCCGGACTGTGCAGGCTCTCTGATAGGTCACAAAGATTGAATGGCGGGAAGCCCCAAGTAGGTAGTTGAGGATGAAGCGGCAGTGTTTTCAGGCACGATCGATCGAGACGAAAAGCAGCCTGGTCCCCAGGAAACGCCTCCTGATCGAGCAGCAGCCCACCTCAGCATGAGCCCGATCTACGCAACAGGGGCCTGTGGCATCGACCTGCCCTTGCTCAGGCTTGCGAGCCAGAACGGATGTCTTCGATTGAGGTGCGAGCGCGCCTTCTTGTGCCTGGTGCAGGACGCGACATCACATATCATCACACGAAGTAGGCCATGGACATCAGCGTGCGAAGACGAGGCAGACGATGACTTCCTCGCAAGCGAAGCTTCCCATGGCTTGCTCGAACAGTCTGCCGCCGTCTTTCGCGGTGGGAAGGCACAAGGCGATGCATTGATGGCTCACTCCTCCTGCCATGTCATCGGCGACCTGCACGGCAATGCTAAGCACGCTCTCGACTTTCCTCAGCTACGATCGTTTGCTGCTGTGCCTGTCAGGAGCGCCTCAGGCCACCTCTTGGCCATCTATGGAGTCTTTGACAACAAGCCTCGTCATGATTTTTCAGATGCTGACACGCTCTCTGTCTTGTTCGACATAGCCTCGGCCATGGCAGACCACGTCGATTTTCAATTCACGCGTTTCCCTTGTCCGCGCTCATCCTCGCAGTCCACCTACGCCTCGCGCTGCCCAGCGCTGTCCGACCATGAACCTGGCTACGATTCCTCATCGACCTCATCCCGCTCCTCCGACTCTGCCTCCCTTCCCCACTCTCCATTCGACCATGTGTCCTCGAACCCTTCGCTCCCCACCTCCACATCCGACTCAATGGCTCACGACAACGCTGCCGACTACTTTAGCCATCACAAGACTTCACCTCCAGATGCCACTCCAAGACCCGACCCCTTGTCTTTGGACATCGCCAGTACCAGAGCCATCGAGTTACGCCTTGTTTCTTCCATCAGCCATGAACTTAGGTCTCCTTTGCATGGTGCTCTGGCGGCTATCGAGTTTTTGCAGGACACACCCCTCGATGACAATCAGAGCGACCTAGCATACATGGTGCAAGCCTGTGCCACCACCCTTCTGGACACTCTCAACCACTTGCTTGACTACTCTACAGTCAGGGCCACTGCGCGTAGGAAGTCTTTTGATCAGTCAGCATATGTGGATGCAGACCTTTTCGGATCCATCACTGAACAGTACCTATGTCGCCTTGTGCAAGATACTGTTGAAGGTGTCTATTTTGGTCACATCTCTCAACAAGTCGCTTACAGCAAGAACCGCCACGCGCCAGGCCATGCCTTCACTGGAGTCGACAACCCGTCTGATCCGATCCTGCTCATGGATGACTATCTCGGCGTAGAAACTTCTGCGGTTAGCGGCCTTGTCGACAGTGTAGCAGTCTATCTCGACATGGACAATTGCGGTGAATGGTACACTCGACTTTGCACTGGTGCTTGGACGAGGCTGGTGATGAACCTATTCGGCAATGCCCTCAAATACACTCGGAAGGGCCATGTTGAGGTCACTCTCAGAATGCTCAAATCAGATGACGATGATGAGATAAATGATGCCCATCTGATGGTCAAGGATACAGGCATCGGCATGAGCGACAGTTTCTTGAACAACCGTATATACCGTCCTTTTGTTCAAGAAGACTCTCTCGCACCCGGCGCTGGCCTTGGACTTAGTATCGTTAAAAGCATTGTCGACGAGCTGGGCGGAACCATCAGCGTGCAAAGTGATTTGGGCGTGGGCACCCGTTTTGACGTGCACATTCCACTTTCCAAACCAAACTCGCTGGACAACAAAAAGAATCTCTCTGGAGGAGAGATCCTTGATTCCGAGGCGCTTCTCAAAGGTCGGACCCTTTGCCTGCTTTCACCCTGCGTTGCGGGTTCAGACACCCGTGTACGACCGCCGTCGCTCATGCATACATATGTACGCTCCATTGCCGAGAAGTGGTTCGACATGAAGACTATTGAAGCTTCGATGACTTCGGAAGTCGATGCAGACATCTTTATTGCTGAAGCCTTACATGTTGTCGAGGAAGCTGCGATGAATCCGACTTTCATGGCTTCCATCGACAAGCCTCAAATCATCTTGGTTGGCCCGCTTCCGACCGCAGGTGCTCAAAAACACGCCAACAACCAGATATTAGGCTATCCCATAGACCCCAAGAATGTCTGTCGAGCACTTTTGGCTGCGATCAACCATCCTTGCGAGGTGGACTACCCATCCCCGCCACTGCTTACTCCAGAGACAACGATCAAGCTAACGCGGGGAGTCCCCTTTGGAAGCGAACATTCAGCCCGTGACCAGCTTCCACGACAAGCTCCAGCCCAGCAAGATCATGCTCTGGCACAAGCAGACGATGGTGCAGAGCATCTCCTCCTCGTCGACGACAATGCCATCAACCTCAAACTCATTTCTGCTTTGGCCAAGAAGCTGGGCGTCAGTGCCGACACGGCCGTCGACGGGAAAGACGCCCTCGAGGCCTACGTCGCCGCATTGAAAACCAACAAACCTTTTACCACAGTCTTCATGGACGTATCAATGCCAATCATGGACGGCTTCGAATCCACACGAGCTATCAGATCTCATGAAGCCGAAACCAATGTCGCCAAACCTGCTAGGATCATCGCGCTTACTGGCTTGGGCTCTGCAGCGCATAGGCAAGAGGCTGTGTCTTCTGGAATGGACGAATTCCGAACGAAACCGGTGGCTATGAAGACTTTGAAGGGGCTTCTGGGTGTTTGAACAATATGCTGGGAGCACCACATTACGATTTATGAATTTATGAGTACACATGACCATCTCCTTCTGATGAAGCCAAGAGACTTTTGTGTATTTGACATGACAATTTGTTGGAACTGTTTTCTTCTTGAGTTTTTCATTCTGTTTGAATTTCCATTTATTCTTCGGTGGCTTTGATTTCCTGCTCTTTTCTTGAACCGCTTGCTTTTGGCGTTTTCCAACAAAGGAGATCTGGTGGTGTGCAAGGGCATGGTTACAGAATTACGGTGCATTAGTACATAGATATCCAAGAACATCTGACTCATAATCTGAATTATCTTTCTGCTTCGTTTGGTTATTCTGAGTCGTTTTTTGCTCTGGACTCTGATGGAAATAAGGCTTTACAGGTATATGTTTTCCACAATTACATTGTTTTTTTGTATTGCTGCAAGAGGCCTTTTTTTGCTCATGTAAATCTGACGAGGCGATACGGTCACGACGGGGTTGAGCGAGCTCACGGTATAGCGACTTGTGGTAAGACAGTATTTCAGCGTACATGTGTACAAGTCTTTTTTTTGACTCGGGAAATCTCTCTCAGGCCAAGATATACAGAGGAAGCATGGAACTTTTTATTGTTCAGTATCGTCACAGTCTCATCTTAACTAGATCTGGCCTTGGAGGGCTTGAGCTTTCTCTTGCGAGTCTCTGCATTGCCATTTGGTTGGGCGGCGGACTTGAGGGTAGCTGTTGCTTCGTCTACACCTTGGTCTTCCATGGTGCCTTCGAGCAGTTCTTCCAACTCGGCTTCGGATGTCTTTTTTCCGAGCAGGGTGCCGAGGGATTTGTTGTAGAGGAAAATAGGCAGGCGGACCAAGAAGGTGTCGTTGATGGTGGGTCTTTGGATCTCATCGACCTAGGAAGGGTTATTAGCATCTGCTGAGGTACTGCATGCATGACAGTACTTACATCGAGAAGGAACTCGTGGAGTTCGCCCTCTGCGGTGCGCTCCTCAAGGTAGACATTGCCGACGCTATCAACAATGAGGACCTTGCCGTTCTCAGCAATGGTGCGCTTCTTGGCACCGACAGGACCGCTAGTGAGTTCAGCCTCGACAGGAGTGCTGATTCCAGTGGTCTTTGCCTGATCGACGATCGCAGCTCTGGTGGCCTTTGGCTTCTTGGCAGCACGCTTGCTCTCGCGCTCAGCAGCACGCTTCTCTTTTCTGTTCCAGTTCATGGCTTGGGGCTCTTCCTCTGAGGAAGGCTCCGGGACAGCGACAGGAGCAGGGGCGCTGTTTCCAATGCCCGAGATCTCGTCACCCCATGCAATACGACGAGCTTGACGAATGTAGCGATCGACAAAGTCGCGGTGCTTCATCCAGTTCATGTACAGAGTGACGTAGTGAACACCACCGCCGAGGAAGACGAAGAGGCCAATCATGACGGATCCGAGACCAGGACGGAATCTCTGGTAGTAGTAGCCAGTACCACGCCATTTGGGAAAGCCGTTGCGGAGGAAGTGATCGTAGCGCTGACGCTCAGAACCACGGAGGATGTTGGTCACTATGCCGAGACGGGCGAAGCGAGCAGATGCTTCCTTGTTGTAGGCGTTGATTTCCTTTTGTGTAGGCTTCTTGTTCTTCTTGACGTGGACAGTGGGCTTGTCCCCCTTCTTTGTGTTCTTGACAGGCGGGGCAGCGTCGTAGGAGTTGATGAAACGTTGACGAGCCTTGTCGGGGTGCAAGACGCGGGCCTTCTTCTTGTACGCAGCATTGACTTCCTCAATGCTTGCGAAAGGCTTCACTCCAAGAAAGGAGTAGAAGGTAGCATTACTACCCTCATGAAGGGCAACCTCATCCTGAAGACGGAAAATTTCGTGGTCTGCCAGCTGTCAGTATTGGAGCAATTGCAATGCGAAGGAGCGGAATCTCACCCTCAGGAGACCAGGCGCAGACGAGAGCGACAAAGCACAAGAGCAAAAGCAAGACGGAACCCTGAAGGCGGGTCATGATTGCGCGAGTGATGTGGATGTGTCGGGCTGCAAAGAAATGTGATGGAGCTGCAAGAGCGGCACAAGTGTCTCTACTAGTTTCCCCAGATCAAGTCGTGTCACCACCGCACACGTTCTTGATAGATCAGACTCCCGAAACTTGTAGACTATATATAAGATGCCTGTCGGTCTCTGAACAGCCTCTTATTCTCCTCCCTCTTCTTTTCGCTCTATTCTCAACAAAAAACAGACCCCACATTCTGATTCGTCCTATCCTCTGACTGCCATTGCTGGTCGAGGGTCCTCTGATCTGGCTTGGCTTGGCTTCAGGGGCTCCGCTCCTCGAAGCTTTGATCGTGCTTGCGTGGCTGGTGCGACCGAGGTGTGGCTCAACTCAACAACCGCGCCTCTCTATCCTTACGCAGCTGCCTCAAAATAAACACGTTGCACGCCAGATCACATAGCTCAGAGTCTGTTTCCCTATTTACTCCTTACTCCTCGGTCGTTCCTGCCATACACTCGCTCTCTAGTAATTCACAAGAAGTAAGTGTTTTCCAGTCAAAATGGTCGAGTCCGCACCTTCCCGTCCCCACGACGCTCTCAGATCCGTCATCACATGTGAACAAAGAAATTCTGTTGACTCCTGGCTGACTTCCCCCTTTAGCTTCAACTCTGAATCCCAAGACGAACTCGTCGCCTCGACCGACTTCCCGACATCACATCACTTTCACGACTTCTTCCAAAATGCCTATCAACCTTCCAATCGACGCCATCACCTCGCGCCTCAACCTGCAGGGTCGTTTCGACAATGTCCGCTCTCAATCCGTCACCTCCCGCTTCGCCAACTTGAAGCCCATTTCCGAGTTCTTCAACTTCAAGCAAATCTCCAAGCCTGCAAACTTCGGCGAGGTCCAAAACCGCGTCAACTACAACCTTGGCTACTTCTCCAGCAACTATGCCGTACTCTTCGTCATGTTGAGCATCTATACCTTGATCACCAACTGGCTCCTTACGTTCGTCATTCTCCTCGTCGTTGGTGGTATGTACGGTATCGGCAAGCTCGAAGGTCGTGATGTTGAGATTGGCAACTTCCGCGCAACCACTTCGCAGCTGTACACCGCTCTGGTTGTCATCGCCGTCCCTCTCGCCATCTTCTCAAACCCCTTCGGTTCCGCCCTCTGGCTTATTGGTGCCTCGGGTGTCAGCATCATCGGTCACGCAGCATTCTTGGAAAAGCCCATCGAGTCAGCTTTTTCAGAGGAGGCGGTCTAAATGGTCGGCCGCGGGCTCCGCACGATATGCCCCAATGGGGAAGACCATCCGGGGCTCTTGTAGGTGGGCGTGAAGAGGGGTGGAGAGATGAGTATGAGACACGAAGGAGAAGATTCTTGACTGTGGACGATGAGAGCGACGATGGACACCAGCGCGTCTACCTCGATCCTGCCGGCTTCAAGTCTAGGTCTGCCGATAGACTACCTCGGGAAGGATATACTGGAGACGAATTATTATTCACTGGATACGACTTGGGTTCTGGCAGGGGAGAGAGAAGAGTGGATGACATCCCATACGAGAGAAGAGCATACCAGCCGCGGGATGACGAGCTCTACCACGACAATGCCTTGACACGGCCGTCACGAGAAGACGCACTGGTTCAATCGGCAAGAGACAAACTACGTAGAGCAAGGGTCAAGGGAAAGACAAACGTCAGTCTGAGTGTTGAAGAGATGGCAGCATTGGAGAGGTCCAGCACGCAGCAACGTGATACTTCCGAGCCAAACACGCCAAACAAGAGCAAAAGCAGGGGAAGTCGGTCTAGTAGTACTACGAGCCTGACAAGCACTCGACCACGAAGGCAGAGTATCAGTCTCTTTGGCAGCACGTCGCCTTCTCAATCTCGTTCACGAACTCCGAAGACCACAAGAAAAGCTTCGAACGAACAGCAACCAGTCATTCGCCCTTCAGGCTCGACGCCTCCAGCCTTCATGATCCACGGTCCGGACGGCGTACCGATGCACGCTCCGATGGGTTACTATCCTTCTCCAGTGTCGTCTAGGAGACCATCATCAAACAGCAATCGCCAGATCACACCGCCCTACGAAGCATACTCTCCTCGTGTATATGGTCCGGAACTTCGTACGCATTCTTCGCCCTCCAATCGAGCACTCTACAACGAGAACGCTTGGGCTTCCTCGAGTCGACAGGCACCGAGCGCCTCATATCCCGATCTTTCTGAACCATCTGCTTCAGCCGGAAATTCCTACCCGACCGCCCTACCTGTATCAGACGTGTCTTATGCTAAACTGCGGCGCGGTCCTCAGGGGTCTCCACTCTCGAACGTGGAAGCAGCAGCTGATCGCTGGGAGCGGGAAGCGGCATTAGGGCAAAGGGCCAGACCGCCTAGTAGTGGAAGCAGTAGCGATGATTCCGGACAAGGCGTCAGGATAGAGGTGGAACCTGGTTTTGGATTCAGAAGGGTTCCAGTGTCAAGTAAAAGCAGTGGCACAGTCAGGCGCAAGGGTAGACGGTAGCGGTAGACAAAAAAAACAGGGAACTAGACGTTTCCTTCTCCTACATTTGCATATGATCGGGATAGAATGGAAGATGTGCTTTTCTCGATTGCCTCTCTTCGCTTCTCAACCAAACTTGCTGGTGACGTGACTGCCCACTCTAGCAAAACAGAATATCTCTTATCGTTCTCGAGAGGAATTTCCTCGAGACGATAAACGCCTTGAAACTCCGATGTGAAATGCAAATGACCTCATTGTCGCTCAAAAGGGCGATCTGTCCCATCTCAGAAGACATCCCGAGATAAGATGGGTATGTTGTGTGTGTGTTTGTCTTTTTTTTGTGTATGTCGAGGCAAACCAAGCCATCACAGATGACAGGTATCCCCTCACTCTTATCCACCTCTTTTTTGTTTCAACATCCTCTTGAGCCTCAAGGGGGGATGTTGTCCTCCGGGATCTCAAGGAGATGTTGTCCTCAGAATCTCAGTCTTTCGCGCGATTGACGACTTTAAAAGTAACCAGCAATGATCCTCAACAACTCAAAGATGAGACCACCACAGACGACAAAGAGGAGAGCAACTAATATCCTCATCAGTATATTTCTGGTCCTAGTTCTCTCTCTCTTTTCCAGGGAGTAATAAGTAAGCATTGGGCAGACTACTCACACAGCCAAAATTTGTTGATTGGACTCTTTTGAGGGACGGATTTCTTGAGGACGGGTTCGGGCTTTCCACGTTTGACTTCTTGTTTCTTTGCAAAAGCCTCGTTTGCACGGCGTTGTTGAGGGGTTTGGACCTTTTTCGCGATAGGAGTTAGCTCGTGTGATGCTTGAAGCCTCAGGATCGAAGGGCGGATGGAAAGTATACCATTGTGTATTGTGTGTTGTGTGTTGTGTTGTGTGTTGTGTTGTAAAAGAACTCGACGTAGAAGAGGAGCTGTTTTGATATAGAGCAGCAGGGGAAATAACAGATCGACTTTCAGCTGGTATATAGTGACCAGACTTGGCCCCCTTTGCGAGAACACGGTGGTCAAACTTGCGGACTTTTTCGGACTTAAGATCGGGAGTGGGGAGTGAGCTTGCGGCTTTGCGGACATTTTCCCCACATTGCTTGGCTGGCTTTGGGGGGGGGCTTGACTTTTATCCATCGAGGTGATGGGTGTAAAAAGCGGCAATGACCTTTCGCAATCATCTCTTGAACTTTGTGAAGTTTTGAGACAAGTACGCATACACAAAGTCAAACGACACAAGCATGTCATCAACATTAGCCCGCGCAACAACACAGACCTCGAGGTCTTGCCGTGCAGCTTTCTCGACTGCGAGGACGTTACGTCAACAACCCATCTATCAACCACCCACACCACCCCAAGAACCTGATAACCCGCATGTACGTTCCTCCCTCCGCTCCCTTCTTTTTCCCTCCCTCTCTTCTCTTATAATTGCCCTTCAGTTTCCGGCCCTCCTCCTTCCCCCTCCCTTCTTTCTTTCTCTGTCATCTTTGGCTAACACCATCCGCCCCCAGCGCGCCTTTTACAAATCCTTCGGTCGTCCAATCGCAAAAGTCTTCTTCATGGCCCTCTTCACCTATCAAGTCCTGCATTACTCCTGGATGAAACTGGAAGCCATGGAGGAAAAGGAGGAAAAGACTGCGGAATTGGAAGCTTTGGAGGGGAAATTGAGGCAGATTACTGGAAAGCCTGCACCTGTTGCTGCACCGGAGAAGAAGGTGTGAAAGGAGGAGGATGGAAATGGATGAAGACTTATTGCAAGAAGATGATCTGGACGTCAACGTCATATGGCCATGTCACTCTCGAGAGGGGTATACACGTCCAACGCATCTCTGCAGATTGACGCGCGCCGAGTCGCTTAAAGTGATGGTCAACACGAGCTCTACTCCGATTACGCGGCGGACTGCACGACACGCTTTTGAACTCAAAGAATGGGAACTTTTGCTTCTCATCATACGACATGACTACATACAGGACATTATACCTGCCTACGTATATACGGCCACATGCCTATTCAGTCACACTTTTGCCCCATCTCACAGGCCACCATTGATGTAATAAGTGATAGGATACTTCAAAAAGGCACACTGTAACATGTCAGCAATAGCTCTGGATTTCCTGCTAACATCACAACTCACCTGAGGAAGGTCCTGGAAGGTGGCAGTCAGAGAAGGGAAGTCAAGTAACTTCATCGGACCCTGATCACTGGTGACAGGCTGCCAAGGTCCACTCTGCTTGACTCCCTGTGTGGTGTTGGTGTAACCAAGCACTTGAAGGTATTTGGCAGGTGGGTTTGGGTCGAGCGTGCGAACAAATGCTGCAAAGTAGCCGCTCTCCAATTGCACAGACTTGAGGTCATTGGCATCACGCAGAGGATTAAGGTTTCCCTAAAACTCATGTTAGTACACTGCTTACATCACTATTCATTCGATGCCACTTACAAAGACCCATGGCATATCCGAGCCGTGAAGCTTGAAATATGGCTTCTCAGGGTTGCCGTAAGGGTACCCAGGCTCAACTGGAGGGCCACCAAGATTGTTCGGATCGTAGCCACCCGCTGATCTCTGCATCTGGTAAAAGTACGAAGTCTTGAAAGCTCCAGACTCTACACCGGCATACACTGTAGCTTGATCAATGCAACGAAATTGATTGTCAGTCGCCACTCTCTGCGAGACATTGAACGAGTCCAAAGTCACGTTGCCTGTATCGTAGTACGGGAAGAGTCCAGAATCAACGATTGACTGGGCTTCTGCTTGCGAGATGCCCAATGCGACTTGAATGCCCTGGAGCTCACTGGTGACAGGAGTCTTGGGGTAGGTCGAGAAGGATGCTCCGTCGTTGGCAACGATGCCCCAGATTGTGTTGACATTGGCAGCACTTCCGTTGCGGTTGTACACATCCAAATCTTCCGTGGTAATGTAGGTACCATCCTGGACGATATATCTGGCGACTGTGGCAGCATTGACAATAGTCTGTGCAGGTGTAGCTCTCAAACAAGAAATTCGAGCGTCAAGAGTCGTCTGGTTGCAGCCGATGTTCTCGAACAGGGCCTCACTGCGAGCATATGACTCGGCAGGAGTCAAGTAGGATGAATACTCTGTGGCATAGTTTCCGCTCAAGCCCAGATCAACACCACCACCGAGGTTCGACATGGCGATGGAGCCTCTGAACTTGCCGTTTGCTTTGGGGGAGGCGAGGAGTGCTCGTACAGAGCCGGCACCTGCAGACTCGCCGTTGATCACAATCCTGTTAGGGTCACCACCGAAGTTGGCAATGTTCTTGATGACCCACTGATGATTTATTAGCAACCATTCACTCCAGCTAGATTGGAGTATTACTCACGTCAAGTCCAGTAATCTGATCAGCAATACCATAGTTACCAGTGATGTTGGTTCCTGGGATGGCAAGGAAGCCCAAAGTAGTCAAGCGGTAGTTGATCTCAACAACCACAATATCTTCTCTCGAAGCAAGCTGTCCACCATCACTACCAGCGCTGGCACCAGAGCCACCAGTAAAACCACCGCCATAAATCCAGAAGTGGACAGGCCTCAAGTTCTTCTTGGATCCTGCCTTGGGGATGTATGGAGTCTGGATGTTCACGAAGAGACAATTCTCGCTGCTGGAACTCTCGTAGGGCTGCGCGCAATCAGCTCCGTACTTAGTCGCATCGATTGTCTGACCAGTCTTGGAGTAGAGTGTGGAGTAGGCGAATCTAGCAGGTGGGTCTGCGAAAGGGATGCCTTGGAAACGGAAAGACTTCTTGTTTCTGAAGCCTACAAAAGTGTTTCCAGTAGAGGTGATCTTGATCTCGTTAGAAGCAGATGCAACCGCATTGCTGGGTGTGTTGCTCTGGCTGGACTGAGTGCACAAGACTGGGAGTACATTGCCCGGGCCAGCTTTGGCAAACTTCAAGGCTGCATTGTGAACCTCCACTGTCTGTCCACTTGCAATGTGCCACTTTTGGTCCTGGGTTGAGCGGCCAGCGTAGAATGCGTACGACAGCTGGTTGATAAAGTCTTGAGAGTGTGCTTGGAGAGCAGACTGTGAGATCAATGTCTCGCTCAAGGCTGCACAAGCCGTGGCTGCATTGGCAGCAGTCGCCGGATCGAGTAGAATAGCGCTGATGTGGTTCGCATCATCGGTAAAGTTGAGATTGTTTTGGTAAAGCAGTGTCAACGAAGACTGAGCATTCGAGACAGAAGGAGCGGAAGGAGCAATCACTGCTGCAGAGGAATAAGTAAGACAAGCAGCCGCTGCCGTCAAAACGGCCAAATGCTTGAGAGATGCCATAGTGAATGTCTTGGCTTTGATAGTAGAATGTCTTGGATCTGGCATGGTTTTATAGGCATATTGACCATCTCGAGGGTTCTTGCCACTCTCACCTTCATTGCCGTGATATTCAATGCATCATGCAAGACCACTTTAGCCTCGATGGAGCATTTATCCCATCTCCTCACAAGCTTGCATCTTCGCTTGAGACGGCATGATCGGACGTGCGGCAGTTGCTCTGACACCATCTAGATTTTTCATCTCAGATTAGTCCGTGGGTTTTGTGCATAGGGCAAGGTCGTTCAGGAGGTGTCTGCGGTCATTCTCCCACTGCAGGCTACATCAACATATGCGGATCTGGGCTAGTTGACGGTCTGCGATTTAGCCGCGAAGAGCATCGCATGTCATTTGATCATCTCTGCCGTCTTCGGAGATGGGACCTTTTCCCACGGGGTCCCCTCGTCCCGGTCCATGTGGGGAAAATGTCACTCGCGGGCAAACCATCAAGAGCCATGCAGGTACGTTTGAAGCTCCATCCAAGCATTTAGCCAAAAGGCTTCTGGAGAAAAGGAAGATTCTTGCAACAGCAGTTATGGACGAAACAAGAGGTCGAACTCTCCGAAGAAGTGACACAACTTTACAAACGACGAGATCTCGAGATGATGACGTACGTCCTAGCCACCGGATAACACATGCCAGGGTGCTACCTTTGACAAGCATCGAAAACAACATCGACGACATTACTCGCCCGACTTTGATCAATCTCCCGATGATATAGAATCTTCAGCTTCTTTGGAGTACTATTTAGATCTCTTGTCATAATAGGAGCATGAATATACGTCTGCGAAGTGGTGCTTCCAAATCCATGTTTCAAGATTCGCTTCACATGGATTCCTCGTTACACCACACGCAGTCAGTATATCACAATTCAGTCCTTCACCCAAAAACATGCATGACGTCAACGAACAAGCGCCTTGAAAACCCGTCGCGTGAAGCTAAACTCATCATCAAGATCCGAACCAATAATGCCGACAATCAAATATCGACTCTCGCTCCCATGATCGCATCAACAAAGATATCATTGTGCATTTTCACAGCTAGTCGTTACCCAGATTTCATGATGATGGAAAGCGAAGACACTGTCGATCTCGACAATGTAAGATTTACGCATGCACGACTTTTCATATACAGTCTCGACAGCAAAATGCCCAGCCGCCGCCGATACGGTGACGCACGTTGATCCCATGGCGTCGGGTCCCTAAGGAGTGAGCGAAGAACATGGACCAGAAGGAGAAAGCGGGAGACGGCGACAACATCCTTGCGAAGACCAACAGACGCAGACTTTCCGTGCTTGCTCTGGTCCAAACAGTCGTAGTCGCAGACCTGGCCCCTTTCGAGATTTATGAGCCTAGTTGGCCACAACACCTCATGACTGTCTTTGCCTCGCGTGGCCTAGCAGCTGGAAGGTCTGCAGAATCTCCTTTTGGACATATTCTCGCGTTCGCAAGCTTGGGGCGCCGCCATTCTCGCCGAGCAGTGGAATCCGAGTGGATGGATGGAGTTCCAGAACCCTGTGGTAAGGCCAAGCGTACCTCCTCGATGACACGAGCAGAAAACGAAGCTGCGGAAATGCAAGATTGTTTTCACTCTAGTGGAGCGTGACATTAAGTTGCGTAATTTCTGAAGCTCCCAGTATCGATTGTGACTATCTGGAAATAAGTCTGTGCATTTTGGCAGGTCAGTAAGAGTGCGTCAATCAAGCTGGAGATACGAGATGAGGTGGTGGTTTGGACACCTGAGGGACAAATAGTCAAGTTTTTACAGGCTGATCGGGCTTTCACTTTGTTGATGTGGTTCAGCCACTTCTTCTCCAAGGTAAGGGTAAGATAGCCAGAGAATACCTGGAAAACTGCCGAGACCGGTGACTAAGAGCTCAAGAAAAAAAGGTGCCTACATCTCCATGATTTTCATCAACGTTGATGTCCTGGTCTGCAGCAAAGTTTGTAGTCGAACAGGCCCAAAGAGTGTCTACCATCACGGAGCTAAATGACTAGGTGAATCGTACAACCAGCAGATCGGCTCGGCATGTGTGAGAGAGGCTCTGAAAGAGGGCTATACATGGCAAGTCCGACCACTACTGCTAATATCCAAGCCGAACCACTCGAGAGTAATCGCGTTCGGAGGCGTACTCGCGGAACTCTGCAACACGATGGACGCCAGCAGCCGGTTGCCAATTCTGGAGCTGGGCAATCATCGAGACATATCTGGAGGCGGTGCCAAAAGACATGCGAAGTATGCCATAGGAGCGGCATAATCGAGTCCACCAACTACATAGGAGCTTGTATTGACACTTGACGTTATGGTAGATGATGTCGACGATATGGAGATGTCGCATAGTCACGACATCCAGGCCGAACTCGATCAGGTGACTGGGAAAATGAAAGAGATACAAACATTAGTCGAGACCAAGCGAACCAATTTCATGTTCCAGCGCGAACAGCTTGCAAATGAAGCGGACAACCTCCACCGACTGCAAGTTGAGAAGGAAGAACTCATCAAGATTGGCCAAAACCTTGAAAACGAGCGAAAGACGGCCATCGTCGCGGTCTTCGAGGCAGCGAAGCGTAAGCGACCACAAGTGAGAGAGCTCCCACTACGTTCACGGATCATACTGGAACTATCTGTGGCCATAGCGTATGACTCGGTCAACAAATGGTAGCAGCACGACGAACGGATCTGACGACCAGGACTCAGGTATTCCCGAGTAAGCACGTTTCCCCCATTGGTCAGGACTGGGTTTTTGCTTGAACGCTTAGTCTTCAGAAGACTTAAGATTTGCAGAGAACGCATTCAAGAGTATCGCAACGCACAATTCAAGCAGAAGTTGAAAAGCATAGTGATAGAGTGAAATTTTGGCGGAGAAATCAGAAAAGTTTTGAGGTGACGAAGGTAGCTGTGGGACAATGTGAGGAAGAGCTGAGAGTATTGAACTCTACATTGGAGGGGCAGATGGAGCGCATGATGAAGCTTGAACAGGATGCGCAGATCATATTGGACAATTCGCTGGCCTGCGAGGCAGCGCTACGTCGACAATGATAGCGACCAGTCCGTAGCGTTGACATTGGACAAATATTTGGTACGTAGAGTAGAGAGTTGAAGTAAGGGCAAGTTGAAGTATGTGTATTTCGAGCCCATTGATGATGAATCGATCAACCTACATTTTGGTGATGATGGCCTCGAGCTTGAGCTAGAAGCTGCTGAGAGCAGTCATGTTATGGATTTCCACATAATCAACGGTTCATTGCCACATGGTCCAGCAAACTGGGAGGACCAAGAACGCAGACGGAGATAATCGGCGATAACTTTCGGGGTGCTGACTCTACAAGTGACCTTGATCTGACATTGATCACGAATCTGGATGGCGAGAGTCACAAAACGACCACAGGAGAGGATTGATCATCAGTTGGCGACGCAGCTCATCATGACAGGGGAAATCTCGGGCTGGACTGTGGTATGGCAAATGAGGTAGTTGTGATTGTTCAGCAGCGCTGACATAATCCAGGATCGCGTCATCCTTGTGTCGTGCGGCGACTCGCTCCTTCCTGTTGATCAACCGACCGCCGCAAGAAGGCCTCGGTGTATAAATTAATAGCCCCTCCTATGTCATAAGTATCGAATAATACTTTTTCCTACCAGTTTCACAGCCCATGAGCTTGTATCGCATCTCACGCACCATCCAAACATTGCGACCCATCATCACACCCATCACACAAGCTAGTACTGCCAGATCTCAAAGCACAATGACTACAGCCACCTTCAAATACATCGATCCCGCGTCCTACGATGCGACTGCGACTGCACCTTTCAAGAAACCATGGGGAAAGGTAGATGGCCCTGGATATTCTTTTCGGTACGTCACCGACTCCATCCACTGATCGATGTCACACGAAGCGAAAAGTCGAAGACGACTAACCATAGTGCAGTTTAGCTGATCATCAACGTCAAGTTGAGAACATCCGCGGTCAAGAAGCAAGCTTCAACACCGACAACGCTGGTTTCGCCGTCTTTCGCAAGCCATCAAAAGAGAAGGATTTCACAGATGACACGGCTGTCCGTGAGGGATACTACAAAGAGGTGGAAGATGCTCTGCGAGAGAAGATTCCCGGCATCAAGAAGGTTGTCATCTTCGATCACACCATCCGTCGTAGAGACAAGACTTCGCCCCGTCAGCCTGTCCAGCAGGTCCATGTAGACCAGACACCTCGTGCTGCAGAGACTCGAGTACGCCGTCATCTTCCCGCCGACGAGGCTGAGGAGCTGCTTAAGGGCAGGTACCAAATCATCAACGTCTGGCGACCAATTGGTCACAACGCAAGCGATTTCCCTCTAGCTGTCATTGATTGGCGCACAACCACCGAGAAAGACTTTGTCAAGGTTGACCTTCTGTACCCGAAGCGCACCGACAACGACAATGATGACAGAGGAAAGGAGGTCCTTCCAGACTCTTCCTCGATGACTTCGACCGAAGGATATGAGCCAAAGGGAGAGACATATGCTGTTGCTCCGTCTGACAAGCACAAATTCTACTACATGAAGGACATGACGCCCGATGAGCTCATGCTTCTGAAGTGTTTCGACAGCAGGAGTGAGTGGTCGCCCAACAGCACAAAGGGCCTAGCTCATGGTACTCCTCACACCGCTTTTGTTGACCCTCAGACTCCGGTAGATGCACCTGGCAGACAGAGCATTGAAGTCAGATGCCTGGTCTTTTATGAGTAATCATCAAGTACTATAGGGCATCCAAGATCTAGCAAGAGAAAGAACTTGGCATTTGGAATATGAAGCGGCACGAAGGTCATGATCAAGTTGTTCAGTTGCGTTATGAGGTATGTGCGTATATTCGATCATCCGTCTTGTGTAGTTTTATCAATATTCAACCCACAATGTCTTGCCCTACGCCCCAGATTGAATCAACTTGATGCCTGATTTCGTTGCCCGTTCGACACACCTCGGTAGGGCAAGTCCACCCACGGCAATTCTACAATCGCTGTCTGCTCGAGCGCGGCGGACCGTAAAGCATAACAACATATTTGTGTTAAGGTTGCAAGCTTTGAGATGGTGGTGGCCGGATCTGGCGTCAAGCTCTACGCGCAACGTCGAGAGGCAGACCTTATGTTGAAGCTCAAAAACTTGCGAGTTGGAGCTCCGATCTCGCCAACAACACCTACAATCGCATGGAACTCAGCTCCTCAAGAGCAAGCTAGTTCTGCCGACCCTGCGGCAAGCAAGACTGCCGGGCAAGACTGCTGCCATGCTCTGGCCACGTTCTGTGGCTAAACGACAATGTACAACATCACGCTTGATACCGACATGTCTCGCTCCGGTCGCATAAAATTACCTCTGGAGGCTTGCCACCACAGTGCCACTGGCGTGATGTATCCACTTCTCCAGTGAAAAGACGTTGCTTGAATATTGTCCCTTGGCTGGGAAACCTGTCGGCGAGACGTGAAACGTCCACAACGGCAGCGCCCAAAGGAGGCTTTCGAAGAGCCTCAACTAGACATCGCGACAGTCACTGATCAACCACAAAGCGGAATGCATATCCACATCACTGTTCGTCACAATAATTGAGAGCGACAATGCAATGCTCTCAAAGTACGCGATTATCATCTTTGGTCAATATGCACAGTGCTGGATCCGGTTGTCCTTCTCACCTATCTGGCCCGAGAAAAGGGTTCAATATCCCGACCGTTCAACTTCAAATGCGCCAAACGGTCTCTGCCGTCAGTATAACAAAATTCTCTATAGGAAAAGCCCTACCGCTGACTCGGTATCTGAATGCCTTGCTAGAGCAACCACTCACTAGGTTCCGTCTGCCTTGAAACTCTGCCTCGAAGTATCGCATCGGAATCGTAGAGATCAGAAGATGAATCAGAAGATGAATCAGAGATGCGGTGAAGGAGAGATCCGCTGAACTAATAGTCTATGGAGACCCAAACACAAGAAGCGAAATCCTACCTCGTCGTTAGACCATCATCCTCAGGCTTCATGACTCTGGACTCTGTGTGTCTCTCCCTTCTGCCAACAAGCGGGTCTTGGACCTTTCAGAATGGCCAAATGATCGTCATGCCGTTATAAGTCTTGACTTCTTTCCAGCCTCTTGCCCGCCTACACTTGCGTTTTTGACTATGCTTGCCTCCAACATATCCAACGGTCCTTCAATGCCTGTGCGGTGCCTGTCTCTATTGCCATCTAGAGCCAATCATGGGCTCATCGAACAGCTAGTGTCGCGTGAGAATGAAACATGGTTCTCGCCTATCCATGTGCCCGCCGTCTCTAAATCATCTAGTCCCAGTCGTCAACGTCCGCGGCTTCCAGACAACGGTCCACAGTCCCGCTAGCCGTGGTAAGTGGCTTTCGAACATGACAGTCACCTGTCCGGGAAGCAGACTTATACATGCTGTCCAGACTCGCGCACCGGATCTGACAATACCTCTCGAACCCCGCCGGAGACAAATGTTCCTTGCTCCCTCAGTCCCTAACCTTTGCTCCTCACAGTCATGACCCAATGACTGACCAAATTAATACTAATATCAACTATCCGCTTTATTCGGAGGACCACCCCAAATATGGCAGCACAAAGAACGCGGTACCCACCATCGTGGTGCCGGAAGAAGCACACACCAAGGTCGCACCTCAAGGACTAGGTTTGGACAACTTTGCGTCCGACATTGCTTCTAAATATCATGCTCAACAACGTAATGTACGAAAAGTGTCGAGGGCAGGACCCGACTTTAGAGAATTTCTGGCCAAACGCAACCAAAGACAAGACTCGCAGGCGACACTTGTTGACTTTACTCGTCGGCCATCAAGGACGAATGAAGGCAAATTCAGGTTGCAGGTTACCACCGACGATCAGTTTCCAGTCAGTCCTCTGAGACCCGGATCGTCGCGTCGTGGTTCGGCGAATTCGCGACCTGGAAGTTCAAGTGGACCTACTAGTCCACCTACTAGTCGTCCAACAACGCCAAATCTCAAGGCAGAATCACACTCGCCTCGTCTTGGTGATGGTGAATGGGGTGCTTTCAACTGGCGACCAGGAATCAATCCCGTCCAACCTGTTCATAAGAAGCTTGAGAGACTGGACTCAGATGCTACACTCGTGGATACTGGATCATGGCGACGCGGCTCACGTCCAGGATCTCGCTCTGGTTCTCGCTCAGGATCTATTACCGAGGACCCTTTCAGAAGAAAGTCCGACTTCTCCTCGTTAGACGCAATCCCTGTCACTAGACTTCGCCAGCCATCATATTTCCAACCGATAGTTGAGATTGATCCTTTTGCAGACCAAGACCATGGTCCGTTGATTGGAGGTGTGAAGTCCTTGGACCCCAATCTTGACCAAGAAGAGGAAAGCAAAACTACTGAGCCGGAATTGGCAGTCGCTGCTCCTGAAGTCATCACACAGGAACCAAAAAGCACGCATCAAGAACACGTTGTGCCTACAACACAGGAGACTTTCGTTACCGACACATACCCGGAGATCGCGGACCCGGTCGATCCATGCCGCAACTTGACTCGTATGGATCTGATCAAGCAGCGTGTGGTCTTTAGCAGCAATGTCTTCGCCGTCAACTTTGCCATGCTAGTCTTTGCGCTCTGGGCCCCAAAGGCAATTTCTGGAAGATGGGTCCTGTCATTCATCGTTTTCATCAAGTCCAAGGATTGCATATCATCTATCATCAGCTGCGCATACCTGATCTACATGGGTATCAGAGACCACTTCTGGCCTCCGCCGCCAGTAGAGTCCAAGTGGATTCTTTCTTTGATCCCAGCATACTCGGAGTCAGAGGAGATGATCAAGAACTGCGTGTTCTCACTGCGCGACAACGACGCTCAGCCGCACAAGCAGGTCATGTGTATCATATTGGACGGCAAGCCGAGAGATGTGAAGCAGTATATGAGAATCACTACCACCTTCAAGAGGCACTACGTCACATCAAGGTTCAAGCGTAACGAGCTGGTCATCACTGCCGGGTTCATGGAAGACGTGCCGGTCATTGTCTTTGAGAAGGTCAAAAACTCTGGAAAGAAGGACTCGCTTATCTTGTGTCATGACTTGTTCAATATCATGCGCGAAGATGCCCCGCTATACACGAGACTACTGCGCAAGGAGATTGAGAAGAATGTTCTGCCCACGCTTGTTGGCGAAGACTTTCCTGGCTTCGACATGGTCTTCTGTACGGATGCCGACTCAGTCATTCACAAGGGTGCTGTTGCTGGGCTTGCCAACGCTTTGGTCCGTGATCCCAAGGCTATCGCATCGTGTGGTCTGGTGCTGGTTGAGCTAGAAGCGGGTGCTGAATGGTCTTACTGGAACCTCTACCAGCAATTTCAAGTAAGTCGAGCTAGAGTTGTATTGGTCGATCCTCACTGACATTATGATAGTACAACTTCGGTCAGTTCGTCCGCCGACAAGCGGAAAGCGTCTGGGGCAAAGTCACATGTCTTCCTGGATGCATCACTATGGTTGCTGTGCGACCAGAGATGGCAGGAGCCATGACCAAATACGCAGCCCCAATCACCGCCTACCCTGTACTCTTACACCAAGTCCAATATCTCGGCACCGACAGAAGGCTGACCTACTCGATGCTCTCGCAGAGCAAGGACCTGCATACACTGTTCGTACCAGGCGCCGTCAGCGAAACGGTGGCGCCACAATCACTCAAGCACTATCTCAGTCAAAGAAGACGCTGGGGTAGCAACGCATATTTCAACAACTACTTCTACTTCTGCGGCGAGAACATGATCTGGATTACACGTCTATGGGCGTGTATTGAAGTCACTAGACTCAGCCTAGTATATTACCGCGTCGCCAACACGATTCTCTTCATCTACGGACTTGTCAGCAGCTTCAACCTCATGTCAATCATCCCGCTGCTGGTCGTCTCGCAGCTTCCGACAATCTGGTTCCTCATCAACACAGCCACCAACAAGCAACTCCGCCAACGAGCACACAAGATCTTGCTTGGGTTGGTCATCAACAAGTTCATGGCTCCTGTCATGTCTGTCGCCGTCTTCACCATCGTAGTCAAGAATCTTGGCTCCCAAGCATGGGGGCTGACCCATGGCGCGACGACCGCAGCGCCAGCCGCCGTTGAGCAGGCAGCTGAGAACGAAAAGGCGCAAACAGCTCAAGGACTTCTCGAAACGTTGCAACCTCGCAATGGATCAATCATGTCCATCATCACCGAGGAATCATCCATCGGGATGAACACCCCCAAAGCCAACTCGATAGCAAGTCGAGACAGAGAAGGCGAGTCGGAGGTCAATGAGATCGATGAAGACGATCCTAGAGAGAAGATCGTGAGCCATCTCGCAGCAGGACTGTGAGGATGGCAGGCCCAAACCGGAAGCCTTTTCGTTTTTCCTTTGTCATTATTTTTTCTCCTTCACGATTTAACGAATGATGAGTTACGAGAACTATACCAAAACAGCATCAATATCAACATGCATATTTTCACCTATCAAAACATGAAATGCCTCAAGTCCAGTTTGTGCCCAGTGATGCAGACACGAATTTTTCTCTTAGCGAGCTGAGCAAACGGACGATGATTGAGAGACAGGTCGAGAAGATCTTTTCGGCATCAAGGCACCTGAGGCAATAGTGGATGGTAGTTGTCAACGGTTGTGTTCATAGTCAACGGCGTGGTTGAGGGTCGAGGCGTCGCGGCCACAGCAACGAGCAGACGTAATCAGTGCAAAAGGGACATGCCCAGCAAGGAACGTCTGCCATGTTCACGAGGGAACTCAACGGGCTCGTATGCAAAGCCGCAAGCGAGGACATATCGATATATAACATATAGTGGGACACGGCCGTAGAGGATTCGAGATTGCAAGAAAAAAGTTATCAGATCGACACTGCGCAAAGATGAAGGCCGCGGGATTGTTTGCGGTGACGGCATGGTTGAGCGGCTTGGCGGCTGCTCTGCCTTCTGTTCTTAGCAGCAGCAACAGCAACGTCAACGACAACAAGTTGAAGTACTACTTCCCTCGACAGTCGGTGCCTCAGTATGCATCGTCGTTTGATCCCAATGGCAACAGCGTGCTCGCCGTCTACTATGGCAAAGCGCAGTACACGCAGAACCCGTTGCTGTGGGACCTCTGCAGCGACAGCGATGTTGACATGATCGTCATGGGTTTCGTGCGCCAACTCAATGGCCCTTACGTTCAGCCTTCGTTTGACATTGGAGCTTGCAAGACGCCTTCTCAGCGCGCGGCAAACTATACCGGCATCACTTGCCCTACTCTGGCGGCCAACATTACCAGATGTCAGAGCATGGGCAAGAAGGTCATGATCAGTCTGGGTGGCTCGAGCAGCAACTTGGTCTTGAGCAATGTCAGCGATGCTCAGCAGGCTGCTACCATCCTCTGGAACGTCTTTGGCGCTGGCACTGCTTCGCCCAACCTGAGGCCCTTTGGCAATGTCACCCTTGACGGTTTCGACTTTGGTCAGTGCTTCTCCACCTGCCCGCTCTCCTCTTGCAGCACACAGACTGACACTCTTGACAGACCTCGAAGGCGGCGCCGACACCTCATACACCGACGTCCTCTCCGCCTCCCTCCAGAACCTCTTCACCACCGCCAGCCCCGCCCGCTACATCTCCGCCTCCCCTCTCTGCGCAAATAACACCGTAATGCCATACGACTTTTACAAAAACGCAAACTTCATCTGGCCGCGTTTCTATAATGCAAACGCCTGCAAAGCCGGTGGTAAAGGCTACAACAAGTCCGTGACAGCATGGTCCAATTTCCTCACTGGAATTAGCTCCAATGTCGGTGTCAATTTGCCTCGCTTTTACATTGGCGCTCTCAGTTTTGAGAACTACAACAGTGGTGGTGGATACATGGCGCCAGACGCTTTTGGTGACCTCGTCGAGTATACCAAAGATCGCGTCGGCAAGGCTAGATTCGGCGGTGTCACCTTTTGGCAAGGCACAGATGCTTTTGGCTCAAAGTCAGCCGATGGCAGAGACATCATGAATGTCACAAAGGAAGCACTTCTCGAACCTTTTACCAGCGACGCCTGTGGTACGTTGGATACGCGTGTTTTGGCTGCACCAAAGTTGATTCGCCGCCAGATTAGTTACTTGATCGGAAAAAGAGCCGTTTGCAAGTGAGGAGCCAAGGGGACAGTACAATATATTATGATTATGATGGACGACAACCTGGAAAAACATACAACAATTCGCTATGATGGATCCTGGCGAAGCTGGTCCTAGCTGCTTTGTACGAATGATTTGACGACGCAAGATTGAGATTTTTTGGTATCATTTTGATTTCTGGATAGAGGATGAGCATAGTATGGAGGAAATAGCGTTGAGTAGACAATAAAACAACAATAAAAAATATAGGAAGGCGATCATGACATTTGGTCCTTTCTTTACCCAGATGCTTTCCTTTCCTGTGGGCTTCTTGTGACACATCTTTCAGCTTCAACACCCACCATCTCGTTTTCCCCCTAACAATCTCTTTGCTCCTATGCCTCACTGACACTTTGCGAACAGTCTATGCGGGAGGTACACCCAGCGAATCATGAACACCACGTTGTTTGTCAAAGGCAGTAGTCTCTAATCCATTCATGACAGACAATCTCTGGTAGCTGCCAATATCCATCCAAGTCAAAAAGCTTGATCACTGTCATCTCATCCAAACGCACTCTTCTCGAGCCAAATAACAATCTTGCAGTCTCCTTGAAATTTTCGGAAACAGAAAACTTTCATAACTGCCATAATATTACCATCGTAACCCCATGCTCATAGATCCTTTCATTAGAAACCAATACGTCTACGAAGTTCCTTTTGCATGACTCCCACTGTACTTTCCATTCTACTCGCCGCACTTTGGTTTTCTGTTGCCCTTCGTACGAGGTAATGCATGCATTCCCTCACACTACCCCAATTCATGCATTTATACACCATGGGCGCTGTTGCGGGGTTCTCGGTTGCTTGGCTAGAACTATCGCCCATAGCCAACAATTCGCCACTTATGTCGTCTGCCATACCTAACAGTTGGCCGAACTTGATGGGGGGAGGTGTGTCGCCGTTTTGAAGGAGGTTTTGGTGTAGGGTGTAGGCTTTACGTATGGATTCAGAGTTATGGCCCGCGAGGAAAAGTTCGATGGGAGGGAAGTCTTGCGGGGTAAAGCCGGGGAAGGATTTACTGAGTAGGTCTGTGGCTATACTGTTATAGCAGTCGTCTGTCTGTGTTTTTGTGTCGTGGATCAAGCTTCGAGTTTCACTGCCAATGTAGGCTCCTCGGACGAGTTTGATGCCCAAGGTCCAGCCTTCGCGGTGGGATTGCTGAAGCATTTTCTTGACGGTGGTTCTGGAGGATTTGAGATAGGCTTGTAGGGTTGTGGAGACGAGGGCTTGGTTGTGGGTGTTGTAGCGACGCATTAAGTCGATGGTCCAGCGGTCGATGGTGGGTTGAAAGACTTGTTGTTCGGCGTCGATCCATAGACGACTTCCTTGAGCGGCGGCGCGTTCGCAGATGATGGACATGGCGTCCAGGAGTTGCTGTGGTGGATCTCTGTCTTGCGCGAGTGCTTGGGCGACTCGAGGTCCTGCACCTGTGAATCTAGGCATCATGATTAGTACGACTTCCTGCCATGACTTGAGAGTCGGGAGACTTACTTGATACCAACGTAATCGCCGGGTTCGACCATGTCCAAGGTCTTTACATTGCCGTCTCGCCAACTGTCGATATCTTCATCTTGTATCAGTGGCTCCGGATCGTTCAATGCCTCTACCGGCATAGCAGGTATCTCTTTGGAGTAAATCAAAATAACACCCTTGAACCCCATAGTTTTGAGATAGTCAAGAGTTCGCTTAATCTCAAGCTTGTTCGTACCAGCACAGAAATGGTCGTATATCATTGGCTTGATCAAGGCACGTAGCAGTGCATTCTTGTCTGGGTCCAAGATTGCCGATTTTGAGTTTGCAATCTTTGATAGACATGCTACGCCGTACTTGAAAAGAAAAGGAGAGGTGAATACTTTGCCGAGGACGATGTTTCGGACCAGATTTACTGTTGAGATACGGTGAAGCTGCGATGGCTGTTGCTTTGGGCTTTCCACCGAAGAGGCATCTGAATGTCTGGAAACCAGAGATGATTGACGTCTTGGAGACCGCCAGATAGCCTGAATCTGTCCGGGAAGAGGGGCATTCTTGCGGACAAATAAATTGTGCTTGGTGATGTTCATGCTTCAGGTGTATGATTGAATGATGAGTTCTATGTTTCCGACATCAGTCAGTCGAGGAGATGGCATACTGATATCTACCTCTCAGGAGTAATAGCTATCATCGGCTACAGACGGCTGGTCTCGGTCGAGGCCATCCTTATCATAGAGTCCTCGTGATGGTGGTCGCAGGAGCAGGTGCGGGGTTTGGCCTACGCCGAGGTGGCCATACTCAAAGCAGTAATCGCGATCAACCTTGATAAGATACAACCTGAATAGCAGCCGCCGATACAACACACTGAAGAGGCTTGCGTGATGTCCTGATATTTGCAATGTTATTCTGATCCAAGCATGATGCTGAGCGTGGGCCGACTGCGCGTGAGACAGACTTTACCACTCACGGCGTGGACGCAGTCGGGCGGGCCATACAGAAGACGCGGTGGCTATCATTGGTTCTTCGCAATAATATCTTTCGAGAAGTGTAGTCCGACAGACAGGTACTGTATTCGAGATTTCGACATGAATGGCAGGCGCAACGTTGTCCCGCTCAAGCTCAAGCTTGAGGAGAGCGGGGGACAGCGGAATCTAGAGAGGATGCTAACCGGTGATGCTGACACTTTCGACTGAGCCGACCGCCGCGCGACGAGGTTCCAGACCTTGCGAGTTCCACCTTACCTACAATATAAAGAGTTTCATAATCGCACGACTCGATTTCCAAGAACCCAAGATGGCCAACATTGAAGCAGAAGGACCTGATGTATCAGGCGAGATTCCGCAGGTGCCCATCACCTTCGTCCCTGCAACAGAAGGCGAGATATTTGCTCTAGGTCAAATGACTATCAGAATTATGGAAGATGGCTCGAGAACAGGCAAGTAATCTCAAAGTTAACATAACCACTTTGCGCATTACTTACGATCGATTCACAAACAGACAATCGAATTGGTACTGTAGAGTTGACTGTCCCGGCCAACACTCCCGGTCCACCTCCTCACTGGCATGAGATGCATGATGAAACCTTCCTCGGTGAGACATCTTTTGCTTGGACTCATGCAAAGGCATCCCCTTGCTGACTTAGTTCAGTAACGGAAGGCACCATCAGATTTACCTGGTACACATCTACAGCATCAGAGCCGACAAAGACAATCGATGCACACGCTGGCGATTACGTTGTTGTGCCCATAAGAGCTCCTCATACGTTCTCCAACCCGACCGACAAGCAAGCCAAGTTTGTCAACACCTTCACTCCTGCATTTTACGTCAACTACTTCAAGCTCTTGGCGAAATACATTGGTGATGGGAAGGTTATGACACCGGAGGCCAACAAAAAAGCCATGGCAAGCTATGCGACCATTCCATTGCCAAAGTGAGCGTATAGGCGATAGAGCGCGTTCTTGCGATCCTGAGCTGAGCACGTCAAACTTTCAGACCTTTTTTTTTTCTTTCTAGATCTTGGTCTTTTCATTGTATTATGAGGTGTTGTTTGCGCTGGATTGTCAAGAAAGGTTCTCAGGTTGAATCGATCATCTACTAAGGAGAAAGTCGTCGTATGTGTACGCGAATCAATAGAACAGTCAAGTCTGGCCAGCATTCTCCATGGCGGGCGGTTCAATACCTTATAAGCAGCATCTGTAGGCCCTCGGGCACCATCTCCTGTAGTCTCGTCTAGTTAGAATAAGGTAATCTCCTGCATATTACATGGCTCTCGACCGTACGAGAATACGGGGCAGGAGATAGTCGTTGTGGCGGAGTCGGCAGTGGATTCAAGACGTCCGAGATGAGTGTTGATCTTGTGCACGGGCCCGGAATGGATCGTTTCAGCTTCTTGCAGCTGGTTCCTGAACGACCATCTCGTTATTATCGAACAGATCATTGTCAACTCATGATTACCATCCGTATAGATAAGTGGTGGGGTGTGAGATCAGCGAATCAGGCCAGTCGACAAAGCCAAAATCTCAGGAGGTCGTTTGACTTCTTCAACCCCTGACGAGGCTTGAACATGAAGGCCACGACTCGAAAGCTTCCATGGCAATTTCACACCGGAAGAGGCTGCCGCGTGGCCCAGAAAACACACCAGGAACACACACCGTTTTGGCATGCGTGGTCCGAAACGCTTGTTGCAGGGCGGTGCAGCCTTATGCCTGCTTGGGGGTGATGGCGAACTCTGGGTACCAAAGCTTGCCGTATGGCGCGTGTCAATCATCATAAGTCAAAGATCTAAAGCGAGTAAGTATAGTAACACAGTAGTGCCGCAACCTCGTTCTTGTTCCTGTCCCTGATCTGCCTTCTCCTTCTCTTCCCTTCGCTACTTACCCCATACATTCTTTACAGTGCCATTATGGCACATTCAACATTACCGCAACGGCTATTGCAAGCAGTATTACTATGTCTCTGCACAACCTATACTAGCGCTTTGACGCTAGACACAACCAGTGCAGGTAAGTAAAGCACTTCTGGACATCCCGTGAGATGACCTGGCTGACCATTGTTGTCCACAGCCTCAATCAGGGAGGTCTCGTCGCAAGTCGCACACGGATTGATGAAGTACTACACCGGCAACAACACAGGAGATGTCCCGGGAAATCTCCCAGCCCCATACTACTGGTGGGAAGCTGGTGCTATGTTTGGAGAGATGGTGGAATACTGGTACTACACTGGAGACACAACATACAACACCGAGGTCAAGCAAGCGTTGCTACACCAGATTGGCGACAATAACGACTACATGCCCGCCAATCAGACAAAGAGCTTGGTAAGGAACGGACTACACATAGCTTGAGTTCAAGCATGCTGACAGAGTTAGGGGAACGACGATCAAGTCTTCTGGGCATTCGCAGCAATGACGGCCGCTGAGGTCGGATTCGAGAACCCTCCGGATGGTTCTCCCTCCTGGTTGGCACTGGCACAAGCTGTCTTCAACGAACAAACCGAACGATGGGACCCTGATACCTGCGGCGGAGGCCTTCGCTGGCAGATCTTCTCTTTCAATGTCGGCTACAACTACAAGAACGCTATCTCCAACGGAGGTCTTTTTCATCTTGCCGCTCGCCTTGGTCGCTACACTGGTAATCAAACATATATCGACTGGGCCAACAAGGTATGGGATTGGTACGAGGACTCGGCCTTGTGGGATGCAAAAGACTACGTTATCCTCGACGGTGCGAGTACGACAAACAACTGTTCCGACGGTAGCAAAGAGCAATGGTCCTACACATATGGTGTCTTCCTATCTGGCTTCTCCTACATGTACAACCATGTATGTTTCCTCAGACCGAGTTCGCGCATACTTGACTGACACAATCCCGCAGACTGAAGACGAAGCCTGGCTAACCCGCATCGACGGTATGCTAAACACGACTACCGCCACATTCTTCCCCGAGGGCATGGGCCCGAATATCATGGTTGAGACGACTTGCGAGCCTCTCGGAAACTGCAATAACGATCAACGCTCCTTCAAAGCCCATCTATCGCAATGGATGGCCGTGACCGCACAACTTGTGCCAAAATATCACGATAGAATCTTCAATCTTCTCGCACCCTCCGCCAAAGGCGCTGCTGGACAGTGCGACGGCGGATCTGACTCTGTGACCTGCGGGCGCAGATGGAACAGTACAACATGGGACGGCACATATGGTGTTGGAGAACAGATGTGCGCGTTAGGTGTCATTCAGGCGAACATGATGAATGTTGTCTCTCTCAAACCGCCGTATACCTCGGTCTCCGGCGGCACCAGCAAGAGCGACCCTAACGCGGGTACTGGCTCGAGTGGTACGTCTTCAGAAGGCGGTCAGGCGATTCATTTGACGCCGATAACTACGGGCGACAAGGCTGGTGCTGGCGCCATCACCGCAGTCATTCTTTTGTTCTTGATGGGCGGTACAGCCTGGCTGCTGATTGCTTGATATATACTAGACTTTACGATATTTAATCTTCTATGACATGGACTCGTTCGAGTATTCATCTACAAGCTCCTCAACGTTCTCCGCAACATAATGTTCGACTCGGGCCAGCTCACCATCAAAGCTGCAGCAGAACGGAATGTCCTTTCAGAAAGACAAGACTTTTCAGAAGGTGATCATTACACGGTCAGATGGGACGGGCAATGCTTGTCGAGCCTGTTCTTGCTCAAAAGCTCGCCACGTCCATGGTTGCAGTTGCTACAGGCTAAACTTGCTCACTCCCGTGCTCGTAGAGACTTTTCGAAATCCCGTCAATATCGGAGAGCGGCTTTCCTCAATATAAACTCTCAAGGAGTCATACCTTGCTCAATCGACATTCATCGCAACGTGCCTCTGGATATGGGCTTGCTGCCATCGAAGGTGGCCGCGGCCGAACACTGGAACAATACGCCTCATCGAGGCAGGCGTAACAAGAGGACGAATCTCAGGAGGAAAATCTCACCCAAGCACACGAGCCAAGGTGTCTTCAAGTTCTTGGGACTTCCACAGGAGATCCGGGACATGATCTACCTCCTACTGCTCACTTATCCTGGTCATAGCATCCACATCAATGCTAGCCCTCAGCGGACGCGGAGAAAGTGCTGGGGAAAATGGGTGACATTGCATCCTTACGACTTTTTCTCTACGCCTGCGGCTGGATCTGCGCCAGTCGTCAACTTGTTGAAGAGCAATCGACAGATACATTACGAATCGTCTCTTGTTCTGTACGGAAACAATGTCTTTTCATTCGACGACCACGACAGCCGCAATCGTCTTGAATTCTTCAAGATGATCGGTCGCAACCAAGCCTTGATCCGTCACGTCAAATCAGAGTGGTATAGGAAGTCCTTCCTTGGAAATGCACAAGAATCCTTCCTTGTGTTCACTGGCAGTATCTGTTGGACGAACCTGAAGACGGTGACCTTCGAGATTCTAGATCTTGAAGTCAGTTGTGATTTGCTTATGTTTCTCCTTCCCCTACAGACACTCGCAATGCGGAGGACAACGGTACTTCTGGTTAGATTTGCGCTATGGGGGTCTATTCGAAAGCGGCGGACACTTGAGGCGGGCGAATCTTTCAGGCTTGCACTTCTACAGATACCCTTATTGAAGATCCAGGTTGCCGTGCGTCAGCCGAATTTGATGGTGAAAGAGCCATACATGGACTACAAATTTGTCGACCTGGTCAAGCAGCCGGCTGGTTGGAACGGCTGATTCGCAGCTGTGGAAATGCACAATGCTCATTTGGTCATCTACTCCATGTGTTGCTCGACCAGACGGGGCCAATGATATCTCGATCAACATTAAACATTATGACCCAATCGAGAGCTCGCTTATCAGCATCAGGTGTCAGAGAAGGTCCTCGGATACGAGTCGTTAGGATCACCGGTTGAAGATTTGTCGCTGTTGTCGAAGTAGAGCTTGGAGGAAGGATGCTGCTGGGTATGACGCCATCGGAAGCTCTTGCAACCAGCTCCAGCCATAACAGCAGCGACTTGTACTGCCTCAGAGTAGAACAACATCGAGCATGAGAACGTGTTTGTCTATTTATTGTAGTTCTGCTGAATTTCCCATCGAATAGTCGTCTTGTCCTGCTGTGAGTGACATGCTGAAGTACAATCCTCCTGCTGAAGGATCGATCGTTTGCAGTTGGCTTCCCCACCATGCGATCGGCGACTTCGGCTATTATCGCTGGCCTATCTTCAACCCGTCTGAGCCGTCCTTGAGCGAAAGCAGAAGGTCGTGCCATTTGCGGGGAGGATGATGATATAAGGTACACAGCCACTGCTGCTTTCCAATGCTTAATCCTTTCCTTCCTCAACCTTTGTTTACCAATTGACAAGATGGATGAGAAGCAACAACTCATCGGGACACTCCCGGTCGTTAACGACATCTCTGAGCAGCGTGCACAAGCAAAGAAGAGCTCGCGCTGGGGAACAATCAAGCTTGTATGTCACTGCACTCAGCTGCTCTTTGGTGAAGACCATGCCATTGACTTTTGTACCTAGATCACATCCTGTGCGGCTCTTGTTGCTCTCCTTCACTGGACTTTCGTCCTTCCCCAGCTTCCCTTGAAGCACCATGGAAAGCATGGCAAGCACCATCACCACCAGAAATCGCAATGTCCCCAGGTTGAGCCACTTGTGCCCAGCCAGCAAAGTGACCAGCTGGTCAACATGGATGCCTACCTCAAGTCTTCTACTTTCTTGAACTCATCTATTCAGCGCCTTGCTGGCGCTGTTCAGATCGACACTCAATCATTCGATGATCTGGGCGCCGTCGGCAAGGACAAGCGCTGGGAAGTTTTCTACCCTTTCCACGAGTACCTAGAGGAGACCTTCCCTCTTGTCTACGAACACCTCAAGGTCGAGAAGGTCAACACTCACGGTCTTGTCTACACTTGGCAAGGCTCAGATGCTAAGCTGAAGCCAACTCTGCTCATGGCTCATCAAGACACTGTACCTGTTCCTGACGCTACTCTTGATGCTTGGACACACCCTCCATGGTCTGGCTACTTTGATGGCAAGGAGATCTGGGGCCGCGGTTCTTCCGACTGTAAGAACCAGCTTATTGCCATCCTCGAGTCCGTCGAGTTCTTGCTTGACGCTGGCTTCACACCCGCCAGAACTGTGCTCCTCTCCTTCGGCTTTGACGAGGAGATCAGTGGTGGCCAGGGTGCAGGGACTCTTGCTCCTTTCATCCTTGAACGCTACGGTCCCGACTCCCTTGCTGTTATCGTAGATGAGGGTGCTGGCATCTCTGATGAGTGGGGTGTTACTATGGCTACTCCCGGTGTCGCCGAGAAGGGCTACACCGATGTTGTGATCACCATCCGCATGCCTGGCGGCCATTCCTCTATTCCCCCAGACCACACCGCTATTGGTGTCATGAGTGAGCTCATCACTTTGATCGAAGCAGACAAGTACCCTCTCCATCTTGATGGAAAGAATCCCTACCTCAGCCAGCTTTACTGTGGTGCTGAGCACGCAACTGAATTCCCCAAGAAGCTCGGAAAGCTGCTTGACAAGGCCCAGGGTCAATGCAAGGCAAAGCCTGATCAGCTCGCAGCTGAGGCTGCCAAGGCAGGCCCTGCCATCCAGTACTTGATGCAGACTTCCATCGCTGTCGATGTCATTGGTGGAGGTGTCAAGGTCAACGCTCTTCCTGAGCGCGTCCAAGCTATTGTCAACCACCGCATCAACGTCGGCGAGCACCCTGCTGATGCTCACGCCAAGATCGCTGGTCTTGCCAAAGAGGTTGCAAAGAAGTACGGCCTCGCTTTGCACTCTTTCGACAACACCACCGAGGCTCCCTCTTCCATCTCGCTCACCGCCTTCGAGCACGTTCTCGAGCCTGCTCCTGTCACACCTACCTCGGTCGAAGGTGAGACTGCCTACAGCGTCCTTTCTGGCTCAATCCGTGCTCTGTACGGCAGCGAGGTCATTGTCGCTCCTGGTATCATGACTGGCAACACTGACACCAAGTACTACTGGGACCTGTCTCGCAACATCTTCCGTTTCGCTCCCGGTTACGATGGCGAGTCAAGCGGTCTGGGCAACATCCACACTGTCGACGAGAGAGTCTCTATCAAGAACCACGTCAACACTGTTCAGTGGTTCTCCTTGTTCATTCGCAACATGGATGAGGCCGAGCTGGAGTAAGCAGTTGTTGTAGAGAGCGAGCTTAGTTGATAGTATATAGAAGGTGCACAAGCAATGAAACATACTCCAAACAAATCCCCTTCCCTTAGCAGTTCACGTCAGGCCTTCCGACTTCAGGTTTTGACGAAACGAAAAAGAAAATTGTCAGACAGAGTTCAGACCATCTCGCAAAGCTCGGCCTTGGCAGTTGACAGCTCGCTATTGAGCATCTCGATTTACTATCACCACAACTTCACAGACGAAAGCTATCAGAATCCTGTTATGTCCTGTGAGACTGCAGCTTGTGTGTCGCATCAGACACAGTATTCATGCACCAGTCTATCGCGACACATCCGGTCTCAATTGACTTGGAAAATATAAGATTTTACGTCAAGCAATTGATGGCGCGCTCAAGCCTCGGCTTGGCCCAAACCCAACGTCGTCATATTCAGGGTTCCCGTTTCCATTATCCCATCCCGAAGCGAAAGAAATAATGAATTTTGTAGTCCTTGTCAACCGGGCAATCCGCTCATCTGTGCGTGCACGCGAAACAACAAGGACGACTCCCTCTCGAATGACTGGTCTCTTGAGCCTTCATCTCTAGCAGTAACAACTCACCAATAACCAACTTTTGGACTTTTCTCTGGTCTGCGCTCGGATAGCAACGGTAAAGGAAATTTTGCATCTCTTACTGGCGAAATTCTGGGTGTGCATAACAGACTTGAGGAAACATGGCCGATATGCTGGCGGGACAGGAGAAGAAGAGTGGATCATCACCATCTTCTGCTCATGGCAGTGAACCTCTTCAATCAGATCTAGAGGCACGTAGAGCTTCTGGCACAACCCCACTGGATGTATTGGAAAAGATCAAGGAAACCGACGCCGCACATCCCATGCACTGGTCCCTGACGAAGAAATGGTTCGTCATCACCGTATACTGTCTTCTTCAGGTCTACGTTATCATGACATCTACCATGTATGTGTCTGTAGAGACATTTATCCAGGCAAGGTTTCCTAGCACGACACAGGTTGTTACACTGGGACAATCGATGTTTATTATTGGAACTGCTGTTGGACCTGTTTTCTTGGGACCGCTCTCGGATCTCGGAGGTCGCAAGTGGGTTTACGTTGGATCGATCTTGGTTTACGCCATCTTCAACATTGGATGTGCTTTGGCGTATAATCTGCCCATGTTGATCATCTTTTGCTTTTTGTCTGGTGTTGCTGGATCTACTGCGCTGTCGAATGTCGCAGGAACTATTATTGATCTGTTTGGTGTATGTTTTCATTGAATCACTGTCAAGCCAGATTACCATGCTTACGATTCTTTTGCAGGCCGAGGATGGTGCAGGTCAACCGATGGCTCTGTTTGTGCTTTCTTCCAACTATGGAGCGAGTCTGGGTTCGCCTATTGGTGAATGGATCGGCATTAACTCAAGCATGGGCTGGCGCTGGAGTACGCATCAATCCCTCTTTGCTCCTTACACAAGCCTGCTAACATGAATCATCAGTCTTCTACATGAATATCATCTTCGGCTGTGCCTTTGCCCTCGGAATGTGCTTTATGCCCGAGACCCTTCCATCCGTGGTCATCGCAAGAGCAGTCAAGAAACGCAACGTCGACGACCCCAACGCAAAGGTCATTGCCGAAGAACTGACCAAAGTGAACGTCTTCCAAGAAATCCGCTTCGTCTTGACAATGGCCCTCCGCATCATGTTCACCGAACCTATCGTAATCTTCCTCGGCTTCTATAACGGATTCGCCTATGGTCTTCTCTTCCTCTACCTCGACGGCGTCTTTGCAGTCTTTGTCGACAACAACGGACTCAGCTACGTCGGAGCCTCTCTTTCCTACCTAAACTTCTGCGTCGGCGTGACTTGCATGTTCATCTTCATCCCCGTTCAAACCTACCTCTTCCGCAAAGATCGCCTAAAGCACGGAAAACAGCGTCCAGAGGCCCGTTTCCTCACTTCTCTAGTCACCGTCTGGTTATTCCCCATAACACTCTTCTGGTTCGCCTTTACCTCGAATGGAAAAACATCATACTGGTCCCCCATCGTCGCTGGTGGCGTCCTAGGATTCTGCGATCCTTTACTCTGGCTAGGCATGCTCAACTATCTCGGCGATACGTATAGTAATGTTGCAGGATCAGCGGTTGCGGCATTCCTGATTCCGAGTTTCTTGATCGCGGCGGCCATGTGTCATGCTGGTGTTGCCATGTTTGAGAATATGAGTTCGACTTGGGCGTTTGCGACGTTGGCTTTTGTGTCGCTTACGATTGTGGCGTTGGTTTATATTCTTTATTTCTTTGGGCCGATGTTGAGGAGGAGGAGTAAGTTGGCGACTGTTTACTAGACATTCTTCGCCTTCTAGTCCAATGGGGTCGTTTGGACTCGTTCTCTGGAAGACTAAGTCTGGCTCTCAAACTCGGGATCTTTTGGCTTATTCGTGGCACTGGCATTCTTTTGGATCTACACAACGCCTCTCGAGATCTTCGTCTCCATCTACTCTCCCTTCCTTGGGGCTTTTGTTAAACGTTTAGACAAGGGACAAAGGCGTTCAAAAACACTTTCTCAACTTTTGCAATTGCATCACATTCCAAGATGTACCAAGAAGTAGTTCACACATGTACATTATAGACTAGAAAAAGCATATCACGAGAACTGCATGGGAAAAAAAAAACAAGGCGTCTGTTGCGAGATATTACAACATCATTTTGCTCACTCGAGCTAGCTGTATACTACCCAAAACTATGCAAGTGGAAGTCCAAAACCAGTGCTCCTTCTACAACCTACCCAACAGGGTGCTCTCTAATATCGTCCGCTCGCCAATAAACGAAAAAGTGAAATGCGCTAATAAGCAGAATGCGAGCATCGAATGCAAGGAAAAACAACGACGAAAAACCAAAGTCGTGAGTCGTGATTGCCAAAAACAAGTCCAGAGTCCTGGAAAGGAAGAAAACCAGCACAAGGATACCCGTCACTCAACATCTTCATCCGGAACTTCCTGTCCAGGATGCTTGGGTTTCTTCCCATTAGTCTTCCTCGGATGAATCATAATATTCGGCGCATACAAGTTTCCCCCCTCCTTCAACAGCATGTCCGGCAGTATCGGATTATCAACTTCATTGATATACCATGGATTTGCAAGATCTTCAGGCAGAGTAGTCCACCATTGCCAACTCATACCATTGGTAAAGAAGCCCATGGAACTTCCTCGGTATCGCGCAGGACCATTAGCAATGGCGTCGGGGAAAGTGGTCAGGTCGCCGCCGTTGAGGGCGAATTCCATTTCTCGGCGGTCGCGGCCCGGCCATTGGTAGACGGGGAGAGGGATGCCGCTGATTTTTAGACCGTGCCAGAGGGCGAAACTGGGGAGTGTGGCTTCGGAGGGTATGCGCATGCCCGTGTGTGCTTGGGCGTGGTGGATTGCGTTTAGAAGATTCCAGCTTGCGCGACCTTGAGCGACGACTGAGACGAATACTGGTAACTTGTCGGCCATGGAGAAACCGTGATGCCAGCCTTTGAACAGCCAGTCTTCATCTCGTGATGCGTCTTCCAGGGTATTGAGGAGGATGAGGTCGGCCTCTTCGCCCACACCCCAGGTGAAATGGTCTTCGCGCGGGTCCTCGACTGGTGGCAGCGGACCGATGGGATCAATGTCGTGGATGTCGACAGATGCCCAGACTGAACTGTCGCCATCAAGCACGTTATCAATAGTGCTGAAGAAGTCGTCATATGAGCCATGGTAGTCAGCCATGTATGCCCAAGATGCTCTTTCTCTCGCTTGCTTGCGTGGCTCCTTCCGGGCAAAGTCGGCGAACTTGTCGAGCATATTGCCAGTGTGTCCCAAGAAGCGCGAGTCGACTTCCAGCTGCCAGTAGTGATCGAACTCTGGATAGAATTGAGCAAAGATCTGCAGGGGCTGCATGATTTGCATGATGGGCAGGTGCTCCACAACATCAGGATACCAGCTCTCGAGCAAAGAATCGTCGAAAAGTACGGCGATGTCCTGGAGCTCGGGCGGAACTGCCTCGCAGAGGACGCGGTCGTATACTTCTGCGCTCTTGTGTATTCCCGCCTCCTTATCTTTGACATCTACCAGAAGGAAGACGGCATATTCTCCACCCGTCGCAAGGGTGGTCTCTGCGACCAACGATCTCAAGTTCCACATGTCTTCGGGCGTGTACTTGTAGGTGGACCATACTCGGATGACAATGGCCGAACGGTGGTACAAGTCAGTGGCAGGTCTCGAGTCGATGGTCGGAGTGGTGAGAGAAGAAGGCAGCCACTTCTCCTTCCATGATCTGTCGCGATACGTGAAGCGCGGGCGGCCATGATTGAAGGTGTAGGCACTCGGAAGTCGTTCTCGGTTGGACTCGACACAGGCATTCTGCAGGTCTGCCCAGTTGACGTTGGACCAGTCGACTCGACTTCTTGTGTAGCTTTCCTCCTCTTCTCCCAGACCATACGGGCCGTATCTTTCGGCGGCCGTGAGCCAGGACGTATCCAGATCAAGTGCTTCGTACGAGCCACTCAGAGGAGGAGGGTAGGTCAGGTTCCTGTAATGCGTCGGGTGGATCTGATCGTCGTAGCTCTCCGACATGAGCTTCCCTCTGGGTCCTTTGCAGGCCACTCGTTGATTGCGGAATTCGGCAATCGCATCGCTCGAGGAAGATGTGGGTCGCGCCGACGAGAGGCGGGAACCAGATGTCGTTGATTCAGAAGACGCATGCGAGTCGGTAGTAGAAGGGACATGTTCAGGGAGATGGTGCGTGGAAGGAAAAGAAAGTGTATACAGCAGGATGGAGATGAGGAACAGGATGGTGGCAGCAAGGCCAAGTCTATATCGACTGCTCGGACGACCAATGTTAACGGACGTATACATGATGCTGCCCAGCCCACTCTGCTTGATCGCGAAATGTTACTGGGTGAGTAGCAAGGCAGATAGCAGGGACAGAGGCATGGGAAATCAACAAACAGAAATCGAGAGACACGTCAATAAGACGGACGGACCGCATCGCTGACGTGTTGGACGCCATCTTTACCAGGGCTGAAGGCTCAATCCATGGCCACTGCCTTGCACGACTCGATTGCACACTTGAAGTGCTGCAAAGCCAAGCATCCACATGATAGCGAAATAACTTGTTTGTCCGACAAAGTCGTCGCAACGCGCGGCCATGGCGCCGGCTCGGCGCATATAGAACATGCCGGCCGCCTTGTCCTCAATCCTATGTGCGTATCGTTGGAGACTCGCGACACCTCGCTCCTGGTTGACAGCTGCAGAGGTGGTCAGAAGTATTGCCATATTCAAGGAATGTTCGAATTGATGTAGACTTTCTCTGTCCCTGTTCATCCCCTGCATCCGAAGCCGAAGACCGTTGAAAAGTCTCCTTTCCCGCGTGTCTGCCCTTGCCAAATGACGTCGCAGAGCCCTTTTGTTTCACCTTGATTCTAACTGTCTCTCGTTTGACAGATTGTTCTGCTGTTAATTCATCTGTTTCACATTGCACAACGCTTAAGCAGGAAGCTGTAGCTACAATTCAACTCCTTGTCCATGTCTGTACTCCAAGGACTCGTCTTGCAATTTGCCATGCATCGAACCGACACTTCCGTACGACAACGATAGCTAAGCCTTGGCCTGCATGAAATCCCCCCAAAGAAGCAAGATTTCTGCGTTTCTCTCGACTTCACCTCGTTGCATTGTCCCCGAGGTAAAATTGAATAGCGATACTGGGTGATGGCTATCACGTAAACCATCAGCGATATACAGGATCAGATGAGCAACTCACACTATCTTCGCGCCGTCATGACTCTTCTGGATTCTCTGGAGAGCTGCGAAGTCGATCTTGACTCGACTCGACTCCGAAGAGACAAGACTTTGTCTGTATCCTCAAGCCGGAACCACGACCAAGATGAGAGATGGCATAGCCCTGCCAATGAAAGATGATACTCTTCTTCAGCCCTTGGTTGTAAACCAAGAAACCAATGAAAATAGTTGTTAACGGGGGTATTTGCGCCTCGGATTTTGTTACGACGCTTGTTCTGCTCGGAGGTATGGGCCTCTGGTTGTTGACGGGGATTTGCGCCTCGGATTTAGTGACGAAGCTTTACTGCTCGGATTTGGTTACGAAGCTTTACTGCTCGGAGGTAGGGGCCTCTGTTAGCTGAGTCTGCGGACATCCCCTTGTCAAATCACAAACCACAAACCACAGCTCCACCTCGGCCACGCCAACTAAACATTGTCTTCTGTATACCCACCCAAGCGACCGACCCAGAAGAGGAAAGGAGCGACGAAAAGACAAAGAATCAAAGTGATCTCCCGAAGGAGTGAAGATCGCACAAGGAGAATACGCACCCAAAACAGAAGAGAGACTTACAACCCGCTCGCCGCAAAAAAGACTGTCAAGGCACCACGAAGCCACCAAGTGCAAGAAGCCGCTAGAAGAGTGAAGGAAAGGGGGGCTGCCTGGGAAGAACGAGGGTTTCACCACAGACAATGTCATGACCACACACTGACTGCCTTCAAAGCCGAATCCCTCACAGCCCCAACTCACACTCAAGAACTATTCGTCCACAAGACCACAGGCATTCCTGAGCCAGTACGCACAAGCCATCAGGACTCTTAAAAGAGCGATGGCCAGGCAACAGCTTCGGAAACTCCCCAAAGCAGGTACACCTAACCATGAGGAACTCAATAGAGCCATGGCATAGGTAACAGCTTCGGGGTGCCCATGATCAAGGGTGAAGTCGAAGTCACCAATCAGACACCTTCAGGTCAAGCAAAGCCAGTACACCCAACCATGAGGTCTCAATAGAGCCATGGCATGAGTAACAGCTTCACCATCCCATCAAGCGAGTGAAAGGAGACGACGAAACGATGTGTTCTTTGTTGTGCAGGAAGGGAGAAGTTTGGGAAAGTCAGGTGTAATCTACCATGTGTCCGTGGGTCGACCACTTGTCTTCCGCGTTTGTGCGATCCCTGGCCTTGGGATGCACTCTACCGTTAGATAGAGCGCAGACCGGGGACACAAACTCTACAGCCCGAGACCCTTTCCCGTCTTCGTAGCGTCGGACGATGAACGGCGGACCGTCGACGTCGTACTTCTGCACCTGATGCTCGGGTAAGAACCTCAACCTCGGAGGGTCCCTGATCGGCTTTTCCCAGAGTGGATTCTCATGGGGGATGCCCATAGTGGACATCCAGTTTCTCGCCTTGCAGGGTCTCCGAGTGTTTCTTTTGTGGAAATTGGGAAGCTCTGGGGCTTGCAGAGGCGCTTTTGACAGACACCTCTCTTGGGCCTTGCAACTGAGATGAGTACGTACCTCTTGCTTGAATTTGCAGTACCTGCCGTGCACCTTTTCAGGCACCTCGGTCAGGACTGCCTCCACTCGCTCGAGAGGCTTGGATTCTTCGTCGTTGGTGCGACCATGCTTGTGAACACCGCAACCGAAGTCACAGTACACCATGGGCACCAATTCGCGCTCCTCCTTCCGGGCTCGGCCGCAAAGGGCAAGTATACTGGCAACAATGTTAGCAAACATGGTTGAGGATGAAAAAGTGGATTGATGGAATGCAAAGTTTTGAGTTTGGGTAAGTAAGTCTGCAGAAACAGTTATGGAAAAGAAAAAAAGAAAGGAGAAGGGGGAACAAAGAAAGAGGTCTATAAGACTGCAAGAGCCTGCTGCCTGGATCATTCAGCTGGATCACTCAGCGTGATCTTCCATTCTCTTCTTCTGCTGGGACTCATGATCAATTCCACCTCGTGGCAGTGGATGCTCGGAGTGCGAGGATTCCGCAACAACCCGGGCACTACCCAGGAGGTCCTCACATCTTCAACGAACTACACAACTCCCAATGGACACTAGACAACCTCAAAAACACTTCTGCATCACACCAATATTCACCCCTTGAGCTGGGGTCTGGGGATAGTATAGCCGTTGAGCAATCGACTCGGCAGGGGAGACACATCATTCTGGGGCCCCACAGCCCTGACGTGGGACCACGTGGAAATCGAAACATCTCGGAAGCCTCCCCGAAGTAAATGGAAGCATACCGAGCTGCAGAGGATCATTCGGAAACAGCACTGCCCCGTTCCGAAGTCCGTGGAAGCCTCGCTCTGAATGGATGATCTTTGGAATAGGGTGATCTTTGGTGTCGAAAAAGTTCCCTGCATTTGGACAGCTATTATCAAGTCTTGAGCGAGGCGGGAGTCACCCTGACTTTCACTTCTCAGGATCAGTCACCCCTGTCTTCCTCATGCGACAGAAGGCAGAGTACTTCCTGAATACCGTGCGTTCTATGGAGAGTCGGATGTGGTGTTTCTCTCCATTTTCCAGAGTCAGGGGCTCCGAAAGTCATTGTGCAGTCCTACAGCCTGCTTGGAGACAACGGTCACAACGCGGAGAATTGCGACACACTATTCTCATATCGTCAATTCCATGAGCATTCACAAAAAGTTCGAACTACATGTCACAAATGCGGAAATCTTTTCAGAATATAAGCCTTGTTCCTCAGTGGTTGGAGTTTTCTGCAATGAAAAGGTTCTTGGTGTCTTCGTACAGCTGAACATTTAAATCAACAAGTGAGATATGGAAGAGCTCGGTCCATGTACTTTCAAGATCAAAAGAATATCGTACATCTCGACATGCGAGCTAAACAACCTCAAAGAGTCGTTGTGCATTGTTACAGCTAGTATAGAACGAGCACAACAAGACAGGAGTCACGCAATACAAAATTCACATCAGGGGCGTGATTGTCTGGGGTTGTCATCATTGTCGTTGCCATTCTTCTACTTCATCGTCTTCATATTCGTATCATCATGACGTCTTGTCCCATCCTAGCACCAGTCACAAAAGCGGTGCATCGAGCGGCAGCAGAAGCAGTGTTCTTTCTGTCTACTTGTGACGATTACCACCGGGAATGTCAGGTCCAGTGTTGAAGCCGACGCCGAAGTGGGAAAAGTAGCCGGGAATTTGATCCTGCTCGTCCTCCCGACTCCATTTCTCCTGCTCTTCCTCCCGACTCCAATACTCCTGCTCTGGGACATCAGAAGTAGGGGCCTCAGGCTGCTCAGGCTGCTCAGTGGCTGGGCGCAGAGATGGGAGCGCGACAGTGGGATTGTGAGCCGGAGCCGATGCTGCAGGAGGGATAGGGAGCGCGTGAGGGGCGGTCGAGGCTCCTTGAGCAAGAGGAGGATGGACGGCAACCTCGCAAGCGTCGGCTTGGTCCTTGACGCGTTTCAGAATGGCGGCATCGGGAACTCTCTCGTTCGTCAAGAGTCTGCGGTTGTGAACGGCGAGCGAGTGCGCCTCGAGGCGTTCCCTGGACACTCAGTCAGATTTGATCAAGGGAGAGGTGATTTGAAAGAGTATCTTACGTTCTGGTGGCGTTCACGGTGCAGTTGGCGCATTTGAAGGGCTTGATCGGCTCGTGGACGTTGGTGATGTGAGACCTCATGCCTGCCTTGTTGGCCGTGCCGGTGTTACATATGCGGCAGACGAAGGGCTGTGCTTGAGTGGTGTTCGGTGCCATCTTGACGACGTTCGATGCAGTGATGCACGGATGGGTTGCAGGTCGAGAGAGACGCCGACCTTATAAGAGGGTCAAGCGCGGGGCCATGAAAGACAGAGGTCATGAAAGCGTGCATCCGGAAGAGACCATGCCAGCACGTTCCGAGGCCCTCTCCCAGCACATGGGTCAACATAGAATCAGCTGGTGATGCCTGGGCTTGACAATTTTGCTCCTTCAACACGCTCGACAGGAGATGAAAGAGACCTGACATAAGCCCGTGGGACCCCTTGGAAACATCGTAACTGTCTGCTTCGAAGGAGCAAATGTGCGATGATTGTCGATGGACATGTTGAAAGGCATTCTGTCAAGCGTGTTCGTGGGAGATCCTCAGGACACAAACAGTATCAGCTCCAGCACGTGTACTGCAGTCAGGCGTTCAGACTCTTTCATCATCAACAAGACAGAAGCCATGTTCGCGGCTTTATCTTGGGGTGTGATATAAGTTTCCAAGCCCGCATCAACGAGGTGATCTTTGCCTGATTGGCTTCTCTTGCATTAGACGACTTTGGACGATGGAAGCCAGATTCCATGACCGAATGAGATCTCCGATGAATGATTGGAGGGCCAGATGCATTTCGAGACCAAGACAGGGGCCAAAACCAGGATCAAGATCACGGAGGAGACATCATGGCGATTTTACTGGCAGTAGTAATATCAGGCCTTCAAATACAGAGAAACGAAAACACTATTATCTGGCTGTACAAGAAGCAATGCATCTGAAAGGGCAACAAGCAGTCCAGATGTTCGCTTGCGACGCACGGACTTCCTCCGGTTGAGTATGACGTTGTTCTTGTAAGTGGTATCACCCGGACCTTGACCAAGAACCATGATATACCAACGACAGCGACGTCTAATACTAATGAACTCTTCTTGGGATGAATCTATGATATACATCAAGATATTGTACAATTCAGTGATCTCAACAACCACGTATATCCCAAAAGGACGTTTGTGAACTTGCAAAATGATTTTTGGATCAGCATTATAAGCACACCAGACAAAACTATCATCACTTTTCCAAAACCACAGAGACATCCCAGAAAACCGTTGCGCATTCGCGCAAGCAAAATAAGACACGTACACACCTTCGGAGATGCTCTCTACCAACAATGTAGCGACGCGAAACCACAGGCAACGACAAAACACAACTCCAGGCGCTCGACTTCCTGCTAGGCTTCGTCTCCCTCCGACCGAGCGTCAGGGGCAAACATAATACTGATGCCACGCCATAGGCCATCGTGAATGGCGGGACGAAGACTACTCGTTCATAGCGACATCGACCTCGTTCGCTACCATGCACGCCCGTCGTGGGGCTTCTTGGGTACGAGGAAGATTGGACGACCGTGTTTCTGGCCATCTCGAGCTCCTCCAGATTCTTGGGTCTGCCACGACCTCGGTAAAGAGAAAGAGAGCATAGCAGTGGCGGGGCTTGGAAGGTAGAGGTACTGGCGCTGCTAGCTCTCACGTGCTGGTAAGAGAGTCGCTACGGCTTGGGCCGTCACAATCACATGTGTCGAGAAGATACAAACAGATATTTCACATGATCTTTGAGCAGGAGTGAAAGAGATGTTTTGTGTGTAACAAGACTACGGAGCGAATCTAACCTCTTCTGCGAGTGCTAGGGCTCTTTCCCTTTTGCTCGGACCCTGTGGTCATGGCAATAGCCTCCTTTCTTCCCGACTCGTTCAACTTGTGCGAAGGAGCGCTGACTTTGCTGGGAGCGCTGTTCCAGTAGTAAATCATCTGGATGGCGAGGACGGCGTTGAGGATGAAGCCAGAGACGAAGCCGTAGAGGATGAGCTTGTCGTCGACTTCCTGGAGGGTCGTGAAGATACGGGAGAGGGAACCGAAGAGGTAGTTGAAGACCTGCAAGCAAGAGAGTCAGCGTGTGCAAAAATGCAAAGAGGTAGTGGGTTAAGGACTTACGGCGAAAGCGCTCAACTGGCCGGTGCCGCCCTGCTGCCAGACAGTCATGATCTGAGGCAGCTTGCTGGCGACACCAAGAGCACCGGCACCAGCTTGCAAGAGACCCATGGTCTTCATGTCAATGATGTCCGGGCTGAACAACGAGTAGCCAGCAGCAGCGAGTCCAGCGACAAAGACAGCAGCAGCGGCACCCTTGCCGCTGTACTGCAGAATTAGAGCAGCGATTGCGACGTTCTGCACGGCGATGAAGGCCGTCTCGCCATACGTGCTGAAGGGGAAGCCCATGCGAGCATTGTAGGCGAGCGAAATGAGGTATGAGCTGGTCTCGAGAGCGTAAGCCAGGAAGCTCAATCCAGCTGCCGACTGCGAGTTCAGGAGCTTGAGAAGCTGAGGGATCTTGACGACAGCAGAGGCGCCGATGATGCCAATGCCGAGTCCCTTTGAGATGGCCAGCTTGAAGCAAGACGCATCGCTGAGCTGGACATCGTGGATGAGAGTCTTGTAGCAGTGGTTTCCGAGCAACGAGATGCCGATGTCGCGAATTGGTCCAGGGAGGTTCTGAGTGATGGGCTGCAGCACCGGACGAAGGGTGGACTCGAGTTGCTCCATTGTGTCTTTGGTGGTAATGATCTTGTCAAAACTGGTTGCACTTTCTTGTCGCAAAGCTTCACGTTGATGCCACGTCGAGGGGCGTCATGTGGGGGTGACTTCCCCTTTTGGTCGACGCCGCCTCGAGTCCAACGTCAACGTGGCACCTTCACCACCTTCACCAGCACCTTCTCCCATGTAGCTTACTCCTTTCTTTCTTGCTCCCGAGACTACTGTTAGCAATGCCTTATACCTTCAACCTCTCTTGAACCAGATTGCTGCCAAATATGCTGCTCTCCACTAGATTCCAGCCATCGCACTCTGCTTCACCATCTATATCATATCCACGATGAACTCAACAACACAGGACCTTCTTGATCGTATCTACTCCTCGTCGAGTCTTATCTGTCTGCACATCTTCATGGGCAACTGCTTCTGGAGGCCGGTGGTGAAAGAACCCACCTCCTGAAAGGCGAACATTGAACCATACGACTCATGCTGCGACTTGATACTTGGACATGGCAGCTACTCGACTCTGTTCAAGTAAAGCTCAGCCATGACTTCTGACGTCGGCTTGACTGCTGGCAGATCTGGGACAGCTTTGAGAAAATACTTGTTCAGCGTCGATGATGGGCTGTCCTTCGCCCTCATCACAAACTACTGACACAGCTTAGTCGATTGAGCTACCCCTGCAGGCCTGATAACCAAGTTACATATTCTGACTTGGCTTGCTACTTTCCATCAAGTCAGCAGCCAGTTGTGTCACACAACTTGATCATCAGACCTGCCGGGGTAGCTCAATCGGTAGAGCGTGTGGCTCTTATCAATAAGGTCAACCTCAAGGTCGCGGGTTCGAGCCCCGCCTTCGGCTATTCCTACAAACCGCTGGCTTGATATCCTTTTTGCACGTTATATGGTGTCAGAAACATGATTTTTGAGGCATCTGGAAAAAGTCGGAAAAAGTCGAAAAAAGTGAAGCCTGCCAAGACTTTTCGAGAATTTGCCGCACTGACCGCTTTCTGCCAAGCGATCAATTTTCTTTTCTCAATGTGAACTTTTGCTTGCTGTTTCTGTTGTGCGCAAACTCTCATGACAGCAGGTTGGCAGTGATACACATGCTGCTAGCTCTTGTCCAGATTGACCAAGATATTCGGCTCACCTGCTCGTTGCAACAAGACTGCTCGAAGGCATTCTTCTCGCATGATATCTTCCGCAAGGCTCTCTCGATTTAAGGCTTCCAACTGCGTCCTGCTACGACCAGAGTCACGCTCTTTTGAACGACTAACCCAAGAGGTTGCCCTTTTCGCAATCACATTACACACATGGTACGTTTCTCCTGTCTTTCCTCATCTTATCACCGCCTTTCCCCCTTACACACAAAATGATGATTAATATATCATTCCTGATGGCAAACGGAGATTGAATCCCTCCATGCCAGACTGATGTCTTTTATTATTAGCTCTATCTGATATTGTTTTTGACACAAAATCTCCTCATTCTGTCTCGAAATTACTTTGTTGCATGCTTTTTGCTGACTTTATCGAACAGGTATTTACAGATCTTATGTTTGGTTGAGTGGTGAAGTAGATAGTTGTATATACGTATTGCCTTTCAACAGAGTAAAGTCTACTTGTCGAAACAATCTTATCATTTCTCTTCATGAGCATTGTTTACTTGTCACAATTGTTTGTGCCTTTCGACAGCCCCGCGATCGATTGAGGAGATGGTCATGAGAGTCCAGCTTTCTTGTCAATACCCCCTTTTCGTGCCGTGTGGCGCCTCACCTCTATCATCTCCCACTGCTCCGACTTATTCTCGTGCAGTGTCTCCGTGTGAGACGTCTAGATGACGACGAAGCACGAACGACCTCATCCTGGCGTTTGGGACCTGCTACGCGTCTCGACTGCTCGTCGGATCGTATCTTGTCCCTCAAGCAGCAGCGACCAACAGCAATGAGATGTCTGACTACAGAATTGTTGTTGTGTTTCCGTCTCTAAGCTGCGAGGAGGAAAAGCTCTTATAGTCCAGATCGCTTTGTGAAAATATCAGACTTGGATGAACGAAGGAGTTTGAGAGCCGGTGCAGATATATATATATATATATACTATGATACTCGTTTGAAGTAAGAATTTTCGCCATTCAAACAAAGAACGAAAAAGAGAAGAATAGAGCAGAAACATCAAACCCTCTCTACCAAAAAATCAAGTCCCCTCTTCACAGCCTCCCAATGAGCTCCAAAATCACTCTCTCCAAGTCCAGGCACTGCATCAAACAAATGACCTGCTCCCTCTACAATCTCAAATCCTACTTCCTCCACTCCTGCTTGCTTCAAGTCTTCCACAGCTTTGTTTACGAGATTTGGTCTGGAGCCTGGCAGTACATCATCGGCGCCTTGGAGGAAGAAAGTTGGTGGCCAATCAGTTCCTGCATCTGGAAACTTTGTACAAGGATCCACGACTGGAATGTCTGCAGCGTTGGAAGAGATGGCGGTACTCCAGCTTCCTCGCTTGAGAAGTTGAATCATGTATTTGCCTCTTACAGACATTTCGTTACCAGAGATGGGGATATCGGCTTCGGAGACTTGTCTCTCAGCAGGACAGAGTTGAGACCATTCGTCCTCTGTCAAGTCTTCGTCTGGGATGGCGTCGTAGGGAGGTAAGTTGTGAGATTCATGGGCGCCGGAAATCTCAGGCTTGGAGAGGTAGAGGGATGGGTAGAGCACGGTGATGGCTTTTATGGCTGGTTTTCCTAGGGCTGCTAGATGGAGGGCTAGCATGCCGCCTGCAGACATGCCCATTGCTACAATCCTTGACGTATCGATATTGATAGCGTGCGAAGATAGCATGAAAGGTCCAAGGCTTGAACGACAGAACTCGTAGGCAGCATGTGTGTCGGGGATAGCTCCCTCGAGAGCAGTAACTTGAGGACAGAAGCGGTAGTTTGGAATCACAACGATGAAGTTGCGGGCGGCGAGGTAGTTGATTTGAGAGGCAGGGATCATGGCATCGTTGCCGATGACCAAGCCACCAGCATGAAGGACGATTACTGCCAACGTTCATTAGTACTCGAATTCTGAAGCTGTACTTAAGAGGTTGTGCTTACCAATTGGCTTTGGAACCTGAGTTTCGGGTCCCCAACATACTCTGGCATACAGAGGGTTGCCAAAGTCATCAGAACTATACTGAACACGCTCACTGTGTACGACTGCCATAACGGTTGTAAGGGTTCCGAGAGATTGGTTTTGCATTTGATAGAGAAGAGAAAGTGAGAATGTCTGGTCAACGCATGCCCTTTTGTACCTGTCCTAGCCGCCAGTTGTTCTGAGCGTTGGTCCAGGTATCATCTCGGATGATGACTATCAAAACATTTGAGTTCAAGATATTCAAAATTGTTGACTCATCATCGTATCCTATACGTTGTGATCGAAGGCAGCTGCGTAAAATGCCAAGCGCATTGGAACATCACACATTACAAGTCCGCAGCCTGATCGTTATGAGACAACGACAGTTGCTCTTGGATACAGGATTGTAGGCTTGTGAAAGGTACCTCAACGAGCATCCTCTGAGCTCGAAATGCTTTCTCATGCTTTTGGCGTTCCGAACAAAGAAGTCTCAAATTTGGAGACAGGATGTTTATAATATGTTTCGAGCAGACGTACGCGCTTATCTTCCTTTCTCTCGTCGGTGTCGCTGATCAAGGTCATCCACCCCCGGCTCGAGGGAACAGCATTCGGTCTGTTTGGCTGAAGCACTCATACTCCGACCAGAAGCCTCTCGTCAAGCCTTGATGTTGAGCTCAGGTAGCTGAACATCGCGAGTGCCTTAACTCGCACGGGGAACTCCGGAGCTGACAATAAGAAGTATCAAGAATGCAGACCTAAGCCGCAAGTTAGAATGCAGTGTATCCTAATTAGAATGGATACTTACCCAGACAGAGTGCTGTAAACAATGACGGACATTACAACGAATCTATCATCTGCTGCTACAAAGTCGAACAGGATGAACAACGCAATTATCGTACACTGGACAGTTTGCATGCGAACAGCACTTCGGGGCTCAAGTCTACCCATGGCGTAAAGATGGACCTGTCGTATGTACAGCGACATGACTATGAATATGGCGACACACAATCCGAATTCTCTGATGATTGATTAGCTAGTTGGTTGATTTCGGGGCGGTGTAGGCTACAGTATGCCGAGACCACCAAACATTACTCCCTGCATTGTTCCTATGGTAATGAATCCGCAGATGAAGAACTGGACGAGCCACATGACGTGTAGAACAGGGCGTACTGGAAGCTATGGATCGCTCTCAGCATGGTCTCGGTAGTCGAGTTGGGACATGGCGTAAGGAATCGTTGGGAGTATGGTCTGCTCTGAAGAGAGTTGATGAGTATGTCAAGAACGATGACAGCGGAAGTGGATACTGAAGGTATTTTTGTGAAAAGATGGGTTGCCTGATCCAAGCTCCGAGCTCAGCCTTATAACATGCTGTGAATACAGCATCTAATACAAGTCGTGCCGAGTTTGAGATCCTGATGGTAATCGCCTGTCATCGGTCGCTGGAAATGAATATATCGTCTAAGCGCGCTGTCGGCGCTAATGTGTTGTGTCTGATGGGCGGTAGACGCCTTGCCGTATGACAGATAAAGCACTACCGTTCTGACATCTGCCAGCATACATTGGATCTTGGAATGGCATGACTGGCTTGCCGCATTTCCTTTGGGTAAAAGAAAATGAAGCACTGTGCCTCTCGTGTGAAGGTGGGTATGTTGTCGCATTCGCGAGGGCATATGGATTGTCCATTACAGCCAGCCCACAAATCACGCATGCATCCAACCAGATCAGCAACCAGACTTGTCGTCGATGATCACTGCTTCGAGATATAGCATGACTGGGATAATAGCAAGTCGAGAATGAAACGTATTGCTGAGACTAAGATGCATCAAGTGGATTGATGATGGGTCCGGCTGTTCTTCGGTTGGCCAGGCTTCAGATGACAGTCGCGACTTGACTTGAGTTCTTTCCTTTCTATGCTTGTCAACAAACGTAAGCAAGAAAGTCAGATGCCTACGCTCCATCCTGGATGATAGTACAATTGATTGGGGCTCTTTCAGTCAACAGGGGCTCTCAGTACGCATGTACTGTTTGTGAGATGCGTCATGCAAGCAAACGACGCAGTCTGCTAGATTGGCAACATAAGTACACCGCTTAGTCTTGGTCGTAGGTCATGCAATGACACTGGTGAGTTGAATCCGACTCCTATGTTGTAGCATCTCAGGTGTGTTGGCGGATGGCTGCATGGGGACTCCGTAAGAAATGCCCTGGTGGAGCACCAGATCAACAACTTCTTCGGTCCTGGTATTCGAAATTAGGGTGCTCAAGATGGCATATTAAAGCCCGCCGCATCCCAATTCAAAGATTAATGAGTGGTCTTCGCATCTCGAGACGGCCAAGAGTGGTCCTCACTTGCAAAAATAATCGTAAGCTTCGAGTTCGTGGCTCGCGCGCCACACCAAGCTTGCTTCACTCCTAGGATACTCCTACCCTCCCTCGCAATCGCGGCAATCTAAACGCCGATACCCCGGCCATCGATCCATCGATTCTTCGATTACCATGGTATACCCTACCCCGAAGCATCTTGGACAGTGCATCAAACACAAAGTCACAAATGTATGTCGAAATTCCCAGTACACTCGACAAACAATCAGCGATTATGTCCATACAGGCTACACGCAAAATGATCTCTCCTTACAGCAATAAGAGAATCAGTGTTGATGACATCTTTTCTTTATGGCGACGAACCTGGTCTCGAAATCGAGTCTGAGCAAGTAACCACTCGAGCTATTGCGCCTGTGATTCTGAAGAAGCGAGCAAACTTTCCTCGCTGGCTCTCTCGTCTTCAACCTGGCGTATTCAAAGACAGAATTAGGCATAGTGGCGATTTGGTCGCTCGGCCAGAGCCAGTCAAAGACACGGCCAACGATGCTGAGATATCTGTTGACCTTCCGGGTCTCCTCCGCCTCCCAGTGGAAATTCGCAACCAAATTTACGGATACCTCTTTAGCCAGCGACTCATCGTCATCAAGCACAACGACCCCTGGTCTCGCTCTGATGACAGTATACTCAACAATGCCATCGGAGAGTATCGTCAGCCGAACCGCGCCAAAGCAATAAAGTGTCTCAAGATTGTCAGAGCCAAGCAGAAGGTTCCTCAATCTCTGAGACGTCAGGCTATGAAAGCCAAGGGTATCTCATATGCCGGTATTCCCGGTCGAAATTCTGAACCCAGAGAAGGAATCGATTGGAAGACAACGCTCAGTAGTCTCCTGCTCACCTGCAAGACAATCAACGCCGAAGTCGGTCCTATCCTTTACGGCATAACGACCTTCTACTTTGACGATGCCTGCCGTCTGAGAGCCTTTCTCAAGACCGTCCACCCTATCAACCTATCATGCATAACACGATTACACATCCACGTGCGCACCCACGGTATGCCCGTTGATGCTACGAACGATGTCTGGGAGCAAGAGCACATCCAGTGCTGGACCTCGATCTTTGTTACAATTGCTAGCAAGATGATCAACCTTCGCGCAATCAGTGTGTCTCTCACCATGAGAAACGTCACCGACGGCTTGAGACGTGCTTTCAATCCTGCACAGCCCAACACTGACTGGAAAACTCGTGCCGGTTACATGCTCATGCTCCAATCTCTCTCAAACCTGTCAAGACTGGAGGACTTGCGTGTGTCCATCAAAGCTACGGACGACATCATGTCGCAGTACCAAGAGATGCTTCCTCATCTGGTCTTTCGGTACTGGGAGTCTTCGAACATCCATCCTGTCCGTTCTCTTGAGCTCCAAGTGATGAATGTACACAGAGAGGTCTTCGAGGAGATGCAAACCAGCCTCGAACAGGCCATGGCAGATGTCGCACGGTCCAAAGATGTCAACGAGTCATTCGTTCGTGTGGCTCTTGCTACCCGCGAGTACATGGACTACAAGTTGGATCCGATCGGATACATGGTGATGAGGGAGCTCGAGGAGAAGCATAAGAAGAAGAAGGAAGAGGCGAAGGAGAAAAAGGCGGAGCGGAAGCAGAAGAAAATCAAGGACAAGAAGCAGTGGATGCGCAAGAAGCGTGACGGCTATTGAGGCCGTCGAGAGATGCAGGCGAAGACATGCGACTACGAATGATTGAGAGACGACAAGACTCGAAGACACGAAACTCAGCAACACACGAACTACAGATTGCGCGAAGATCAGGAGTCAAACAACAACTACAACAAAGATGAGACAGGAAAGAAAAAAAAGAGGAAAGCTAAGGAACGAGGATATTGCTCACGGCCTTCAATTTGTAAAATAGCCAGAATCAAACTGCAAGAAGCGGCAACAGGAGGAAAAGATGCTCGAGAGTAGCAGAAGCTTTCGATGATTGTTTCTTCGAGGCTTGCGACGATGATAGCAGATGATCCTTGAGAAGACACAAAATGGAAGGCTCGAAAAACGATAGAATTGTGCCAGAGCTTATGCAAGTATGTGAGATGTGAAACAGGGGAGCAAGTGTTGCGATAGTGATAACGCGTTCAAGGGTCCCGCGGCAGGCGGGTGTGGGCAGAAATCTAGATGGATGGCGTTCGGATGAGAACGGTGAACAGCCCACGGGCTTGATAAAGATTGAGGTTTCCTTACGCAAGCGTGTGCCAAGAGAATAGCTAGGTCTACATTGATGACATTCATGCTTGCCAATTCACTCGTAATTACCTAGGTGGGCACTAGACCCTTGCAAGATCAGGTCCAATCGTTGACACGCACAGTACTTAGCATAGTAGCTCTATAGATAATCAATTCATGCGTCGAATAGAGACAACTCTTGTGGTTGATAAAAAGTCCCCAGCCCCCCACTCAAATGGTGGAAGCTTTGAACTTTTTGAGCTTTGACCTGGCGCGTCAAGTTCAAGGGGACACAGTTTCGTGTCTGTTGAGAAAGATTTAAAAGGAGAAGCATTGGACATAACCGCAAGGCCTTGTCAGACGAGTGGTTTTTGCAACAATGGCCAGCAAAGACGAGTACAAGTCCGAGTACTCGGAGGAGTTGACCAACTTCATCAAGACTCCCTCCGTGCCAGCTCCTGATCCTGAGAGCACAGAGTATGGTGTACGCAGCACCGCCGTGAGTGTCTCTCTCTTGCGACTGTGCCAATGGCCTGCTAACTCAATCGCTACAGTACCCGGCTATCAAGAACGCACCTCTTCCCGCCGACGCAGCTGGCAGCGAGTCGTTCAACAACTATGTCCTGTTCGCTCTCCTCGGAGGCATTCCTGCCTACATGGCCTACAAGATCGGCGGTGGCTTCAAGACCTGGGTCTTCTTCGCCATCCTGACTGCCATCCCCATCCTGATGGTCTTCTGGACCATTGCATCCGGCTACACTCCCCGCAAGAACGAGAAGGCTCGCTACCCCGGTGCCCCCGTCGAGCACTACCTCAAGTTCCACAAGGAGGCCGACCGCGCCAAATACCACGGCCGCAGCAAGATCCCCATGGAGACCTTCCACGAGAAGTACTTCGATGGCGACGTCGACTTCAACGGTGACGCTCTCGAGGTCATGGAGTACCGCCACGATTGGGCCAACTTCCGCTTCACCCTGTCTCTCTTCTGGTTCTTCCTCACTGGTATGATGCCCGAGGTCATCATGCACACTCGCTCGCAAGACGAGGAGCAGGTCCGCGACCACTACGACCGCGGTGACGACTTCTACTCCTGGTTCCTCGGCCCTCGCATGATCTACACCTCTGGTATCATCTCCAACATCAACGAGGAAGAGACTCTTGAACAACTGCAGGACAACAAGCTCGCCATTGTCTGCCAGAAGATCGGTCTTCAGGCTGGCGACCGCATGCTCGATCTCGGCTGTGGCTGGGGTACTCTCGCCAAGTTCGCTTCTGCTCACTACGGTGCTCAAGTTACGGGTGTCACTCTCGGTCGCAACCAGACTGCCTGGGGCAACAGCGGTCTACGCAACCTCGGCGTCCCCGAGGAGCAGAGCCGTATCCTCTGCATGGACTACCGCGATACCCCCGTCCCCAAGGGCAAGTACAACAAGATCACCTGTCTCGAAATGTCCGAGCACGTCGGTGTTCGTCACTTCTCTACCTTCATTAGCCAGATCCACGACATGCTTGATGATGACGGTGTCTTCTTCATGCAATACGCTGGTATCCGCAAGTCATGGCAGTACGAGGATCTCATCTGGGGTCTTTTCATGAACAAGTACATCTTCCCCGGTGCTGACGCCTCTACTCCTCTCGGCTGGACCGTCGACAAGCTCGAGGGCGCTGGCTTCGAGATCAAGAGCATCGACACCATTGGTGTTCACTACAGTGCTACTCTTTGGCGCTGGTACCGTAACTGGATGGGCAACCGCGAGAAGGTCGAGGCCAAGTACGGCAAGCGCTGGTTCAGAGTAAGTTTAATGCCCACACTTCTACTTGATTGACATCTCCTGACTGACTTTTTCCAGATTTGGGAATACTTCCTTGCCTACTCCACCATAATCTCCCGTCAAGGTTCCGCCACCTGCTACCAAATTACCATGGTCAAGAACATCAACTCCACCCACCGTGTCGAGGGTATCAATACCCAGTTCGGTCTCTCTGGCGCTCTTGAGGCTGCAAAGAACGCCGCAAAGGCTGTCTTCCCCTCTGCCAAGGCCTAAATTTCTCATGATCTGAAGATATGAAACGACTCTAGGTTGTGATTTGATGTCATTGTACAAATACGATTTGTGGTGTTTGTCATCGCTGATGAGCAAACAAAAAAGTCATGATTGTGTTGATTACTCAGGCGATGGGGACGATGGCTGTATCTTATGAAAAATGATAGACAAAACTACGATATGCTTACCAATCTCTCGAACGAACCAGCGTCAGCATCTCGTGATTGCGTATACTGGTGTCGATAACGGAGCCTACAGGACTATCTAGTGTTGACTGTACCTGCCTGCCCTTCTGATCGGCAGCCCCGCACCCTCTTTCCCCACCACACGCGAACAGAGCTGCGCTCGTAGGCAACCATTTTCCATTTACAGGTCCATGATGATCAATCAACGATCGTCGCTACATACAATCAGTACATCTAGAGAGACAAAAAGGCGAGAGAATCCGCAATCGTAGCTCGACAGAGTCGATCAAGCTATAATTTTGACACTGATCATGAAGTTCGCCATCTCTCGCCCTCCTGGCTACGTCCTGTCAGCTATAACAATATCCCTTGGAGGTTTCCTCAATGGGTATGACCTACGAATTCTTTGAGGATATCAAAATTCTCGCTGATATGATCTCCAGCTACGATACAGGCAGCATAGGTGCTGTGACCGAAATGCCCTATTTTGCTTCCAGTATTGGCGAGCTTTCTCCCTTTCTTCGTGGATTTACGGTCTCGTTGATCATGCTTACTGGCGCCTTTCCATCGTTCTTTGCTGGACAACTCGCCGATCGCTTTGGAGGACTTGCTGTCGTTGCTGCAGGTGCTCTTGTGTTCACCATCGGAGCTGCGTTGGAGGGATCGGCGAACAAACTTGCCATGTTTCTCGTCGGTCGGGCCCTTTGCGGTATAGGCGAAGGTCTTTGGTTGAGTAATGTCAGCGTGTAAGTCTTGCGAGAGCTCTTGTTCAAAAGATGACTGAGCTGATGCCTTCCAGATACATCACGGAGATTGCTCCATCGGCACGTAGAGGTATGCTAGTATCCATGCCTCAGTTCTTGTGCTGTGCGGGCGTCTGTTTGGGATACTTTACCTGCTATGGAAGCGTGCAGATCGACTCCAGCTTCTCATGGAGAGGTCGGTTAACCGCTCTGATACACTGTGGCTCGACATGCTAACATTTAGTCAGCACCGTACATAATCCAAGCCATACTCGGGCTCTGCTTGACCACAATGCCGTTCATACTCCCTCAATCACCTCGTTGGCTTCTCTTACATGGTCAGCGAGACAAGGCAATCAGAGAACTCAAACGCCTCGACTTTAGTGCAATCGAAGCTGAGAAGGATTTACTGGGTCCTGCTGCCGAACAACAGATGGCTTCAAGACAACCAGGAGCGGTAGAGGGTCTTACAATGCTGTTCAAGAAACCATACCGCAAGCCTGCTTTACTTGCTCTCTATGTCCTGGGCGTCATACAGCTCAGCGGCATAGATGGTGTCCTCTATGTAAGCTTCACCGTCCACGTTCGGAGTGCCCGCTGATGACATCAATCACAGTACGCACCCACCCTTTTCGCTCAAGCCGGCCTTTCCGCAAAGACATCCTCCTTCATGGCATCAGGTCTATCAGGCGTCCTCATCCTCCTCATCAGCATCCCAGCCGTCCTCCTCGCCGACAAAGTCTCCCGTCGCAGCAGCGTCATCGTCGGCGGCAGTCTCCTCACCTTCTGCATGTTCAGCATCGGCACTCTCTACGCCTCAAACTCTGTAACACCCCAGAACCCTGCCCGCTGGCTGGTCATCATTCTAGTCTTTGTCTTTGGTATTGTCTACTCTGCGACCTGGGGTATCGTGGGCAAGATCTACGCGTCGGAGATACAACCAGCTGCTACAAGGAGTGCTGCAAGTGCTGTGGCGCAAGGACTGGGCTTCTTTACCAATTGGATCGTCGCCATCATTACTCCTGTCTTGCTGGCCAAGTCGAGCTATGGCGCGTACTTCTTATTTGGAGGGATCTGCTTTGTAAGTGTATTGGTATTGATGTTCAGTATGCCTGAGACCAGGGGCCTCAGTCTTGAGGCTATCCAAGAGGCATTCTTGGTACCTGGTACAGCACAAAGAGGCAGAGTGGTTAGTATGTTGAGGAGATGGGCTGGAGTTACTACTTCTGATAGCGGGACTGGCTCGACCGTTGAGCTAAGAGATGTAGGCGGGCTCTTGGAACGAGAGTCTTAGATCTCTCTCATGGACATGGTAGTGTTTTCGACAAAAGTTTGTGCATTTTCACAGCTGAGAGATTGGGAGATGATGGTTATGAGATACTTTCCTTCTTCAAACGCAGCCCCTGGCCACACCTCACACAGATTCTCATCTCAGCGATAGAGAACAGTAAATTTTGTAGCTGCGAAAATGCACAGTCTTTCTCGGAAGTCGGTGAAATGGACATGGAGAAATGTGATCACACTGTCCCCCCAGCACCATGCCTATCAACCTGAATTTGAATACTCGAGTATCGAGACACGAATATCAGGCCATGGCAAAGAGGAAATCAGGGCTCATCAGTCATTGCAATATTACTATGCTCCACTATGGGAGGTGTGTGCGAGATAGGGGCTGTAAAAATGCAGAGTGATTTCCGGAGAAATGGGATGGTTGTCGATGATAGATGGGATATCTTTCTCTCGGTATCATGCTTATACAATTGAATTTGTTTGTGCATTTGTACGGGTAGGTTGTTCAGGAAGCTTGGTGATGAGATACTTATACCGGGTTACAAAAAGAGCGGGGGGGGG